TTCCTTGATGAGAATGTACTAGATGATGAAGATGAAGAAGTTATCGACGACAGCGGAGGGTCGGTACTCGAAGAACTTGTAGTAGGACTAGAAATGGTGCTTGAGGAAGTGGTAGTAGTAGAAGATGAAGAAGGTGTAGATTGTGAACTTGAGCTTGTGAAATCCTGTGTTGTTGACGAAGTGGGAAATGTTGTAGGTGAGGATGGTTGTAAGTCAGAAGTAGGACTACTTGATGTTAAATCAGTAGTTGACGGTACTTCTGTTTGAAAATCTGGCGACGACAGTGTGGAAAGAAAGGAAGAAGAAGAAGAAGAAGTGGAAGTAGAAGTAGAAGTGGAAAAAAAGGTGGAAGAATTTTCTGGTGTGGAATGTGAGGCTTGTTCCTGTTCTGACGCTGTGGAAGGTGGTGAGGGTGAGGGTGAAGTTGAGGCAGTGGGAGCGAGTGTGGAAGTAGAAGGAGTCACAGTAGAAAAATTTTCTTGTGACGTAGTAGAACTCGTAGTTGAAGATTGAGAATTTTTTGTTGAAGATGTTCCACTAGATTGTGCGACTGATTCCTTGTCTCCTATTGTAGATGTTGTATCTTGTTGTAGTAGAGAAGAAGGAGTATCAGAAGATAATATTAATGATGAGGAGGAGGAGAATGTAGTAGTAGAAGGGGTTGATGTTTCAGTGGAATTGGTATCGTCCCTGGGATATAATTTCCTATGATGATATGATAAAGTATTTATAAAAATTTTAAACATTATGAGCAAAGGGGTCGACTTCGGATTATGTAATTTATTTATAGTAATAAAAATAGAAATTATCTCTTCCCTTTGGAATAAATGAAATTTCAGCCCTTAATGGTATTGTGTACTTTGCGTTGGGTTAAAAAAAAAGGTCGACGCAAAACTTGGTCACAGGTGGTGGTAGCAAAGGGCAGCAACGGCGGTGGCAGTGGTAATAGTAGGAGTGGTGGTGGTAGGCAATAACAAGAATAAGAACAAGAAAATTATTTGTTTATCTGTATGGATTAGTAAACAATGCTTTGTGTGTTAATTTGTTGGTATATTTTAGGCAATGGAATGCAAAGATGGTTACTTATTTTTAGCAAGTGCATACGAAATACAAAAACAATTGAAGAATCAAAACCACGACACTTTTTTTTTATGGAACAGTAATATACAACTGGTTGATTCTTTCTTGGACTCACTTTTAGTGCATGTAAGTGATGATGAAGATGATTGGATGATCAAATAGTTGTACTTCTCTCTCTCCCCTCTAGGATTAGATTTAACTTTGGTTGTTGTTGATAAAGAAGGTGAGTTTTTTTCTTTCCTTACGTAATGCAACTGAACAAGCGATCAAACAATGCAACCTTCAGACAAAAATTGAAATCAAATTAAATTGTTGCGAAAAGACAAAATAATAATTTTGTCCACCCCCCTTTTTTTTGGTTACTTAGTTTTCTTGGTGGGTCGTTCCTTTTTTTTTCTATCTTTTCGTTTGGGTTTTCTCTATTAAAATATTTCCTTCTATTATTCGTTGTTGTTTCCTAATAATATTTTTTTATACCGTTTCTTTTCCTTTATATGGGTACAAGGCTGAATCAACAAATAAATAAATGACGATGATAAATATAACAGAAAATCTCCACAATTGTATCCAATAAAAAAAAAAATACTTGTTTCAAAGGGCAGATCCAATCAGACAATTATTGTTTGTTTCTCTCTCGCACCAATCTAACAATGCAGGCGGTGGGGGGACGACGACAAAAAAATAAAAATTAATTTTTTGCGATGGATTTAATGGAAGAAGGTAAACCGAGTAAATTAAACGAATGATAACAATTGTTTGGTTCCTTAGTTATTGACATGATTTGATCTAATGTATAACAATCTCGTTTTTCGTAATCAAGGGTTTATAACTTTTAATTATCTCTATCGGTATCTATCGTCTAAATATGAATGTAGATATTTGGACTTTGGTTGAAAAAAAAAATAAATATAAAATGATATTTGCTGGTGGTAGGAACGTGTGTGATTGATGTGTACGAATTAGGAACTGTAATTTGACTGTTTAACTAAAATCTAATATAGACAACAACAAAAAAAATGACAATATGAAACAAAAAGAACTGAATAAGATGAATAACAAAACAACCACTGGTGTGGGATGTGTTTGATAATGTGATAAAAGAGTGTATCTCAAATAGAGATCAAAAAAGTCAATTACAAGTATTATCTTTGATTATATAGATGAAAAATTCAGAGGAAGATCATGGAATCTTTAAATATGTTGAAGTATTAAAAGCATCTCACATCCCTCGATCCTATAAAACTTGAATCTGCAAAACAAAAAAAGGACAATATGCTATCCCTGAGAGCATGGCAGGGCAGGAATTTCAGAAAGTGCATATATATACTCGTAACAAAGTACTGAAACCCGTATGATGTAAACTCATAAACAGCCTTATGGATAGGAGAACGATTCTATTATGAAAAAAAAAAAGCTTAAAAAACCATGTTTGTAATCTCCTTTCCTGAAATATCTAAAAGCAATATTAAAAGAAAAAAAAAACCTCGATTGTGTTATAAACACCACAGGGAGTTGTTTCTTTTTTTATATTATGAATATATTCTTTGTTCACAACTTAGTAATCGGTGTAGCATTCACACTGGAAACAAGTTGTATAATAATGAGATAGCCTACAGAACATGTGGGCTTTTCCCTGCCTTATTCAAACTGTTTGTGCATACTTACGTTTTTTGTTTATCAACATGAAAATTTCACTTTTTCACACACGGACACAATACAAATATTTCCGACTTGTTCGAAACCCTTAGCACCGCGGGTGTATGATAATCAACACCTAAAAGTTAATAATAGCCTGATGACAAATATCTTAGTAGTATACTTGGAGTGTGTAGAACAATTCTGTATTAGTTTAAACAGAAGCTGTTATAAATAGTATCGTATCAATGTACATATTGATCAACAGATGGTACTTGGTTGACTGTTAGTGTTTACTCTTAGTAATTTATTTTTGTCAGTTTTTTTCACACACTTACAGCCAAAGGGATGAAATAAATACACAATTTGAATTGCGCAAACAAAACACACACACACACACACACACCTTGTACTATACACTCTTTCAGTGGAACAATACTCAACAACAACAAGAATAACAATGCTTGTTTGTTTGATCCGTGTGGTTGAGCTAAATAATATCATAATCCACCTCCTCGAATATTACTAACAATAGAAGGGCAGAGTATATTAAACAACTAATCAAAGAATATTTAACTTTTGCTAAAAGTTACATAATCTTTGTTCTTTATTCTTTTTTTTTCAATTGATTTTGAGTCAGTACTAAAAAATTTGCGCAAGGTCTTCTCGAAGAATAAAACCACAAATGTATACACATCTGAAATTTTCAGTTATATTTAATCGAATATTGAATCGTTTAAACCTGTATAACCTTGAATGATACAAAATGTATTATGATGAAATTTTCAGTTGTCTTTTTCTTTTCTTACATGAGTTATCATCGATATTTCAACGGTTGATTGCATAAATTAAAAGTCTTTAATTTTGTGTGATATCATTATAATTAAATGTCTGAAAAGTTATTGAAAGTTCCTCCAAGCACACCCCTTGTCGTTGTCGTTGTTGTTATTCTTCTTCTTCTAATGATTTATGTTGAACGTCTTAAATAAAATTGAGACAATACTCCAATTTGTTAGTAAGAAGAACAATAACAAAGTAATAAACAATTACGGAGAATAAGGGAATTGAAATAAACTTATCTAACCTAAATAAGTAAATTAAATACATTTGACATCACCAACTTCAACTTGAGCAACCTTCTAGTATTAATGCAAATTATAGAATAATCATCCGCTTCCTCCCTTGTTTGTTTGTTGTGTTCTCTAGATAAATTATATTCGTTTCATAATTGAGGAGGTTTACTGCGATAAGTTTTAAATGATTTACATTTAAATTTCGTAATAAATTGCAATTAAAAAACAATTCAACTTCACTAAGAATAAAAAAGCAACTGTGATTCGATTAAAACATGATAAAGATATACAGGTGTGAAATATTGTTAGTTAATGAAGTATTTATTATTTATTCTTTACTAATAAAATCCAAAAAAATAAAAAACTTTGTTCCATATAACCTTGTAAAGATTCCAATTTAGATTACGTCATCGGTTCTATCCGATTTTTTCTTTATCAAATTGCTATTCTTTTTTATTCTTCAAGGGGTAATTAAAAGAACATGTGATGAGGAGACATCTACGAGATATACCAGAAGCTATTCATGAGTTTTTTTCTTCTCTCATTTCTTTTTCATATTGTTTGGATTACGAACTATATCCCCATGTATATTTTATCTTTACTCCCACAGTTACCGGGAAGATCTTGGCTGTTGTTATTAACCCCAGATTTTTTCATCATCATCATCAACTCTCTTAATAATAAAAATATAAAAAGTCATGTATATTTATAAATAAATACCTTTCTTTTTTTTTCTTTTTATATCTGATTTGATTATTTAATCAAAGAAATAAAAAGTAAAGAAAATACACATGCATCTTTGGTACTTATACCTTTTTTATCTAATCAGACAAAATAAAATACTACCTCGATAATTCTTGAAATAAAACAGAAAAACAAAACAACGACAACATCTCTTATGAATTTGGATATGTATAAGATGGTAAAAAAAAAAAATTAAACCATTAAAATTAAAATTAAAATTCAAGATGTGAGGATTAGACATTAAAACAATAATCAAAACAAATCAAATCAAAACGGAACAATATCGAATAAAAAAAAAAAGCAACGCATAAGTATTAAACAGGTTTCACCTGAGGAAAAGAATCAGACAAATGGAGAAAGTCAATCGCCAGTACTTATCTTCTTCAAGTTAGATATCATACAATATCTTGTTTGGCATATTTATTCTTTAACCAATCTTTGAATGCAAACAACAGCATTTGCCATCCCATTAATAATGTAGTAACTCCCAAACTCAAGTTCAAGGTAAACATACTAGTCAATCCATAATATTCAAAGGATAAAACAACTGGATCTGTCAGTTCCATGAAAATCAATCCTCCACACATTAATGAAAAACTAACAATCAATTCAGTAATAGGTCTACTTGGACCAGTCAATTCTTTGGGTGTCTTGGAATTCAACAACATTAATAAATAGGTGATAAATCTGAATGCACATCCCATAACAAACATGTTACCCCATTGAATATGAATTTCAGTAGATAAACTTGAGGCTTGTTGATGTTTTGACATAAGATAGCCAGTCCAATAAATAGTAACAATTGGGAACGGGTTTGGACTAAAACCAGGACTTGCTTTAATGATATTTGAAACATCTTGTGTGTCATCACCATTACCACCATTCACTTTTTCTAAATCAGCAATTGCTTGTTCATATCTCCAATCTTGTAACTTCATCTCGGTGATAACCCCACACAATCCACATCCAATAAAAATAAACGCAATTGAAACATGTTGCAAATCTTTCGGCGACCATTCCGCACCGGCATTTGACAAGTGTTCCAAGAAAATATTAGTAGATCCATAAAATAAAATCAATGAACTTTCAATCATTTCCATAGTCCATAACCCTTTGTTTTGCAATGAGAACCAAGTGCTTTGACTCTTAGTTCTATCAATAAACTTGTGGTTCCAGGCCCAACCTTTATTGGTGAATCCACCACAGTATCTGGACAAGGATAAAATACCATAGGCAAAGAATACTCCACCTTTAATGAAGTGTGCCAACAAGTTGAAAACAGCTTTCTCTTGACCATAAATACAGAATGTAGCAACTCCAGTTGGTACTAAAATCATGTAATAAAAGAAATGACCCCAATTCAACAAATTGAACCCAATACTAGAGATTTTATAGAAAATTGTACCAGAAACCCAAGTTCTAAACTTCATGATTCTGGATTGCAATTGAGGAAATCTACTCTTTTCAGAAATTCCACCCCCAACCAAAGTATCTCTTTCCTCTTCTTCTTCTTCATCCGAAGTGTTCGCCGAGGAAGCGTGTAATTCAAAATAGTCCGATCTATTTGGTTGACCTGGGTCGATATTCTTGATAAAGGCAAAAATGAGTTGTAAAATTGTGGTAACAAATAAAATAATAATCATAGTATTATAAGCATTACCAGGATATAATTCAGGAATTGAATTAATGAAAATGGAATAATTCAAAAGGGAAAACAAAATTGTACTTGAATGAACCAAAAGAGTAGACAAATAACTTTTACCCATATTTAAATTGTTGAATATCAAACTTATTGGATATATCACAAATACAGCCAATAAACCAGAAATAATATGTAAATATAAAGCTGGACGATGTTTTGATTCGACTGTGAAATAAGTAGTAGTGTTGTAATTTTCCCAATATAATCTTTCTTCTGGTAACAAATGAGTTTGTAAAATAGGTACACCATGAGCATGTTTCATCACATGGGGTATAGGTTCCAATGACTCGGTTGAATTGGTTGATTCTGAAGTGGTTGGTTCAAGATCTTGATGATCCATGTGTTCCATTTCTTCATTGTCATCCATGTTCATGTCTGCCATGGCAATTGCCGCGGAAAAGAATAGTAGTAAATTCAGTAACTTCATGATGCAATAATGAGGGTGTGGGGGAGGAGCAATAAAGACAGTTCTTTAATTAGTCAATGGATAATGATTGGAGATAATATTGAATAACTATCCAATTGAATAGGATGGTTGTAAAATGAAACTAAATTAAATTAAAACAAAAAAAAAAAAAACTTAGAAATCTCAAGGGGAGGAAAACGGGAGTTTAAGTTGATGAGGGAGAAAAAAAAAAGATGGTTAAGGATGAGAAGGGAAAATTAAAATAAAATAAAGTGTTGCCAAATGGTTGCCGAATCAGTGTGCGGGATTATACTGTAATCAAGTATGATTTATTCACGTGAGCTTGTTTCTCTCTTTCTTGGTGATAACTAGAAACCTTTAGACTACCACCATGTATTTGCAATGATATATGATATGTGATATGTGATACGATGTATGATAATAGTCGGCTGGTTGATAAGAGTGTTCTCGGATTTAACTAGACTACTTTTTTTTTTGATAAAGTTGAACTTTAAATGAATAAATGAACAATTGACTCTAAACTAAAGATTGATTATTTACAAAGAAAAGTAAATCAGAATCACGGACTTGAAAACTGGAGGTGATTTCAAACACTTTAAATAGTTTTCAATTTTAGAGATAAAATTCACTCACTCACACTTACACAATGAATGCAACTGTATGACCGGAAGTTGTAATAATGGGTACAATTCTTAAAATAACTTTCGAGTAATTGCTAACTTTTTTTTTTCTTAACTCTTTATTCATCACTTCTACAACCGGTTAGATCCATTCAAGCAGTTAAGCAGTGGCAGCACCCACTGTATGGAACCCATTATCAATTGTTCTTTCTACGAACAGCCTACTTTTTTTATTTAAAAAAAAAAAATAAAACAGCGTCTGTGATATACGGACTTTGACCACATCCATCTTATCCATAAACCCCCTTTATTTGATTTAACTACTCTTTAACAGCCCCCCTGTAGAACGTACTAAAAGATAAACAAAACAGAGAAAAAATAAAATAAAGTGACTTACTGTCTTATCATCTCATTGCTTTCTATTGGTAGGTCACTTTGATACTCAATTGATTATAGAAACAACTCTTCTCATCCCTTAAAACGTTCATAATCAGCCCATTCGAAGATTAATAACGTCGCACCGATGAATTTGCAGATTCAAATATGGAATCAAATGCAAAGGTATATTTGCGTTTACAATTTTCCATTTCTGGTTGTTTCACAAAATTGAATTGCACCACTTTATTTTGCTTTGTCTTTTTTTTTCAATCTGCACTAAATTAAGTGCAGCATCGGCAATTACGGTTATATAAATTTTTGAGTTTTTCTTTCAAGTTCTGCTAACTAACAAAAAAAAAAAATTGTATTCCATTTGGTTGGTCACTTCTTTACACTTTATATTTCAGACTCCACATATTGATTGTTTTTAAAATTAGTTTGACTATAATGAAAAACAATGAATGGGATCAATTTAATTTCTGGTAGTTTCAAATTATAAGCATTTGATTATACTTTTTTATGTTTTTTGTTTTTTGTACCATGAATGATTCAATTCGAAAAGAAAAAATAAAAAAAAGAAAAAGATTTCAAACCTGGTCTAGACAATTGTATGTCCCACTAGCAAGTACGAAACATTTCAATTCCAATCGATTATTGGTGTGACCTCCATTTGTTCCATACGACAGCTTCCAAATTTCAAATATCCTGGTTTAATCTTCCGAGAACAATCGTTTCTACGTGTGTGAGATTCGAGGTTGGAAACTTCTAAGTAAAGACGAAGAAGAAGAAGAAGAAGAAAAAAATAAAGTATGCATTACATGAATTCCGGATAATTGTCATCTCAAAATGGATTTATATCCGATCATTTGATTATACTGAACGGCGGACTTAAAAAATAATTAAATTCCGCCGACGTCATACAAAAATAATTTCTCCTCTATGATGTATTACTAATCGCAAACTACACCTATTTCATCATCTCTACATTTGATAATAATAATAATCATGATAATAATATCTAAATATAATACTAAAACACCGCCTACAACGCATTCTTTCTTGTTAAATAATCAAATCTAGAATAAGTGTAACCAATAAATGGCAAGTCTTCCTTTGGATTCTTTTTACCATTCTTTGCATCAAGGTCTCTTTGCTCCATAGCCTTGCTCATGGCTGGATTATCTGGTACATTTTCTAATTCATCAGTTGGGAAATGTCTTGTATCTGTGATCGAACTTAATCTTGGAACAAATGGTGCTTGAACTCCTCTAATACTATCCCAATCAACACCTCTGAAAATGGATGTTGTTTGATCTCTTCTGCGCCTCCATATCTACCTATTCTGTGTTCGGCAGATGTTAATAATCTCTTGATTAAATCTTCTGCTTCTGGTGATAAATGGATATCATCAGGAATTTGCAATGTTTCTTGCCAGTTCAAAATCTTTCTATAAGTTTCATGAGGGGTTTCAGAACAGAATGGCGGCCAACCAATCAAACATTCAAACATAATTGCACCCAAAGACCACCAATCACACTCTTGTCCATACCCTTGATGAATGAAAATTTCAGGTGCAATATAATCAGGTGTACCGACAGTGGAATAAGCCATCAATCTACGTGACTTTCTCCATGTTTGCATCTGTTGTCTATTGGACATGGTCAAATGAATAGCATCAACCATCATGGAGTTTCTATTACTAGTTAATTGATTAGGTTGTAAATGACTACTAGCAGGTTCCTTCTCCAATAACTTGTTATAATAGTTTGAATCATGAGTCTTGTGGAACCCAGTGGATAAACCAAAATCACTCAATTTAACATGCCCTTTACTATCAATCAAAATATTGTCCGGTTTAATATCTCTATGAATAAATCCCAATTTATGAATAGCTTCAATTGCCAAAACACATTCTGCCATATAAAATCTAGTTATATCTTCTGTGAAAACTTGCCATCTGATCAACATGGTCATCAAATCACCTCCTGGTAAGAACTCCATAATTAAATATAAATATTGAGAATCTTGGAAAGAATAATACAAAGCAACAACCCATGGTGAATCACTTCCTGCCAAAACATCTCTTTCCGCTTTAACATGTGCTAATTGATCTTTGTTAAACATCTCGCTCTTCAACAATGTCTTCATGGCATAAATCTTACCTGTATCTTTCTTTTGCACAAGTCTAACTTCACCAAAGGCACCTTTACCAATCACCTTAACGGTAATGAAATCTTCCAATACCAATTTGGTTCTCTTCAATCTTAAAAACTGGGATTCTTTCTTACCCAAGTTTTGTAATTGACGATTCTTTCTTTCTTCACTCGAGCCAGCTTCTTCTGTCATGATCTTGTGTTCTAAATCTAATCTTCTTTGATTTCTTTCAATTGCATGATTAACTGACAGGGTATAATAATTTTCCAAAGTTAATTTAATCGAAGCTGCCTTATCTTGGGAAGATTTGGATAACAGATCTGGTTTTCTTGCAAAATAGACATACTTGGAAGTACCAGTAGAAGTTATAGTAGAATCCCCAGCTTGTCGTTGTGCTTGAGGTTGAATTGGTTTTGGAATTTGTTGTGGTTGTAGTTGCTGTGGAGGTGGATGCTGTTGCATTTGAGGTGGTTGACTTTCAGTGGCAATAGTACCTGGTAAATTTTGCACCGAATGGTTCGATAATAAAGAATTTTGACCATTACTGCTAATTTCAGATAAATTAGTGCTACTTCCATTTCCTAGTTGAGTGAAATTGTTATTAGGAGGTTGGAAATTCATGGAATCTATAGATGTAAATTGATCTCCTCCATTATTATGGCCCTGGGCTCCAAATTTATCCAGTTGAGCAAATCTTGGTGATGCAGCTGTTTGAAAATTAGATGTCATGAATGAAGTCATCTGTGGTTGTTGTCTGATAGGTGAGTTCAGTTCTAATTGGATAGGTGGTTGTTCAACAAACTGAGTAGTATCTTCATCCATATAACTATCATCATATTGTTGTTGTGAATGTACTTGTTGTTGTTGTTGCTGATACATGGCTTGTTGCTGTAGATCTTGCTGCTGTTGTTGTTGTAGTTGTTGTTGTAGGTTTTGCTGCTGTTGCAAGTGTTGATAATAAAGCTGTTGCTTTTGTTCATCTGTAAGTTGATCAAAATTCATTTTTGAAATCAAATCACAACAATGTCTATTTTGAACTGCAAGGAGTGTAATGGAACGCTAAACTGTCTTAACTTAGGAATAAAAGGATAAAAAAATATTTAATCAAAATAGTGAACCAATGAAATGAAAGGAATGAAACAAATATATATATATATATATAAATAAATAAACCCAGTTGTCTGATGATAAAAAAAAGCTAACTTCTATGAATGTGGTGTTTCAAAATAAGCGAAATTTTTTTTTGTTGTTGATTCGTTGGGAATTCTTTTTTTTTCGTTTCCTCTTTGCGTGTCCCCTTTTTTTTAATCCTTTCTCACTAACAATTTTTACTGTCTTTCGCTTCTTCTTCTTCTTCTTCTTAACCCTTGTGTTTACAATAATGGTGGCTAAAAAGCTCGCGTGTATTGTTTTTTTTTTTCTCTTTCATTCTTGACACTTGTTGTCTTAATCCTGCCGTATAATTTGTTGTCCAATCTACTACAAGGGGTACACACATACACATACCTGTCGTTTATTCAATTCTACTTCATCAACATGTACATAGGATTAAGCAATAAAGTAACCATTCATCATTCTGTTAATGTAAACTAACTTCAAAATTGCAATGCTTGTCCCTTCTGTTTCTTTTCTCCTCCCAATTCAAAATGCTTACATCTTTTAAGTGCCATCTGTGTCTTTGTTTTACAAACAATACATTCTAATTTCAAGACAACTTTCTTAGTTGTTTTTGCCTTTTTATGGAAAACTTGTTTGGTTTGACCCCCATATCCACTCTGTTTTCTATCATATCTTCGTTTACCTTGAGCATATAATGAAGCCTTTCCTGATTTGTACTGAGTCACTTTATGCTGAGTATGTTTACGACAATCTTTACCTTTACAATAAGTTCTTCTTGTCTTTGGAATATTAACTACAATGATGTTAGTTGTGTTCTACACATATCAAACTTCACTGATCTATACATACCCATTTTTTGTTTGTTTGTTTGTTTTTTGCAACAGGAGTTCTCTCAAATACAAAACTAAACCTCGAGTAAACTTTTCAGAAAGGAAGGGAATTTCTCTACCAATTTATATTAAATTTAACAAACCGTACCAAAAGGATAAAACGATCTTCACATCCCTGAATTAAATTCAAACGTATAAAGTGTATCTGTATAACAATGTATAAAGTCTATTTGTCATACGATGAATAACTATTCTCCCCACTTGCACTTTTTTTTGCCTTGTTCTGCAATATGTATACATATAGATTTTAGGAAACTTTGCAATTTGCTACAATTCGGCTAAGATACAATCGCGTGTATTTTAGGCAATTGACTACATTGATAAACTATTAAAACTGTAAGGCTTGTCCCTTTTGTTTCTTGTCCCCACCCAATTCAAAGTGTTTACATCTTTTAAGTGCCAATTGGGATTTAGTTTTACAAACAACACATTCCAACTTCAATACAACCTTCTTGGTGGTTTTAGCCTTCTTGTGAAACACTTGTTTAGTTTGTCCACCATAACCACTTTGTTTCCTATCATATCTTCTCTTACCTTGGGCAACTAATGATGCTTTACCAGCTTTATACTGAGTTACCTTATGTTGTGTATGTCTACGGCATTGTTTGTTCTTGCAGAAAGTCTTTCTAGTCTTTGGAATGTTAACTATGTTGTGTTAGTATATGCTTTCTTGTTTTCAGGTTTGATTCGTTTCACATACCCATGGTGATTCTTCGTCGTCGTTGTTGTTGTTGTTTAATTATTTGAAGAAAATTATGATTTGCAAGGGGTATTTCTAACAACTATTTATAGTAAACTAATAGACAATAACCAACAACTCTAGTCACTGAATCCCTCTCCCCACACACTCTTTATTGTTTGTTTTTGCATTGTAGCAAATTAGTCATTTTGCTAACTCCGTGTTTACCATTTTTCGAATAAATTTGCAACCCGTATTTCACGTCGCCACGACCTTGAGTGTCACGTGCAAAACAATCATGAACTCTTTCACTGGTTCACTACAATTTCCACTAGAGATTCGAAACTTTCCATTTATACAAACTGATGATATATTCATTATTAAAATACAAAAGCTTGATACAGACGCATCAAAAAAAACCTACTTTTTTTTCTTTCTTTATTCACATATATTCTTGAAAGAAATTTATCTTTCAAAGAATAAGTGAAAATAAAAGAACATTCCAAAGTGAAATATAAATGTGTAATGTGTAAATATATATAATGTGATGTTTATTTATTAATTCATTAACAATAATAACACTATTAGAATTGTAAAGCTTGACCTTTTTGTTTTTTATCACCACCCAATTCGAAATGTTTACATCTCTTCAAGGATAATTGAGCCTTGGTTTTACAGACAACACATTCCAATCTCAAAACAACTTTCTTGGTAGTCTTAGCCTTTTTGTGGAAAACTGGTTTAGTTTGACCACCAAAACCGGATTGTTTTCTGTCATATCTTCTCTTACCTTGAGCGAATAAAGATGATTTACCAGCTTTGTATTGGGTAACTTTGTGTTGAGTGTGTTTACGACATTCTTTACCTTTACAGTAGGTCTTTCTAGTTTTTGGAACGTTAACTATAATAATAAAAATAATTTGTTAGTAAATTAATGTTTCTTCAAATAAATCATGTTGTTCAATCTCCTTCCCCCATCTACTCCATAAAACACGTATGTGTTTCCTTGTTGGATTGCCCTTTGATTTGAGTTTAGTCGACTTTCCTTAAATCATATATCCTTATAATATTATATTCAATGTTTGCATGACCCAACATTTTATTACTTCTTCCTTATGAATAATTTTTTTTTTTTCAAAACACTTGATTAATAAATCTTCTTTCCATTTTCACTTCAAGTAATCCAGTTAATAACACACATGGAATGGATTATATCTAACGTATGGTTGTATAATGGGGGAGAAATCAGTAAATGGTATCTATGAACATACCCATCTTTGTCTATGCTGTCAAATGTAACTAGTATTCAATCTGAAAGGATTTTTTTCAAAAAAAAATCTCTTTTCTCAGAGTACACTGTAGATGGGGATTTTTTCGTTACTATCGGCGTGAACCAGTGGAGGCGTGCGAATTGGCCAAATTTTCACCTATTTTTTTTATTTTTTCCTCTAACTCTCATTCTCACTATACAAATTTTCATTTTTGTTAGTGTAGTTCTCGGTGTAATACACACTAACAAAAAAATTATTTACTAGTGCGAGTATATACAGGATATTAGGGTTGTAGCCCTAGATCTTAGATTTGTTAAACAAAAAAAGAAAATAATGAGGAAGAAGAAAAAAGAAAAATTCATTAACAATCTGGCTGCAATTTCCGTTTTTGTAGATATAAGCCAGCTGTTTTTACAATTCACACAAATAACGAGTATTAATTAAAATAAAAAGAATATTAATATACATTAGAAAAGAATGATTTCATTACTATACAATTACGGAATACGAATAGGTTTCGTTTGTGTTTTTGGTTTTTTTGAGTATTTTTAAAGTGAAATTGACATTATAAGTATTATATGATCTGTTAATCAATCAAGAGTAACAGTGGTTGTAATTGTAGAAGTAATTGTTGTGGTTTCTTGTGATTCATTTGCGTAGTAGTAGTCATAATCAACATAACAAACACCATCAGAAGTGACTGTAGTAACATTTTCAATGACTACTGAACCAGAAGTTCCTTCGGAAATACCACCAGTAATGGTTGGACCGTTAGATGTTTCTGTTTCATTATCTTCAGTAGTAGATGTAACTAAAATGGAAGAAGTAGAAGATGATGTAGTTGAAGAAGTGGTGGTAGAAGTAGATGAAGAAGAAGTGGATGATTTAGTGGTGGAGGTAGTTGAGGAGGAAGAAGTTGTAGAAGAAGGAACAACTTCAGTAGTTGATGGAGTAGCAGGTTGTTCTGTTGAACTCGATGTAGAAGTAGTAGATGATGAAGATGATGATGTGGAAGAACTAGTTTGTTCTTGTTCTACTTCCTCCGCTTCATTTGTAGTGTTTTGTTGAGAAAGACTGGTTTCTTGTTCATTTTGTTGTGATGTAGTTGAAGTAGTTTGTGGAGTTGTTTCTGAAGTGGTGAAAGCTTCTGCAGCAACAGTAGTGGATTCAACGATTTCTGAATCAGCGACTTGAGTAGTTTCAGCAGAAGCAGTAGTTGTTTCTGTTCCTTGTTCAGACGTATCAGCAGTAGTTTCTGAAGTAGCTGACAATGGAGTCTTTACTTCATTTTCACTATTTGGAATAACATCAGCGGCAGAAACAGGAGTAGTAGCAACAGTAGTATAAGTATGAGGAACACCAAAAACAGTTGAAGTAACAGTAGCAGTGTATCTTGTGACTGTCTTAGTATTGGTATTAACAACAGTATTAGTATAAGTTGCAGTTGGAGAGTCAACAGTGTAATAATTTGTTTGAGTTTGTTGAATGGTCTTCTTCAACCTGATGGTGACCACATTACCTTTAGCATCACGTTTAATATGTGCTGGACTAGCAATGGATTGACAAAATAAAGAAAGTAAAACGAATGGAGAATATAAAGATGAAATTTTCATTTTTTTTTTTATTTTTGGTAAAAGAATGACTGTAGTTAAGTTAATTGTAATTAAAGAATGACAAGTAGTTGGTTGTTAAAAAGAAAAGGAATGAATGGAAAAACTAAGGAACTTTAATCAAGTGAACAAGACCTAAAGTGGGTATCAAAATAAGTTGGATATTGTAATTGATAAAGAGAAAATGAATTTTTTTAAAAAAAAGCAAGAAGTAATTACTTTCAAGACTATAAATAGTTTTTTATTTGGGAGAAATAATCCTCAACCCATCAATTACACATCCGAACGCATCGCATATATTGTCAATGAGCATTATCCCATGGTTCCTAATCTAATGTAATGCACATTGCTGGTTGAAACTACCCAATTGATAAGTTTGTATGCGTTCGTTCAGGTAAATGAAGGTACCACTGAACGCGTGTGGTGTTTATTTGTTGTTGTTTTTTTCTTTGGTGCCTCGTATTTATATCACAAAATTAATTTTTTGCTGGCTGCGAAAGACAAATTAAGTAACAAGAATGTTAAATATTCAATAAAGAAGAAAAAAAACAAATTAACTGAAATTATTCGTCGATGAGTTATTATACTTGACCTTACATATTGATATACTCATCATCAATTTTGGTGATGACGCAAAGGAGATGAAATTTTCATGTTGAATAATGCTCATTGGATATTTTGACGAAAGTCGTTAATCGCCTACACTTAGGCTCACTTTGAACTCGGCTAATGGGCACTGTTCTGTATGTGCAACATTAATGGGATTGGCGATTGTAAAGTAGCAAGTAACCAGCTAGATTCAATCCATAATAATATGTACTAGCAATACAGATAGTTTGCATTATTTTTTCTTAGCAATTTTAATTACTAGTATAATTTGTTAATTATAACAATTTTATATTAGTTGGAAGAAGAGCTACTAAAAAAAAAAATTACTTGAGAGTGAGTAAATTCGTGTGCAGGACTCAATTTACTTGTGTTTTTTTTTTGTGTGTTTCTGCTGTATTGAGCGGCTAATAATTACCTTATGTTTTTAAGGTTTCTCCTTTTTGAAATATGGAACAGCTAGTGAAGTGACTACGCCTTGTTAGAATATGTAAATGAACATTATATATTCTTCTGGAATTAGAAGAAATGGAATTACATTAATAAGAATATAATCACACGCTTTGGTACAGGAAAGACAATCGTCAAACCAAACAACAAAATAAAAAATTTTTCTTTTTTTTCTGTGAATAATTATACCAAAAAATTAATAAAATACATTTCCTGGTTATGTATTATTATAAAATACCGATCACACACAAATGACCGATTTATCGAGAGAATGTATCTAGCCGTTATATGTTTTGGAAATAGAAGGAAAAAGAAAGTTCATGATGTATATGAGAGAAAGATAAGATGGTAAATAAATACGACTTTAAGCATATCCTATACCAAGATTATGTAAGCAACTCAAATATTAAAGAGTGAAAATAAAAATAAAAAAAAAGGGCATAACGTCATAGGACAATGTGTTGCAAATATTTAACCCCTTATGCATAATCCCGAAACCCACTAAAAAAAAAGAATAAAAATTTTTAAATAGTGAGATTTTTATTTTTTCCCCTTCCGGTCGGAAATTGACTTTCGGAATTCTCATCATCATCATCACCATCAGCAATAGACAAAAACAAAAAAAACACATTTGTCCCATTTGCACGACTTTGTATCAAAATTGAGTAAAATTTTATTAATATTTGATATTTCGGAAATATCTGATTTCATAATGTGCTTTCTTTTTTTTTTTTTTATAATCTCAACTCAGGATATACCGAACGGAGCGTTTACAGGAAGTTCATAGAAACAAAAAAAATAAAATGAATCCCGTGTTGATAATTGGTTATTTTGTATTCTATAGTCATAATTATCATGAATTCCGTAATCACTCTTTTTCGACTGTAGGAAATGCGGTTCTGTTTGATCATTTTTCATGAACAAATCGTATATGATAAACGGAGAAAGGGTTCTACAAATGATCAATATATAAAGACCATGATATCGCCTGTCAAGAGGATGAATGACAATTATGAATAAATTATAACCAACATCAATTACAACAACAACAACAACTATTCAGTTATTTTTTGTACCTCAACTGCCATACAAGAAATAACTCCTTCCCCCCTTGATAACAAAAAGCCAAACAAATTTCACACCAATAGTATTGTTTTTTTTTGTATTTGGAAATACGGTTTTACCGGAATAGATAGACATAGACATCGACACAGAAGAGAAAAATTTACCTTCCCCCAATTTTAACTTCACAGCTTTAATAAATTTTAAATTTTTTTTGTCACATTAGACACACCCTCACTCACTCACTCACTCACACACCTACAACGGCACCAGATATTTGGTAGACACACAAACCAAACTAAGCTTATACTGTACAACAACTACCAAACAAAAAAAAAAAAATAAATTCCTGATTTCCCAAATGATGAGCTTTGCTTATAACTCACCAGTTCCTATTGTTACTCCATTCCCATTCATGTACAGTTACAGAGACCGTACCTCCACCAGTGCAATCCTGCCTTCTATGGCTTCATCTTCAAGTGCCACTACCAGTCCTCCGCAACAGCCTTTGCAACAAGTTCAATTAAAACAACCCCCACAAACACAACAGCTATTATCTGCCGTTGAACAACATACTCAGGATAGAAACCAACAATTACAACAGCAACAACAGCAACAACAAACTCAATTGGATGCTGCGGTGAGATTACATCAACTTAGAAATTCACAACCAACTCCTCCGAAGTTACCTTCTGTTGAACCTTCCCCTTCACAATCACAATCACAATCACAATCACAATCTCTTTCACAACTAGATAAACTTGCTCCACAATTACCACCTTTAACTCCACAATTGGCCACTCCCACATTACATCAATCTGTTTCTAAACCACAACCTTTACATCAACAGCATTCACCATCTTCTCCTTTGGCACAACCATTTATCCAATCACCACCGGCTCATGAGGAATCTTCTCCAATAACTTCTGCTGGCAAACCAAAACGTAAGAATAGACCTGGTAAGAAATTTGGGGCAAAGAAAAGATCTTGGGTATGGACATGGTTTGATCAAGATTCTTCTGATCCAAATGTTGCTGGATGTAATTATTGTGGTAAGATTATAATTCGTTTAGCTTCTGATAAAGGTTCACCAAAAAAATTAAATGAACATTTGAAAACTCATAAAATTGATATTAATTCTATAAATTATTCAAGAAATCCTCATATTGATGGTCATGGCATTACATATTCAAATTCTGGTCAACCTTTAGATTATCCTCCTAATTTTAGAACATTTAGAGTTCATGATAATTCAAATCATGATGATACTACTTCTGAAACAAGTGGAGATGAAAATCATAATGTCAAAAATACAGCCTCCACCACCACTACCATCACCAATATCAATAGAAGTACATCAAGAGTTGATTTAGATAATAATAGAAGACTTCTTTCTTCTGAATTTGATAATTCTCCTTATTCACCAAAGAAGTTTAGAGCACATTTATTGAAATTTTTAACTGAGAATAAATTACCTATAAGTGTTATCAAATCCAATTCTTTTCAACAATTAATTTATGATTTACGATCGGATTCAATTTCCGATTTAACTGAATTAACAACAATGTATCCTACTTTGATTGAAGTAAGTAGATTTTCAAAAGAAAAATCAAATGATGATAATATGACTAATGCCTTAACTGAACAATTTGTGAATCATGTTGAACCAACCCTACTGCAAAATAATAACAATAATATTCAAGATTCTACTACTATTAATGACACTTCTAATGACAATTCTTCAAACACTACTGTTGGTAATAATGATGCTCTTGATTTAAAATTAGACGCTAATGTTAGGTCTCCTGGACAATAAACTATAGACTAAAGTTTGCATTTTTATTATATTTTCTTTTATTATTCATTTCGTATACATATTTGTTACTTTGTATTCATTTAAGTAAAATTTTTAATACATACACACATATATATATAAAAATCATAATGTTAAATAATATTTATCATATTCTACAAGGATAACTCTTGAATATTGTCTTTACCATTATTTATCAAATTATCAATACTTTGTGTCAGTGCATCTAGCTCAAAATTTCCCATCAATGGTGTATCTCCTCTTCCGATAATTAATCTAGGAGTTTGAGAGGGTGTTGATCTTGCGGATTGTGCGGGACTTACTGTAGTTGACAATGGATCATTGTAAGTAGGAGGACTCAAATTACTAACATCTTCATAAGTAGGAGGGACTTCATCATCCCATGCAATTCCTAAACCTGATCTTTCAGTGATTGGTAATTTGAATTGCATTCTTAATACTCTAGCTGCACCAGTGGGTACTCCCATTTGAAGGGGTTCATTTGATGTAGAAGTTGATTTACCTTCAGTATCACTGGTACCATTACTGTGACCTGCACTTTTAGATGGTGATAAACTAATCACGGAATTTGATCTTTTTCTTTCAACATTATGAACCAATTCTTCTGCAACAACTACTTCAACAATCATGGTATGATTTACAAAAACACCCAATGTTGGATCATCAATATCACAAGAGAAATTAGCACCCAATTTAGTATCCATTTGAATAGGTTTATCATCTGTGCTTAGATTAAGTATATGATTTGTCATTCCTGTTGAACATCCAACTGTGCTTATATTTGCAACAAGTTCGATTTTACCAGAACCACTGAAATCTGATTTCCATCCCGATTTTATTTCCCCATAGCTGACAGTTCTGGTTTCTTCTAAATATAAATGTTTATCCATATCAACTGGATGCGGAGTATAAATGGTAGGCTGAATAGATAATGCTGGATGATGAGTAGTGGTAGCTGTTGCTGCTGTTGATGGTGTTAAAAAATCCTCAATGAAATTGTCTTGGGCATGAGAAGGTCCACTTCTAATAGCTTCTTCCATATCATGATCGCCTGCGTCATCTATGTCTTCGTTATCTGGAATACCATCTTGTAATGGCTGTGGAGTAGGTGAGGATTGTTGATTTGAAGGACTTGGAATTAAAGATACATTTGTTGTCACAGTACTATGATGCATTGCTGACGAGTTTTTTGAGTTTGGTTTAGTATTGGAATTAGACTTTTTATATGCCTTTTCCGCCGCTTGTAACTTTGCATTATGCTTTTCACAGGTATGGGCTTTGACTTTTATATTTTCTTCAATTCTCCAAGTTAATTTCCTCATTCTCCAACGTCTCTGGCGCGATGAACTGACAACATTATCAATTTTCAACTCAATAGGAAAAGTAGCCTTTGGATAGATGACATTAGGCAAGACGGCTTTAGCAGTTACTTCAGTTGGAGGGAAAATTCTTACAGAATTTCTATCTGGACCCCTGATTACCAGTCGGGCTATATTCACAGGAAGCACAAGTTCTTTTATTTCACCATCAACCGTTTTTCCGACTGCTTTAAGTTCATATTTAATGAAGGAAAGTGAGTGACTAGATCCTAATCTGGAAGATGGAGGTAATGATCCTGGTAATAAATGCGAGAATGGATATGCATGCTCTCCTGGTGGGAACATAGCCTTTGCAGTTAAAACATCCCATCTTGCTAATTCATTTGTTCTAACTGTACAGTTGTTACAATTTGAAATAGAGTTTGAGTTCGGCAATATAAATGGTTTAGTATATTTCATTGTTTGAACCAATGACAAAGTCACATTCTCTAAATCAACCGTTTCAAAATTTTCCAACTTTAATATTCCCGATATTATAGATCCTGTTGATTCTTGTGGATTTCCATATAAAATTATTGGAGGAGATTCAATTTTAATAGACAATGTGTAATTTGATTTCTTGGTATTCTGACTAGATGAAACCTGTCTCGTATTTAAGTTTTTCATTGATGAGGTTGAAGTGGCAGGAGTTAAACTTTCGTTAGATGAAGATGAGCTGCTGATTGAAGAAGACTGTTCTGCGATTGCTGCTCGTTTCAAAGCAGCTTTTTCTGAAGAAAGATGTAACACTCTTGCAAGTAATGACATGATGTAAAACGCTGTTGGTATGGCTTGATGAGTATTGTGGAGATCTCCGAAACAATGAATTGCTTTCTCTCTCTCTCTTTAAGTTTTGTTTTATATAATACTGTTTGATTTAACTAATGTCAAGTTAGACTGATGATCTGCTCGTGAAAAAAATTTGGTGATACAAATGAATCTTATAACTATCAAATCAAAACACAGGAAAGAAAGAAAGAACAAGTGGTTGCAGTTTTGATTATTTCAAGTTGTCAATATGGGATTCAATATTAAAGAAAAGGAAAAAAAAAAAGTAGTGCAAAGTCGTCATTCGGTAAAAAAAAAATTTCTTTTTTTCTTTTCTATTTTCAATTTATAGCCCGGCTCCCCCCTATATGATTCATCTGGACGGAGGACGGTATTAAATTTCTGCTAGCTCGTACCAACCACGCGCCAAAGTTAAAACAAAAAAAAAAAGAATAATTCCGCACCGGCGTGCCGCTACAAGTCGTACCACAGTTTCCTACCATTAGAACCACAACGCAAGGCGCAAACATTTTTAAAAAAATAAATCACACGTGATGGATTTAGCAATAACTAAACTATGGCTTTAATCAATAGGTACACTCCAAGTGAAGAAGCCACGGCTGTCCCAATTAGGAATGTTGATGCGCTCTACGATTCACTTACAGTTATAACTCCGTGACTCATGAATCAGCATAGGATGCAAAAGTGGGTTGATTTATTATTCTTTTTCTATTACCACATACATCTCGCTCGATAAATCGGGAACTACAGATTCAAGATCTAATTGGGTAATCAAAACCGCATTATGTGTAGATATTGCCCCACTAAGGGGTTCTAAGCTCTAAGTATCATTTCCATCTTGACATATTCTTAAAGGTGTTTGATGAGCTCTTTTGGTTGTACTAAATAGGCAGGTCAATCCTGAGAGAATCCTGAGAGAGAAAAATGTTTTGACCAAAGTGCACGCATGAAATTTATCCTGAAAACAAAAAAAAAAATAATTAAAATCAAAACTAAATCCACGTACAGTATCTGTGTACTTCTGGATTAGACGTTCTCAATCTCCGACAACGATGAAGCAATTACAATCATTGGTTATAGATAACGGGTCGTATAATATAAAAGCGGGATTTAATAAAGGAGATGACTCTACACCTGTCAAGATAACAAATGCTATAACTAAAACTAAAGATGGATCTATACACATTGGGAATCAGTATCAATCACACACAAACAATTATTCAGGAATACAGATCAGAAGACCATTTGAACAAGGGAATTTAACATCTTGGGAAACTGAAAAGCCTATATGGGATTATACTTTTGATAATTTATCAACTAAGAAATCCATTGATCCTAATGATATCCATTTGATTTTAACCGAACAACCATTCCAACTACCTCAATTATCAACAAATACTGATCAGATCATATTTGAAGAATATGGGTTTAATAATTATTATAGATGTATTCCTGAAAGTTTAATACCATTTAGTGTTGATATCAATAAAGTGAATAATGATTTTTGTTTAATTGTTGATAGTGGGTTTAATTCTACTTGGATAATTCCTATGATTTATCAACAGATACATTGGCCAGGAGTTAAAAAACTACCGATTGGTGGAAGTTTATTGAATGGATTATTACGAGAAATTATTCTGTTTAGACATTATGACATATCAGAAGATCCAATATTGATAAATACTATCAAAGAATCAACATGTTTTATGGCTAATGATTTTAATAAAGATTTGAAGAATAAACAAAATTTAATGTGTGAATTTGTATTACCTGATTTTAAAACAACCACAACTGGGTTTGTCAGAGATAAGAATAGCCCGAGTCTTCCAGTAGACACTCAAGTATTGAAATTATATGATGAGAGATTTACTATCCCAGAATGTTATTATCGACCAGAGATAATCTTTGACAACAATGGAGTAAGTGCATCGAGTTCTTTAGTTAACAATGCTCCATTTAAGAATTTACCAGATTTAATAGTTGACAGTATAATGGCAAGTCCAGAAATAACACGTCCTTTACTTCTGGCAAATATTTGTCTCGCAGGAGGATCAACAAACATACCTAATTTCAGCACCAGACTAAATGATGAACTAAGAAAAGAGTTACCTTCAAATTGGAAAGTTAGAGTTTTTGATAACCAATTAGATATCCCACAAGATGAACTAGCATGGTATGGAGGAATTAGTTTATCTGAAGAACCTGACTTACTATCAAATATAAGCATCTCCAAAAAGGATTATTTCGAACATGGAGCCAACTGGTGTCAAAAACAATTTGGATTCAAAAATGTATAAAAACAAACAGGGACTAGTCTTTTATTATTGTCATTATTATTGTTCTATAAGATGATTATATGTCAAATACCTACTTAAAAATAACCAACCATATCTGAACCAGACCATTTGACTGAAATGTCCATATGCCATGGCACCATAACTGATACTCAACATATTCAAATCGGAGTAAAATTTAATATCATTGCTTCCTTTGCTGAGTATTTTGTTTCCAAAGAAACTGACATTTATGTTAATATTCATGTAGTTTTTAATTGCCAATGTTAAATAATCAATGAACAATTCAATATTGCTCAAAATTGTAAAACTATACTTTTCAACAAAATTCAAACTCTTCAATACATAAAGTTTAGTATTTGTATCATTAGCTTTCCTTAATTCACTAACATATTCCTTAGTTCCATGGTATAATGAAATATGATTAGGATGATTTGAAACCCCTTGATCATCAAAAGTAATCAATACAGATTGCTTATCCTCATGTTTAATTACATTATCTTCCAAAGATTTAACAATATCGTCAACTTTCCAAGTTTCATTCATTCCATCTTTATAATCCAAAATTTTAACATTATCCACACCCAATATTCTTGCAGAATTCATTAATTCACGTCTTCGTATTAGACCCATACTTTCGATGAAATTACCATTAGAAAAGCAAATTAAATTAACTTCATTATTATACTTTTCTTTATTCAATTCAATTAAAGAAGGACTGAAAAACATAACTTCATCATCTGGATGAGCTATAACCAAAGTAATAGTTGAGTTGACAATTGGGAATTTCTTTGGAATAGTTAATGAAGTATAAGGATATATTGGACCATGGAAAACTTGTTGCTTAATTTCTAAGTTGGTATATTTAGTTAATGTCTGGGGAATGATTGTCGTTTGAAAAACCCATATTATAAAAGAAACCAAGTATATCTTGAAGATAATCGACGGTAGTTTGAATATCATATCGTATAAGAATGAATAGGTTGACTGCTGACTGTTGATTGTTGAATGTTGGTTGTAAAAGAAAAGAAAACGGGAAAAAAAAGCAAAAAATCTGGCAGCTGATTAGAAATGCAGTTGTGGATTAGTTGTCAAAAATAAAAGTGCGATATTTGGCGTTGAAACCAAACAAAAATAGAAAAAAGAAATTCAAACTTTTTTGTCCATTGGTGCTGCGACTCCAAAAAAAATATTTTTGGCCAATTTTGGGTTTTTTCCTTCCCCCCAACGTGGTGTAGTTCCCCTCAACAAATTTACCACACTCAAACTGATTTTGCAACCCGCCCCCAAAAAAATATTGTCAAATAGTCATGCAACCAACAGATTTTAACAAAAAGGATTTTTCACTACCAGGAAATGCACGTGACAGTCTAGATAGTATAGTCTCCATCATGAACATGTTGCCAAATTGAATTTAGATGCTTATTAGTAGACCAGCAATACCATTTGTTAAATACCCAATGAAGAGAAAACGTTCAACATGAAATAAGGAGAATGTACGATATTCTGAGTTTGATAAATTATTCATCAACCTTGCCGAACAACCACCGGAAATAATCCTGCTTATCTTGTCTTATGTACAATCATGTTATCTAGGGATATTTTTGGATTATGAGAAATTAATCCCATTCATCTTACTATACATTGGAGTTACATGGACGTTTCATGTTAGTCTATTGCAAGCCACCACCCCCCAATTACGAAAGTTAGTATTACTATATTCGTTATTTAGCAAAGGATAACTTTTTGAACTACCAAGCAGTCTTTATTATTTTATTTTGAACAAATCCAACCTCAAGAGTCTCGACAACTACTAGTTTCCTACTGGTTTAAGTCAACTTGCGATTTTTGACAGCAGGAAAGTAAAGTCAACGAAGAATACAAATATGAAAGACCTTACTGAGATGAAGTTTATAAGTATTTCTAATGATGCATATGGTGATAAGCCCAAGAATCCAACTAATGAAAGCATCTGATACGAGATCAATGGTTTTACAATGAATAGACCAAGATATGATGATGATGATTCCGAACCTAACTTTCTGTCGCAATTTGCTTCTGACTCCGAAGATTTGACAGATGGTAGTTTTGGGGTGCAGACTATAGAATCACTCAGGGGGATATATTTGTCCGACTCAGCTGATAGGGATTTAGATAGATATGAGTCTGATGAAGAATCTTTAGCTGAAGAGCAATCAGAATTGCATTGTTTCACAAAATTGATAAACCGTGAATAGTGAAAATAACACGAATGTATAAATAGTTGATATACAAGTATGTTGTCTGCAGCAAATCACATCCTACATCTTAATGATTGTATAAGTACAACTTCTTTCTATTACTATTAAACTGGAATGCAGAAAAATAAAACAACCTATATAATAAAACAGTCCAACGGGTCTATTCCAATCCTACCCAGACGTCACCATAGTAAGTAAATAATTCTTGTGCTTTATCGTCAAAATTGATGACTTTCCCTTCTAGACGATTATATTTACCATCTTTTGTTCTGCCTCCAATTTTATCATAAGCACACCACATATAACTATTACAATATCGTTTATCCATGAACCAACCTTTTGACGGTTCATCGTCGACATTAACCGCCTGAATATCTAAATCCATTGGAGGAATAATGGCACTTTCGATACGTAAAGGAGATTGATAAAAAGTTTTGAAATCCTCTAAATTCAGAATATGTTTTAATCTTGATTTATGACTAAATTCATTTTCAAAATCAACAACATCATTTTGACCACAATATAAAAATCCCGAATTGAACCAAACTAAAGCATCATCATCACTACTTACATGACCTGGATGTGGAGAACAAATTTCATTAGATTCATGACCTGTTCCATCAGGTTTAGCACGTTCTAATTGAGGTGTAATTGTGCCAACTGCTGCTGCTCTATATCCATTGAAAATATAATTCTCATCTCCACTGATTGCAAATGCTAACCAAAATATTTCTTTGTCTCCATGAATTCTTCCATTTACAGGAGCATAGAAATTTAATTGAAGCATCATTAGAATTGCATTATAATGGATATTTCTATTAAGAACAACTACCCAGATTCCATTTCATGGAAAAGTCCTTTAAAAAATGGCATATCTAATGTATGTGAACTCATGATTGGAATATTGAACAAGACAGAATCAAGCACTGAAGGACCTAATTTTTCAAAAAATTTACCATCGGAAGCAGGTCTAGTTTCATAAGTTGTTCTATCTTTATAAAAAAATGTACCTGTGTTCTTGTATCCAGGTAATTGGAAGAAATATTCTGGGTTTTGCATTAAAACAGTATCTGCGTCAACCAATATGAATTCATTAAATGAATTAAATATAGTTGCTAAAAACTTGTTGGAAAATTTATGGAACTTCTTCTTGAAATTGGCATGAATGGCATTGTATGTATTGACAAACCATACTTCTTGTTGTGGTAAACCGTTGGTTAAGTAATCCTCTGGGAAAAGTCTTGAAACCAATTCAAAAGATTTTGGAACAGTAACCATTACTTCTCTTGCAGCGGTAACAATTTTGTCTTTTGTTTCTTTGGCTAAATTATCATAATAAACAATTTGAATAGGTAATTTGTTATTTAATGCTCGTAATAAATGAATTAATTTCACAGTATCTTCAACATGACCATCACATATGGATAACACAATACCTTTACCATTTGATTTGTGGTATAATTTGTTCAAAAAAAATGATGATACTGTATCCTTTGGTGGTCCTGATTTTTGACTTCCATCTTTAATATATTTATCCATTTCTGGTGGAGTACTTTGTACATGACCAGTCCATCTTTCATATACTGGATATTCAAATGATAACCATGGATAAACTCTATGTTCCAAAACAGATGCATCCAATTCATGAAAATTAACCAACCCTTCTTGTTTACTGGTGATAAATTTAGGTGTGGATGGTTTTTTCAGAGCTCTTCTTAAACCATCAACCAATCTGAACTGATCATATACGAACCCATTAGTTTGTTTAATTTGAGTTTTGTTATCACTTGTGATAAAACATTTGTTAAAAATTCTTAACGTAGTAACTGAATCAACAATTGTTTGTTCATAATTCATGGTTCTTTGCCAAAATTCTTCATATTTCAATTTAACAAAATCTTGAAACTCATTTAATCCTTCAACTTCTTCATATTTCTTCTTGTGTTCTTTGGCAAACTGTTTCTTAAATTCATCCAAATGCCATTTCTTATAATCATTAAATTTGAATTCGTTCTTATTTTCCAACTTCATTTCTTCATTAGGATTGAAAATCCAATTATTATCTTTAATAAATAAATTCTTGAAAAATAAAGTACACCTTTGATTGAAATCCAAATTTCCAAAAATTGAATCTATTTCATGATTCTTAAAAATAGAATCATATACCGAAGCAACACCTTCTATTGATCTAACATCTTTTTTTTCCTTTTGAATCTGTTTTTGTAAGATCTTGATCGTTAAATCATCAGTATATGGTCTACCCAGTTCCAACGACTCTTCTAGCACTTTATCATTATCATCTTCAGTTTGTTTACTGTAATATTCTGAATCCAATTCATTATAAATAGAATGGGACAGATCTCCTGTTAATTCGTCAGGATTATTAGACCAATATGATTTGAGGAGCCATATATTTATTCCAATCAACCATAATATACAAGCAGCGTATATTATAGTTTTTTGTCTAGATCTTATCATGGTAATTTTCTCAATCATCTGGCAAATGGGCGCAATAATATTCAGGAACACAGGGGTATGGGTAAAAATAGGAAATCTAAAAAAATAATAGGGACAAGATCTGAAATCTTATGACAAGGGAAGGGGAAAAAAAATAAAAGACTAGGTAACGAAAGGTAAAGTTCGAAATAAATGCAAATCAATAAAAAAGAAAACTGAACACGTTTAAGCGAATGTATGTGTGGTGAAGTAGGTGAGAAAGTGATGGGATAGTAATGCTAATAAATGAAACACCGAGTAGGCTTTGTTTGGTTAGAATGAATTTAAAACTGGGTAATATAAATACCTAAAAACTTTGCCTTTTAATTTTAAATTAAGAGAAAAAAGCCGTAGTTAATAAATAAATATAAAGAAAGAAGAAATGATAATAAAACCAAGGAAAATTTTCTTTTTTATTTATTTCGTAAGATTGTCAAGTGGTATCGTTGAAATCAAGAGAAGAAGAATAAGAATAGGAAGAAGCAAAAGAAGAAGACAAACCATAAATCACACAAATAGAATGCAGGTGTAATGGATTGTATAAACCTTATTAATGTAGAAAAATTATTGTTTTTATTGCAAAGGGCAAGTAACACTTTTCATTTGTCTAAACACAAAACGAACAACTTTTTGCCAACTTATTCGGGAGTTACAAAAATAGACCGCAACCACACCGACACACACACACACACAGTGTCAACAATAAACAAACAATCATCAGCTCTTCTCATATGCAGTATCACCATGTGTTTCGACCCGTGCTTATGCATGCTTATGGACAATAATGTAGGTTTGCGCAGCATCGCTATAATCTGACGAATCGTTTGTTCAGCTAAGAGAAATAATAATAACACCTTCTATTAAGAGATGGTGCATAAGGAGGAAAGCACGAGGGAGGGAGGAGCGATAACGAAAACAATTAAATAATAGAAAACTCTTCATTTCTTTTTTATGTTCTTGTTCACGGTTATTCGTATCCACTAAATATAGAAATTTGCGTATAAACAAATAATGAGAAATTAAATGGAGAATATGGATATTAATAGAGCGCCATATGGAATTGGCAATTACGGGAACAATAACTAACAAATAAAAATAATGATCAATTGTGGTGTGTGTTTCTATTGAGTTTAGTCAAAGTTCATGAGGTTGTGGTGGAGGTAAACAGATTATCCACATTTTATTCATAAGTCTGTGAAACAACAATAATAATAATAATAATAAGGAGAGAGATGGGGTTCATCAAGGGTAGATCATGAATTTAATAAAGTATTATATTTCATTCATTAGCGATTTTCAGTTCCAAATTGTGACATATATACACACACACAATTGAAAGAGGGATTCTCACACACTTGAACAGCCATGATCCCTCATTCAATATAAGATCAAGGAGATGAATAGGGTGTATTTACCAATATGACTAAAAGCAGCCCTTTGGGGGTTTATACAATTCAGTTAATGTTTTAGGGAATATTTGGTAAAAAGTTCATCAACATTATAAAGGTTGGGACATTTTTCTTCTTCAAACAAAGAGCCATTCTTATCTCAATTCATTGGAAGTTTAAAAGGGTAGATTATGTAATCGACAAAGTATAAATTGTGAAAAACTTTTTAAACAAAGAAAACAATACACCTTCAATATGATGATCTAATTTTTATCTTTTTTTTTTTTTTTGTTTTTCCAAAAAGGATGAAAAGAATTCTTTTATTAAACATACTTGATATAAACAAGTATATTCCAGATGTCATTAATAAGTTAATAAACCCTTCACAGATGATCAGCGAGTCTTATGATATAAACACAATTATACATCCAGAAGTGTCTTAAATTGACTGGTGGAAATCCGAATTGAAAGGTTATGATAGTCAAAAAGCAAGGCGGGCAAAATCAAATGAAAAATTTATACAAAAGTAGATCCCCCCTCCTCCTAATTGCTGTCACATTGCATTTTTTTTTTTAATTTAGATAGCGTAGTGAACCACCCCGTTCTTAGTTTCCAGGGCAACTTAAGAACACTAGTCTTAGACACAACTGCAGTTGATCCTTTGCATTAGTCAATTATTAGGAAGTGCATTGCTTTCTCTCTCTCTCTCTCTCTCCGGTTTTGAGTTTAGTTAATACAAGTAAATCTTGTCGATTACCTATTATAGTTTAGCCTTGTGTATGAAACAAGTGTGAAATAAGCCTTGGGCTCAATTTTTTTGTCTTTGGTTCAGTTGGGAGCCACGTGCAACCCTAAGTGAACACAAAAATGAAACCACACTCGTGTGTATTGATACGTGCACGACGATGCAGGTATCATTGTCTTTGTGTAATTGCTTAGATAAGATAAAATTCTTTTTGAAAAAAAAAGTTAGAAAAACTTCGATGATATGTATGGGCGATAAAACTAAGTAAATTAAATCGTACTCTTATGGCTGATACTAATTATAATTACCTTTGAACAATATACCTTAATTGAAGTGAGAATGGCAAGTATAACGGTTGAATGAATTTCGTTAATGGTTTTTTAGTACTCTTTGTATATAACCATTTATAGTAATAACAGAAAGCGGTTTAATTGAAAACTCATCTCATTTGTGGCTACAATAGTGTCTTTCTTTTCTGATTCCTTCGGTTTAATGTTCTCTTGTGGTTAATAAAGAATCAACCAGTAGTAATATCAAACAACTAGAGCATCGTAAGTGAAAGTAAGTGTTGAAGATATATTTTACCTAGGGATCTTAGTTATGCATACTCCTACAAATTAAACACGGTTGCCACTAATGTGAAAACTAATTGAGCCACAGACCCTATCAATTTGAATACAGGTTTAGCCACTGTCTCAAATGTTAACCTTATTCTCATTGATCGTACCAAATATTGTTTCTTGTCATTGACAAACCAGGCTGGTTTTTTTCTTTTTTGGTGAAATTACTCATAATATTCAAGACTGTGTGATAATAAAAATCTTGGTATTTAGGTTTAAATTGTCTTTAATCGATGTCAAGTAGCATCAGGAGCCGGACCTGGACCTGATAGGAAAGTTTATTCAACTACTCTTTTGAAGACTGGCTTCCTGAAATCCATAGTATTTATTTAAGTATACCAAATCTGGTAAATACAGTCGGTGATAAATAATTCCAACGGTATAATTTTTACAAATGATCATGACTTGATTGGATATTAAATACGTTTGTATTCTATATGTCAAAATCATCATATTCATTGCAACCATTGTTTCTGGTTTTCGGTGCCGAAGTTGGAACCTCGCTCCCGCGCATTTACAATTTCTCCGCACTTACCAAAAAAAAAAAAAAAGAGAGATCAAGTTTCCTCCACTGAATTTCATCACCAACAATCAGGAACCAAAGCCACGGGAATGAAAAATGGCAAAACTCCGTTGACAAATTCCCCATTTAGATGACATTCAATTGAGATTGTCAAAGTATAAATAGACCTTTTAATTCGTCGTTTCATTATCTGTTTGTCTCATCATATCCGCCAACAATCATCATGTCTACATTCTCAAAAACAAATTTCAAATCGTTGAACTACAATTCGTTCAGACCACATTATCCTCCATCATTTTATCAGATCTTGTCCAAGTATATTCAAGAACCAATTCCTGTTTCTAACACTATTGATTTAGGTTGTGGTACAGGTGTTGCATCTTATCCATTATTGAACATTTCCCATAATGTAATTGGATTGGACTTATCCCCAAACATGGTTGACACTGCTAATTCTTTGATTTCCAAAAACTTGGAACAATTGGGCATTAATGATACTTCAAGGATTAAATTTATCCGTGGTGCTGTTGAAGATTTTGTTAAACAGAGTAATGATATTGGAAAGTATGATTTAATCACTGCTGCTCAATGTATTCATTGGTTTCAAGATTATAAACTGTTTTTTCAAAAATGTCATGAATTATTAAAACCTGGTGGTGTTTTGGCTTATTTTTTCTATATTGATCCGGTTATCGTTGATTTCACAGGTCCTTCTAAAGGTGACAAACAAGAAGTGATCAAAAAAGCATACGAAGTTTATCACAAGTATGTTTATAATGATAACAAGTACATGGGTCCATGTTGGGAACAACCTGGTCGTGATATTTTGAAGCATTTCTGTGTTACTGTTAATAATGAAATTCCTCATGAATTGTATACAGATATAACTATCAACACTTTCAAGCCTAGTATCGAACAACCATTTGCTGATGATGCTACTGATTTGGACTTGAAAAAAGTTGACTTGCCTCTTGGTGGTTATATTGACTACATCTCAACGTATAGTGGTTATCATAATTACAAGGAAAAGAGTAACAACCATGATTTGTTACATAATGAATTCTTAAATGAATTGTTAGAGGTTACAGGTTGGGACTTGAATGAAACCAGAATTGACTTGGTTTGGAATACTGGTTACACTTTTATTAGAAATAAGTAGGAGTATTGTTTTTAGTATTTACATTTGAATTATACAAGTAAGTTTGGTATTGTAATGAATCACATTCTATTTCTATGGTAAACCCATAGTAAAACTGTTGTACCAACATTTAACATCTTTATTTGGCTCATCACTTACCATTGATTTGTTGTTGTAAAAAATGCCCACATTCTTTAGTTCGGTCAATTTACCTAAATTTGTGTTAACCATAGAAGTTAACTCTTCATTTTCAATAATTATAAGTGTAATCAAACCGGTGGGGAATTGCAAATTATCCAAGTTTTCCACATCACTACCAGCTATTTTAAAATAAACTAAATTTGGGGGTAATTTGAAATTAGTTAAACTTAAAAAGTTGGGAAAATATAATTCTAATCTATTTAACTTTAGTGGGATTTTCCAATTATTAATTTGAAATGCACCTTGTAATTTCAAAGTTGATAGATTATCAGGGAACTTTATTTTATCCAAATTAAAATCGCATCCTAATGGGTCATCATTAACATACTTGAATTCTCTTAAACTGGGAAGATTTGAACCATCGTGAAATAATTCGTCTGGAAATTTACTATTGTCCATTGATAATTTCTTTAGTTTTGGAAATCTTAATAAAGCTGAATAATCATTCAAGTAACAACAATAACCAAATTTCAAACAAGTTATTTTAGATTCATTTAATCCAAACTCTTCTAAGGATTTAGCTTCTGCTGATATGATTTTTAAAACTTCTAAATTCTTCATTTCTCGAATCAATAAAAGATAATTCTTTAATGAATTACTAACATTAGCTTTGAAATATTTCAAATTCTCTGGAGTTTTATAATTCCTAAGTAGTCCTCCTTCGTGTAATTCTTCAACCTGTAACATTTCTAGAGTGTCGGGTAGGGTTTTAAATTCTGTGACAAACATTATTTCAACTATTAGTTCTTTCAAGTTTTCAAAATGAGTATAAAATCGTTCGGTGACAATTCCTCTATAATAAAGTTCAAGATGATTTAATCCCGTAGGTAAATTAAGAAGAATCCCCTTTGCCCTATCTGAGGATTTGAAATCAATATTGACCATAAGTGATCCAACAGAACTATAAGACCACACTCCCAGAAGCAGCAGGTAAAAATCAACCGTATCTGAATCATCAGAAATATTCAACCATTTGATTCTTTTCATTAATGGACTATAATATTCTACCCACTCTCTAACATCTTCTCTACTGGGATTTACATAATAAACTCCACTTTCATCTTTTTTAAGAACTTTTTTTGGTATTTTTTTCTTCTTTGTCTTTGGTTCCTCTTTTAACTTGAGATACAATGATGCAATTTCATAACTTAAAAGAACATTTACTTCTTTAATATGGAAATCATATTTAATTGCAAATTCTTGTAATTCCTCAACCAGAAGCATGGGACAATTAAGAAATTTAATTTCAAATCGTTTAGCATTAAGTGGTTCAGAAAGATTCCAAAATGATTTGACTAAAGTGACTTTTTCTTTAAGATAAGGAATAATAAATTTAACTAATGGATAACAATCTAAAAAAAATCCTAAATGATCTTTTCTAATATATGTTAAAATTAATTCTATGATACCATCGGGTAGTCTAATAAAATTAAGAAAAAATAAATCAAATTGGGATAATAAACAATTTCTATCACTTGAATTAGATAGACGTCTTTTCATTTTCTTTATGTTAATGTAGTCTTGATGAAGTTAATGGTTATACTTCCTTGGGGTATGGCATGGGGATTTGTTTATTTTTTTTTTTTTTTTTTTTCTTCCATAAGTATCGCGTTTCGTTCCTTACTGGAGTTACTATAGGATGGATTCAATTTGTCGAATATTATCTTAAACAATTACTGACACTCGAATCAGACTGTGAGTTCAACAATAAATGAAAAAAACTTCTTTGAGTACTAATGCTGTAATACTCCTCTATTAGTATAGTTTATACCGAGACAGGGTTTTCCTTATCATTTTTTGAGCTTTTTTCGCAGTAATTTTTGATTAATATTTAATGTTTGTTGACCCTTTTGGAAAAAGATATGTTTTTACATAGACAATCTGTACAATTTGATGTTTATATACCACATATACAACTCTATTAAAGTGAATATGTTGCTAATTGTTATGTTTTATTTTGACCTAGTTTGATAACACGCTAAAAGTTTGAAATTATTATGTGAGTGTTAAAAAATCGGTATTGGCACGAAAAGCAGCAAATTATTATGATGAACAGATATCAACCTACAAGTAATATGATTTAGAAAGCAATAAATGTAAACATTTATTTTCAAAAACTAAAAATAATATAAAGAAGATAATAATAGAAATAGAAAGTAAGCAACGATTTATTCAAATAATATAATTCAAGGAAATACAAAAACAATTATCTTCATTTATATGATATCAAAGTAGTAGCATTTACATAACAGTACAGTTGGAAGCCATGTAACCTCTACCATTCAAGACACGAATAACAGCATTGTCTTTAGAAGCAGTGGAAGTGGATTGAGTTTTAGCGTTAGCGTTGTTGTTAGTTTGTTGAGCAGCCATTGTTAATTGTTTGTTTGTTTTGTTTGATGATTAGAATGCAGAAATACCAGACATTGGAAGGAAAATATACCTCCTTATATAGTTTTCTGATATTTTGATAGACCGTTGAGGTTTATATTACATGCATAGAAACATAGCTTATTAGTTGAGAACTGATTTTTTTTGAGTGAGTTTTCAACATGAATTGGAAATTTCCTATTTCGTCGATAGCAATGAAGATGAGAATAAAACAACGAGAAGTTTAAATTATAGACTTTATTCTAGAAAAGTTTATTGATAATGTTAATTTCCCAATCTGTAATTTACAATGGTTTGATCGTTCACACTAAAAGTGATGAAATGAGCTTATGACTAACTTAGTCAAAGCACTTGGTATCCACTCTGTCAGTGTTTCACATTTGACAGAGATTATTCATGGGCTTATACTTATTCATATACATTAACAAATTCTCACACTATAAACTAAATAAAATCAAACATAATAATCTACATAACCCCGTGTAGTCTTTATTATTTTACTATATCTACACAGGTTGGACTTGAACATTAGGAACACCAACTGTTTTAAGCAAAGCTTTAGTTTTCTTTTCAACAGCATTAGAACTTCCATTATAACGAACAGCAACATCTTTAAATTGAGTTAATTTAGGCAAGTTCGTATTAGCCATAGATTCCAATTCATCATTCAACGTTAAAATAAATACAATTAATCCAGTTGGAAATTGAACATTATCAAGATTTGTAAGTTTAGTACAACCAATTTGAAAATAAACCAAATTTGGAGGTAATTTACAATTTTTAATATCAACAAAATTACAATTGAATAATTGTAATTTACGTAATTTTTGTGGAGCTTCCCATTTATCAATTACAAATTCACCTTGTAAATCTAATCTAGTTAAATTCTTTGGGAATTTGAATTCATTCAAATTGTTTCTCCAGAAAGTATGCCAACTAGTTGTAAATCTGAATATTCTTAAACTTGGAAGTGATGATTCATCTTTTAATAATTCTTCTGGGAATCTACCATCAGTAATTCGTAATTTTCTTAATTTAGTGAATTTTAAAATATTTGAATAATCCATAACAGATCCACATTTGACAAAACTCAATTTGGTAATTTTGGATTCAGATAATTTAAGATCATCAACTTTGGTAAAGTGTCCACCAACAAGTTTTAAAACTTCTAAATTTTTCATTGCATTAATTAATTTTAAATAATTCTTCTTTGCACGTTCAACACCTGATTTGAAAACTTTCAAGTTTTTAGGAACAACTACTTTTTTAAGATCTTCATCATCAACCAAATTATCAAGTATTAACATTTCAAGTGAATTTGGTAAATATTCAATTTGAGAAGTGAGCATATTTTCAACTTGTAATTCTTTTAAATTGGTGAATCTTGTATAGAAATGTCCTGGTATGACTCTTGGATCAGTGAATCTAAAACATGTCAAAGTTGGTGGAATCAAAGTGGAAATCCTAGCAGTTTTTTCCAAAGCATCACCATCATTAAATTTAAGAACAACAGTACCTAATTTCACAAGACCTTTAAACATAGCAAGTGTGAAATAAGTATCAGTTGAATCGAATTCAGTAACAATATGTAATAAATCAATTCTGCAAAATAATGGCAAATAACGAACACCCCATGCCATAATATCTTCCATTCCAAAGCCATCTTCAGTTTTTTTAATTCCTGGTAATCCAGATGTCTTAGCAAGATTTGTTTTCTTATATGCATTCAATTTACGTTCACTGATTAAAGTTTGCATTTCAATAGTTAATGGAACAGAAACATTTTTTAATTTCAAATTATATTCTGTAGCAATTGACATCAATTGGTCTGCTGGAATAACAGGTGCATCAATAAATGGTTTAACAAATCTTCTTGATTCAATAGGAATGAATTCAGGATAATGAATTTCACACATAACAACATGTTCAGTGATATAAGGTAAAATATATGGAATCAATGCTTTACAATTGACAAAATAACCTAAGAAATCTTTAGGTATACATGAAAGAACTTCTTTAATGACATTTGGTGGTGATCGAACCAAGTCAACGATGAGCTTATCAAATGGAGAAACGAAAACAGTTTTCTTTGGTGTCTGTTTGGCGGATTTTTTAGATGTTTTCTTGGTTTTATTTTTACCAGTTCAATTATTCTTTTTAGCCATTGTGTCTTTTAAAAATGGTCGTTGAATTAAAGATGTAATTGCTGACTATATCTTTAAAAATAAAAAAATAAAATAGTTTCATGATTTTTTTTTATTTTTATTTTTCAAAACAAGACGCGTGTGGGTGTGGTAGGGGTATGTACAGGATATTGATACACACACTACTTTTCTAGGGCTCAACACGCGTTAGAATGAAAATTATAGTAGCTGGTCAGAAACAAGTGTGTTAATAACTGATAAGATATTCAAGTGAAGTACTGTTGGAATTATAAGTAGTTTGTGCACCTGTAATATACAAAAGAGGAAAATAGCAAACAAAGACAAGTTGCAAAATGTTTTAATTATGAAGCACACCTACTTGTGAATTGTAAATTAATATAAGATTAGTATCCTGATTATTCATTCGTTGATTAAAAATTATCAAACTTCATAGAAAGCAACTTACTTTCATCCTTCTTTTCTTTGTAATATGCTACAGTTATCCATTTGTACATCTCTACAGCTTGAAATAACTTTCCCATCCATCAGAACACTCAGTTTGATAGTTTGGTCATGGATTATCCACGGGTATTCTTCACCTCCAGGAGGTTCATCCACCTTCCTTTTCTATTACATGGAAGTGTGTCCCTGGACAAATATCCATTAACCAAAGTAGTTAACAACACTGAATACAACTATCAATTTGTGCTCAACCATTATTAGTCTCGGAAATATTACCCGGAATTAGCCCGGACATATTCCTTCGAGGTCAGGACACACAAAATTGTAAGCATCTCATCATCATCATCACTATTTAAACAGACAAATATTCCCGCTCTGCTCAAAAAAAAAAAAAAAGAAAAAATGCTTTTCTATCTTCAATCGCCATTTGTAGCAAAATCGCGATACCAAAAGGTAAAGTTGTGTATAAATCTTTAAGGTTTCCGCCTTTAGAGTTTTAATTTCCTACTAGCTGCTATTTGATTAATTCTAGCATCATTTTTCATTATAGATTCATTTAATACACATCTCATTTATTGTTATACAAACCATCTGTGTAAGGTTAAGGGTACCCATAAAGGGACTTAACCTAGATTGAAACCGTGTATTGGCTTGATAAGTATATAAACAATAAAGAAAGAGTGGTGTTTAACAGTGCGAATTATGTAGGAGCGCTAGCGAGTGCTAGTGAGTGAGCTCTGAAAACGGTATACGCACATCCTACCTTACAATCTGTAGAACATCCCCCATCGCTTAGTATTAATTGAAAGATAAAGAAAATAAGGTCAACTAATATTAAATTATAAAGAACTATACAAATATAATAATAATAAAAAGAACTATCCTAATGTCATTATTATTCTCTATAAACAAGTTCGTTGAATGTCTTGTGGTTTGGTACCTTGTTGTTCAATACCAAGTATTGAGATATTATCCGTTGATACCCTAGCTAAACAATTTTCATTCCCATTATCCAATTTTCGTTGAATTCTATTTACTGTAATGTCACTACCATTTTGATACGTCTTTAATAATGGAACTCTTTGTTCATAGCCAAATCCTGCAGATTCTTGTGTCATCAAACTGCCCAATTCATCATCATCAGCAGCATTACCAATCACTGAATCATCCTCCATCACTTCATCATCATCATCCACAATGGCTTCTTCATCGTAAAGACTAGGTTCTTCATTATTAGTCAATGCTCTTTCAATATTACTCTCGTCTAATAATACTACCGAATTGGAATCATTCTCATCGTGTTCTTTTCTTGCATCACTGACTGAAGAATCACTTGACAAACTAGTGGAATCAGGTGCAGTAGATGAAGGCGGCGTAGAAGGTCCATTGATGTTAATATTATAGTTATTTGTTGTTGAAGATAAAGTCGAGGCAATACTTCCTTCATCCGAAGAAGATGATGAAGTTGGTGGGTCTCTAGATGACGATGCTGCACTTGGCAATGTCAGTTTAGAACCAGTGGCAAATGAATGTGATAAACTATGTTTAACACTTTTTCTTCTTTGACCTTGTCCGCTAATAGCACTTGAATTTTCATCACTAACAATTTCATCGATATTTAAAGAATTCAACAGATCAGTTACTGGGGATACTTCCAGCTGTGGTTCATATGCTGGCGCAGGTTCTCCTGGTAAAACTGCAGGAACACCATCGATGGAAATAGATGGCATTCTACTTAATGGATCCTCACCAACTGACATAGATCTAGTCATAATTGCTTCTTCAAATGATGGTAAATCATCGCCACTATTGTTATCATTGAAATCAACCAATGGTTTAATCGTCACACCATTGTTGTTGTAATTTGGTGTTCTGAAAATTGGTCCATCATTAGCACCTGGTGCGGGTGGACTCGATGTAGTAGACAAAGGATCAATATCAAACATACCAACAATGTCGTAATACTTAGGTAATTGAATGGATTGATCACCACATTTAGAACTCAACAATACCAATGGAGTATCCACAACAACTTCATAATGATGCATTTTATAATCATCTTTAGGATCCGGTTTAGAAATTCTAAAACAAACTTGCAAACGATGATTGATTTGAATGTGACGATAATTTGAATCAGGAAACAAAGCTCTAGCAATCAATGTGTAACCATTTTGCATGTTCTCTGGTGGGAAATTTTTTGTACTTAAATCATCGGTAGTATAACTTGATGAGTTTGGTTTAATATAATCATGAGGTCCAATTTCATCCAAATTAACCAAATTTGTTTCCAACGCACCGATAACAGGAGATGATGGGTTTGGTGGCACTGGACTACCACTATCACTAATAATGGAAGCTCTTCTTGAAGTATGGGGCAGTTCAAATGATCCAGAATCATCATCAATGGCCGATGTCATCATAATCTTATCAGACCTTGTAGTCAAAAATGGTAAGGCAATATTAATATCCAATGGCGATGCAATTAATGATTTGTTTGTTGTAGTATCCTTGGCTTTACGTTTGTGTTGTTTGTTATTAATATCATCTTCAATCTCATAACATGAATACAATAAATTATTATCAGGGCATTTAATAATCTCTTCTTTGTATGCATCCGGATGTCCAGATGTATTCTGTTTATATTTGGTCTTCAATTCACATAAAGATACAATACGTTCCCTGACTTTATTTTCCTTGGCAATTGGATGTAAACAGAATGGATCCTCACTATCGAAATCATATTCTTTGGATAAATCTTTGGATACATAAGTTATTCTTTCCAAAATATTAAATTTAATTCTCTTGATAATGACATCTTTAACCAAAGGAGCCAATTTAACATTGATAACATGTTCACTGCCCAAGGCAATATATTTTCTTGGGAAAGTAATAATATAATGAACAGCATCATTCCATACTCTATTAACATAGATGGGTTTATCGGCAATTGAATTGGCTATATTTGGAGGAGTTCTAACCATAGGTAGATTATACGAGGCACTAACTTTTAATTTTCTATTCAATTTATCACTCAACTTGTTTAAATTGACCAGCAATGTATGTTGTAATGTACCATTGATTGAAACAATTGTTGGAGGAATATGTTCTGGTAATAATATGGGTAATAAAAATACGTAAAGTCCTGCTTTATAAATGTCATTTGCTCCTAATCCAGATGAATTATTTGAATTGTTAGTGGAGCTGGTTCTAATACTATCAGAATCTTCATCACCAAAAGAAGTTGTGGATGCGTTTTTCAAATCATCAATACCGACTAGTCTATATTCTCTTGTACGTTTAACCAAATCTTCTGGGGAAAAATTCTTCAGTTTAACATCATTTGAATTGTTGTTATTGATATAGTAGTCAGCATTGGCTAAAGTGGTTTGCCACTCCATATTTCCAATAACAAATTTCTCCTTAACATGAGACCTGTTGTATGAATCACCACTTGGCCATAAGATGTTTGTCACTGATTGAAATTTAAATTTTAAGTCCTTAACCACTAATGAATCTTTAGTTAATTCAACTATAACGGCAAATGTATGAGGTATTGGATTAGCTGGATCAATTTTAGAACACAAATAGTTTGGAGAATGGAAAGATTTCATTTTATTCAATAAATCATTACCTTGTTCGGCAATTAATGGATCATCTTGACTTGACCCAGTAGTTGGAGAAAGCACTGGAGAATTTGGAACAGAATTACCACTGAAGTAATTATTATCATCTTGTTCAACAAGGGTGCCACCATTATCAACATCCTCATAAGTGAAACTTGCCGAAGTGGCCGGGGGTAAATATATACAATCATTAGAATTTGAAACATAAATTTTGCATGTTTTGGAGACAGAACCTTGAGTGATTGTTTTCAAAGCTATTGGATTTTGTAGACCCAAATCTTGCAACATGTGTAGTAATTTTTTCAGGATGATTTGTGCAGTTTCTTGTTTAACCAAATCTTTTGTTTTGCTTCTAAAGAAATTTGCTGGAGATAAAGTGGGTCCATGTACAAATGATTTTGATCTTGGACGTGATCTTGAATCTGAATAAGAAGAACCACTGCCTCTTCTATTATGGATCGCGGATGGTGATGATGATGATGTGCTGTTACTAAGGTGATTGCTATTATTACAATTTGGGTTCAGATTAGATCTTAATCTTGATGGCTGATTTGAATTAATGATTGTATTTGCATCAAATCTCACACTTCCATTATCTATACTTTTACTTCTAATAGCACCATCGTTGGTAATGTCTTGTTGAAAAAGCAGTTGATGATGATGATGATGGTTGTTATTGTTATTATTATTGTTATTATTGTTGGTGTTGTGGGAAGTTGTTGCTGCTATTTCTAAAATCGAAGCCTCGTTCAGATGCCTATGTGGAGATACTTTACTTTTCAATTTGTCAAAACTAAAATGTCGATTTGGCATGATTGTGGATGATAGTTGTTGTTGTTGTTTTTAAAGATTAGTTAGCTATTTGAAATCAACACAAATGAAAGACTATATTGGTTGTAAAAGTGTTGTAAAAGTGTTGTAAAAGTGTTGTAAAAGTGTTCTAAGTGTTGTAAAAGTGTTGTCAAAATAATTTAAAGATTCTCTCTCTCTGTCTTTTTTTTTTATTTATTTATCTGTGTTGTCTGTTGTCTGTTGTCTGCTGTAAATTGTGTGAGTAGTAGTAAATTTTTTTTTCTTTTTCTTTTTCTTTTTCTAAGATTATGTGAGGTAATACTAATAAATTATAATAATAGTTTCTTTTTTAGTTGTGTCCTGTACCGGGATACTCTAAAACTTTTCTGGCGTGGTATGGTACTAACACTGGCGGTGGAATTAGATATCTATATCACAATTTATAAGACACGGGATAAAGGGGGAAGAAAATGGTGTATTGTATGTGACGAATAATATGACAATGACAATGACAATGAAATGGGAACTCCAACCTTTTTTATTTTAGTGTGATTGTATTGGTAGTTGATGAAATTTCTTATTAGAATTTATTTTTGGGCTTTGTCTTTTTTTCTTAGTGGAGACAATGAAAGAAATGATAAACTTATTACGATACAATTCACTTGCCCTTTTTTAATAAGTTAATTTAGATAATGTCGGTTGTTATTTATAAACTCGTTTAAGTTCAATTTAAGCTTCACTTTATATGCTGGTTGTTGTTGTTGTTGTTATTATTAACACCGTGATCAACCTGTGCTGTAATGTAGGTTGAAAAAAATAAAATTATTCAGGTCTGTTTGTGTGTGTGTGTGTGACACAATAAAAAAAAGAAAAGAAATAATGCAACTCAACCACGTGATATACTTTGGAATAAAAGGAATTACGATAAGTGATTCTACAAGCCCACTTTAAACACACAAAAGAATAGGTGATTTTCCGATGGTTATATACTGTGATTGATTCATAAAAAGAAAGAAACAGGGAGTCGGTTACTTATTTATTGATATACATGTGGGTTATTAAGGTTATTAATTTCTTGACCAATAAATCAGATTATCAAATTCTCTTTTATACAGTATTCATCATGTTTTAATCAATTATACGTATTTAATAGCTGTAAGAAATAAAAAATAAAAAAAATTTAATAACACCATCCCTTGATTCTCGAGATAAAACACCAAGAAGATTTTACAAGGATAATATGGAATTCAAGTAATCAAACTAGGACCGTATTCGAATACTTTTTCCAGTAATATTAAAGTTATAACCTTAATTATATACATATGAGCTATCTCCAGTATTCGGAATTCCATTTTTAATTTGTTACCAAATGACCCACTTGCTGTATCATTTATGTATAGACTAAGAATATTAATGTAGAAATACCACAACTGGTCAACCAAAGATATTTAGTCTACCATTTCTGCTTACTTCTTTTTAACTCTGTATCTCTGTTTTTCCCCCACATTAATTTGACTAAACATTTCAATTTGATACTGTGTTACTGATGTAAGTACAACCTCGACAGTTTTTAAAAATTTCTTGGGATTCACCTTGCAGTCTTTGCTCCTATTTTAATTGAATAACTTGTATAGCGGAGAGAGGGGGCAAGGGGATTGCAAAAAAAAGCAATGATTGGATCGTATGTTATTCGCTCCTAATCATCTTACAGAATGATATTCAAAGTAATGAAAAAAAAAAAGATAAAAGGGATAAGTGTCAGTTATTTCCTTACCCCCACATGAGAAATCATCGTCGTTCCTTTTTCTTTATGGTTGTTTTTTCTTTTTTAAGTTGATGTATTTCCGATACAACATCGACGTGCTTATGGACGTAAACTATCGATGGGTATTGAAGTGGTAAATATCGAGAACCAATCAATCATATGATGATGATGATTATGAGGAGGAGTAAGTGGTTTTACAAAGTCAAGTGAAATTTTTGCTTTGTTAATTATTGGAACCAAGAAATTTTCTATTATTATTACGATTGCAAAATCAATGACCAATCTCTCCACCACTACTACCACCACCACCACGACCATTGCCACCACGACCATTGATGCCACGAAATTCATCCACAACAACAACAGCAACAACAATTGAACACCACTGAAAGTTAATCAATAAATGTCCAGCCGTGTAATTATCAACTTCTTTTGTGTATATGTCTCGACTGTTCATCATCATCATCAACAACATCCCCACCTCCTCCTCCCCCCCACTTTATGCGTTTATTATATCTATACAGGAGATTGTCTTATCTTCTCGATTCCCCCACCCATCTAATTCTTCTTAAACAGGTGAAAGTTAATCCTATCATAGATTGGTATGTTACATAGAGAAACAACTGTACTCTGGTACAATCACCACAATTGATAGAAATCACTATACTGTATAAGTTAACCACACGGCTTGTTGTTTCCTTACCACGATCAATGGACCCAATTTTGGGCCGCCGCGACACCCAAAACTGAGTGGAATTTTTGTTTCACCAACAGCAAACAATTTTCAACACAAGAGAGCAAAAAAATCATTTTATTCATTCAACAACAAGCCAGCGAAATTTTTTTCCTTTTAATGATTTCTCTCCAACAACCATAAGCAAATTATCACCATAGAGAACATTATGTCAGATATATTAGAACAATCATTAGATGATATAATTGGACAAAAGAAGTCTAATTCATCTTCATCTTCAAATAGAAGATTTCAATCACGTAATAATAGAAGAGGTTCATCTCGTTCATCACGTCATCATCATCCATATAGATCATCCCGTCGTGATCAAGATGATGAAGATTTATTTTCATCAAGATCATCATCAAGATCATCATCAAGTGGAATTCCTGAAAAAGTTAGATTATTAGCTAATAATAGACCAACATTAAGAATTAAAAATATTCATCCTGATTTAAATGGAGAAGATTTATCAAAATTATTTTCAAATGTTGATGATGTTGATTTTGTTAAATTTGATGATGATAATGATACTATAGCATATATTTGTTTTCAAAGAAATTGTGATATAAATAATAAAAATTCAATTGAAAAATTTAATGGTAAAAAAGCTATGGGAAATATATTAGTTGTTGAAAATACAGTTAGTTTATTTGATAGAATTAATCCAAGAAGTAGAGGTCCAAGAGATAGAAGAAGAGATTTATCACCATCAAGAAGAAGAGAAGGTCCAAGAGATGGTGGTGATAGAAGAAGAGGTGGTGGCGATAGAAGAGGTGGTAGACATAGTGGAAGAACTAGACCTGCAAAGAAAACTGCTGAAGATTTAGATAAAGAATTGAATGAATATATGGGTAAAACTTCAGATAGTTTAGATGCTGAATTGGATGATTATATGAAAAAAGGTAACCAAGAAGAACAACCTGAGCCTGCTGCTAATACTGCTACTACTACAACAACAACTGAAGGTGATGTAATGAATGTTGATTAATCATTATCAAAACACTATATATCTAAATGAAAAACAAAAAACAAAAAACAAAAAAACACTTGTAATTGAAATATTTTGTAATATATAAATGTATGTTTAACACATTAATTAACCCATACCTTGAGTTAATTCAACCATTGAAACATAAATATCTTTGGTTTTCTTTCTAAAAGTTTTACCATAATACAAGAATGGGAAAACCAAAGCAATAGTAAAGAAATCAATAACACTTAAAGCAATATAAGTATTTTGAGTACCTGAACTATCTAACCAATAAGAACAAGTAAAAGTGAAAATACAAGCCAAAGTATTATTAATAATACTAACCCCAACCATACCTTGAATAACAATATCAGGATAAGCATCCATTAAATAACTCATTGAAGTATCACCAATTGAACCCCAACCAAATCCAATAAATCCTAATCCAACATAAATAACTTGCCATGGCCATTCTCTTGCCGCTCCAACACCAAACATAATTAAACCAACTGGTGAAATAATTAAAGTAATAATTAATAAATATAATCTATATTCAGCTTCCATAATACCATTATTTCTTTTAGCTAACCAAACAACATGATAATCAGAAAATAATCCCGATACAATACATCCAATAACTGCACCAATTAAAGTTGCAACATTCATAATTGCCACTCCTGCATTGGAATAATTCCATGGTGGTTCATAAAAATAAGTATCTTGAGTAGTTAAAAAGAAGGTCATATAAGTATCTTGTAAACCCCATAATAAACCAGAAAACCAAACTCCTGGAAGTGTGAAAACTTTAAAATAAAGTAAAAATCTTTTAAAATATTGTTTGAATCCATAACCTTCCAAATATGAAGCTGGTGTAATTAAGGCAATACGTTGAATATATGATTTTTTACTTTCACAATTTGTTTCTGGATCAATATTCATATTCATATTCATGTTCATAATTTGTTGTTGATGATTGGATGGGTCAATTTCTCTTGATATTTCAACTTCTAGTTCTTTTTCATTATCTTTTTTATCATCATTATCTTGTTTAATATCAGGATCAACATTACTACCATTAGTAATAGTAGTAGTGGAGGTGGTTTCTTTTTGTTTTGATTCATATACTTTTGTATATAAATTTCTTTCAAAAACAGTTTCTTCACAAGCAAAAAAAGTAACTATTAAACAACCACCAGTTATGATGGCACCCCACCAACCTACCCATCTAAAACTTTGATAATAAGATTCATATTGAGCAATCAAAGGACCTAAAAATGAACCAATCGAAGTAGCACTAATATATAATGTTAAAACAGCTCCTAAATTATGACTGAAAAATAAATCAGTTAAACTTTGTTGTACTTGAGCTTCAGCACAAGCTTCACTAATTCCAACAAATGCTTGAGACCAAATAGTATCTGAAGTTTTTTTACTCACGGCAAACCAAATACAACCCAAAGTACCACTTAATAAACAAATTAAATAAGTTATTCTTCTACCATATAAAGAACTTGCAGGAGCAAATACAATACATGACCAACCAATAAAAATAAATAATACACCAGCACCTGAATTCATTGAATCATAACTAATTCCATAAATTTCATTTAATGAATCTTGTGAAGCACCAGCATCATTTGAAATAGCAGCAGTTAAAGCAGTTATAAAAGATAATAAAATTAATTGCCAAATTTTTCTCTTTGTACTCCAATTTAATGGATCATTTGGAGAATCAGTAGGTTGAGGAATTAAAACTAATCCTGTTTTAGGATCTCTTTTCAATGATTTAGATGATGAAATAGATGATGATTCTGAATCAATTAATCTACCAGTAAGAATATTTGTTGTACCTGGGATGAAATTTTCATCATAATATTCAATTGGTACACTTGATGATAATGGGGAAGACATTCTTTGGGGGGGGGAAAAGAAATTGTAAAGTTGTTTTTTTAATAAGTTAATAAGTTAATAAGTATAAATAAAGTGAATCAACAGAATATAATTGATAATGTGGTTCTTTTTCTTTCTATCTCTTCTTGATATTATCGTTATCAATAATACAATAATATTATTATTATTTGATAATGATTTCTAGTATAAGTATATAAGTTATGTCAGCAAAAGTAGCAAGTCATCGTGTGACTTTTGAAAAATTTATAATTGGATTTAATTTAAATAAAAAGTAATTGGACGTAATTTTGAACCACAGTTATTGATTGATGATGATGATAATAATGATATTGATTATAAAGACTTAGTGTTATTCACTTACTGCTTTATTGTAAATTTATACTTCTAATTAACGTTGTTTTAATATGAAGATCCCCTTATGTTTTGTAAAAAGAAGAAGAAAAAGAAGAAGAAGAGGATTCGGAAAGATTTAATATAAAAAAAATTTTTTTTCTATGTTTTTTAAAAATTTTTTTTTTTTAGTTTTTTTTGATTGGAGTTGAATTATGTGTAAAGTCAAGAGAAGGACAAGATAACTAAGAAATAGTAAATAACAAGAAGAGATACATTTATTTACTTACTTACTTACTTAGTTACATCTTTGAGTAATTTGTTTTCTCTCCAATCAAGACTGCCGCCTCTCTTACAGTCGATGAGGTTTATACCTTCTTATTCTTTGAAGCCGAATGAAGAAATAAAATGCCGCGTAAGAAAAAAGAAATTTTTTTTGGTTTGATTTGATTGCGAAATTTCATTTGTTCGTTGTGGACAAAGTAAAAATTTCTTAGGCGGTTACAAAAAATAACCCCCCCTGACAATCAAACTCATGAACCAACCTGTAGGAGGGCAATGAACAAGACGGTTACAACTTGGTGATTATGTGAATATGGTCTAGTGTGTTTTTGATTTTACTTAAACTGTCTATTGATCTACTCAAACCCAGTAGTATTCCCATCATCAGTAGTATTAGCACTATTTTGATGACTTTGAATCTTTTGCTTCTTCCATTCCAACAATGGAGCCAATTCTTCAATTTTACCTGATTTATGTTGAATAAATGAATGTTCTAACAACTCATCGGTACTTGCTCTATACCTCACATCAACACATAAACAAATAGACAAGAATTTCTTAATTGAATTAGATAATAACTCTGGCTTCTTTAATTTAGGTGTACCATTAGTGGCAATTAAATATAATGCTTTAAGAGGTTCTTCATTCAAATATGGTGGTTCTCCTTCAATCATTTCAATCGTCATGATACCTAATGACCAAACATCAACTTTTTCATCATATTCTTTTTGTTTAACAACTTCAGGTGCCATCCAATATGGTGTACCAACCATAGTGGCACGTTTATTTCTTTGATCTGTCAATTTAGCACAGAACCCAAAATCCGTAATCTTAACATTACCATGTGCATCCAATAAAACATTATCGGATTTAATATCACGATGAATAATATGCTTCTTATGTAAATGTTGTAATCCTTTTAATGTTTCAAAACAAATAGTTGCAATTTGTTTCTCACTTAATTTAAATTCATTATTTTCAATAATTTCTGTTAATGAACCACCTTCCATATATTCCATAATAACCCATAATTCTGTTTCTTTTCTTAAATAGGAATCCAAGAAATTAACAATATTCTTATGTTGACTATCCTTCATAACTAAAATTTCATTAATAATTAATTCCTTTCTTGGTTGAACATTTAAATCCATTTGTTTAATAGCAATTTTTCTATTATTACTATTAATCATTTCTGCCAAATAAACATTACCACTAGCACCTTGACCTGCTTTTTCAATGATTCTAAACAAAGGTTTTGGATCTTGACTATTGACAACTGTTTTCAACTTAGCAATGATTTGTAAATCATTTAATCTCTCACGTTCCTTCTTGAGTTGTTTAGCTGTCTTGGTAACGCCCTGGCCACTGACAGCTTCTGTAGTTTTATTAGTTGGTGATGGTGATTTCAGTTTACTAGATGATGATGAGGTGGCGGTGGTGGTGGTGGTAGTAGGAGAAGTTTCGTCCTTAGATTTGGATTTCAAATTAAGTGGTTTAATACCTTGTGATTCTGGATTCAATGGTTTAGTGGCTGCATGTGAAGTACCAACAGGTGTGGTTGGTTGTTTTTGAGCCAAATTTTGTTGACTCAGTTTCAGTTGTAAAGTAAAAGGTTTAATATACAGTTTTGGATCATTATTATAATTATTTTGTTTAGTAAAATTATTGGTACCTTGTTGGATTTTAAGATCAGGATGAATTTTGTTCTTATTTGGTGGACCTGTAGATGGTAATGAAGGTGGTGTTTGTTTAGGATGTTGTTGTGATTGCTGTTGTTGTGGTTGTTGTTGTTGTTTACTAGTTGTAGATGTTGGCGGTGGAATTTGATTAAATGGACGTGATTGATCTTGTGGTTGTGAAGTTGTAGATTTTCCAGCTGCATTTGGTGGAGGGGGTGCTCTTCTAACAGGAACAAGATCCGAAGATGATGGGTCCGATTTATTCATCAATGTAGTCAATGGAGAATTGTTTTTATTATTAGATGCAGAAACATTCTTATTAGATGACGAAGATGAAGAAAGGTTGGAAGAACTTTGTTGAGTTAAATGATATGGAGTTGGAGGTTTAGGAGCAGCTCGGCTTGGTTTAAATTGAGTTGATTTTGTTGGAGGTTTAGTCCATTCTTGCAAATTATTGTCCTGAATAGTCATTTTTTGAGTATTATTACTAATCATAGTAGTATTGTTAGTATTACCATTAATCATTGGGGAACCAATTGGAGTACCGGTAGCAGAACCATTAATATCTGAATAAAATTCCAATACTTCAATAACGGCAACAGGATCTTTTTTCCAATCTTCATTTGTAATTTTAGAATGTTGTAATAAAGATTTCCAAGTGTCAGGTAATCCAGTAAAACTACCACTTGTTGGATCAAAACCAACATGAACTTTATGGGTGAAATTGATTGGACCGGAAACACCAGCATTTCCTCCACTTAGTATACTATTTGAAATAGAATTACTTGAATTTGAGTTTGAAGATGTTGTAGAAGAAGAAGGTAAATTATTATTAGTTAAATGTTGAATTTGTAAATGACCAGTTGAAGAAGAAGACGAGGATGAACTGTTATTATCACCAATTTGAACTAAAGGACATTTAGTAGTAAAAGCATCAATCCAATCGGAATAATCATTCTTAGATTTAACTGAAATTAAAATTGGTTTATAGTTGTTATTTTTAGGAATAATTTCAAAAGAAAAAGATGATTTTGAATAACCTGAATTTGGTTTTAAATTAATATTATTGATTAGATATAAAGGAAATGACAAATCTGGTGAACTAGTATTGTTATTATCAGTAGTTGGTTCCTGTTTATAAAAATTCAAAGTTTTTTCATTAATAATCATAAATCTTTTATTCCATCTAAATGAGGTGAAAATCCCATCATCCTTGACATAAACCCAGCCGGATTGACGTTTATTTGAATTGATAGTTAAATGAATTGGTTTTGAGGACATATTCATCCCCATATTGTTGAGTTGACTATAAGGAGATGAAGACATTGAAGGATTAGACGTGTTGTTCTGGTTGTTATTATTATTCTTGCCAGTGGTATTAGTGCTACCACCATCAGACGGCGGAGGAGGAGGAGGAGGAGCACGTCTATGATTTTTCAAGTCTGATGTGTAGATGCTAGTCATTGTTTTGGCTTAGTTATTAAAAGGTTGGCTCAACTGTAGTCAAAGGAATAAAGGGGGGAGGGACTGAAGTTTCTTTAAATGATTTGTTGATTTGTTGATTTTTTTTTTTAATTAAATTTTTATTTTTTTGGTTTTTGTTTTTTGTTTTCGTTTTTCGTTTTTGTTGACGTTGATGACAAAGAAAGAAATTTTCCTTTTCCTTTTTGTTTTTTGCTTTTTGGTTAAATAAATTTGACGATGTGATGAGAATTTGCAGTTTGATCTTGACGAAGCTTTTTTTTTTTCTGGCAATGAACAGACGTGGTTCCTGACTAAACTGTTGATATTGATACTGATGATGATGATGATAATTGAATCAAGCTATTCAATCGAACAAATGAAGGTCAAAAATCAAATATAAAAAAAAAAAAAATTTTTTTTAACTCTTGTTTCCGTCGTTGTTGTTGTTTTGGGATTTCAATTAATTTGAAAGGAGAGAATGTTTCAAAGATTAAATTCTTTTTTTTTTTAGTACTGTCTGTGACACAATTATTTGATCATTGTATTGTGTCCTCTGACACGTGTTTGTGTACAACCTATTTTTGTCTGATCTACTAACAAACACTCTCTCAATTCTACATAACCATTTATAATCGTTGATTTGTTGTTGTTCATGAACAACAGCATCATCTGTTTATAGAACACGTCAATTGTTTTTTATGGTAATGAAAATGTAGCAAAATAGTCGTGTATTCTGGTATAATTGATTAATTATTGCTAAAATTCAAAAAAAAAAAACGCCCCCTATATTTCTTCTTAAAGTTAATTAATTATTCGATTACATAATCAACCCTGGATTGGATTCCTACATTTCGTTTTGATACAATTTTATTATCCGGAGTTCATGTTGTTCTTATTGATTAGAATGATGTTGATGTTGATGTTGATGATGGTTAATACTACAAGGTGTAAACCATCCAATCAAAAGACAATGCAACGAGTTAACAATAAATACATTCCCAATAAAGAAATTTTAATAAAGTTACATATACATATACAGTAACATCGTCTAATAATTTTTAAACAAACAATAATTCATTCTTTGCCTCAGCCTTCTATCTCCTACCTCTTCTTACTCCCGAAACCAACCACTATGTCCACCCTCCCCCCCTTTGGTCTTAACAACTTTCATAACCAATTTGATGATCATAAATACTGATTATCATCAACTTTACTAAGATTGTTAATCCACAATTCATGTTGATCACTTGAACATACACAAAATGAATATATATCTCAAAGACGCGTCTATGTTGTACACTATCAAACGTGTGTCTCAATTTTATATACTCATCTATGTAATAAGTCTTGTTACATTGTGTATTATTAATATGACTACCCTTTCAAGTACCATGTACAATACAATAATTATATTATATAAGACAAAAACCTTATATTATTATATTATCATAACTGTATTAAGAGGAACCTTCTATTATATTCTTTTTTTGTTCAACTGGGTGTGCCCTTCCCCCTATTTTTATTTTTAATTTTCTTTTTTTCCTCGGTGCTACCAAGATGTCCACACGTGTTAGTAGTCACATGATCCAACGACATTTGACTGTTACGACATGCGACATTGGATCAATCATACAATTTCAGGTTTGTTAATACTTGCTATGGCTATGTCATTATTATTGCTATTGTCAAGGCGACTTTAATTAATATCACAAGAGATAATTAGACCAAATTTCATTATTCGTTGACCCACACCCCACCCCAGTGGGTACTCACGTGCTATAAACATTCTGTCAATATTATTAATTTTAGTTCCCAATACATTTTTTTGCTAATCAGTAATAAACTCACATTCAAAATTTTTTTTTTTTTTTTTTTTTTTATTTGTTCATCAGAAAGATAATTAATTAATTTTTTGATACTACTTTCTTTTATTAAATTGATAAATTCAATTACTATTCATGCCATTATTTAGATCTAGATCAAGATCAAGATCAAGAAAAGATTCATCTCCACCACTACCCGATGTCAAACCATATAGATCAAATTCAATTGGACGTACTCAATCAAATGATTCTTTAAGATCAATTAATTCAACAAAAAGTAATAGATTAAAATCATTTTTTAAATCTCCTATTGTACATAATTTAGATGATCAGTTGGATAAATTACATATATCATCTAGGGAAAATTCAGTATCTCCTTGTAAAGATCATCATGATGAACGACCTGTGGTTAAGAAAAGAATAAGTACTATTGCTGAAACTTCAAGTAATTATTCAACTGATACTGATGCTTATTCATCAGAGGAGGAGGACAATGAAGATGAATATGATGATGATAGTTGTAGTGATGATGATGATGAAATACATGAACATCCAATTAAATTAAAGAAATATTCCCTTGATCAACAACATCATGATTTAACTGTACTATTATCAAATATGGTAACTTTAGGATTATTTAAAAGTCATATTAAAAGTTACAAAGAACTTAAAGAAATAGCAAATATTGAAAGTCAAAATACTTATTCATTATTAGATTCAAATAATAAAATTTATAAATTATCCAAATCATTAAATGGGAATAGTATAATTGATGTCAATCAAATATCATTAATTAATAATTTGACTATAAAGATTCAAGATTTGATAATTAAGAAAAATTATCAACTAATAACTAATGAAAAATCATTATTTCAAAGATATGGTATCATCAATCAAGTCATTGGTAAAGGAGCTTATGGATTAATTAAAATTATCGATCCCGATACTAGTTCTTCTTCTTCTTCTTCTACTACTACTACAGGAAGTCCAAAATTTGATATGAATAGAAATTTATATGCTGTTAAACAATGGTTTAGAAAGAAAAATGAAAGTAATGATATTTTCATTGAAAGAATTTTATCAGAATTTGTTATTCAATCTACTTTAAATAATGATCATTTATTAAGTAGTGTTGATTTAATGTGTCAATTACCATTATCTTCAAATTATTCTGATTTACAATTTAGTCAGATTATGTCATGTAATCAAGGTGGTGATTTATATTCATATTTAATGAATCCAATGGATATTAATAACAAATCTGTGAATTTTATATCATTAGATGAAATTGATTGTTGGATTAAACAAATCACCATTGGTTTAAATTATATGCATAATCATGGAGTTTCTCATTGTGATTTAAAATTAGAAAATATATTAATTTCTTATAAACCAACTGGTCCTGATGGTAATATTAAAATGATTCTTAAAATATCTGATTTTGGTAAATCATTTGTATTTAAAACAAAATTTGATAATAATGAACAATTATTAAATAATTCAAATGGGTTATTAATTGGTACATTACCTTATATTCCACCTGAAGAATTCCTTTCAAGTAAAACTTCAAAAGGTATACCATTTTCATCAATTAAAAAAGATTGTTGGTGTTTAGGTATACTTATAATCGTATTATATAATATTCGTCGACTTTATTATTCTGGTTCAAATTCAAGTATTGAATTACAAAAAAGATTCAGAAATTTCACCAATGATTCAACTACCACCACATCAACAAGAACTACTACAACAACAACTTCTACTACGACTGATGAAGATACAGATAATGAAGGTGGTGTACATTTATCAAGTGTAGATATTCAAGGATGTGGATTTATATGGGGTACAACGGATTTTAAATCATTAACAGATAAATCATATAAAGATAAATTATTCAATGAATATGTTCATAAAAGAATGATTGCAAATTATGATTCAATTACAAAAGAATGGTTGATTAAAAAACAAGGTAAATTTAAACAAATTGATAATATTTGTTATATTTCAAATACATCAAAAGATCATAATGTAGTTGAACAAATAAAAAATGATAATAATGATGATTTGAATGAACTTAGAGTAATGATGATTTATAAATTATTAGATATAAATCCTGATTCAAGAATGAATACTGGTGATTTATTATCTAGTGATTGGTTAGATGTTATAGATATTTGCTAATTATAATTAATATCACTACAGTATTATAGTCTCATTTTTTTGTAAAAAAATAGAAAGATAGATAGATATAAAATTAATACATGAATAAATAGATAAAAAAAAAGGAATAGTGATGATAATAATAATGATGATAATAATGATAATAGTAATTATAATAACCATGAATGAAACTAATATAAAAAGGGAATGAAAATTCTATAGGATTCAATAATAAGAAAGGAAGAAAAAGTAAAAAAATAAAGTCCGTTGAATAAACAAATGCAATACCATTTTGAATTATTATATGTACATTGGGAAAGTCATGAAATGATGTAGGATGTGTTAGGGTGGGATGAGATGGGATTGAATTGAAATGAATTGGATGTGTGGGTTGGTTGGTTGGTTGATGGAAAGATTAAAAATCTTCAAATTGATCACGATAAGGATCTTCAACCCCACTTATACCATAATCTAAATCTTTATCTTCAGGATAACGATCAAATTGTGAAGTGTCACCAACACCAGAAGTAATTGGAGGTTCATAAGGAGTTTCGATATCTCTTGATAATAATCTTTCCCAAATAACTTCTTTAAACCATGGATGATTTTTAACATCATTTGAACCACCTTGTAAATTACCTAATCTTTGCGTTAAATCTTTAACAATCAATTTTTGTAAAAGGTCTAAAATATCAGGAGGTAAATAATCAGGATAAGTTATTGTACCATTAAGGATGTTTTCATAAGTTTTCATTGGAGTAGGATCATAAAATGGAGTATAACCAGTCAACATTTCAAATATTAATATACCAAAACTCCACCAATCAACAGATTTATTATAAGGTTTAGTGGCAACAACTTCTGGAGCTATATAATCAGGGGTACCACATAAAGTATAAGTAACATCTTGAACTTCTTTAGCAAAACCAAAATCAGTTAATTTTATATGACCATTTTTATCTAATAAAATATTTTCTGGTTTTAAATCTCGATAAATTATATCTAAATTATGCAAATATTCAATAGCTAAAAATACTTCAGCAGCATAAAATTTGGCTACAGGAGTTGGAAATCTTTGAGATTTTCTTAATAATGAAAACAATTCACCACCTTCTATATAATCCATAATCATAAATAAATTATGACAATCTTGAAATGTCCCCCACATTCGAATTATAAAAGGATGTTGAGCTAATTTTAACATTCTTCTTTCATCATTAGTATGTTCAATTTGTTTCATTTGAACAACTCTTTGTTTTTTCAATACTTTCATGGCATAAAATCTTCCATTATGAATTGATCTTGTTAAATGAACTCTACCAAATGAACCTGTTCCTAATGTACGTAATATTTGAAAATCATTTAATGTATATTTGCCTTTAGTAGTAGTATCTTTGTTGACATGTCTTGATGGTTTTTTACTCAATCCGAGACTTGTACTGCTATTATTCTTGGACGTGCTATTTTCATTGTCCTTGTTGTTGTTGTTGTTGTTGGTCTCGTTATTGTTGTTCTCTAGTGAAGGAGAAGGTTGAGCGTAGATATTCTGTTGATGTTGTCTGTTGGCTAGTTCTTGTAAATTGATATCGTTTAAAGATCTTATACTAGTGTCTCCTTTTTCCATAGATGTCATGATTTAACTATAAGTCTGTTCTTGTTCCCTGTTGTTGTTGTTATTGTAGAAGAAGAAGAAGAAGAAGAAGAAGTGATGATAAAATTTTCTTTCTCGTTTTCTTTTGAAGAAATTTTTCTTTTTTTTTTTTTTTTTTCTGTTGAGTCTTTTTTCTGATTGAATAAAGAAGAAGAAGAAGAAGACTAGACAATGAAGTTATTGATATTTATGTAGTTGTTGTTGTTGATGATGATGATTACGATGATCAAGAAGAAGAACAAGTAGAAAAAACACCGACAAGAGTAGACCGTACATATGATCTACATGATGTCAATATTCCCACTTCTATTATTATCTTTTTTAACATTGCATATAAAATTTCATCTTTCATCTTTTCTTCTTTAATCAAACCCCCAAGAAATAAAACAAAAAAAAAAAAAAAAGAAATTTTTCTTACAAGTTAATTGTGTTACTGTGTCACGTGATACCAGGGCGGATTAATCATTATTTTACTACCGATGATGATGATGATGATCAATAATAATAATAATAGAAGATCCACTACGATTATAATATTCAAGTGTGGTTTATGAGTGTTATTATTTAGCGATACGCTACGGATGATTTTGCCATCAATTACAATGTTCTGTAAAATAATTACAATACATTATGTATATATAAAAAAAGCAATGAATTTCAGGTCTTATACATCATTTCTTTTTTTAACAATTTCTCCGATGATGACGACGACGATGACGATGATGATGGTTATTATTATTATTATTGTTATGGCAATGATCTAGATGATCAATAATGATGAGTAAGCATCATCATTGACCAGCAAGAGATGAAATTTTCATTACTTTTTATTGTATATCTCATCTCTTTCAATCAAAGAGGCGGCTAATTACATCACTTACACCGATTAAGTTATCTTACATTTGTAAACACAATATCAAAACTAAATTTATTCACTGCATCTTGTTTCGTTTGTGAATACATTCTGTAATCATTTTTGTAATACATATATCATTGTTTTTCTTCGTATTATTGACCAATACATATACTACATAACCCAGTATTCATCTGGTAATTCATCACTATCAATCTCATCCGATCTATCCTCCATTTCATCATCATCTTCTTCTTCTTCTTCGTCTCCTTCACCTTCTCCAACAGATGACCCGAATTCATATACATCTTCTTCCCCTTCTTCTTCAGCTTCAGCTTCTAATCTTGCTCTTTCAATAGCTTCTTCGGCCCGATTAATCTGTTCTCGATAATCCTCAATATCACGGTTCAAATACTCTTCTTCTTCTGCATCACCTCCATGCCCTTCTTCGTCTCTACTATCATAATTGTCTTCGGAATCAATGGCTTCTCTTGATAAAATTCTTCGGTACAATTCATCTGCATCATCTTCTTCAATATCATTATGATCATGACGTACTTGTCTTCCATGACTTGGTGGCTGTGATGGTCTAACTGGTATATAACTCTTGTTAATTACAACATTTCTACCATCAATATCTAAATTCAATTCTCTAGCAAGGGTCCCTTTGGTTTGTTTACCATTATTATCATTGCCATTATTGCTTTCACCTGATTTATTATTAGAATTATTCCCCAGTTTGTTGTTCAATAACCCGCTGATTTGTCTTAATGCAGTCTCCAATTGCTCCAATATATCATGACCTTTGGCAAACAAATAACTCGACGCAGGTTGTTGTTGTTGTTGTGGTGATACTATTGGTGGCGCTGATAATCTGGATCCTCTATCATTATATGACAATATTGATGATGAATTTCTTCTATTCGAATTGGCATTAAATAAATTATCATGACTCAACAGTTGTCTCTCACTATAATACATAATCAAATTTTTAATAACTCTTGTAAATCCTAATTTATCCAAGTGTTGGGCTCTATCCTGTACCGAGACTATTTGTCCATTGTTTTCCTCATCTTCTTGTATTGATAATCTCCTCTTTTCATCGCTTTTACTACTTCCGCCAGCTTCGACTGCTGAAGTTTCATCTTGCATAACAACATCTTCATCCTCGTCTTCTTCAATATATAATCTTTGATTTGAGTTATGACTAGTGACATTTCTGGAACTATCGAGATGTTCATAAACATCATATTTTCCGTATTCATGAACAGTACATCCAAAACTGGAATATTTCCATGTTAAATTAACAATAATCCAAATTATTGAACAATGAATATTGTATAAATTATTAAACATGTTAATCTTGTCATTATTCTTCAAGGAAATACTTCCATTGCTTGGAATGGTAAATGCCAATAATCTCAACCAAACTCTTAATAAGTCATCACTTGGAAACAGATATTGTTCAATCTTGTCAATAACAGTATATTTATGATCTTCCGTATGATTAATTGATCTAACTAATTTAACATATTCTTCATTTTGAATTAATTTAATCAATATCTCGTCATTTTTATAAAAATTCTCCATTTCATCAATATTGCTATTGATCAATTCCGGCAAGAAAATCTTAAATTTGGTGACATTGGCAATCAAAAATTCAGTCCATGTCTTTGGTAAACTAAATTCTCCTTTTGGATACCCAAGATTAATGAAATCATTCTCATAACACTCAATCAACAAAGAATTAAACTGAGGTGATCCAGCGGTAAAATTTCTCAATATTTCAAAAGCAATAATTTTCTGTTGCAATCGAACATTCAACAAATCAGTTAATGGTAAACAATTTTTCAAATCGTGAGGAGCAATACCAAAACTGGCTTTTTCAAATATTAAATTCAACGAAAAATAATCCAACACTTCTTTCTTAATCTCGGCCGCTTCATTATACATAAAATTCTTGATTACTTGCAATATCTTCAATTGAATATTATCTCGTTCATAAACTTCTTCATCACTTAATTTTTGATCATCACAAGCTGCATTCTGGTAAATAGTCAATAAGCTTGATAAAAATTTATCATACCCAATAATTTTGTACCTAAATGAACTGAAATCCAAAATAAAATTAGCCAACAACCCAATACAAATAGATTTATTAACCATCAAATTTTTTCTACTGCTGCCAATATCAATTGCACATGGCGATTTACCACTGTTGTTAACCCTATAGAAAAATTCAAATATTTGATATAAATTCTCATATCCATGAATGATCTTTAAAATATCCATAATAAATCCTCCAGTGGCTCCACCTGGTATAGATCCGGATGTCATCGGTGGCCTGTTTGCATTACTGCCACTACTATTACTATTATTCCCATTTTCTCCATTCCTGCCACTGGTAAGAGCTCCTGATCCGGCACGAATAACTTCAACTCCGCCAGTTTGAGCACCGGTTATAGATGATAATGAGCTTGTAACTGGTGCAGGTTCATTGACTCTACCACCCGATGATTCATTGGTTTCATCAGCACTGAAACTTGTAAATGCATTACATTCAACAAAAAATGTCCTCAAGGTGGCTACAGATCGAGAAATCGATCGAATAAAATAAAAGCAATTTGTGAATAATGATGAATCATGTAAAGTACTGATTATCCCCAAATTTCTACCAAACCAAGGCAAATCACTCTGTGGAATTACACGAGTTGTTCCTGAACGCACCCCATTCATTTTGGACTTTTTCCTCTTTGGATTTAACAATCGGTAAACCAACTGCAATTGGTTCATCAAGAAACAATAGTCATCCACAATTTCAAAAATAAGTAGTGGTAGATTAACTTTGTTGAAATCAGCAGAAGAAGTAGCGATTCGATTTCTATATTCTTCACGGTTGCTTGTGTAAACACTCAACAACAATAATAAATCAGCCACTTCAACTTCATCCTTTTCAATAGTCAACATCACGGTAAAATCAACTAAATTCTTACCATATTTACTACTAGATTTCAAGACTTTCAACACCTTGAGTAATTTACTTGAGTTATAACTTGATTGTAATTTTTCCACAATCTTATAGTCAACATTGGCATCGTGGATTTCATCATTCAATTTTGGATACTGAACACATAAATCAGATAGTATTCTTGCGGGAGATAATAAAAACATAGGAAGATCATACCCTCTATTACTACCCAAAGAATTCGAAGGCGCTGATTGGTAAATTAACTTAGTGGTTCCAATCTTGGTTCTCTTGTTATTACTCCCGGTATAATCGTTGTTCAAATCTAACATACAAATAATTCTAGGAAATAGTTTTCTATAACTTTTGAAAATTACTTGTCTGTCAATATCTTTAGAAGGTTTCAAATTATTCAAATAAAATGTAATCAAATTCAATGCGGCCAAATTCAATGCTTTATTGCCATTAAACTTAACCAATAACAATAACGACAAATATACCTTGATTGATAATACGATTACCGGTGACGTCGGTGGTTTATTAAAGCTTTTCCGTCTTTTTCTTTTGCTTAAATCATTGATCCCTGTACATGAAGCTTCTGTTGGTGATGCCATCACTATATCATAATCATGGACTTTCAGAAAACTAAATATTTGTGCCGTACACGTTATCAATTCCTGTAGTAATTGAATGTCTACGGTTCTATCAAGAATCGTTTTGTTCAATTCAATATTTGGTAAACAAGAATCTTCAAATGCCATTTGGTGGAAAATCTTGGTGTTGGAAGTAACATTAAACAACCCAGTGTCAAAATGGGTCGAAATTATAGAATCACATTCAAAAGTTAATCTATTCAATAACGCAGTCAATAAAGTTATAAGTGAATCATTGGTTAATTGTGAATTTGATGTCAATAACAAAGGAACTAACCGTAACAGCTTAATTAAAATGGATGAGTCAATCACGGAAACATTATGATGATTATTATCTGTTACTATCAATAATGAAATTATAAATTTCCACAAAACACTAGTATCCAACTGATGGTCTTTACTATTTGTTAAACCCAACAATATATCCAAGGCGTATCCTATTAAATTCTTTACTTTACAAATATCCAAACTCTCCATTTGTTCACTCTCGTTATCATTCATCGTGACAATACTGGTGTAGTAACGAGCAACAAATGATTGTATGAAATAATTTAACAATTTAATTATTGGGTTCAACACCAGTTTCATTGAAATCAAACATTGTGTAATATTATCGTCTTTTTTATCGTCAACCTCAATACTGAATAAACATAGAATATTGATAATCACTGCCAATTTCTCTAATTCATTTATAATCTGATTTGTATTTGTTATTGAAAGGGTGTTGCATTCGGTGAGTTGATCAATCAATGCGTTGAAATCGGAGGCAAGTTGTTGAATAAACTGCACGTCTCCCACCAATTTGTATTTCAAGTCCTTATTTCCAATAAGACTTAAACGCAAATCATTATAGGCTTCAGTAATCATTGGTTCACGCTGATGATGATGATGATGATGATGATGATGAACATTTGTTTCATGCATAACTCGATTAAGGGGCATGGTTCAATGTGAGATCGACTGTGTTGGTTGCTGTGTGTTGTGAAAGAAAAAGTGGATTAAGAAGTGAGAGGATAAAGTGGAACTACAAAAATTAAAGACAACAGCAGAAAAAAAAAGGGGGCCAGGCGTCCCGTGGTAGACAACCACACAGGTCGATCGATCAAATCTATCGACCAAGATGGACAACCCAGAAATCAACACTACTCTTTTTTGCAGAGTTGCCAGAACTTGGTTGTCTGTAAATGGTTGCCAGAACTTGGTTGTAAAAAATATATATATATAAATACTTTATAAATCTATACTATCAGGGTCACGCCTAAATCTTACTTCTCCAGAACTTCTGCGATTCAGCTGCTGGTTTGCCAGCTTTGATGTCTTCACTGACTCGAGTGTCTGCATCAACTCGTTTTGGTATATAATCCAAAACACTGGATAATTGTTCGTTATCTTCTAACTTAACAACACCATTCTTATCAGCTACTATATAATCGCCAGGATTGATAGTCAACACTTCTTCAGGTTTATCAATGCTAGCAACCTTGACCTCTAATGGAACATTGATACCAACAACTTTAACTAATGGACCTGGGGCACTTGTACCAACTCCATATGACCATACTGGGTACTTCAAATCATTATGTTCATCTAAATCTCTAATTCTACCTAATATAACTGACCCATTGGCTTGACGATATTGTGCTCTAGTAGACATTAACCCTCCGTATAACGCATTATTCACAGTGACGTAAGGTGCATTGGTGGTTTGTAATTCTAATGGTAACCCAATTACAACCATAGCATCTTCGGGAACTTGATCAATATACGCTTCTTTCACTGCTGGTCTTGGGTCAGATTTAGGAGCATACAAAACAGTGTATGCTCTACCAACAGCTGAGTTTTTATTCAATACTGGAGAACGAATAGTTAAATTAGGAATGAATCCTCCATTTGCGATTCCATGTTTGTTTAACGAATCAGAAACGTCACAAGGAGTGTATTTGGATAAAATTGCAATCACATCTTTCGTTGCTAATGATTTTGAAACAGACATTGTGGTTATTGATTCTTGTTGTTGTTGTTGGGTGATAAGAAAGTGACAGTTGAAATAAATTCGAAACTCGCAATTGACTCTGTTTGTTTGTTTGTGGGGGGCACCAGGGGCTGCTAATTTTCTCGCTTATTGTGGAGTGGATCGGAATTATGGAACACCCCTACCAACCAATCAGATTAATAAACATATATAAAAAAATACATTAAATAAATACATATACTATATACAATGAGATGACTGAATGTCGGTGTGAACTATCCATCTGATCATACCATTTATCAATCATCTATACTGATTCTTTTCTTCAATTTGTCAAACTCATCATTAGGCATGCTCTTATCGCCGTCTTGCATTTCACTGATATCACGACGTTTTTGAGGTGGAACTTTGGTGTGACCAACTTGATCTTCTTTAACATCATCTTCAAGAACCACAGTGGTAATTGGAAGTCTGATATTTGTACCCAATTTTTTCAAGAAATCTGGATGTAATTGATAATCTTCAATTATCCTTTCATTGGTAACACGTTCATCTTTCAAGTCTCTTAAAATAGCACTTAATGTTTGTGGGTGAATCATAGTATTCTGAATGGGTTGCAGTGAATCATGTTGTTCCATTTGATTTTTAACTTGTTGTTCTCCTATATCGTATAATTTCTTTCTTGATCTCAATTGTCTTAATGCTATTGCATTTCTATCCCTTGCAGGATTCAATTCAATAGTTTTAATTTGACTTCCTAGTTTATTTATTGAACTAAGAAATGAGTTATCATAAGTAGATGTTCCTTGTTCGTGAGGATCGCCACCGTCTTTTCCTTCTGGTGTCTTACGAGAATCATCGTTCGACTTAAGTTTATCTTTCAAAAATTTTGGATCAAAACTGGTTGGTGAATCTGGTCTGAAAGTAGATGTAGATGTGGAGGTCGATTGTTCTTGCTGTAACGGTTGTTCATCACCTACGGCATGTTCTTGTTGATGTTGTTCAAATTTTTCTTTTAGTGTCTGTGATGGTAATTGTTTGACATTGGGTGTTCTGGTTATATTGGAAGCAGTTGTATTTGACACTACCTTGGTGAGCTTCCTTCCCTGTTTAGATGCTCCTGATCCCATAGTCTTCTGATTGTATGTGTGTGGGTCTATTAACTATTCTAGTGATATTGATGTGATGTGATTTTTTTTTTTCTTTTATATTGCGATTTTTACTCTCTGAACCTTCGTACCTTAAGAAATAAACATTTAATTATAAAAGAATAAACAGACTATCTATTAATACTACTATTCTACTTATTGGCTTTCTTTCTTGGACTTTTTCTTTTCCTTTTTGTCCTTTTTGTCCTTTTTGTCTTTTTTATCCTTTTTATCTTTCTTTTCCTTTTTATCCTTCTTGGTCTTTTTTTCTTTAATATCTTCTTCGTCGTCTGCTTGTGGTTTGGATTCAACTCTTGCTTTCTTTAATACTTTACCGGAGCTGACATCTTCATCTTCAGATTCTTCTTCTTGAGCACCATCAATTTGATAATCTTTCGCGCCATAACCAGTAGGGAAATGTCTCATTCTTAGTTTCTTTACCTTTTGAACATTTTCTCTAGGCACTACGACTTTATCTAAATCGATACTTGGAATCTTAACGACTTCATGGATACTGTAAAAACGGGAGATTTTAGCATCTATTGGTTTGAATCCAGCTTTTTTGGAAGCAAATAAAGTATGCTTATTATTACTATCATTATCAATGTCAAAATCTTCATCAATTTTGTATGAGATTTTATTGACTTTAATGGATTCATTTCCTTTGTTTTTCTTAGCTACAGATAAAGTTTTCAAATCTTTTAATGGAAATCCCTTTGGTGCTTTGATTAACCAAACTTCTTTACCTTTTAAACTTGATGGGAATTTTCCATTTGAAGATGATGATGAGAATTTGTTGTAGTTTCTTGGTGGGACGTATTCTTTAATTTCTTCCTCTCCTGAACTAGATAATTCTGAGTCGGAATCATGCACATATTCACTTGACTTATAGGATGGTGCCATTTTCAATTAGGTTTCTGGTTGTTCGATCTTATTATTCCTTTTGGGTTTTCTTTTTTTTTTTTTTTTTTTTTTTTTTTCCAAAGAAATTGAGAAGAGGTTTTGAGAAGAGGTTTTTCACATATGAGCTACCATGTGCGTAGTCATATTTTTATACATATAATACTAATGAACAACAGTAATTAGTTGCAATATTGACCATATACTATTTGGTTTTAATGAATGATTACGTTCTATTAATGAATTATCGGAAATGTTTAATTTTACTTTAGTTTGCACAGATGTGTCAATAACTGTTATGTTAATGTAGACTGAACATAAGAGATTATATCTACAATCCACAATTACTTCTATGGACCATCCGATTTACACATGGCATGCAATACCAAAAATTAATTACTATTACTATTGAAAACCAGAGGGTATTTTATACACCAATACACACAAATTTATGGTTTTCTGTTCAACATAATTGCACCGTAGTCAGTCAACTTGATCAGCGGCACAACATTAAGATCCGACAAAGCGGCATCTAATTCACCACCATAAGTTTTTGGCAACTCACTTTTATTGAAGACTCCCAGCATATTACCATTATTTAATACTTGGAACTTGTTTAAAGTTTGTTTACCAATCATACCAATAGATTTGAAAAATCTAAAAGAACCTCCTAAAAGTAAAGGAACATTGATGAAAAATTTGGTACCTGATAATTCAGGATAATTATCACCAAAAATAGCAACAATTTCGTTTGTTGACTTCTTTATTCCAGAATCAATTCTTAAAAATGATACTTTATTATAATCATGAATTTGTGCAACTTTATTATTATCTTTACTTGTGAAATCAAGAAGTTGTAAAGATTTTTCCATTAATCCAATTCTCCATCTTATAAATTGAGTACCTGGTAAATCAACTTTATCTTCTGTTTCAAAAATCTTTTTTGGATTTTTTAAATTTCCATAAATACTCCATGCAGTTAAATGCAATTTAGAATTTGGGAAATAAGTAATAACACCCATTTCATTCAATTGTTCATCAAATGTTTCATAAAAAGCAGCGCTTAATGGTTGAAACTCGTTTCTCCAATTCAATGTTTTGATAATTTTTTCAATAGCTACTTCCACATCGTATTCACTTGTAATTAAAAATTTCAATAAAATTTCATTACGAATTGGTTCATTAACATGTGGTTTGTCAGCAGTATTTATTCTATAGCCAAAAATTTCATCATATTCTGGATTGTCCACTTTGGAAAGAATATCTGGAATTGATGCTACTAATTTAGCAAGTTTTTCAGCTTGAGAATCATCCAATTCAATTGATTTGATAGTTGATTTGATATCTTCACCGGATACTGTCATTTTTAGTCGGGTGTCAGTAGAATTGAAAAGTAAAAGTGATATTTCTCTTCAAATTTAAACAACAACTTGGTGGGGTTTTCTACTTCATTATATATACAACAGACACTGTGGTAAGACACGTAATTCAAAAGGTTTTAAAACAAAGAAAGGCGATTATATGTATTCTTCATCCAACCGATGGGAATTTTTCCTATTTTCCCCTTTGGAATCTGGCGATCGGCGAATCAAAAACCACACGGCATGTGAAACTATTACAAATATTCTTAAGTATTGTTGTAGTTTAAAGTAAATACCCTATGATGTTGGTAATTTATTATCAGATCATCCAAGTCGCTTATATCATCTTCAGCTCAATAGTTTTATATGGATATGAATGAAATTAAACATTTTATAATTGCAAAAGAAAACGAGAAACTTCATGCTTATGTAATACAATTACACACCTCGTAAATGTCCAATTTCCACAAATGATAGCAAAGATATTGCTTGCACTATTGTCTTTTCAAGTTCCACGTCATCTTAATCATTGAATTTGAAGTTAACGACAGAAATCATTGTCATTACTGTGGTTCATTCATACCATTGAATGAATTGTTACATAAAGGAATGTAAATCCTAGACAGAATTTTAAGTCAAATTGACAATATTTACTGTTACAAAGAAATCATTGGAAAATTTATACGACAACATGGATGACAACCCACCAAGTTATGAATCATTGTCAGGAGTGCAAAATTCTACTGTTCAAAGTTACAGAAGTTACAAGTACTCAAACCTTGTGAATGAAGAAGAAGTGAAGTTTAATCAAATAAGACCGCCACAATTCATACCAAATATCCCAGAAGTCATCACCCATTTGAAATTGTTAAAAGTATTTGGTCAATACAAAAGGCTTATTTTGCATGAATATAAAGATGCTATTGATTTCAGAAAAGCGGAAAAGAGATGGACATTGTTTTTAATTGTTGCAGTAAGAAGATTTATCATATTTGTATCTGCCTTGAAGTTACGTGCATCCAAATATAAAAAAGCACCAAGGGACTATGAAACAACTATAGATGGCAGAAGTCGAGAATTCACTGTTATGGCAAATCAATTGGTACCACCATTGGATGTGCTCATGGTATGGCATTCTTTTATATTGAATCCTATGACATTTTATGATGTGTTTGTTAGAAATGACATGTATTACTTCATAAACTATCCATTTCCTTTGCACATAATTGACTCGTATATCGATAGTAATTCATTTGAGTATATTGTTCCTGTTGAATTCAAAAAGAGTTATGTTGATTTGTTAAGTGAATTCACTAATAATGAGAATGACCTATACTATGATATTGATCCTGATACATTTTATCATCAGAAAATAACCATATATTGTCCATACACAGGGAAGGCAATTACAGAAGATGTTGCTTTGACATCTCCAGATAATAGAGGATATGGTGATATTGGGTTCATGACAGCAAATGATAGTTACAAATATAAATCGCTTCATCATTGGTATGGTGGTCCTTCGATTATATCACATGATGAACTCAGAATAATGAAACTCGATTACGATGTCCAACATTCTGCTGGTCTTGAAGGGATATTTAAATATTATTCTAAAATTATGACATCTCCTCGGTACAATGGTAGAAATCCCCAGCGTATCAGTGATGAAATATCAAAAAGTGTGATTGCTGAAGCACAGGAATGTTTTAAATTCAAATCATTAAATGATGATGTCAAACATGGATTTCCCACTCTGAAGGATATACTCTCTAGAGTAAATTCCAAGAATCAAAAACGTCGTACTACTGAAAGATTAATATTAGAACGATACATGAAATTTAATTTGATTTGTTTTACCATCCCCAATTCGATTAACATTGGTGAAGACTTGGTTGGATGTGTTCTTCGTCAAGAAAAGTTTGTCGAAAAAATAAATGATCTTGATTGGGTTAACTTTTCTGATATCAAAGAACTACTAGTTGATGTAATGGCCAAGTATCATAGATTCTTTTCCATTATAACTGCTAAATCTTTGAAACAAATGTTGGTTCCTACTTTAGATATAGATTTGATATGGCATACTCATCAGCTAATGTTATACGGCTATATTCGTGATTGTAAATACTCAGAATGCCAAACAATGATTGATCATAATGATGATGTCAGTGAGACTCTATTGATTGATGCCTTTCAATACACTGCTAGACTGTACAAAGACAAATACAAGAAAGATTATTCCGCTTGCTCGTGTGAGTATTGCACTATCAAGAAGCCCAAATCTACGTTCAAACTTATGGAATATTTCAAGTTGGGTAATAACATTGAAGAAGTAGAAAAGAATAATGAAATTGACGATGCAACACATACAAGTGATCATTGTTCTGGGGAAATATTAGTTTCTTGTGTTGCTTCTGCTGGTCAATGTTGCATTATGATTCGAAACCCAAGTCCAACAGGTCTGACAATAGGATCATCTTACATTGGTATTAATCATGACAAAAGTCCAACAGCTAAGAAATAACGTTATAGAATACTTTGGTTGTGTAATTATGGTACAAAATATTTATGTACTGTGGCACAAAATCGGGTTTATGCAGAGTGAAAAATTTTTCTTCTTCGGGATTCATCAATGAAAAACTACAACAAAAATACTAGACCATGTTACATAAAAAATTTATCAAAAAAGAAAACGACCAGGGTGAGGATTGAACTCACGATCTTGAGATTAACAGTCTCACGCCTTAACCAGCTTGGCCACCCAGCCGATTTGATGGTCATGTGAAACCACCGTTGGTGTCATGTTTGTAGATATGGAGAATAGAATATATGATAATTGGTGTGATAGTACTGTTAACATTTGTAAGTAAAACTCTATTATTCACATAGCAGTTCAATCAATCGAGTATAATCACACCCCAGTTGAATCTATGTGAATGGAAGACATCCAATTGGAATTAACCTGCACTATCTATTTTCAATCACTATTCAACCTCCAAAGAGATAACCTGTCAACATGTAGCAAAAACAGTTATTCAATGAGTGTTCAGAAAAGTATCTAATAGTATATCTACTTGAATTAACATGCTCAGATGAATAACGATATCATATTCGTGTTGATTTTATATTTTGGTTACTTTTTGATGCAGCATTCGTGCAAATATTACCAAAAAATATATACTTGCAATATTTGTGGATATAAATAACCGACTAACAATTATAAAAAACAACACCAATAATGACTACCCAAGTTGGTAATTCTAGTGAAAAATATTTACACTACGAGTTATGTCTTTCATTTATTGGTTTGTTATATAAACCATTCGTACAATGAACAAACCCATTGTTAATGACAGCAACAACTCTACTTAACTTTGACGTATGACAGATTCCATAAAACATAATTGCCCCCTCTAGAGTATCCCTCTTTGGGCGGTGAAGGACATTGATACTGGCAAAGAGTGGAGAAGCAATTAAATTAGTCCCAGGTCACGTTTTACTTGTCAGTGTATTAAATTTCTCGTAAATTTGAAAGTATTTTTTTTGTCTACCAAAGAATATATTCATTGGCTAACATCAAGATGAAATTTGGGGTTCAGGTTTACATGAATTACTTACCACAGCAATGTATATATATATAAGAGGGTGTAATCCTCCACCCCTGATTGCTCTGATTAAACCATTTTTTTTTTGTCTCTTTTTTTAGAATTAGAAATTTGTAAATTAATAATAAAATGGAACTTCAGAAAGAATTATCAAGAGAGATTTCAAATGAAATAGATAAGGAAATCGACCAGGAGATTGAAAAAGAATTAAGAATGGAATTTGAAAATCCACCAGAAAAAGAACAAAAACCCGAAAAGAAAAAGCAAATACCAAATGAAAAGAAAGCTCCACCAACCTATCAAGAAACGATCAAAGAACGATCAGATTTTCCAAGTTTTAGAAGTTATCGCTACTCACTTTTGGAAGAAGATGTACCTGTCAACTCTAATCATTTAAAAGATCCTGAATTCATGCCAAATGTAACGGAAGCAATTGCCCATTTAAGATTATTAAGAGCATTTGGTGAATTAAAAAGAAAAGTAGTTCTGAATTTTAAAAACTCCAATGAAGAATCAGGATCCGACTGGATATGGAAATTATTTGTTACTGTTGCCGTTAGAAGATTTATATTATTTATATCAGCTGTTAAATTGCATGCAAATAAGTTACCTTCTGGTAAAAGAAAACTTGAATCAACAACTGATTCTCGAAGTCAGAAAATGACAACATTGCTCAATCGATTGGTTCCTCCATGGGATGTTCTTATGGTTTGGCATTCATTCATGTTGAATCCCATGACATTTTATGATGTATTTGCTAGGAAAGATATGTATTATTTTGTGAACTATCCATTTCCATTGCATATTATAGACACACATATCAATGGTGAAACTTTTGATTATGTTGCTTCAGTAGAATCAAAGAGAGATTATTTAACCTTTCTAGCAGAATTTACCACCAATGCCCAAGATTTACAGTATGATCCCGACTTGTGTACATTTTATGAACAACTGGTGGTGTTCTACAGTCCAAATACTCATATAGCAATGACAGGTCCAGTTCCATTGACAACATCAAATGGTACAGGATTTGCAGATCGCAAGTTCAAAACCAAAAGTCTAGGATATAGATTAAATGTACTTAATGAGCAATATGGTGATCTGTATTATATATCATTTGATGAATTACGGAAAGTCATTTTAGATTACGATCTTCAAAGTCCAAGGTTACTAGAAGGCATATTGAAGAATTATAGCAACACATTATGTTCACCGATGTTCAAAAATAGAGATCCAGAACGTATAAGCTATCATTTAGCAAGAGATTTGATAAATGTATCTAGAAGACCCGTGGATTCCCCAGCTCTCAAATCAAGTGAGCCATGTCTTCAAGAGTTACTTGTTAGACTTACTTCAGGGAAGTCAAATCGATCTACAGTTCAAAGTTTGATATTAAGACCTTATTTGAGATTTAATTTGATAAGTTTAACTGTTTGTAAAGGAGTCAATATTGGGGAGGATTTAGTTGATTGTGTATTTCGTCAAGGAAGATTTATTGAGAAGATGAATTCAATGGATTGGTTACATTCTCCAGTGATAAAAGAAGGAGTAATGGATTCTCTATCAAGGTATCACAGATTTTTCCTGTTATTAACTGATGCAACTACAGAACGTATGTTGGTACCAACCTTGGATATTGACTTGATGTGGCACACTCACCAGTTGATGTTGTATGGTTACATTCGTGATTGCAAGTCATCACCTTGCCAATCTGTCATTGATCACAATGATAAAGTCGAAAAGATGCCTTTGGATGATGGGTTTGAAGCGAGAACAAAATTATACAAAGAAAGATACAATGAAGACTATTCTGTGTGCTTTTGTAATGATTGTATATCAAAGAGAACTGGGAAATTATCAAAGATAGCTAATATTTTCAAGCTGCTGAAAAAGTCAAAGCCGTGGTTGTCGGCAGAATCTAATCCTTTGTTTCTAAAAGAAGGTGAAGAAGGTGTAACTCATTCAAGTGAAGACTGTTCTGTTTCTAAATTGGTTTTATGTTCTGGAAAAGCAGGTAATTGTTGTAAAGTAGAAAGAGATGTTTCAAAGAATGGAATTGCAGTGGATGGTGTATTCCGTGGTGGATTTTACGTGTTTACTGATTGCGCAGGTGGTTTGGGAGTTGATCCTAGGTATTATCGATGTATGGCAAATCAACTTGCTTCATGTACTGGTGTTTGTACTGGCCATGGTTATTACTCTAAACGTAAACATGAAATCCGGGGGACATATGCTTTTGGGTTTGGAGGAGGAGGTACTGGATGTGGAGGAGGGGGCGGAGGAGGAGGAGGTGGTGGTTTTTAAAGTTTATTTATGATAGTTTTTGATTCAAATTTGAGATTGTTTTATAATTAAATGTAGATGTATATTTTGTTGTTCTAGATCTAAGAACTTCTTAAATACAAGAAGCAGATCAATAATAGTGCATATGATTGTCGAAATTTAGGTGATGATTTACATGGTGTATGTATTGCATACATGTTGATTTGAGTTCATCTTTAATTATACATCTCAATATAATACTTGTCATCTATCTTTTCAATAAGGTCACCTTCCCAGATACAACTAATAATAATAACCTTGCATTGTGTGTAATTAATTGTGGTATGAGACTTCGTTCTCCAGCCAATAGGAAACTATGAAAAAGAAATTCAACAAATTGACTTTTTCTTTTTTCAGGAACCAAAAAATTTATTTTGCAATTATAATCAAATGATGATAATGAAAGGGAACGATTCCAATGATTTCAACTCCCATACTCCAGATTTCTCTATCAGAAATGAAGAGACAAACACATGTAGCTAACACACACACATACACACACATCTAGAACCACTTAGAGAGAAAAGAGAGTAGAATCCCCACTATAATAAATTATGTCAATTAAGATTCCTTGCATCAATTTTGTTAACACATGCATAAGGATGGAATGTTGAACAAAACCGAACAAAATAGATTTATCGTACAACTTTAAAGAAGGCTTGAGTGGAAACCTGTAGAAATTTAATGCAATTTTCTTTTTAAATCAGACGGCATCACTGTACCCGTTTTAGTAACTTTTTTGTTATTACAGGCATTTAATTTCTATTTTGTTCAATTTAGACTAAAAATTTTTCTTTGATTGATAACACCTACTTCATGTTTCATAATTTTTTTTTTTTTCAAGATTCATCATTTTCTTTCTAAATTGTTGATGGATATATCTGAAGATTTCAATTAATCATGCCAAAGGAAGAAGAGGATTTCTATTTCAGTGAATCGGCTCCGTTAAACAAACAGCCAATTCCTCTCACAAATCTTGATTTTGTGTCAGTATTGCATTATTCGACCCTTGAAAATTTTCAAAGTTATAGATATGTCATCGATCCCACTGACCCTGAGGTAGATGTTTCCAAGGTTACAGCACCTAAATTTCTTCCCACAGTTCCAGAAGCGATAGTTCACCTTAAGTTATTGAAAGCATTTGAAGTATTGAAGAAGAAGATTGTAGGAGATACCAATATTACTGTCCTAAATGAATACTCCGTGAAACAATGGCAAACATATGTGACTAATGCTGCTAGGAGATTCATCATGTTCTTGACAGCCTTAAAAACGATAGATGTTGGGGATTATGGAAATGAAGAAAAGGAAGTATTTGATCATGGAACATCTAAACATGAAAAATTCATTCTAACAGTGGATAGTCTAATGCCACCGTTGGATGTAGTCATGGTATGGCATGCATTTTTATTAAACCCAAAATCTTTCTATGATATCTCAGTCAAGAATAAGATATTTCATATTGCCAATATCCCTTTACCATTACACAAGTTGGATCAGTTTATTGATGACAAGACTTTTGAGTTTAATGTGCCAGAAGAATACCAAATGAATTATAAAAGGGTATTAGAAAAAGTCACCACGGATCCAAACGATTTGGTATTTGATAATTCAAAGGCATCCATGTATGAACACTTAGTCACGTTATATTGTCCAATGTGTAAAGAACCAATGACTGAACCACTACCAATTGCAAATGACTCAAACACAGGATTTGCTGATAAAGATTTTGAAGCAGTCAATATTGGACATAACAACTCAAAGTGTTACCACAAAACCCCAGAGAAATGGACACACGATGAATTGCGGAAATTACAATTGAAACATGATATTACCGATTTCACACCATTACAGGGTACATTCAAATATTTCACTCATGTTGTTTGCAATCCAAGATTCAAGAATAGAAAAGCATTATTGATTAGTTTTGATGTTGCTCGTGCAGTGGAAGAAAGTTGGGATGATACTAAAGATCTTGGTGAACTTTTGAAATCAGTCAAAGCCAAGCATCTTCGACAGTTGACACGACAAAGAGTATTGTTGAGAAATTATCTACAATTTAATTTAATCAGTATGACTATTCAAGGTGGTATTGAAATTGGAGAGGATTTAGTTGGTTGTGTTTTACGTCAGGAACGATTTGTTGAAAAGATGAATAAAATAGATTGGCTACATTCACTGGTAATTTACAAAAGTTTAGCCGAGTCTGCTTTAAGATATACACGATTCTTTGAAATGATAACCGATCCAACCATTAAACTGATATTAGTTCCAACTTTGGATATTGATTTAATGTGGCATACTCATCAGCTTTGTATGTATGGTTATTTTCGTGATTGTCGTACTTCAGCTATTCATACAGTTATCGATCATGACGATAAAATAGAGGAAGGACGCTTGGATGACGGATTCTCAACTACTTCTAAGATTTACAAAGAAAGATACAAGGAAAACTACTCAATTTGTTTCTGTTTGTATTGTACATCCAAGAGAACCGACAGTTTAACCAAAATTACTAAATTTTTCAAAACAAAGAAGAAAAACAGACAAGAAGAACAAATGCTTCGATCGCATCCATTATATGACGGTCAATTATCCCATGTTAGTGCTCATAATTCCATCATGTTACCAACAGAAGCAGCTAAATCAAGAAGAGAAAAGAGACCAGTTGTTTGGTCAGACAACACATACATGATGTATTCTTACCCATTTATATTTGTTGTCCCTCCAGTGGCTCCTATTTCAAATACTCATTTTTATGGTAATGGATTATGTAGTTCTGTTACTACCCTGTGTGCAAGTGTAGCTGGTACTTGTTGTAATATGGGAACTTGTTCTTCCAATGGCGGTGCTACTTGTGTGGGAACAAATTTGACGATTGGTTCCTGTGGTAATGCAACGAATGGGGGAACTGTTTTTGAAATTGGTGGTGTTTGTGGTGCTAACAACTCTAATTGTGCTGGTACTAGCGGTGGCTGTTCCAGTAGTAATACTAACTTTTAATGTACATAGACAATTCATAATCGATATATTTGATGTTGATGTCCTTGCGCACGGCTTACATTGCGCTTGATTGACTGGTATATGAGTAGTGTTGGAATTCTTAGCAACTAGTATGAATGTGAAAGTTGAAAGATAGTACTTCTAACGGAGCCTTTGCTGAAGAATTTACCATTGAGTGGTAAGCATATCGTTGTTATATTCTGTAGTTTCTATATTGTCGTTGTATGAATCAAAAATGTTTTTGTGTAACTAGCGCCTAATCGAGGTTTTTGTTTTTGCTTGTAGAAATTTTTCCTCCGTGGTTTGGATTTCTCGTGAGAATTTCATCCTTCCACCACCAGCATCAACCCACCAACCAACCAACCACTGATTAACAGCAATGACGGATGTTTCTCCTTCAGATAACAAGGTCGACACTTTTCTCTCCAGTCTATCACAACTCTCACAAGAGAAATTACGAGAGGATCAGGAAAGACAACAGAGATTACAACGAAACATCGATGAATTGCAACTTCGACTGAGGAGTAATTCACCAATTAAGTCGTCCATGAGTTCTTCCAACGTGTCCTTGGGGAAATCACATTATGGATACAATATTCCTGACTTGAAGTTCAACAGAAGTAAAATGGCAGAAAAGGAAGTTCCTAAACAAGAAGAACAGGAGGGAGAGGAAGATGGCCCTGCGTTGCCTAAACGACCAGCTAAATATGATACTGATGATAAGGCACCACCTCCATTGCCAAGACGGAAGTACAAGGAGCAGAAACAGGAAGATCAAGAGGATGATGCACCAGCATTGCCAAAGAGAAAGACCGATAAGGAAGAAGAGAAGGCACCGGCAATGCCTAGAAGAAAGTATCAAGTTGAGGAAATCAATTTGTTGAATCCCGTGGCTAGGAAATCTTCGTTTCCAATGCCGAAGCAGACACCTGCCAAACCTGCCAAACCGACTAGTGTTAAACCGGAATTGGAAACAGCGAGACCAACAGTGGGTCAGCATAGATCATTCAGAGATATTGAAAACTTGATCAAGTCAGGAGACACCACCCAAAAGACAACTCCAACTCCAATACCAGCATCAGCATCAGCATCAACACCCTCATTGACGAAACAGACACCACCGCCACGTCCACGTCCTCGTCCACCACCAAAGAATCTTCTGGAACCAATCAAAGTCCAACAACCAGCAGCACCATCAACTCCTGTCAAACCGGTAAAGTCAGATTGGCTCACGTCGTTGGCATCGGCTAAGACCACCACCAGTACTCCCCAGTCACCGGAGTCCAGGAATGGGAACAAGTCTTCTGTCATGGTTAAACCAAAAGAGAAGAGTGGCATTGAAGACGAGGAAGCTGAGTTCATACTCAAGTTCAAGGAATTGAAGGCAACAAAGAAGAAACCCATTCTTCCTACTCCTAAACCTGTGGAGAAGCCTGTTCCCGCAATTCTTCCAGTTAAGAAATCTATCGAGAAACCGTTGAAGCCTGTGTCGTTAAACGAAAAGAAGGCCATCAAGGATAGTAAAGTCTTTGAAACAAAGGAGGAAGCTGAGTTCAAGTCCAAGTTTGAGAAGCTCAAGACGGGTCCAGTTCCACCACGTAAACCAAAGACGTTGTCATCGTTCAATGAACCCCCACCGGAGTTCCAGAACAAGTTTAACAAGATTGCAGCCAAATCACCACAGAAACTACAGAGGCCAGCCACCACGGGGTCCTTGGGTAATTACAAGGATAAGGACACGGCTGAGTTGAGATCACAGTTGGAGAAGCTCGTCAGTGCTAGAAACAAGGCTGGACCAATAGCATCACCAACTAAGGATGTGGGTGTTCCTAAAGAAGTGGTTGCAAAGAAAGCCGACACCCAATCGAGTGATGAGAAAGCTTGTGCATCCCACAAAGGCCAGAACCAAGGGTCCAAAGAGAAGACTACCAAAGACGATGCTGAAGGGTGGAGAAGGAGAAACTGAAAAGAAGAAGACAGAGGTGGTACAACCAAAGACAGAGCCAGTTCCTGAGATCAAGACCAGGAAAGTGGGTCCACCAGTGAAGAAACACACCAAACCTAAAGAGATTGGGGAGTTGAAACCAAGTAGCCGAGTAAATGGTGATTTCTTTATATAAGGTATTGTAAGATTGGAAATGTATAAAACGTATATCTGTTGCGAAGGAGTTGTGAGAATTTCATCTTGGTTTTACAACCAAATGTAAACGATGCAAAACAAAAAAGAATACGACTTGATCATAAACTATCACAAATGAAATGTAAATGTCGTATTTATAAAGGAGTCAGATTGTAAACTTGATGAGGGATAATAGTTGATGATTAGTTGAGGTGGTCGATTCATGAATTACAGGGTCTAGTCATGGCTAGTCCGGTCCGGCTGAAATTATCAGAACAATCGGTTGTCCCCTTATCTGGCAGCAAGACAGAAGCCAGAGACAGAAAAAATTAGCAACGCAAAGCAAAGCAAAATTAATTTGAAATGAAATTTTCTCACAAGGAAAAAAAAAAATAAAAAAACAGCAAAACTAAAATCAACAAAAAAAAAAAAAAATAAAAAAAATTCAAAGCGGAAGGAAAAGAGAGAGGAAAAAAAAAATTGAAGATAAAATTCAGTTTGACACACATAGCATTTCCACAAACCTATTCTATACCAGTTCAATCGGATCACATATCATGGAAGAAGCAGCTTATCAATTTGATGAAATCAAGTCTAAGATACCAACCAATTTGGAACAAGTCACCGAATATATCGACTTAATCAAATCTAAAATTCCAACCTCATATGATGAATTACAGCCACATATTGAATATTTCAAATCCATCAAACCAGAAGATGTCATTAATGATTTCAAGAATCTTAAAGTATCTCCAATTACTGTATCTGTAACATTGGTTATTTTGACCACTTTGTTAATATTTGGTAAATTACTTGGTGGCAATGGTAAGCAACATCATGAAACCCCAAAGAAGAAGTCTAAAAAGAAATTGACTAAAGCTCAAAAGTCAAATAAACAAATTCAAGAAATTTTGGATTTCGTTGAACTGGAATATGTCCCAGAAATTGACAAATTCATAGAAACATACAAAACATTATCTTCAGAAGATATCGAAATCAAGTTCAATTATTTTGAAGAAATGTTGTTGAAAGAATTGTTGAAGTTGGATGCAATTGATGTCAGTGGAAATGAAATCTTGAGAGATAACAGAAAAAAAGTCATCAAATTTATTCAAGATCATCAAAAGAGATTAGATAAATTCAAGAAAGAAATCAAAGCTTAATTCAGATTATGTAAAGAAAATCAATGAATGAATGAATGAAATTCAAGGTGGACATGGAACCAACATATAATAATGCAAATAATTTTTTTTTAACAAAAAAAAAAACAAGTTTAAAAAGTATTCTTACGTTTTTTATTTTGTTTTCTTTTAAGATAATACACAAACAACATCTTTCCCCGTTTATTTCTATATGTCGTATTTCTAGTGTAATATACAAATAAATTATTCAATATTATCTCTTTTATTCCAAGATTGTCTTATGGTTATCGAAGTCATCCGGTGATATCCGTTTACCACCACGAACCCCAAATTCCGGAATACCAGCATTTGGTTCACCAAATACACTGGTGAAAATAGGAACAGGTGTTCCTAACCATAAAGCATAATCTGAATGATCTTTATAATCATCTCCAGTTTGGGGATGAATTAAAACACTTAATTTGCCATGATTTAATTGAAACCAACTAAGTACTTTAATAAAAACTTCTGGTCTTAAAACATCAGCTTCCCAAAATTGAGAACTATGAGGTCCAATTACTTTATCATCTGGTAGTTGTTTCACAATTATTGAACCATTAGCAGAATCCTCTGGGAAATTAGCAATCAATTTATTCAATAAATCTTTAGCTTCTTTCACTGTTTCGGGTTTATGAGCATAGTAATAAACATGAAAGTCGTAGTATTTCACAGGGTGAGTGTATTTCAATCCATGGATAGATGTAGTGGCAACTGAAGGGTCGTCCTTTGGTAAATTGGTAACGTATTCCATTATTGATCTGGGGGTACAGTAAAGAAAGTTGAATAAATCAGGAATAATTGGGGTGGGAGTTTTATATTTGGTGCCGCAAATTGATCTGGCGCCACACTATTTTTTTGGAGAATAGTATGACACTGTAGGTGGACAAGATACAAAATATCCAGATAAATTGTATGTGAGAACATTGTACTGGCATTACTAATTACGTATACTGATATTTTGTTAATGCAACTATTTATCTAAACCTAAATCTTTCTTAACCATGGTCTTACAGATTGGGTGGTATGTGTGTTCAAATTTCTTGAAAGTCTCAACAGCAAATTCACGGCTGACGCCATTTTTCAAAAGAACATAACCTGGTCTAACATATTTCATACGACCAATAGTTCCAAGCCAAGCAGCAAATTTTTGAACCAATTCGTCATCGGAAGAGTATTTACCAAAAGAAATTAACAATTCATTCCAACGAGAAATAATTTCACCGTTGTTACTTTCACCATACTTGGCGTAAATCTTTGCGAATTCTCTAATAGTTTCTGGTTTAACGTTCAAGGTCTTGAATCTAGCAGTCAAAGTTTCCAAGAATAACATATCTTGTTCACCTTCAAATTCTTGAGTTTCGTCACCTGGAAGTTGAGTTCCGTTTTGAACATAATCAACCCATTTATCAACCAATTTATAAACTTGAGTGGCTAAAGTAACATCAAGATCTGGTTTTTCTGGGAGACCTGAAACAAATAACCAAGTTTCCCAGTCAATGTTATCCAATACATCTTTCTTACCTCTTGGTTCGTAAAAGTCGTATAATGTGTCAACAAAATCAGCTGTAGTCAATGATTGATACTTGTATTTGTTGAAATAGTACTTGATAAATGGGTTGAATTCTTCCACACCTCCTAATTTGGTTTCCAAATGGAACAAAAAGAATGAACCTTTTTCATAAGGAATTTTGGAAAATGAATCATCTGGATCTCCATTTTCCAAGTCCCATACCAATTTGGTGTACTTTTCATTAAAAGTTTCACAGGTTTCAGTCAATTCATTCCACCCATTGATCATGTCGAAATGTCGTACCTGTTCACCGTATTTTTCAGCATCCTTCTTGCCATCCCTTCTAGCTTCACCAGCGGCAATGGCACCAACGATTCTTCTTTCCAAATAGACAGTCCAGCCTTCATTCAACCAGAAATGTTCCCAAGAGCTGTTGGTAACTAAATTACCAGACCAGGAATGAGCCAATTCATGAGCCATGACTTTAGTTTGAGTACGATCTCCGCTGATTAAAGTTGGAGTCAATTGAGTCATGTTTGGAATTTCCATACCACCATATGGGAAACTTGAAGGTAAGACCAATGAATCAAATCTTGACCATTCATAATCAAATACAATGCTTTCAGCAATTTGAATATAGTTTTCCATATCTTTTTCAAATTCCCATTGACATTTCTTCAAATTTGGTTCTTCACTATACACGTCTGATCTTGGTCCAATTGGAGCTTTAAGTAAATTACCTGAAGTAATAGAAACTAAATATGAAGGAATTGGAATTGGTTGATCAAAGAAATAAGTGTTTGGCTGGTCACTTTTTTGAGGTCTACCAGACATGGTGACAACAGCTGGAGAATGACCAGTGAATTTATATGGGGATTTAACAGCTGGGGTATCAAAACATGGGAATAAACTTCTAGCATGAATAGCTTGACATTGGGAAAAAACATATGGACCAGTATCACCTTGAATAAATTGAATGGCTGTACATTTATCAGTAGTTTTGAAATCAATTTCAACTTTCAAATCTTTGCCTTGGACTGGAATAACCAATGGAGAACCATATGGTGCCTTAACAGGTTTCAATTCAAAATCAACTTTGGTACCATTAACTTTAACTTCATTTATATCCAATACAGAGGTATCTAAAATAACTTCTTTGGAATCTTCCAAGTTGATCAAATCATAAATAACTTTACCAGTTAAAGTTTTGGTTTCAAATGACACAGTTAATGTCAAATCAGTGTTGACAACTTTGAATTTGGAGTAATTGGAGTTAGTACATGGGTCTAACTCATGGAAACGTTTCTTGATATTCTCAACAATCTCTCTAGCCATTGTGATAGGTTAATAGATCTGGTTAATAAATGAAAAGAAAAACGTGGAGTTCTGTTGGGGGATACATCTTTTTTTTATATCTAGCGAGAGTCGTCTGACTGTTGGACATGGACGAGTGCCCTGAGAGAGACAAGGAAAAAAAAAAGATCAAAATCCGAAACTAAAACAAAAACGGTCGAAACCAACTCCGCCCATTTACGCGGCAACGGTCTTTCGGCAGAAACATCATTAAAAATTGCCGTAACATCAAGATTTTGTGAATATTTCTACAATATCAATTGAAAGTGAAAACAATAATTATCAGAATATTTTGTTCGATTAATTGTTTAATTAATAATATTTGCCTATTCAGATGGCTTGTTTGTTTCGGATTCTTCTGGTTGAGGTTCGGTTTTCTTCTTCTTTTCTCTTTTCTTACTAGCTTCAGCAACCAATTCTTCGAAAACTCTTGCCTCTTCTGCTTCATCTTCGGTTCTTGTAATTGAAACAAACACTTCACCTATTAGTTTGAGTGCCTTTGCACGAGCTATTCTTGTTTCAAGTGGAACTTCTTTGTCGTCCAAAATATTATCACAAACACCACGTACAGTACCTTGAATTTCAAACTTAGAGCCGTTCCATGCAGCTGCCAAAACTTTGCCCATAAGATACTTTTCCATTTCAGCCAAATCTTCCGCACTATGTTTAGCAGGTTCTTTGACTTCTTCTTTCTTATCTGTAGTCTCGCCATCTGCAGTGGATGACTTGCCTTCTTCTTCTTGTTGATGTTGTTGCTCTTGGGCTCTGGCTTCTTCTTGTTCTTTCTTAACTTGTTCTAATTCATGTTCCAATTTAGTAACTTCTTCATTGGCTTTCTTCTTAGCTTCCTCTTCTTCAGCTTCCTTTTTGGCATGATACTCGTTATCTTGTTGCATTTGGGTATATTCTTCCAATGTCCTTTGAGCATCTAATGCGGCTGAAACAGTTTTAAATGTATCTTTGACAACTCCACCTTTTTCCTTTACGGAGGTCCAGAATCCACCCCATCCAAAAAATGTTTGATTTTTTAAAAAGATTTTTGATTTAGTCTTATAAATATGCCCAATTGTATGTAAAATTTCCAACCCAAAACTTTCCATCTTAAGTGATTCAGCTTCGTATCTTATCTTTGCCTTAAATGATTCAACAACATCGTCTTTCATATCAGTTTCTGTGAACAAAGATACTTTATTTATCAACTTGTCACTCAATTCTTTTCTAGTCTCGAGTTTTTTAATTCTACATTCTTCTTCAAATTTCTCAAGTTCTTCTTTACGTTTCTTCTCTTCTGCTTCCTTTTGACTAAGTTCGTTTCCTGTATGTGATTCATGTGCTAAATAAAGTGTTTCACCTGATGTTGAGTTAACCTTAGATTCTTCTTGTTGTACGGTAGTGTGTTCAGTTTCAGATTGTGAGGTGGATGCCTTGCCATCTTGTTTATCATCTGTATTAGTCTCTTGTTTCTCATTACCTTCTTCTCCATATCCAGACAATTCTGCAGATTTAGACAATTCCAGCAATAAACTTAATTCACCAATCCAATCTTTAAATGCCTCGCCACCAAAAATCATTGAAAAAAACTCGGCCGGATCTTCAAAACCTTCTTGTGGAATTGATTCCTGTTTACCAAATTTATCATATTTGGCTCTCAATGAATCATCACTCAATACTTGATAAGCTTCTCCAACTTCTTGAAATTTTGCAGCTGCATCTGGATCGTCGGGATTCTTATCAGGATGTAATCTAATTGCTGCTTTACGATATGCTTTTTTGATTTCAAGCGAAGTTGCTGTCGTTTCAATGTTTAATAAATCGTAATATGTGGTATCAACAACCATGACTGATTTAATAAGTAGTTAATTAAGAATGAAAACCAAAAAAAATAAAGTACTCTTAGTCTATTAACAAACAAACTTGGTGTATGTAATTTTTTTTTTTTGCCCTTTTCCCAAATAGTTGTTAACAGGAATTCTTGTATCTATGAAATTTTTTTGTTTGATATTCGTGAAGTGTGTGTGTGTTTTTTTTTTTGCCTTCTTTCTTCGTTTGAATATTTCTGATAGGAGTGTTATATGCAGTCCATTTGGTTATCGCACAACTAGCTAAGATTGTTACTAACGAAATGAAGTTCAAATTGACTGCAATTGCAAATAATATTATACTTGTGATTAGTTCACTAGTACTACACAACTTATAGAACTAAGATATTAATTTTGTTCACTTTCCTGAGTCTCTTATTTAAGGCTACCGAAGTAAATAGAAAGCTTTGTAATTCACCTTTCACTTTTATCAAATAATACGTACCAACTGGGGGAACTTCTGCAAGATTGAGTGGTAACTCCAGTTTCATTAGCAACATATAGAATGGAGTGTTAGATTTGACTAATGTATATTTCAGTTTAATCACATGATTTATTGCTATGACCCTGTACTACATGTCAAATGTGGAAGGGGTGGGAAGAACCAAATGATGACGGGTTGGCTCCTCCCCTCCACTTACCACCTCTCCTAAGTAAAAGGAGAGGGACGAACTGGGCCCACATATGTATGTGGGGCCGACCCAGCCCGTCTATGGCCCTCTGCTTGAGCAACCATATCGCGTCCCCCTACTGACCCAAGGGGGAATAGATAGAGGATGAACCAGGAGGGAAGGGGACTGGTCGACTGTCCTCTCCCTGGTCCTCTACAAGTGCGGTTTGTACTAAACCACCACTACTACTTATCGGGATATTCAACTAACCTATCCCGATGAGTAGCTTTTAAAGATAGTGATGACCAGTCACTATCTTTTGAAGAACTTTCACTAATCAACATCGTCCCTTTGTGTATATGTTGATCCCTTTACAAGGTTCAAGATAACATGTGTTCCCAAGTTACTATCTTATTTGGAAGGTTCTTCTTATGTTTGTGCATCATACTAAAGGAGCAATCAGTTGTTGACTTTCTTCTCAATGACTTAACCAAGTGACACAAGCAACAAATAGTGAGGGAACATATAACAACAACTGATGGAGAACACATAACCTTTGATTCTTGGTAAACTTGTTATGGATATAATGGATTGCAGTTTCTTACATAGAAGTTAGTATTTGCAGCCATAAATAAAACAGACATCAATTGATACACACTTGCTAAAATTGATATCATATATAAAGTGATTGATATTAATTGTTGTTGAAACAAGAAAAGAAAAGAAAAAGAAAGTGGTATAAAAAAGATTTTTTTTGAAAGTAAATTTGTTTTCCTTTTATAGTTGACTTTTTCTGGGATATTTTTATAGGTTTTTTTGTTATGTTATATGTGTGGATTCTTTTGTTATGCTATTTGTGTAAGTATTTTTTTGTTATGCTTTATATGTTTAGTGCTACCATATGCGGGGAAAATCAAACAATTTTGGAGCGTACTTGTATTTGCGTATGCAACAAACTACTATGTCAGTATGCTATGTTTAGCTTTGTCATCCAGCTGGGTAGGACTGTTTACAAAGATGAAGCAGCTCATACACATTACATTGCAATACTTTTTTTTTTTTCATTTTCATCAAACAATGTCTATCAACCAGAAAACTTCTGTAATGTTGAGTTATGATTCCTGTTTTATTTGTAATTTATTATGATTAAGTTTGTGCTTCAGTGATTGCTGATGTATGACAATCATGTCTGGTGTGGAGATTTTGCCGGTGTCATATTGATGAACCTTGAGGGTTATTTGGTACTTGGTTAGACCGTTACACGAGATATTGATAAACAGGGCTTATCACCAAGACACACACCCAATGATTATTTGGTCATGACAAATTTAACCAATCATGTAGTATCGATTAATACATAATATTCTTCAGAATAATTATTAAACTACAAGGGAATATCTATTTACAGAAACTAAACTGAATACAAAATCTATTGAGAGTAATAAACTTTTCTTAATTCAACAATCTTCTTACCTCTGTTGGCAGCTAATTCTTCAATTGTCTTTTGTTTTGTTAAAGCTTCAAAGAAACCTTTAGCAACATGCATTGGGTTTCTGGCTTTAAAAATTTTACCTTTCAAATCTTTGATACCAGCAGCTTGACAGATTTCAAAAACAATTCTATTACATCTTAAACCAAAACCAATTGGAGCAGCTGAAAACTTCAATTTAGAAGCAGAAAATTTATGTTCAAAACTTCCAAGAATAGTTCTATTTTCATATCTGTTAACTGCTCTCAAGTTTTTAACAGCAGCCCAGTGTGCTTTAGTGGCAGCAGTTCTGATACCATCTCTGGATTTACCAATACCGATACCAACCATACCATTCTTGTCACCGGCAACAGACAAGACAAAGAAATTGGCAATGTTACCTTTGGCAGTTTTCAAAGAAACTCTCTTCATGATCAATGGACGAACATACAAGTTTCTAATATATCTTTCATCTAAACCTGTCAATTCAGATAATTCTTTAGCAATTTGTGCTGGGTTTTTAGCGGCAGTTGGTTCTTGCTTATTGGTGGCAACTGGGGCATCTTTAAATCTTATTCTTAAATCACTTCTATCTGGAGAATTAACATTTGGAATTTCTGGATATGGAGCTCTTCCTAACCCTTGATTTGGATATATTATTGGTTCTTCCCATACTGGATCTTTTAATGAATAATCAAAATCTTCTTGTGATGGTGCAACTCTAGATTTGGCTTCACGTCCCCTTAATTGTAATTTCATATAATCTTCTGGTTTAACAACAGATTCTGCAATTTGAATACTTTTCAATATTTCTGGATTATAATATTGATTTAAAAATTTATTGTGTTGTTCAACTTTGGAATTTGATGCTTTCTTACCTGCTTCCGCAAGAACTTTATTGGATGTACTTAAACATCTTTTGATGATGGAAATAGGCTGCACTGTTTGTCTGAACATTGCTGACTAGGTGTATTAAACAACAGAGTTACAAGAGATATCTTCACAGGTTTGGTTTTTTTTTATTTTTTTTTTTTTTTCCTTTCCTCCAATTGTTGTAATGAAAATTTTTATTGAGACTGAAAAATGAAATCTAAAATAAATAAAAAAAAGTCGTGCGTGAATCAAATCATAAAAAGGTATAAATCAAATATCTACTTAAACTAGAAAATATAAGGGGGCGGGTGGACGTAAATAGAGTTGGGTGCTAGAGAAGACTATTTCATTCATGGTGTCTTTAATTTCTCTACTGTTTCATTGACAGCAATTGCAGGTTTGTTGTCATCTAGTTCCTCAGTTCTTTCAATGGCATCAACATCTAATGTTTTAATATCTTCCAAACTACCATTTTGAGGATTTTGAACAGGTGAAAATTGCAATTTCTCGTTCTGTTGTTGCAAAGATTGAACTTCTTTCTTCAATTTATCAACTTCTTTCTCTAATCTTTTACCGAAAACATCAATATAATAAGTTGCACCATTGTAACTTGCCCATACAAAAATAAACGCGACAAATGCCCCACAAGCGTGTTTATATCTAAACCAAATAGGACAGGGAATCATAGTTAACAATTGATAACAAAATTGGATTAAAGTGAACGCCAATGTTTGCATCCACCAGTATGGTAAACCATTGACAAATTTACCTAACGGGGTAGATTTGTTTTTGTTTTTCAAATACAGGAAGGATGTGACTTGACCCTTTTCGATCTTGTCTTTCTTTCTAATTGAAATAAAGTAATGGTAGGATACTTGCCAGATAGTATAATAAATAGATGTGGTGATGATACTTGCAACAAAGTTCCATTTATCTATGGCAGCAATACCTGGATATGTCTCTTTGATATAATCAAGTGGTAACTCATGAACCATGACAAACATAGTAACTGGTGGCATCACATGGATAAATGAGGAAGTTGTTTTCTCAATGGAATGCAACACAAGTGAATTTCTCCAGGTAATGACAGCCCATGATAATGTTCCTAATGATAACGAAAACACCGAAACAAACAAATTCGGTGATGTGGGAAATACCCAAATAAATAGCATTAGTAACAAATTGACATAATAACATAAATCTGCTAAATAGTATTGGAATGATTGTTTGAAATATGTATAAAATCTAATAGGCATCAACAAAACAAATATTGCAGTATGGAAATGTGGGAAATAAATTGGATATTTACCAATAATCAAACCAGAACAAAAGATCAAAAATACAGAAAGAGCATAAAATGCCTTTTCGGTAGATGAACTAACAAGATTCTTGTGTACTCTTTCGTCAAATTTTTGGAAACTGTGGTTTATGACATCTTGTAGCTTATCTAAATCGATATTTCTGCTATGCAACTTTTGTTTAGTTTTCATCTTCATGTTGTTAATTCTTTTCTTGGTCTTATCAGAAACTTCATTCAAGTTCAATCCAAAGTCGAAATCATTGGCAAACATCAATTTGGACAAATCAAGATACGGTAATGACACGCTCGAATCACTTCTAGCTAGTTGAGGAGACGAAAACAGGGACGTGCTTCCATTGTTTGACTCATAGATGTAGCTACCATCGTCGTCATCTATGATGGCAGAGCTTGCATCCTTAGTAAATGTGGAACTTGATGAAGTGGACTTCTTCATATTGTTGTTTGGGTAATCAAGTGGTCTGGCAATGCAACTCTCCTAGTGTAGTCTAATAGGTGGTCACAATAAAAGCAATTGAATAACTTGTGGTGAATTTTTGTTTATCTTTTTTTTTTTTTCGTCTATTATTGGCGGTGGTGGTGGTGGTAGGAATTTACAGTTTTTGTCGCGGTATGTTTCTGCTTTAGGTGGGGAAATACCTCTTCTAACCAATCTTAATCAGGCTATTGATAATGATCTGTTAAGGAAAAGATACTAGATGAGCTAATTAGAAGAAGAAAGTTAATGAAGATTTAATTGATCTAAATCATGTACGTCTTATCGTTCCAGATATTAATGTACCATCATCATCATCACACGTGTCAATCATCGTAGTCACTCGTGGTTGTGGAACGAGAGAGAAGGAAAAGCAAAAAAAAAAAAAAGAAATACACTATGGTTGCTTAGTAAATTTGATTTCCGTGTGATAACCATTTAATTCATAACCGATAATGCATACTATACTAAAATCATTCGTAATTATCAAAGTTTATATACATTCAAGAAAGTAGAACAAAATAATAATCAAAATAAACTCCCTCACAAAAATAAACATTATATCTTTGAAATATTACTACAATCAGAACTAAAAGATATCATCACCTATATACGTTACTTTTTCATTGCCTCGAAATCATACATCTTCTTGTTGTTTTTACCATCATACTTGTGTGGATGTTCTTGAGCATATTCAAAACATTCCAAAATACAAGCCTTGAGGTTTTCTACAGCTTGCCGGCTTACTTGGAAATGGAATGCAATTCTTCCTCCCATTAGCTTAACATTATATTTAGTTCTTCCCAAATCAACAAACAATTTTGGATCCATACGATTAGCTTTTAAGTCAATAAATACAAAATTTGTATCAACTGGAGATTCAAGAATAATTCCATGTTCTTTACAGAATCTACCAACATCTTTAGCCATATCATGGGATTTCTTGATTTTTTGCGTATTATAATCCAAGGCATGGATAGCCATGGTTGTCATGAGCCCAGCTTGCCTTATACCACCCCCTTGTTGTTTCTTGAAATGAGTGGCTTTGGTAATGAATTTTTGATCACCAACAAGGATGGATCCAATTGGTGCAGCAAGTGATTTGGATAAACAAATCGAAACACTATCGAAATATTGACAATATTCTTTAAGTGAGATACCAGTTTCAACTGATGCATTGATTAATCTAGCCCCATCTAAATGTAATCTGATTTCATGTTCACGACAAAACTTGCTAATTCGTTCAATTTCTTCAATTGGCATTATGATCCCATGCAAAGTGTTTTCCAATGAGATTAATTTTGTTGGTGCAGCATGAATATCTCCATCATCGTAAGTGATGTTATCCAAGATATCTTCAAGAGTTAAATAGTCTCCGTTAGCTGGTTTGACTGGATGAACCATGGCTTGACTCAAAGTAGCCAACCCAGCCGCTTCATGCAAATAGATATGAGAACGATAATCACACAATACACTGTATGGTGGTTGGACAAGGTTTGTTCTAACACCAATTTGGTTAGACATGGTTCCACTAACACAGAACAAAGCTGCTGGTTTACCGGTAAGTTCACACATTTTACTTTCTAATTTCAAAGTAGCTTCATCTTCAAGATATACTGAATCCCCATATGTAGCATTAAGGAAACCATCTTCAATCATGGCCCTGGTTGGAACAGTAAAGGTATCACTTCTGAACTCATTAAAAGTGCTGAAAACTTCTTCTTCATCCAATGTCATAGTAAAAAGGAATAAACGAAAATGAATAAAGATAAAGGAAGATAATAAGGAAAATAGTAAAAGAAAATAAATAAAAAAATATTAACTACACTTGTCCTGTTGTTGATACTTATAAAAAAAAAGGAAAAAGAAAATTATTACTCATACAATAGTCAGATGACACAACTAACTTTGCATGTTCCCTTCTTTTCTATAATTCTGTAATTGAGAAACATCTCCTCCTGCTCCTCCCACTTCCTCCTCATCGCTATAAAATTTCTCAATGTTAACCCGAAACACAAAGTTTTTCCGCGCGAGTTTGTGCTGACGTTGCTTTTTATTATTTTTAAGAAAACTGTCGCCAGAAATTTCTTTTTCCTTCCACCACAACTTTTGTGCAGTGCACACCCTTTCAGATCGCCCTACAAATCCACACTCATCGTACAGCACCACCGGACTTTGCCCTTACTAAAAAAAAAATTCAAAATCCTAAAAACGCCCCCCCCCAACGTCTTCTAAAAAGAATGCCGCAAGGACACCACAGTATTGTGATTTGTGTAACTAAAGTGGTTGTTGTTTCAAACAAAAAACTCGGACGTTCACGGGACTTCTAAGTCACGGGATTGAGTGGAGAAATTTCTATCAAAGAAGTGTATCATGCATTTCAAAGATCTTTATTTTACAAAAGTTTCTTTTTGTTAAGAAATTTGCAGCAATATCTGTATTGACGACAATGTTTAATTCTGCTTCTTCTCCTCTATGTTGAAGGAACTATACAATCTATAAAACAAAAACTATTAAAAATAATACCTCCCCATCCAATGACCCATTTCTTCTTCTTCTTCTTCTTCTTCTTCTCTTACCATTGTGCTTCCCCATTTTCAGTAACATTTCCATCAATTGCCGAATTTTTCTCTTCTTCATTTACAAAATTAGTTGGCGGCAAATTGGTTTGATTAAATCCATAATTACCATTGTTACTGATGCTAATACCGAATGGTTCGAAATCGGAACTATTAGGAACAGCCCCATCATTATCAACTTTGAAGCCGTTTAAAGCATTGGAATGGATTTGTCATTAAATGACTTCGGCTAATTTACTCCAATTTCTACGCAAATTTTACAAAAAAAAAATGTGAGAGCGCAATTTGCACATACATTTCCAATCTTACAATACCTTATATAAAGAAATCACCATTTACTCGGCTACTTGGTTTCAACTCTCCAATCTCTTTAGGTTTGGTGTGTTTCTTCACCGGTGGACCCACTTTCTTGGTCTTGATCTCAGGAACTGGCTCTGTCTTTGGTTGTACCACCTCTGTCTTCTTCTTTTCAGTTTCTCCTTCTCCACCCTTCAGCATCGTCTTTGGTAGTCTTCTCTTTGGACCCTTGGTTCTGGCCTTTGTGGGATGCACAAGCTTCTCATCACTCGATTGAGTGTCCGTTTTCTTTGCAACCACTTCTTTAGGAACACCCACATCCTTAGTTGGTGATGCTATTGGTCCTGCCTTGTTTCTAGCACTGACGAGCTTCTCCAACTGTGATCTCAACTCAGCCGTGTCCTTATCCTTGTAATTACCCAAGGACCCCGTGGTGGCTGGCCTCTGTAGTTTCTGTGGTGATTTGGCTGCAATCTTGTTAAACTTGTTCTGGAACTCTGGTGGGGGTTCGTTGAACGACGACAACGTCTTTGGTTTACGTGGTGGAACTGGACCCGTCTTGAGCTTCTCAAACTTGGACTTGAACTCAGCTTCCTCCTTGGTTTCAAAGACTTTACTATCCTTGATGCCCTTCTTTTCGTTTAACGACACAGGCTTCAATGGTTTCTCAATGGATTTCTTAACTGGAGGAATTGCGGGAACAGGCTTCTCCACAGGTTTAGGAGTAGGAAGAAGAGGTTTCTTCTTTGTTGCCTTCAATTCCTTGAACTTGAGAATGAACTCAGCTTCCTCGTCTTCAATACCACCCTTCTCCTTTGGTTTAACCATGACAGGAGACTTGTTCCCATTCCTGGACTCCGGTGACTGGGGAGTACTGGTGGTGGTCTTAGCCGATGCCAACGATGTGAGCCAATCTGACTTTACCGGTTTGACAGGAGTTGATGGTGCTGCTGGTTGTTGGACTTTGATTGGTTCCCGAAGATTCTTTGGTGGTGGACGAGGACGTGGACGTGGTGGTGGTGTCTGTTTCGTCAATGAGGGTGTTGATGCTGATGCTGATGCTGGTGCTGGTGTTGATGCTGGTATTGGAGTTGGAGTTGTCTTTTGGGTGGTGTCTCCTGACTTGATCAAGTTTTCAATATCTCTGAATGATCTATGCTGACCCACTGTTGGTCTCGCTGTTTCCAATTCCGGTTTAACACTAGTCGGTTTGGCAGGTTTGGCAGGTTTGGCAGGTGTCTGCTTCGGCATTGGAAACGAAGATTTCCTAGCCACAGGATTCAACAAATTGATTTCCTCAATTTGATTCTTTCTTCTAGGCATTGCCGGTGCCTTGTCTTCTTCCTTAGCGGTCTTTCTCTTTGGCAATGCTGGTGCATCATCCTCGTCATCTTCCTGTTTCTGCTCCTTGTACTTCCGTCTTGGCAATGGAGGTGGTGCCTTATCATCAGTATCATATCTAGCTGGTCGTTTAGGCAACGCAGGGCCATCTTCTTCTCCCCCCTGTTCTTCTTGTTTAGGAACTTCCTTTTCGGCAATTTTACTTCTGTTGAACTTCAAGTCAGGGATATTGTATCCATAATGTGATTTCCCCAAGGACACATTGGAAGAGCTCATGGACGACTTGATTGGTGAATTACTCCTCAGTCGAAGTTGCAATTCATCGATGTTTCGTTGTAATCTCTGTTGTCTTTCCTGATCCTCTCGTAATTTCTCTTGTGAGAGTTGTGATAGACTGGAGAGAAAAGTGTCGACCTTGTTATCTGAAGCAGAAACATCCGTCATTGTTGTTAATCAGTGGTTGGTTGGTGGGTTGACGCTGGTGGTGGAAGGATGAAATTCTCACGAGAAATCCAAACCACGGAGGAAAAATTTCTACAAGCAAAAAAATAAAACCTCGATTAGGCGCTAGTTACACAAAAGCATTTTTGATTCATACAACTACAATATAGAAACTACAGAATATAACAACGATATTCTTACCACTCAATGGTAAATTCTTCAGCAAAGGGTCCGTTAGAAGTGTAATCCTCTAACCCAGTAACGTAAATAGCAGAATTATTGTATTCAAATTCGACAGTTTCATTACCAAACAATACAGTTTCTGGCTCTTCGGAAACCCCCAAAAACAGTGACATTTGCCAATGGTTGAGAAACTTCATATTCTCCAAATGGTGAAACAACCAATTTGTTGTCAGAAGCAATAAAATCAACGTACAACGATTCTTCAACATCAACTGATTCACCATCATCCAAATACAACTTACCAGAAGCATTACCATCTTTATCTAAAGCAACCAATATAGCAAATGAATTATTTCTGGATTCAGCAGTAGTATAACCTGGTTCTTGCATTGGAATAATATGACCTCCTCTAATGTGTAATGGAATATGACCTAATGGTGCATCTAAAGTCTCATTCTTACCAGCAGTGAAATTTTGTTTAATGTGAGTGTAGTAATCATAGTAAACAGAATCTTCACCTGGGAAAACACCCTTGGTGTAATTTACACCAGGTTCCAAGACTGGAGTTACTACCAATGCATCACCAACAAAGAATTGATTATCAACACCAGATAATTTCTTATCATATGGGAATTGCCAGTTGAATGCACGTAAGATTGGCATACCGGAGACATGAGATTCATGAAGCAAAGTATAGTAGTATGGTAACAACAGATATCTGATATTCATAGAAGTTTTAGTTGCATCCATGACAGATTCCCAAACATAAGGTTCTTGAGAAATAGCACCCAAAACATTATGATTTCTGTAGAATGGGAAAAATGAACCTAATTGCATCCATCTAGAACACAATTCCATATCTGAATTACCATTGAAACCACATACATCAACACCAAAATATGGAATACCTGAAAGACCCATTGAAAATGCTTGTGGAATGGAAAAGTACATCATGTAATAATCAGCTGTATTGTCACCACCCCAATGTCCCATGTATTTACCTGAACCAGCAAAAGTAGAACGTCCAATAATAAATGGTCTCTTGTCTGGATTGATTTCTAATAAAGCATTATAAATTGTTCTTTCTTGTAAATAACCATAAAGATTATGAATTTCATATTCCAAAGTTCCATCAACATGGGTAGCATTAGGAGAGACATCATGGGTTGCAAGATCATGATCACCTTGTGCATTATTAATAGCATATGGTGGGTAATTGATATTGCCTTTTCCTGGAGCCAAAGTGTTTCTGGAATCAATTGAACTTGAGGAGGATGAAGATGAGGATGATGAAGAAGAAGTTGGAGAAGCAGTAGCTGCAATTGATGATGAGATTGATTTCCACTCACTTGAGTTGGATTTATCAAAACCTAATGGATATTGAGTAGGTGAATTACCAACTTCAAATGGTGGATGAACAGGATTATCAAAATATTTATCAGTACCACAGGAACCAACACAGAAAGAAGAAACTTCATTCATATCTGTCCAAATACCATCAAATGGAAGTCTATCATGCCATTCTTTGAAAAAAGTATTGAAATATTCTTGGGTATTGTTATTTAAAAAATCTGGGAATACAGTATAACCTGGCCAGACTGCACCAATGTATAAAGAACCATCTGGATTTTTCAAAAATACGTCAGATTCATTTCCAACATGGAATGGTTCATATTCATTATCAGTTTCATTATTTGGATTTGGAACATAGATGGCAGCATCAAATATAGGGACGTAATGTTGACTATTATTATGTAACTCATCCAAGAATTCTCTGTATTTCTCTGTTGGATATCTATATGGATCATTAGTGAAATCTTTATAACTATCCATATAATCAATATCTGACCAGATTGTTTCTAAAGGAATGTTGAATTTTCTGAAATTTTCCACAACTTCTTTGACTTCATCAATTGTATCATAACCCCATCTACATTGATGATAACCCAAGGACCAATATGGTTGCATAGTAGGTAAACCAATTTCAGCGACATATTGTTGAATAACATCTTTTGGATCAGGACCACTAAAGAAATAAAGATCAATTACACCAGAAAGTGCTCTCCAGGTAAGTGATTGTTCACCAACAACAATTTCTTGAATAGCTGAAGTTCTCCAATATACACCATGAGTAGTGTTAGTTTCATATCTCTGATCATAATAAACTGGATGAACACCATAGATATTACCATCAATTGGGTCACCAACATCGTTAGCAAATAAAGTTTTAACAACACCTGGCTCATTAAGCGAACCATGAATAGATTCACCCAATCCAGTGATAGCATGACCTTTAGGCAATGTGGTATTAAATTGAATAAATTGATTCGAGAAAACCAATGGGTTACCTTTAGTGGAAAATAATGATTCACGTGTAGAACTTCTAATAATTTCAAATCCAAAATCGTTCTTATCATATTCAAAGACTAAATCTGAATCAGCAAAATTAAAGGAATCAACATCACCTTCGATTTGTGGTTTAACAACGAGTTCTTCTGGCAACACAAAAACATCAGTTAAATTCACTGGTTCAATATGAACATTCAATCTCTTTTCAGTTTGATATTCAACTGTTAAATTCAAATAATCAAAATCATAACCATAAATATTGGTAGCTTCTTTGAGTTTTAAGATACCTGTCAATCCTCTAGGTGTATTGGTAACATTGACCAATGAGTAACCTTTAGCAGCTTGGTTAGCATCAACAGCTGTATCGTTGATAATATTAGGAACTTGTTTAACACCGAGAGTAAGATCTGTATCAACAGTCTTTTGAGCATTTTCAACACTACTTGATGGAGTAGCAGCAGCAGAAGCTAAGGACAACACCCCTAATATTGCAGTTGTGGTTGTCAATATGGATTTCATATTTGTAGGACTTGTTTATTGATTTCAATATAGATTAATAAAGATTTCGGTTTCTATTAAGATTTCAATGCCCTATTTATAGTTTTCGGAAGAAACCTAGGTGTGCTTTCATCAATGACCCCATTTCCTCCCATAAGTTTGGAATAATTTCTCATTGGTTCAATTCATTATGAAGTTGGAATGGGGTGGTGTGGAGTGGAGGTACATTGTTCTTAGATGCAATGCATACTCTGATTCTCTCGGGGGAATTATATCCGAATTATTGCTTTGCTTTACTCTCGGATTATTAATATGTATAATTAGATTTTCCTTATTACTTCTAGTTATTATTTTTTTTTTTGGGGTACATGAACAATGAACGGAGTGAACGAACAAGTTTCAAGTTGAGGCGGGGGATGTCAACTTATACCATTGAATCATCGAACTTTGTAATACCTGTAGTTTAAGATGGCTCTAATGAAATTATAAGGTACCACATTATGTTAACCAAGAATTGTTATGATATGTCATGATTTGAATGATGCAAAAAAGAGTAAGAAAAGGGGGAAGATCTGTGGGATATGGAAAATTAAAATTTTTCCAGGTACATTTTGTTTTTTTCTTGCTACCCCTTTTTGCATTGCATTTTCTTACGGGGGTTTTTTTCATATGCAAGTCCCAATTATTAATTCGGAAAATTAATCGGGTAAATTTGCATGTCAATTGTTTATGGAGAAAGAAAAAAAGTGGGGAGATTATTTGGAGCGGGTGGAAGTCGGTACTAGACAGTAGATGAAGAAGAACATGTTCCATTCAATGAAATCTCATGAGTAATTACCAAAATTGATACAGTGACCCCACTGGTCAGACTCAATGGAAATTTATTACTAGACTTTTGTTTAAAGTTGTGGAAGCGTAATACAATTAATCTCATTAAGCAAATGTCTAGAATGATTCTTATGAATTTACAACCGTAAGAATCAGTGAAACTAGCAATACTAGGAGAAGAAACATAGTATACTTACTGCTGAAGTATTAAGAGCTGAATTTAGACTAGGTACTTTTCATATCATATACAAACTTCTGGATCTGTTTCTGTTTCTGAACACACGTAGAGTGATATTATGAACACTTACCGTAGATTCTTTGTTAAATCTCTATTAATAAAAATTGGTCAATGTGTGTACTTCTTTGACATTACTTTGGTTTAACTAAGTGTTGCATGATAAATCTAATAAGTTATAACTACAAAATTGAAACGAATTGATACCACTAGAATAAGTATAAGATAATTTACTATTTGGGGTGTATTCGTTCGCTCCGCAGTTACGATTGGAACTTGGAAGTCGTTAAAAGTGATACCATCTTCGTAAATATTACTGAAGACCTAAGTAAACAAGTTATTTTGTAGGATTCAATAATTGCTATCAAACTTGTGTAGATTCGTTTTTATATATTTTTGATTTGATTGAAATCCGTCTATGTAATTTACCCCAACGATTCCTAACAAGTAAAAAATTTTCCACTCTGCAGATTCAATGGGAACTTTATTCCTGCATATACCATCCAATGAGCAGTATCTTCTCCCAACCCTGATGGTATATTTGCCACATATACACGACCCTTTCTCGGGTATAAAAGGAGAATGAAATTTCCTCATTTTGAAAATATTGCAATTTGATAAAGCATTTTTTTTGTTCAACGTATGTGCATAATCTATATGAATTCTACGTGATGCTTGTGTGCGTTGTTGTAAAATGTTAACGTTCATGATTGAATCACAAATTTTACTAATATTTTGAGTTCTTGCTCATTAAATTCTAGCATAGATTTTAAATTAATATAAGATTTTTTATGTATATTTAAGTAAGTGATGTTACTGTAGATCGAACAATGCTATTGATTTTCACCCATTTTGCTTACTGTCCTGAACTATTTGACGAGTCTTCTATTGAATCCATTTCTTTTTCTTTTTTTGGTTTTGCTATTTTTTTTATAATTTCACACCCATAACTCCCGTGGCACGTGTAAGCCACAATTATTTTCTTTTTCATTATTTTTGTTTTATTATTGTTGTAGTTGCTTTTTCTTCCTTCCTATTGATATTATCAGCTTGTAGCAATGTAGTCCACATCTACCATCTTACGTATAAGTTCGGATATCTAAATAATATCAATCTTTCCATTACTACTACAAGTAGTATGATCATTCTTTTTTTTTTCGTCAATTTCATTCCAATACTTTATGTTCCATCTCGGAAATCCATTCGTACGTTTGTCAGGATATGCAGTGGCTGCAAAACCCACCCTGATTTGTCTTATGGTTAGTTGGATTAGTTGAACCAACACGCGTGGGATGATCGTAAATGCGCTCCTGTATACAAACACACTAAAAGTACTACAGAACTAATTCCAAAACCACATTGTTTAATTACAGCAATAAGAAATTTCTATTATTATTACTCGCCCCCCTAAAAATGAAGCAAGGCGAAGCAACTAAATAGTTAGTGAGAGAGGGAGGGACATGTTTCATTACATAGTTTATGGATACATACATATATTTTTTTTTAATCTGTTTGTTTATATCTTCCCCTCTACGGTTTATCTAGTTGAATTGATAACAAAAGAAACAATACATGACATTACGTCAACTGGGGGAAGGGAGGGATAAGATATAATATAAATACCAGAGAACAAATATATTCATCTAAGATAAGAGATTTCCAGTTCAATACATGGTAAAAATATTCTTTTTCATTAGGCAAGCAATGGTACGATTAAAAATTTGGCACCAATACGTTTGCTTTTCGTACCCACTCCTATTTTAATTTTCTTCGTCTTCATCTTCGTTTTGTTCCACCAAGTATTTTTTTTTTTTCACTCGCTTAGATAACCAGCACGCATCGTTCAGGAATATCCGAAACATCAACCAAGGCACAGTAATAGATTACCTGATCCCTCTACAAAGACTTAAACGAAAAATCAAGCAAGTGTATATTGTGTATAAAGTGAATCAAAAAATAAAAAAACAAGGTGTAAATGCAAATAAATAACAGTACAAAATCAAACAGGTAAGAAAAAAAAAATGGTCTAAATCCCAGTGTTCTTAATAAATATCCCAGATAGCTAAGGTTATTGAAACCAGAATAAAAGCTAACATAATTGCTTTGGGATAAAGCAATGCAAATAAATAAAGTTGAATAATAAATAATGTGTCGTGGAAGTGCTAATCAATAACACAGTTCTCCAAAATGGTAGTATATATGTATGGTGATGGTGTGAATATGAGTCTCTAGTAGAAATCAAGTAGATGTAATTGATTTTGAAGAGTTTAGTAAAAACCTAATACTAATATAACTCATGATATCAAAGAAAAAGAACAACAAGATAGGTAACCATATTAACACAATCATATGGTTACTTAATTTGCACACCATAGATTCTATTGTGGATATGACATTAAAAAAATTGTGTAAGAATACTTGTATTGATAATTGAAAGTTTGTGATTGAAACTGTAGGATGTTGTTGGGTTATGATATGTAATGATGAAAACATTTTGGTATTTAGTAGTTGGTTCAATCAAGTTGATATGATATTGCAAAAAGATAAAAATAAAAGATAAAAAAAAAAATCGATGAAAGATAAAGAAATCTTGCAATGTATTTATATTCTTTAGGAGTGTCTTAAAAATAAAAAATCTTACCATACACACAGTATTCTTTTTAATTTTAGTCCTGATAAGTGTGTCTTACTGTGTGTGTGTGTGAAATCTCTTATTTGGTTTCTTTTCAGTATATGCACAAAATGAAGGATTATGCAAATGATGTTAAACTTATTTTAAATCCAGTAAAACTCTTCCCTTCCTCCCTCCCTTGTTATAATATTATCATTTTTTTTTTACTTTTCATACTTTATTCTTTGATAATCTCTTGTTTGTTTTCTTCTTGGGTTATCCCCGATATCCGAACTTTAAAAGCAATCAGCTTTGAATCTTGGACTATTTCTTTTTATACTTATTTTGGTGTAAAAATCTTCGAGGAAGAGATTGACCCATTTAAAATGTACACCCCCCCTCTGTATACATCCTTTAAGCAGTAACAAAGTAGTATATGCAATCTCATCTTATTGACGGAAGCAACAAAATAAATTCACAACTGTTACTCCTATTATTGAAATCACGCACCCATCAATGCATTCACACACTCACACACTCACAACTTCATCGATCGGTCAGTCACCATATGGTCGTAAGTCTATTACACAAAGTATATTGTGTGATTTTAATTCTAAATTTGGTTAATGTGTGTAAATGAGTGGTCGTGTGCATATCCCAATTTTCTGTACAGAAAGAATGAAATAAAAAAAAATTCTGGTTGAATTATTTTCTCATCTCATCTCTTCAAATTTTTTTTTGTTTTAATATTCCTATTTCTTTTTCCTTTCATCCTATTTCACCTAGACAGTGTCTAGTATTATGAAGAGTATGTAATTGAAATCATTCATTAATGGAATTCATTACAGCAGAGGAGTAATATGGCCCACACAATTATTATGATGATTTTTCAAATTTATCTACATTATTTGAATAATACATGTAATAAAAACTTTAATTAATCTGAAAATAATTGGAAAACTCAAATGAAGAAGTGATGATAATTCATAGCGAATTAAGTGTTGAAACATCCCTTATTCATTATTCAGTGGTCTTCGGAATTCCTTATTTGAATCTATTTCTTGACTCAATTGGAAGTAATGTCCAGCTTGAATCTTAATTGTTCATAAATACTAACATTGTCAAAGAATAAGATTAAAATGAAAAAGTAAAGTAAGGTAATAGCTACTGATGTATCATTAAGGTATAATCCTTTGTACATGCATTTTCCGAATGGGGGATGTAAATGCACATCTAGAAAAAATATACAACTTTAATCGTTTCAACATAACATTAATTAATTGTAAACCCGTTCAAGTTTCGTGAGGTTTGGTGTGTTTCTCCTCTGCCCATCCACTTTCAATTGAAATTCATCCCTTGTTGGTGTATATTTACTCTACCTTTATCTTTTATCATCACTTATAAAGTATATCTGTTTAAGGTTTTATATGCCTACCATACACATGATATACAAACAAATAAAAAAAAAAAACAAGTTACAAAAACCGAAGAACAATTAAGTATCAAGTATTTGCTTCATAGTTATTGTTTTACGATACCCCACTTGGTGGTCCCCCACTTGAAAATTCATTCAATTCTTAAAAGGTAACAATTCATCAGCATAGAGCACACATTTTATTCTATTCTTTAGACAAGACTCATACCAATTTTTACAAAAGTTAAAATATAAAAATAATACGTGTACTATCCATTGTTAAATATTATGTTCACCCCCTACCTCTGAGTTTTGTTCCCCTAGGATTGAAGAGTATTGCTTATCAGCATCAGCAACCTCCTTGAATAAGGAAACAATCGAAGCCGAGATTAAGGAGTGAGCCAAAAGAAAAATAGAACTATACCAAGGAGTAAATTAAACAAAAGCACCACAGCTAAAAATAAATCTTAACAAAAAAAAAAAGATCTACCATGGCCAAACTCCTTTAAAATAGCAAGGTTTTTATTATCATTCCTTTTTATTTATAGAGTGTAAAAACGTTTGCGCTATTTATTGCTCCTTTCGTGAGTATTTTGACTCTTCCGTCTTGTATCCTGCAAAGTCAAGAATTCCATCAAGGCGAAATAAGGAATTGATAACCTGTAAGGGATTTTAGTGAATACAGGGGGGTTGTGTGTGCTAAGCAACAGATAAGAGGAAAGCGTACGTTTCTAATATTTACTATACAATAGGTAAATTGTTAGGAAAATATTTAATTGTTCATTTACATTGTTTTCTCTGTCTGTGTGTAAAAAAAAAAAAAACCAGCAAAAAACTCCGAAGTAATTCTATCAACCAATAATCAAAGGGCGTACATTCCTCGGCCCCTTTATGAAACAACACAGATCTAGACTTCCTTATATGCGGTTATTGTTTACGGATGCTTTTTTTTTTTTTTTGCGCCTTAAAAAAGAAATAGACATCCACTCTGTTATGATATCACGAAACATCAAACGTTTGTACCAAGTCGGAAACTGAGTTCTGTAATAAAAACCATAAAATTAGTTTAAAGATCACATAGCCAATTGAAAAAGACAAATTTATTTCTTCTTTCCTTTCACCTATAGTTTGACTATGTAGAGGCAATTTTAAATTTCGTCTGTTCATACAAGGTTAAATCACGCTACTGTATTCTACAATATTAATGACTTGTGGATAGATCCAGAATGTTAAAATCTTAACTAGCAAATTAAGATCAAGTATAGATGACCACAATCCAAAAAATAATAATAATAAAAAAAAACGCACCACTCCTTTAAGATTCACTTACGGCATGGCAGCATTCGCCAACTTATAATATTTACCCATGTGATCATTGACTTGTACAGTATGTTCAATAGAATCAGTTGATTGTTTTATACAATTTTATCATTTTAAAGTTACAATGAACGTGATTATCGTTTTACGTCATATGTAGTTTGGATTGACTACGATGCTACTTTATAATATGTGAACATAAAAACGGTAATGACACGAAAGTGTTACACTATTTTTCTTAAGCAAATAAAACCGTTTACAGCGCCATACCGATGGACTAGAAGGGATGAAACATCTCTCAATTTTCTATAAAACAGGCTTCTCATTATATTGTTGCATATTAATTGGAACGAAATATTACTCTGCTAATTACTCAACTATACAAACTCTACATTGAATCAGTCTTTGTTTAACTAGAATTAGGTAATAATGATTGTTTATTTTCAAGAAACTAAAAATAATAAATCCATATATGAATACAACAGAAATGACAACCGACAACGAGTTTAGGCAATAAAAGAAGAAATCTTGAATCTTTCAAAACAGAATCCAGAAATCAATGCACCCAATTACATAATGGTACAATTGGAAGCCATGTATCCTCTACTGTTCAAGACACGAATAACAGCATTGTCTTTAGAAGCAGCAGAAGCGGATTGAGTTTTAGCGTTAGCGTTGTTGTTAGATTGTTGAGCAGCCATTGTTGATTGTTTGTTTGTTTGATGATGGTAAAATTGAAATAGCACAGGTTGACACCCGTAGAGACTCCTTTATATACTTTTCTGATTGTCTTCTGATTCCATGGTGTCTGTTAGAAGAACTCTATGAGTTGCAAATTTTTTGTTACCAGGGTTGCAATTTTTTTATATAGAGTAGTTTTATTGCAAAGTTAAAATTTCCTGATTTGTCGATGACAATGAAAATGTGTTTCATTAATGTAAAACAAATTATTATTATAGTCATGGACAAATACCAAGTTACATGCCATCTATTAAGAGTATGAAAAGGCTCATATTTGTGTCTATGGCTATTGCATATATTCTAGCAGAACAACAGGTGGAATCTAATTTTCTGAATTTCTCAACATCTGGTATATTCTATTGATTTATACTTATATTTGTATCAGTATATTGAGAGTGTTCAATGAGTTATCACTATTACCATATGGAATTATCAGCTTTGACTTTCATAAGACCTCTTACAAAGTTTGTATAAATTTATCAATAATTGTGCTATTGAGTCAGCTGAAAATTATATCTTCATTATATTCATATGCTTTCCATCATATTAAGATACTTACATATTGATAAGTCACAGTTTTGGTGTATATAGTGTTTTCAAATGAATTCACTATGATCTCAAGTGGATTATTTCCGTAATTTGAGGTTTCCCTTCTTATGTGAATGAAATGTTCGCAGGTTATATTATAGTCATTCGTTATATTCTATCCCTTATTATGATATCTCTATATAATAGGTGCTATATTCTCCTCTGTAGAGTTTCTACAGATATGTTTATAGTTAACCAATCAATCAGTTTATTTTCCTTTTAATCACTTTAAGAAGATTACTATTTTTATTCGATTATTTCTTACAATCCAAACAAGACCCGTATAACAAAGGCCAAAAAAGGTATTGTAACTATTTTTAGTAAAAGCTCAGAAAATTAATTTTCTGTTGTGATATTACTTCGAGTGCACAAAGATAAAATAAGTTGCAAATTTTATTAATTGACTATTAATGAAATCTTCTTGGAGAATTGTTGTATTAAATCTATATTCGGTTATTCGTATTCATAAAATCTATAAAAAAAAAAAAATAAAAACAAAGATTATTTACCATGTCAGATCAAATGGACACTGACATTCCACCAGCCAACCCAACAAATGAACAGTCCACCTTGGACTTAATATTACAAGAGATTAGATCCTTGAAAGACCGACTTTCAATTGTTGAAAACAACCAAAAAGCTTTTCTACCAGATCAAGCTAAGAAAATTGGAGAATTATCAACTGATTATCAAAAGGAAGAAGAACAGATTAAAGAAATTCAAGATGTTGTCAATAAAGAACATGAAGAGATGACAACCGTTAAAAATGTTGTCACTGAAGATCATTCGGCAATGAAAGATGTTCAATCCCATTTAAAATCGGTTGAAGAAACAGAATTTGCACAAAAAGAAGAACAACAAAAGGTGCAATCTAATTTAGAACTGTTGATTGTTGATGAACAAAACTTAAAGCAAAGAGAGGCAACAGCTGAGACAGGTATTAGTGAATTACATAACATGATCAAAATGTTAGAACAAAAACTCACTGTCGAACTGTCAAACACTAGAGCAACAATGGAAATTTTCAACAATAATCAAAAACGATTACTTGATTTAATAAATGACAGTAATAACAACAGGTTCAGCTCCACTACGACTGAAGACCAAAGTAAGCAACCACAGATAGGTAATTCAGATTCTTTGAATAACGACTTGAAAAATTTAGTCGGTTTAAATAGTGAAGACATCCAAACTATCAAAGCTTATTTGCCATTTGTGGTCTTACATCCTATATACACTGGGAATGCCACAAATAAACCTCCCCCCATGCGTGATGAATTAATCATAGAAGGCCACCAGGATCAACAAAAGATCACCAAATTTAAGAACATACAATCTTATCTTCAACTCCTGATGGTCCCATACGAATTATTTGGTTTATTTTTTGAACCTTATTTACGCGGTAATTATATTGATGCTATCGCTGATCAAAAGGATCATCCTGCTGATGGAAAATCATTCTAATATATTGATATTATTTTGGTATTTATAAAAGCTTCACATTTGGAGTTTGATAATATTAATAATTTCCATCATATGATCTCAATCACACCAACTGAAGGAAAACCATTTGAAGATTATGTAAACAGAATCAGAGCAGCATCACGAGAATTGAAACAATACAAAAATTTATTTATTTCCATTCGTACCCAAGTTTTGTATTATGCAAGAAAATTCTTTCCAGACAAAATTTATAATAATGATTATTTGCAAAAGAATGAATCCACATTTTTCACCGACATTAATCTTATTATTGGATCAGCCATAGTCCCCAGTTACAATCAATTCATTCTGGAAATGAATGTAATGAACTATTCTAAAAATAATTCGTCCAATCGTCGGTACAATAACCAACAATCAGCTAATTTTCGAGCTACAGTTTATTTTGATGCTTCAAACAATTCTGGGAATACGTCGACTAAACCACAACAACAAAATCAAAGAACAATTACTTCCCAAAATTTAAACAAATTCAATCGTCCAAAATACAAAAAAAGGGGTTTTATTTATAATAAGAACAAAAAATCCCAAAGAATATATGGTATTGCCTATGATCCTGATACACAATTAGGACAAATAAATTGATTGATTTCTCTGAAACAACTATAAAGCAAACTACTCTTGATATAAATAGTATTTAAAATAAGGGATAACACAATAAATGAATGACCACTGATAATACGTTTCGTACGTTTGAATAATTATAAGAGGGGAACCTACAAATTTTTAAATCGGTTCACGCACGAAAATTGGCTTGAATCTTATTTCATCATACAAAATGTAACAACTGTTATAGTTTTGATAACTTAGATTAAATAGAAGTGAATAATGATAGAAATCACTATGAACAAGGATCTTATATAATAATTAATTAAACAGCGAAGATTAACTTTTTAAAATTATGATCGGATTAAACTCGTCTATTGAGTGAATCTGGCTAGTAAATTTGTTATGTTGCGAGAATAGTTCATATTCTTGTAATGATACAGAAAAAATGAATCACTTTAGACACTCTTGAACAATTTCTTTTTGACATATATTATCTAATCTATTTGAATATAATGGGAATCAATCAAGATAATCAATTTGACACTATTCTGAATAGGGGAAGACACGTAACAGTAGGTTATATTCATAAATTTGATGGCGGTAACTTATGAATCTACATTCCGAAAATAAATCTATATATATATTCAAATATTCCACCCTTGAAACCATATTTTTAAATGTCACTTTTTGTTACACATCTATATGTTCCAGTTATTGCGCCCTATATCGGTGTATCACAATGTTCCATCCATTAAACCATTGATTTACATGTTCCTGATTTGGTGCGCATTTGTATGTACAAATTTTCCCTCCATATATCCGTATATTCGAATGTTCTGTCCATATTTCCATAGACATAAATGTCCATTCCATATATCCATAGATTTATATGTTCCAAATTTGAGGAACATTTGAATGTTTCAGAAAAAAGTAACATTTATATATCTGTTTTCTATGGTCGTCACAGTGCGACATGCAAATGTTCCACGATTTGCAACATTTGTCTCTTCTAGCGGGATTTTTGCAATTTTGAAAATGATATATGAATTGGGGTGATAATTTATGCTATATAAGTTCATTCTGAATTGATCGACTAAGTATTGGAGGAGTTATCTATCACTCTTACTCTTGAAAATTCAAACAATCTTTTTTTTATCGGGAATAATAATTTTGTTGAATAAGTCACTAATTACGCTAGTCAGACCGCTCAAACTGTATTCATTGGAATATTAATGTAAATATAATGATGTCTATACTACTATTATACTGTATTTCTAATTTTTAGACCAACTAGTATTTCCAAAGGGGTTCATTAGCAACTCGATTGATTTATTTCCGTAATTTTCAAAATGGTTCACGCACGAAAAAATCTCCAAAAAAGACGTGAATCTCTTTTCCCATACAAAATATAGCAATTCGTTTGTTTTCAGTTGTATTTGTTGGAAACGTGATTCATTGTGGGTTTTATGCATTTAACTCGATGATATAATAAATGAATAACATAATAGATCGTCTTGGTAAGTAATAATAGTGGTAGTAATGAAACAGAACCCGATTTATATATTATATCTTTCATTGGTTGTCATATTTGAACTTTTTTTCTTTTTCTTCAGATTCTTTAGTACGAACCATGGACCTAAAATTGAGAATCCGCAGGATTTGTACGTCGATAATAGGTTAAGCATAACTAATAATCAATTTTAATCTGCAAGTATTTGTAATTCTAATTTAATTCATACCATTGACTACTGATAGTTTATTCAAGTGGTGAATTTTTTCTTTCAAATCTACTTACAGTCCACCCCTTTGAAAATTGAAGTATATGCTGGATTTTTATATCGATACAGTAGATCTTGGATGGTTTCATTTATTGCCGCTGATGTATATTTGTCGATATTTTATATAAAATGATAGTACATAACAACATTCATAGTATTCCACTATATTGTTTATCGATATTGTTGTGGTTTCCACTTTTTTCAAATAACAAAAATAATATCAAAGCTAGTAGCAGTCAATTGATGTTGTTGCGAAATTTTGGAAAAAAAGGTGAATTAATAAAGTTGCGAGAGACTTTTAAAAATAACCTAAAGTGAGAAACCGCAATGTTCCTTTTAGTTTGTTGAAAACCTCATTATGTTGCTGAGAAGTGGCAACATCATAAGGATGCCCAAAAGTTGCCAAAACGTGGAAAAAAAGAAACCTCAGTAATTTTTAGAGAATTTCCAAAAATGCGACGACAGGAAATTATTCTCCTTATTCTATAGACTAAAGTAATTTCATAAAGTTGCATATGTTTCTCTAGATCTATCGGTTCTAGCTTGATTATTATCGCTTAAACAACATGATGTTATTTATATCACTGTTTAATACTACCACATTCACTCCTGAACGGATTGACTAACAATTGGTGGACTTATCTATCCATCCTTACTTTTGAAAAATCAAAGTATCTTTTTTTTATCGGGAATTATGGTTTTCCTAAATAACTCAATAATTACGATATCCAGACCGCTGAAAATGTACTCATTAGAATATGCATATACATATTGACACATATATACTATTATCATATTCAATTTCCAGTTTTTAGACTATTTAGTATTCCCAAAGTGGTCCATCAGGAACCCAAGTGGTTTATTCCCGTGAAATTCAAATTGGTGCACGCACGAAAAAATACCAAATTTTGACTTGAATCCCCTCTCCCCATACAAAATTCAACTGATGGTATATTTTCAGTTGTACTAGAGTGATTTCATCAACTTATTGACACTTAAATCCATTGTAGAAGTCATAAAAGGTAAACATATTCGTCTAGTATTGTTTGAATATCCTTAAAGATATTAATTGTGCTAAATTTGCACATTTTTATCATTATAGGATTTTTATGATTTATTTCAAATTTTTTGAATTTTGCAATTTTTTCGCGGTAATTGTCGACTGAAATTAAAATATTATCGACCTGTTTATGTCGAGGAATAAATTTCCAAGGAACATCCCTTGAGATTTTCACCATTGAGACCCCATTTCTGCAAATCAATAGATAAGAAGAGGAAAACTGTTTCAATTCGTGCTATAACTACATAAAACTATTACTAATGATGTACAGGATTAATCACAAATAGAATCTAATCGTACTTGTTATTGTAGTATGTTCGTTACTATTAATTCTATCTAAACCATACATTCTGTTATACTATGGCATATTTTTTGAGCAGACACTAAAAAAAAATGGTTGTGACACGTAAAGTAGCAGGTTTTTTTAACAGTTTATTTAATCTACAAGTAATATGCTTTAGAAAGCAATAAACGTAAACATTTATTATCAATAACTAAAAAGAATATATAAAGGAAGATAATAATAGAAATAGGAAGCAAGCAACGATTTGTTTCAATAATAGAATTCAAGGTAATACAAAAACAATTATCTTCATTTATAAGATATCATAGTAGTATCATTTACATAACAGTACAGTTGGAAGCCATGTATCCTCTACCATTCAAGACACGAATAACAGCATTGTCTTTAGAAGCAGCGGAAGTGGATTGAGTTTTAGCGTTAGCGTTGTTGTTAGTTTGTTGAGCAGCCATTGTTAATTGTTTGTTTGTTTGATGATTAGAATGCAGAAATACCAGACATTTGAAGGAAAATATACCTCCTTATATAGTTTTCTGATATTCTGATAGACCGTTGAGGCTTATATTACTTGCATAGAATGTTGTTCATTAATAGTTTGATTCTTTTTGAGTTAAGTTTTGACGTGTATTGTCAATTTCCAGTTTCGTAATTGACAATGGGTTGATATTACAAAACTGAAGAAATTTCATAGAAAGGGCTTAAAAAAACATAATATTCTAGAAAGATTCTTATATGTTAAGTGAAAAACTTCCTATTTTGATAACTACAATTGTTTCCCACCAGTGTTACATAACGTTAATCCAAGAAATTTGCATAAAGTATAAAATCGAAAAGAATTAAATATTGTCAATGATTACATTATTGAAACAATTTTCAACATGACCCTCCAAGAGAATATATACCCAAAAATACCCTGTTATGTACTATCTTTATCTATTAAGATGCTGAAAAGAAGAATATCCCCGTGGGTAACACAATTGTCCTTTCTAAAGTTATTCTCAAATTTGTCTGACTCATTTTTTTTTTTTTTTAGCCGCTTAGAAGGAGTCAGCCATACTTTTTCTATCGCGAAGTCAAATATTCCGCTACGGATTATCGCCCCGGGAAATTTCCTCCCATCACACAAAAATTTTCCATTTTAAAAATGAAAAAAAAAATCTGAATTCTCAAGAACCCTAATCAACTTTAAATACTAAAGTCCAAAAAAACAACTACAAGATGTCAAAGATAAAGTCGAATATAAAGACTCATGAAGTTATAGGATCTTCATCAACACAAAAATCCCTAGAATTACAGCCAGAATCATCTCGAGATTTTACAAAACCATCATTTTTCACATATTTAGCTAAATTCTCCCAAAAACTTGATTCACTTGGTGTTGAAACTAGAGGTATTGAACGTATTCCACCTTATGAAAGATCAACTAATCGTACTAAGCAATTAATTAGTGTTATTGGATTATGGTTATCTGCATGTGGTGGTCTTTCTTCAATGTCTTCATTTTATCTTGGCCCTTTATTATTTGAATTGGGATTACGTAATACGTTGATATCTGGATTAATTGGTGAATTATTAGGATGTGCTATTGCTGCTTATTGTTCACTTATGGGACCAAGATCGGGATGTAGACAAATGGTAGGAGCAAGATTTTTATTTGGTTGGTGGTTTGTTAAATTAGTGGCACTTGTTGGAATTATTGGTGTTATGGGTTGGTCAATTGTTAATTGTGTTGTTGGTGGACAAATTTTAACTAGTGTTAGTGATAATAAAATTCCTCTTTGGGCTGGTATTGTTATTATTGCAGGTATTTCTTTGATTGTTGCTATTGGTGGAATCAAACAATTATTAAGAGTAGAAACTTTATTGAGTTTACCGGTAAATGGGGCATTTTTATTATTATATGTTTGTGCTAGTCAAAAATTTGAATATTTAACGTTAGATGATGCTATTTCTGATGGTCCTACTATAAAAGGTAATTGGTTGAGTTTCTTTTCATTATGTTATTCAGTGACTTCCACTTGGGGTACTATTGCTTCTGATTATTATATTTTATTTCCAGAAAACACTCCTGATTGGGAAGTATTCACCATTACATTTTTCGGTATTGCCATTCCAACTACATTTGTTGGTGTTGCTGGTTTATTAATTGGTAATGTCGCTTTAACATATGAACCATGGGGTGAAGCATATGCCAAATTAGGGATGGGTGGATTATTACATGAAGCATTTAGACCATGGGGCGGTGGTGGTAAGTTCCTTTTGATGGTTATTTTCTTATCTTTGATTTCAAACAACATTATCAATACTTATTCAGCTGCTTTTGGTGTACAATTGGCAGGTAGAGGTTTAGCTAAGATTCCAAGATGGTTGTGGGCAATTGTCTTGACGGCGATTTATTTGATTTGTGCCTTGGTTGGTAGAAATGAATTCTCCACTATTTTGGGAAATTTCTTACCGATGATTGGATACTGGATTTCCATGTATTTCATTATGTTACTTGAAGAGAATTCTATTTTCAGAACAGATAAATTCAAATATTTGTTTGTTAAAGAATTTGATGATTCTGATTCATCAACCAATGAAGATGCAAAAATTATAGGTACAGCATTACGTAAAAACCAACATTATAATTTCAAGATTTGGAATGATATTGATAGATTAACTCGTGGATATGCTGCGACAGCATCTTTCTTGATTGGAGCCACCGGTGCTGCTGTTGGTATGTCACAGACATATTGGATTGGCCCTGTTGCTCGTAGAATTGGAGGCGAATATGGTGGTGATATTGCCATGTGGTTATGTATGGGTTTCAGTGGATTAGTCTACCCTCCTTTACGTTACTTGGAGTTGAAAAAGTTCGGTCGATAGAATTACATCAATCATGCCATATTGTATTTTGTAGATATATATATATAATCTATTTAGAAGAATAACAAGTGAGTTACTTTGAAGTAACTTTTAATGGAATATTTATTATAAACTTATTCTTTTCCTTCTTTTTCTTTTTTGAATTATTGGTGAAATTGCCAGCAATTTCAAATTCCACCTTGACATAATAATCTCTAAAGTTATAACAACTTTGGAAATTAGGAACCAAATTAAATGCTTCACCATATTTCCTTGTTTTACTTTGTTCTTTTATATACATTTGATTCAAATCAAACAGGATTCCATCTTTTTCAATACTAACATTATCAACTCTAACAGGAGTATATTGAAGATAAATTTTAGTTAAATCAGATAAATCCTTGTAATCAAAATCAAGGGAATATCTGGTGAAATTATTAATGATGTTAAGAGCTGGAGCTTTTAATTAATTGTTCATATGGTGTGTTTGAAAAATGATTCATACAACATATTTGGAGAAATGAAAATTGGAATTTGTGTGGTAGACATACCTGTGACTACCATTAATTCAACATTAACTGATTTAATAGGTGATGACAAGTTTTGGAAATTCATTGGAATGAACAATTTATCTGTAACTTTAAACGGAGTTTTTCTTGTATATGGAATAGTCAATTGTGGAGTTGCAACTTCTATTGATTCATGACCAGTACCATCTTCTTTATTCAATACTAATTTATTGGATAAATCTTTAACTTGTAACAGTTCGAAAAGTTCTTCAAATTTGGTTTTATCAATGTATCTCAAATCATCATGTAGACGATTTAATAAGTTTTCATAGTTTATATCACAAACTTCATCAATTAATTCATCTTTAGGAATAAATTGAATATCTTTATTTGCACTACCAATTTTAATATTCTTGCGTAGGTTGCAATTATATTTCAATGCATAACAAGATACTCTATAACTAACTCTTGATACACCACCACCAGCTAAACTTTTCAGTGAAGGAGGTAATAAATAATGATTTTTAATTTTATGTTTACACAGTGATTCTAATAAATAATAAGGAATTTTGAATTTAAATCCCAGTTTAAATTTATCTCCTTGTTTGTTTAATCTAACTCCACCACAAACACCTCTTTCATCTTCACCATTTGTAAATAATTCATAATCAACAATGGATAAGAAAACTTTTTCTGAAAATGTATAAGTACGATCAACACCTTCCAAAAATATAAATACTTTATCAATATCAACTCTCAGATTTTTCAAATTGGTTAATGTTAAAATACCTGTTATATCATCACCTTGAGTGTATTCATAATTGTCATCCTTATCTAAGACAATATGAGCTTTAATGGATTCATCAAAAAAATCATCTGGTTTACCACTAGTACCAAGGTAATTTAGATTAAGTAATTTTTGACAAACTGAATTGTCATCATTTGTTATAGATGCACGAGACTCAACATCAGAATCTGAATCATCAGTAGATGAATAACCTGGAGGTGCAGGTACAACTTCATTTACTTTATAATGAAGAATATCTCTGTACATATAATAAGAAGGAAGAACACTTCCTGATGGTGAAGATCTTAAGGAAAATAATTCTTCTTTGTCTGAATCTGAAAGTGAAGAAGATGATAAAGATTCAGCTGGTGTTCCATATGTTAATTTGTTAGGTAATGATTGAGCTCTTCTTTTTTGAAATTGTTTATCTTCTTCACTTTGTTGTTGTTGTTGTTGTGATTTCTGTGATCGGTGTTGTTGTTGTTGATGTTGAAGTTTATCTTTTGGTCTCTTGTTTAGTATGCTTTTAATAGACGATATCATGATTTATTAGTAGTTTAATGAAATATGGAAAATTATCCAAGAAATAAAAGATACCTGTAAACAGGATAGCAATGGGAATACTTGCATTATATATATACTATTAGATAATATATCATCATTAATGTAATGAAAATATTTTTCTTGAATGAATTAAAACAAAGAAAATCCCCACTTCGTAATGTTAGATTTCTTATGATAGTATTTGTTTAAAACAATTGCTATTAGGAATAAATTTGTAATGATGATTGCATTGGCAAAAATCCTATGCCCAAATAAATCAATACAATAAAATAAGTAATTTTGCTTTTCAACTAAATTAAAACTTTTTTAGAAAAAAAAAAAAAAGAAGTACAATCCAATGAAAGACTAAAATAGTTTGATATTGTGTAAGTGGTGGGGAGATAATAGGCTTAAGATAGTTGGAATTCTCATAACATGTATGTAACATAACCAATACTCGTTTCTTTTTTTAATACAGAAGTGTATTCTGCCGGATGGAAATTGTAGATCAAATACAAAATACTAAAAAAAAAAATGAAATTCATCATATTGCATATTGAAATATCCCTTGCTACCCTTCTCCATCATCGTCAACAACAACGACAACGAGTAAATAAAAAGAAGTCATGATTTCATCGATATTGCTGGTCTTTTCTTTTTTGTTAGTCGACGATGATTCAAGTGTCATAGATTCTATTTTGCAACCTTAAACTTTAAACAAATGACCCTCCCCCCAGTAACAGTCAAGTAATGAAACTTACTTTGATACACATCAACTTGCAATTTGAATTCAACACTTTATGAACAAAGAAGGCGGGAATTTGGTTGAGACACGTAATTGCTGTCGTGTTTTCTCGTTTGTGTAAATCTGTGGAGACAACCTGGGGAAACAAGAAAAGAACAACAAGAACAACCGCAAAAGAAATAACTGATTACTGCCCTGAACTTAGTCTTCTACGTAAAGCCATCTTTTGGTTCATACATTATTAACGTTGCAATGTAAGAATAGTAAATTAGAGAAGAAAAAAAAATTAAAAGTGGGAAAGGAGCTTTAGTCTTACGTATTACGTATTACGTGTTTTGTGTTGGGTAAGTATGTGGGCGTGTACCTCGTCTAAAAAAAATCACGGAACTTCTGGACTAATTAACCAGATTGCACTACCTCGGATCAAGGGAATATTTCCCAACTGGGAAGCCAACACCTAACAAAAAATCCAATTACGTAATTGCTTGGTACACACACGCACGCCTCGTCATCATTGACAAAATAAAAAGCTCATCAATTTTTTATTGACAACTGTAACCCCTAGAAAGAAGGTACGAAGATAATGCACAATGTTTGATATCACTTTACATGCGGTGGTCTAAATGAAGTATTAAGGATTGCATAGTGCATAGTCACCAGCACGCATATACACTTTGACTCACTTTGCAAATAGAGTGTCAGCCTTGACTACCATTACAGATTATCATATTTGAATTTATTAAAAAGTTATATTAAGAATAAGTATACATAAATACTAGGCAAATCTCTCTATCTATATATATATATATCAGTAATCTAGGTATCTTTATGATGATGTTTTAAATTTTTAAAAGCATTTTTCGTATTATGATAACCTTTTTGAACACCTTTTTCAAGACCATTTTCAAAATTGTCTAAACCTTCATTAATTCGATCAGATCCTTTTTCAACTTTACCAATGAATTTCTTATGTCTTGATTCATCTGGATTTTTATGTTCCTTTTTTTCATCTGATCCCATTGTTGCTAAATTAAAGTTGGATTTTTATTGTGATTTGTAGCTGTTGATATTATTATTATTATAAAGCAACAAAAACTTACTGCAAAAAAAAAAAAAAAAGAAATACACTAAGATATATTTAATATCAAAAAATTATTATGGGATATATTAATCTCTATTTATATGTAAATTATTGATACTATTAGGATCTATTAGACAAAAATTTGTAAAGCATTTGTCTTTTTCATGATAGATACTCGTGGTGATGGATTAGTAAGTTTAACCGTAGGGCTATGGTGGAATCACCGGATTGAACAATATCTGATCCACACTAACCACCGCGTCATTTCCGAAACATCGTTTATATCTATTTGTCATATTTAGTTTTCATGATTCTTCTTTAGACCACAAAGGTTAGGAAGATCTATGTGGTCTTTTTTTTTTTTTTTTTGTCAGTTTTACTAATGAGATTGCATAGTTAAATGGCTAGATTAAGAGGTTTACGTTTCTTTTTTGTATACTTGTGTTTTTCGGGTAGATTGATCGAATATTTAGATCCGTTAATGACACACGGACCATTGATTGACATTCGTAATCTCCGATGTAAATAAAAAATACCCGTCAGATTAGAACAAATGTGTGGTGGCTTCTCATATCTATCTTTCTGTCTCGCCCCCAAAGATGTACAATTGCAAAATTTTGAAACAATCACAATATATTAATCATCTATTTACATTATAAAACTTTCTGGATTCTGACTGGAACTTTAATATTTGAGAAACTTCCATTGGATAAATGAACAGTTAATCTAATATAATACATTCTACTCATAAAGCAAGATTGAAAATCTGGAACTAATGTAAATCTATCATATGATTTACTTGTTTCATTAACATTTGGTTCACCTTTTAAGATCATACTTTCTAAATTGATTCCTAAGTTGATTGATGCATTAGCTGATTCTTGATTGATTTCCCATCTGATTGAATCTTTCTTGAATGGTATTCCATTAACTTTGAAATCTCTTACTGGCATGTTCAAAGACCTATCTTCTAGATTGCACATAGCTTTCAAATCATCAACTAATTGACGTTCTATTCTAAAATTTTCAGTACCTAACTGCTGAACAATTTTGTATAATTCATTGGAATATTTTCTAAATTGTTTGGTGATGTTGGTGTTGAAAAGATCACGATCAGTAAACTCACCAGTGTTTACTTTATTAAATATCAAATCATGGTTGAATTCAATTGGAATAGCAAGCTTTTCCGATTTAATTGTTAAATTAACAAATTCAGCAGAAATCGACTTTATAGTTGGAAGTTGCGGTGATGATTTTGAACTTAATGAAGGTAATTTAATTGATAAATCAAGTGGAACTTCAAATTTCCAAGATGGAGTGAGTCTATCAATAGATTGATTTCTAAATCTAACTGGTGGAACATAACAAACACAATATTCTTGTTTTGGAGTTGCCATTCTTAAAGTACCAAAATTTTTAGTACCAGTAATTGATTTCTTTGTTAATGGTAAAAATGTTTCATAATATTCTTTCTTATCTGGATTGAATTTAGCATCACGAAGATTACGTGGTCTATACAACTGACTACATTTAGCCAATTCAAGTTCTGTTTCAGTAAGCTGTTTCCCAATATCTATACTACCAGTGTAATCACCATTTTCAATGGATTTAATCAATTGGTTTCCTTGATCGATTTTTTCTTTAATTCTCAGAATCATATTATTATACATTAATTTATTCTCCAATAATTTCATTAATCGTTCATTATCTGTAGGAGTAGCCGTTTTTTGAATAACACGGAAATGATTGGTCAATTCTTTCAAAATGATATATTCGTCACCTTTGGAGTTAATAATTCTAGTATCATCAGCAGTTGTGTTAATCTTACCGAAATCAGCTTCCCAAGTTGATTTTCTACCAATAAATCTTGCCATTACACCGTAACTAACAGAAGTATTAATCATAGAAAAATCTTTGATTTTATTCATAGCTCTCTCTGGATAATGAGCAACTTCCCATCTTGACAATCCTAAAGTAGGTGGTAAATCAACGTGTTTCGACAACCCATGATCATTACATTCGGAATCTAAAAGATTATTTGGAATTTTAAAATTGAAATATCTCTTATATGTAACACCAGGTTGGATTACCTTTTTCAATCCAAAACATAATCTAGTACCATCAATAGGATCAATTGCTTTAGTACAAGCATTATGATCAATAACAGTTTCATTAGCAAATCTTGTAACTGTACCTTCATTCCAACTAGCTGAAAAATCAAACATTTCCAAGAATTTTCTAATCTTAATAGGAACTCTATCCAGAACATCACTTTTATTTGCAATCATGAAATTTCCTTCAAATAATAAATAAAACATTTCATAAGGGATGGGTTTATCAGATGTATTTTTAATTAAAATATAACCATTTAAGAAATCACCTTGTTTATATTCATATATTTCTGGTTGAATCAATTCAGGTTTTTTACCAGGTACACCGACATCTTTAGTAAAATAAACTTCAAGATTAACAGCTTCAGAAATCTTGTGTGATTCGAATGTCATATTTGGTAAACGATGAACATTATCTAAAATAGTTTCTCTCCAAGATCCAGTATTCTCATCAGCAATAATGAATGAACCATTTTCATCAATACCTTCTAATGTAGATGATGTAGATCCACGCTCAGCGACGGATCCACTTACAGAAGTTCTAGAAGAACCCATTGACAATTCATTAAAGGCACTAGAAACATGTGAAGTAGTAGCTAAAGAAGTACTATCAGATGTGGCCGTGCTACTAGAAGGAATATAAGTAGGAGGTTGAATGTCATAATTTTCTGTAACTTCAGGTACATTAACATTCATTCCTACGGTTGAGGTGAACATACCATACGAAGGCAAAATATTACCTAACGTGTCATCAATAGAAGGTTTTGAACTCGACATAACCACCGGCGCTATAAACTTATTTGAATAGTTAAAGATATATAAAAAAAACCAGAAAGGGGGTATAACTGTGAAGAATATTTTTATGTGAACAATATAAAGGGAAGGCTCTAACGTTTCTTTTATCTAGGAAGTGAAATTTTAGTTTCTATTATTAATCAATGGGGAGAGGAATAATAAACTAATTAATTTGTATGGAATTATACACTAAATTGAATCTTTCCTCCCGCCATCGTCCAATGTCGCCGTTTCCGCCCGCGGCGTCACATTTCCGTTTGTCTCACGTTTAATTAAACTGAGTCATATTATTTATATAGAGCACCAGACTAACTAAAATCAAATTATACATTCAACACTATAATTATTTTCTTCATAGGGGACTGGTTATGTCAGGATGTATGTACTAACTACGATGGAACTACCGCCATTCAATAATAAAGTGTATCTAATTCGATGCGGAGTAAAGCTTTAAAAAAAACGTTCAACTAAACCGCCATTGTGCGTCTCCCTCCATTATGACTCACGTGAGATAATGCAAAATCAGATCTGATTGGCCTGATACGACCTTGAAAGTGATTATGTTATTGTTGCTGATTATGATATGACATTGTAGTATTTTCACAAATGCTACAGTCATAGTATGATTAGTTTGGTAATCTTTTTTTTTCACTAAATTTTTGTAGAAATTTATGAGTAATATATCTATTCTGTAGGCTACAGCTATCTTTCTATAGAGCTATAACTAAAGAATAGCAAAGACGTCTTCATATTTTGGAATACCTTCAGCGGCTCCTTTCTTTTGAATAGCTAAACTACTAGCACTAGTAGCGAATTCAACGGCTTGTTTAATATCCTTACCCAAGGCAAGATTCAGAACTACTCCACCAAAGAAAGTATCGCCAGCACCAGTAGTGTCTATAACTTTAGTAACTTTCTTTGATTTAATAAAACTTGGGGATGGAATTGATTTAGAAACATAAATACATCCTTTGCTTCCCATAGTAATAATAACTACGTTAACGTTATCTTTATTGATTGAATCTTGTAATGATTTTGCAAGATTGGAGAATTTCTCAATTTCGTCATCAATACTTTGTGGCATAGTTTCTAAAATTCCTAAATGTTTAGCTACATCAAGAGCTTCACCTTCATTGACAATCAATAAATCAATTTTAGATAATAGACTACTTGTAATCAATTCTGATTTAAAAGGAGATGGATTATATGCAATATTAACTTTTGGACGATTTGTTTTTAACCAATTGATTGTATTTATAGTATCAGGATATTCATTTTGTAAAATTACAAATGAAGAATCATCTTTATTTGGGAAATATTCATTATATTGCTCATCAGATGGTTTCAATTGACCATTTGATCCAGGAGTAATTAATATTCTATTTTCACCTGAATCTTCTTCAACCATAATAACAGCAACTCCAGAACTTCCTTCAATTGTATCAACATTTTCAACATTAACTTTATTATCAATTAAATATTGTTTCAAGTGAATACCAAAAGGATCTGTACCTATTTTACCAATCATTCTAGTTTCAATTGTTTCAGGTGGTGATAATTTAGAAACGGCAATGGCTTCATTTAATCCCTTACCTCCCATATGAGTTTCAAATGAATCTGCTTGATATGTTTCTCCTGCTTCGGGGACTCTTTTAGTAAATGAAACTAAATCATAATTTAATGACCCTATAATTGTAACTATTGGTTTTGTTGACATTGTTGTTTGTTAGATTTGGTAGAATTGTCGAATTGGTGAATTTTTCAAGGTACGGAATATTTTTTTTTTCTTTCTTTCTTTGGGCCATTCTAGTCGAGTAGAATACTGGGGTCATGCTTTGTGATACATACAACTGGTGATTTCTGTATAAATACTAAGAAGTATAAAGTTACTCTGTGGTAATAGAACTTGGCATGGTTGATCTAGTTTAGAGTATTGTTAACCAGTGTGTGTATATATCACCTACTGGCCCTATGATGTCATTAAAATCAAAGTTGGTACCATCAAAATACCTTTAACCAGGGGAAGAAATTGTATAGATGCCGTAACTGCCACCAGCAATTCATACCCCTCGTGTGTCTTTACAACTATCAGAGTACATAATACATAATTAGTGAATTTGGATTTTAACAGTAATTCACAAGGTAGTGTAAAGGTGCACAATTATTTCGTAGGCATATAAATAGAGAATTTAACCTCGACCCCCAAAAAAAAAACCAATCTGGTTCTATTCCTTTTCTTCTTTTTGAGAGTTAGCTAAGGCTAAGAAAATGCGTACCGAGTTATAGGTTTATTATCGGTGGAGTAAATGTTCGGAAAAGTCGATTGTGTGCGTTGACGAATCTTGCGTTAAGCGACGTAACTACTTCTAATATTCTTTATTATTATTCTAGCATGAAGAAAGGAATGGTCTTTTTGATTTGTTTCTTTCTGTATTTTTTATAACTACATAATATACACATTGTTTTTTAGTATTTGCTTATTCGAATGATAAGAATGTAGACCTATGATTAATTCATGGATAATTGCATAGAATTACCGTATATTAGAAACTATTGTCATTTCTCGTCTATGATTGGTCAATTGCTCAATCCTATATATAGTTTTATCACGTGTCAGGGGTCATTACAAAATTAGGAAACTCTGAGTGAAAAAAAGGTGACGGCTTCCTCGTCGCTCCCATCTTCAAAAAATTGATTACCAATTTATATTGATTTTGTAAGGTTAAAGGTACCCATAAAGGGACTTAACCTAGATTGAAACCGTGTATTGGCTTGATAAGTATATAAACAATAAAGAAAGAGTGGTGTTTAACAGTGCGAATTATGTAGGAGCGCTAGCGAGTGCTAGTGAGTGAGCTCTGAAAACGGTATACGCACATCCTACCTTACAGATTTACTTTTATTATTATATGGTCTTAAGAATTTTGTGATTATATATCTGCACGCAATTGTTATTCCACTTCTCATGCCTTTTTTAAGTGTCATAAAAAATCCACTGCTAAACAGTATCTACTAACGATTACAACCATTCTAGCACAGATGATTCTATAAATTTTAATATACATATTGTATCATATTGTGTTTATTATCAATAATCTCATGTAGAATTCTAGAACTGTAAAGTATATCAATTCTCATCACATTTGTAAACCATCTATGAATCTCAACATCTTATTCCTTTGTATTTTCCTGAATCTGCAATCATCACTCAAACATATGCCTTGGGGGATGAGACCCGAAGGTTATGTCAAATCTTGATTCGATAATTAGCGAATGGTTATTGATGCAAACGAAATAGCATGGAATAGAGCAATTTCGGTACTTAGTCATGTTCTACAGTGATTCTTGTGATACTAAATTATAATAATAGATCATTATATATATATATATATTAAAAGACAAAGTATAATAAAATGTCCGTCTGCTAGAATTTAAAATACTAGTTAGTAGATAATCAGCACTTATCATCAAATACTGTCGGGAAAAAATACTATGGAGATATAACACAGAAAGCTAAAAAATACATCAGGAAGTACAGAATTAATTCAGGTAGCTCTTGTTGTTATGGTAGTTGTTGAAAAAGAAGATATTTTTTTTTCTTGTTGTTGGTTGTTGGTTGGTTCATTAATAATCATGACCGTAATCACGTGCACAAGTCGTGTACAATATACCAACAATTGTTTATGTGTGTGTTCGTCTCAGCACGACAACGACGACAACGAAAAAAAAAAAAATTTCATCACCATCTCATCGGATTTCAATTTTCAAAACCCAATTATCAAAAAATTTTCCATTCCTCCTCTTTTTTGGTTGATTTTGTTTACCTACTGTAATTTACATATCACATTGATTTAGATTTTACAATGTCTAAGGAAGATTACGTTATCAAGCCAGAATCAGTATCACCATCAAATGATACTTCTGAATGGCCATTATTATTGAAAAATTATGATAAATTACTCGTTAGATCAGGTCATTATACTCCTATTCCTGCTGGGTCAGCTCCATTAAATAGAGATATTAGATCATATATTCAATCAGGTGTTATAAATTTAGATAAACCATCTAATCCATCATCTCATGAAGTTGTTGCTTGGATTAAAAGAATTTTAAGAGTTGAAAAAACTGGTCATTCTGGTACTTTAGATCCTAAAGTTACTGGTTGTTTAATTGTTTGTATTGATAGAGCTACTAGATTAGTTAAATCCCAACAAGGTGCTGGTAAAGAGTATGTTTGTATTGTTAGATTACATGATAAATTGGCCGATGATAAAGAATTAAACCGTGCTTTGGAAAATTTAACTGGTGCTTTATTCCAAAGACCTCCTTTAATTTCTGCTGTTAAAAGACAATTGAGAGTTAGAACTGTTTATGATTCTAATTTAATTGAATTTGATAACAAAAGAGGTCTTGGTGTCTTTTGGGCTTCTTGTGAAGCTGGTACTTATATGAGAACTTTATGTGTTCATTTAGGTATGTTGTTGGGTGTTGGTGGTCATATGCAAGAATTGCGTCGTGTTAGATCTGGTGCCATGAGTGAAAATGATAATATGGTTACTTTACATGATGTTTTAGATGCTCAATATGTTTATGATAACACTAGAGATGAATCTTATTTAAGAAAAATCATTCAACCTTTGGAAACTTTATTAGTTGGTTATAAAAGAGTTGTTGTTAAAGATTCAGCTGTTAATTCAGTTTGTTATGGTGCTAAATTAATGATTCCAGGTTTATTAAGATATGAAGAAGGTATTGAATTATACGATGAAGTTGTTTTGATGACTACTAAAGGTGAAGCCATTGCCATTGGTATTGCTCAAATGTCAACTGTTGATTTACAATCTTGTGATCATGGTGTTGTTGCTAAAGTTAAGAGATGTATTATGGAAAGAGACACTTATCCAAGAAGATGGGGTTTGGGTCCAATTGCTCAAAAGAAGAAACAATTGAAAGCTGATGGTAAATTGGATAAATATGGTAGAGTTAATGAAAACACTCCTGAAAATTGGAAGAAAGAATATAAAGATCTTGATGATGTTCCACCTCCACCAGTTCCAGAAGATAAATTGGCTGCTCCTGAACTTCAAGCACCAAAGAAATCTACTTTAATTGAAGAAGTTGATACCACCACCACCACTACTACTGAAGATAAAGATGGTGAAAAGAAGGAAAAGAAAGAAAAGAAAGACAAGAAGGAAAAGAAAGAAAAGAAGGATAAAAAGGAAAAGAAGGAAAAGAAAGAAAAAAAGAGAAAATCTGAAGATGGTGAAGAAACCCCAAAGAAAAAGAAATCTAAAAAGGATTAGATCTTGAATCAATAAAGATGTTTGTGTATATTATTAATATCAACTTGTAGTTTTTATTCTAAACTATCAATAAAATAAAATAAAAATGAAATATAGAATCATTTGGGAATATTTAACTTCTTGTTTGTTTTTGGAACAAGATTATTATTCAAAAATTCAAATTTTGTACTTAATTTCTTCTTACATTGATCATATTGCATTTGTGATAATGATGCTTTATCATAATCTCCAATCATTTTAAAATGTTTAATGAAAACTTTCAGTATTAATAATCGACAAATATCTTCAGTATCATTATCTAATTTTAATTTATCACGATAATATCCTAATAATTTATCCCCTTCATCTCCTGGAATTTTAAACTCTAATAAATACATCATCAATATACTGAAGAATGATGATGATGACGATGATGATGATTTCATATCTGAAGATAATAACATTTCTCCCATCTTAGTTTTCAATTCTAAATTGGTTTCCTTATGTAATAAAATCTTTAATATTAAATTATATGTCACATTAAGTATATCTGAATTCAATGTAAAATTGTAATTAAAACTATTATTAATTATCAGATTATTTTTAAATGCTTCTTCTAAATCATTCATACATTTATTCCTCAATTCAATAGTATAATCAGGTATTTGATCTCTTAATTTATTACATTCATAATTCAATAAAATAACCAAATTAAAAGTTGAAAATATATACAACTCATTAAATTTCCCCTTTGGTGCAATAGATTCACATGGAATACCATGTAATAATTGTATAAATGAATGTTGAACATTGCTATGAGATCTAACCGACTGAAGTTCAATTACTTTTAAATAATAATACTTTGCTGCTTGGATATCTGCATTATGATGATAAAACATTGCAAAACAATAATATATCATTGGATAGAATCCTTTATACATGACATATTCTTTATCAGTAATCTCCTTTTCTGTCATACGCATGAATTTATTCAATGGATCAACTTGATAATTATTCATAATGAAATTATTTATAGTTTGATAATAATTTATTAAAAATTTTAAATATTTCAATCGTTGTAGTTTTTCATGAAGTTTTTCTATAGTTATATTTGTAAATTTATTAGTTTTTTCAATTTTAGAAATATTCTTTAATGCTTTTTCAAAACATATTTTGGATTTATTTCTTGAATCATTTAATAATGACACGCCAGTTAATAAATGAGCTATTACTGAAAACTCTTCTGTAGTTAACCAATCAAAATTAAACTCAAAATTATGATTCAACTCAGGAACAAACACTGATAGTAATATTTTACCATCCTTTAGTCCCAGTGTTGATTTATCATCTCTTGTCATGAATTTAGATGCTTGACCAATTATCTTTTTACAATCTTTATTAAGTTGAATATATGCCACAAATTTTGTTAATAACAATGGTAAGATTAATGATTCAATATTATTTTCCTGAATTAACTCATTAGCTTGTTCAGCTAATCTTAAACCTATTTCAGGAGAAGATCGATATAAATGTAAATTGGCACTTTGAATCAAACAATAAGTTTTAATTTGAACATTTGAACTATTTTCAGTTAATAAAGATAATGAATTTAATGCATTATCAGGATTATGAATCATATTATATCTAATTTTAATCAACTCTAAGCAATCAACTAAAACATTCAAATTTCTATCTTTATAAAATTGTAATTTTGAATTTAAATAATTTATTAATGATTTAAAATTAGTTTTTTCAATAATTTGAATAATTAATAATTCACAATTGAATAGTTTGGACAAATCATTTAAATTTTGAGCAATTGAAATAGCTTTATTAAGATAATTTTCACAAATTTCTAAATTTTCAGTTTCTTTTAAATAAATAATTGATAATTTATAATATATGATAAATTTTTGATATAAATTTAAATTCATTCTATCTAGTATCTTCAAACATTTAATTGAAATTTTGATCATTTTAAAATACATTTCCATAATTTCATTATTTATAGTTTTTCCAACTAATAAATGTGCTTTATTAATAAAATGATCAGCTAATTCAATATAATATTGAAATCTTAAATCCATAGATTTTGAATCATCACATTGTAGAATTTGTTTAATTTCATCAATTGTATAATATTCTTCATTTATGTTAGATTCTTCTCTGGGTTCAATTTGTTCCATGGTTGGTTCTTCAATCATTGTTTGTTCAAATGAAGAATCATAAATTTCTTTCCCTGTTTGATCGCTTAATCTTGCTTGTTTAGTAAATATTCTTATATATTCAGTATTCTTGAATTCAATTTCTTGTTGCAGTAAATTCAGTTGTAATAAATTTGATTCTGGATGAAATTGAACTTGTTGTTGATTCATAATTAATGGAGGTTGTTGAAAGATATTTGGATTATTCACAGGAGGAGTCATCAGAGGTATCATTTGAGGAACCAGAGGATGATACGGATAATTCAGAATTGGTGGAAACTGATTACTACTTCCTGAAAATTGTTGATGATGTTGTAGTGACTCAAGTTGTTGGAATTGTTGTTGATATAATTCTTGCTGTTGTGCTAATTGATTCTGGTACCCTATATTGAAAGCATTTCCATAATCAGGTCGATTATTACCATTCTTGTTCTTATTTGGATCCATGGTATTATCGTTCTCTCAAAATAGTATCATGACAGATCACTCTGGTGAATTTTTTTTTATTTGGTTCCTTCAAAATAACGCGTCCTATCAAGATAATGATCTGATACCACCACCACTACAAGGCTCACAATTATATGTTCTACATTCGGATGCCACAAACTATTCATTTAAGATATCCCATATAACTAATCGTGTCTATTTCTATAAAAATTATATATATGTATGCATACAAGGAATGATAAAAACTAATAATATTACAATATAAGGAATGGTAAAACCATACAACGAAAGATACCCATCAACGGAATATAATACAGTGGATAGATCCTTAATGTTTCAGTTTTTCCAACTCCTCTTCTAATTTTCTTCTCCTTACTCTTTCTTCAGCTAATTCCAACTCATATTGATCTTGAATATCACTGACAATCTTCTTAAACTCTTTTCTTAAAATACCATTACTATACCCAGAAGAAGACGGTCTTCCATGTGAGTTAATCGACGTATTATCTTCATCAGCATCCATCAGTATTGATGAATCAGGAATATTCAAGGATTCACCGGTAATTGGAGAGATTGCAGAATGGGTAAAATCAAGATTTGGTGAACTCAAGAAAGATGAAGTACTGGCATTGTGATGGGAAGTATATGATTTTCCTAATTTATCAATCTTCAACATATTCAATTCTTTACGAAGACGTGATATTTCCTTATCTTTATTCTCAAGCGAATCACTATCTGAACCAAAAGAAGCTGTTTCAGGTGGAGTCATTAAATCTGTTTTGGATTGTAATTGTTGTTCCAATTCGGTAATCTTCTTTCTATAATCATGTATAACTTTATCTGATGAAATCTTTGACATTTCATATTCTTTAGCCAAATATTCATACGAAAATTTCAAATCATTCAATGCTGTCTTGTATTCAGAGACAATTTTATCTGGACCCAGTGATCTCATAGGTGAACTGGAATTACTTTTTACAATATCAACATCTAGATATTTCTTGCTGGATGAGGATGATTGATCTTGAGGATATTCACCATCTGGAACTTCTATTGGTTTGGTATTTGACAAAATAGAATCAATACACAGTTGAATCCATGTGACTTTAGATTCACCAGTTTCAAGTAATGGAGGCTGTGGTAAAGTAATATTACGTTGAGCAGCAACACTAGCTATATGAGCTATTAAGGAATCAAAATTTTGATACAGTTGTAGGGAGAATCGAGGTGAAGTTGAATTGTTGGGTATCTTACCAGGCGAGTTTAATGGAGATTGTTGAAAAGTACTTGTAGAATGCAAGTTTCTTGCCACTCTTATATCTTCAATATATCCCAAACTTAGACATGAGAAATAATGGTTGAACAACTTTTCTTTCAATTTCTCCAATTCAGTTGATGTTTCAATCAATTGAGATTGTAATGATGACTGCGTTTTTATAATTGTGACTAACAAACTATTATCAGTGTGTTCACTCACCACCAAGTCGTTCATGGATCGGGCTGTAGTAATCTTTGATAACAAATATTGTTGCAATTCTTGTTTATTTTCAATGGCTAATTTCAACTCATTAAGAGCATGGAAATCTAAAATGGAACTCTTAATCTTGGCGCTATCAAAAATTGAATTTTCAATCAAGATCTTTAAATTGAGATAATTTGGTTTATTAGATTTAGTGGATATGAAAGAGTCCAAATTATCATCTTCATCCTCATCAACATCATCACCGCTAATTCCACTTCCTACTGCACGTACAAGTGGGTTGTTATCGTCGCCAACATAAGTAGAAGTTGTTGTTGAAGTAGTTGATAAATTTCCAGTTGAACTGGACAAGCGGATCTCACCTGCTTCAATTTGAGTTTGTAAAACATTATTAAAAGAATCTTGCATGGATTGAGAATGAAGAAAACTGGACTCTCCATCCACTGTTGAATTAATTGTGGTATTTGCATCGTGGTTGTTTTTCAAATCATTGAGTGTAGTTCTATATTGTTCTTGTAGTTGGAATTTCAATAAATCTGAAGTGGTATTGTTCAAATTGAATTTATCTGATGTTTCTCCATGAGTTAATTTATAAGGAGAGCTTCTAACAAAAGCATCTGTATCTATCATGGCTAATATATGATGAATGGGGTCGGGCGGTGTGGGCGTATCTATGTGGGTGTGATCAAAAGTAAAGGAATGAAAGACACAAGAAGGATGGTTTTAGATCTTGGACAGAGGGGGGGAGTAATAATTCAGATGTTGTTGTTGTTGAAACCTGCTGGAGTAGTTAAAGTTTAAGAAAGAAAAAGGAGACCCACAAGGTTAACCATATAGAATCAAAAAAAATTGGATTGATGGGTTTGGTGAGATTTCGTGAATGAGATTTTTACACGAGATTTTCTTTTTTTTTTTTTTTTTTCCACAAAAAATTTTTTGCGTTAAACTTTTTGTATGAGGGTCGTGCAACAATGGCAGGTCGTGTGTTTCAGCACAATAATGACAAAAAAAATAAATAATAAACAAATTTACTACTGGGGGAGACGAGACGCGTCAGTGGGTAACATTAATTCATGCCACGGGTATCCATTCACACAATTATTATCCTACATGTCTTTACATATTAATACAACATTACCAAATCAAGTTAAATTACTACATATTATTATTCATTCGTTTCTTTCCCCTTATTTTTGTTTAATGTACATCCCAGTAAGCTGGAGAGAAAGAAAGAAAAAAGTCAAGACCTAATGTTAAAAGAAACTCTTCATAATTAAGATTGATTGTCGTTGTTTTTTTTTTATAAACAATCACTTAAAATTGTAAGTCTTAAGTTAACTTTGCTAATTGTTACTCCACTTCCTTCATCACAAGATCTTTCTTTTCTAGTTTTGAAACAAATGATGCATTTTTGTTCAAAACTTTAATACGAATTTGATTATCGCCAAATTTTGTTTTTGTTGTTTTTCGAAATTATCGCGTTTCTTTCATTCATTCATTAATTCTATTGGTTACAGAATGCACAGTTTAGCCGACGTATCCCTACACAGGTCATTATTCATGCAGCGCCACAGAACCAACTTCCATTTCAAGTAACAATGGTAACTGGAATTTTCATATACTTCAATTCCAGATTCTTCTTCTTCTTCTACTTGTTCTTCTGTTGGTTACCGGTTCCAAATCAAACATGTCGCGTACAAAATTCAAATCTAAAAGGATTCTTTTGTAATATTATTCAATTTCGGATTTTGTGGTGTTTCTAATCTTTCTATTATTTATTTCATTCATGCTTTGCCCCCTTTTTTTTGGATGGTTTGGGAAATCTTTATAATATACTCTGATACCACACGTGACCTGTGATATAAATTGACCCTTGCTACATTTCTTGTCAACGGTTCAAGGGATTCATATGGAAATGCGCTCAAGGGCTTTGACCAACATATGGACTCAGATATTACTGTTTGATTTCACTATGTTTAGTTCTATTGTATTACACACCCTTGAAGTGACTTGTCAAAACCCAGGGGATCTAGTATTTAATAATCATTGTCTCCACAGTTAATATTCAATCCCGTTAGCGGAACTGGCGTTCCACCATTTTTTTTTTTTTTTTCGTCCGTTCCTTGTTTGATATCTCGCCTACGAATAAATTTTTATTATTGCTGATAGATAGATACCAACCAACCACCACTAATCACCAAACACTCATGTCAACTCAAGTATTAAAATCCCCATTATCAAAGTCTCTTAAAATTGCCCTTATTCAATTAAAAGCAGGTGCAGACAAAGCAGCCAATTTAACAAAAGTAACAAAATTCATTGATGATGCCGTATCAAAATCCCCAGAAGTTAATTTAGTCATGTTACCTGAATGTTTCAATTCTCCATACGCCGTAGACCAATTTAGAAATTATGCCGAACCTATTCCACAAGGTGAAACCACTCAATTATTATCAAGTTTAGCTAAGAAACATAACATCTTTATTGTCGGTGGATCAATTCCTGAAAGAGGCGATGATGATAAAATTTACAATACATCTTTGACTTTTAACCCACAGGGTGATATCATTGCCAAACATCGTAAAGCACATTTATTTGACATTGATATTCCTAATGGTATTACTTTCCAAGAATCATTGACTTTATCAGGTGGTAATAAAGCTACTGTTTTCAAATTAGGAGAATATGGTAATGTTGGTTTAGGTATTTGTTATGACATTAGATTTCCTGAATTGGCTTCAATTGCCTCTCGTTATCCACATAACTCATTTGCCATGTTTTATCCAGGTGCTTTTAACACTACTACTGGTCCATTACATTGGCACTTATTAGCTCGTGCAAGAGCCGTCGATAATGAAACATTTGTTATATTATGTTCACCAGCTAGAGATGTTGAAGGTGGTGGTTATCAAGCATATGGACACTCTTTGGTTGCTGATCCAATGGGTAAGATCATTGCTGAAGCGGGTGAAGGAGAAGAAATCTTATACGCAGAGTTGGATCCAAGTTTGTTGCCAAAGGCAAGAGAAGGTATCCCAGTTCATTATCAAAGAAGATTTGATATTTATGGTGACTTTGTAGGAGACGGAAATGTCAAAGTTAGTGATAAATAAATAAAATGTGATTTGTATCGTATTGTTATTTACAGAAGTCTATAATTTTGTCTTTAAATATCCTCGTCTTCTCTTCTTTCTACAAATTCTGACAAGACATCCATGAACTCGTTTGGCTTTTCACTAATAACCCAATGTCCACTTTCAATATCTCTAATTTCAAAATCAGGAAAGAATTTGGCAATTTCAGGAATGGCTTCATCCGGAACATATTTAGAATGAGTTCCTCTGATAAACAAAGTAGGACCTGTCCATCTTGAGATGTTCAGATCATATGGCCAACTCCAAATAATTCCTTTATTAATGGCATTACCAACAATATCCAAAGGAATCTTAGAAGTAATATGTTCATGTCTTTTCCCACGGTTTAAGTTAGTCATCAAAAATTGTCTAACTACTTCACTAGGTTCAACCTCAGCCAACTTAGCATCAACATCTTTCATATTTGTATATTTGTATTTTTCAACAGCTAAACGTAATTGATTAACATATTTTCCAAATTGGGAATCCGAATTACCAAAAGCAATAGGTGCAGTATCTACGGCACATACAAATTTAGGTAAATCTGGTCTTCTCAAAGCTAAAGCCATAACAGCTTTTGATCCCATTGAATGTCCAACCATAATAGGCTTAGCAAATTCTGGGAATTTTTGTTCTTCAATCCAATTTTCAACATCTGCTGCAAAACTAGGATAATCTAAACGAGGATGATGGGGAGAACTTCCAAAGTTTCTTAAATCAAGACAGTATACATCACGATTCAATCGAGTACTTAATTGTTTAGCAACAGTTCTAGTGTTCTTACGTGATCCAAATAATCCATGAATGAAAACCAAAGGTGATTTGAACAGAGTTGGTTGTTGGTCTGGTGAATATTTATCATAATCTAATTCAACAGTTTCTATTGACCCATCAGTAGCTAATGCATCACCAAGATATGTGGTGTCAGCACATCTGACACGACTGGTTGAGAAGAATCGGAGTGGTTGTCTAAATGTGAGTTTAAACATTGGTGATATTCATGCAATACGATTGATAGATTGAAATCTAAAACAAAAAAAAAAAAAATTATCAAAATTGATGCGACAGATTTTTCCCTCCTATTTTTTTATGGCGTTTGTTTATTCGTTTCGTATCGCATTTGGCGTGTTGTCTCGTTGTATCATCAATGGACCTATATCATTAATGAGTACCCCCCAAACTCTATTGGTGTATGAAAATCAACATAATCTTATGGTTGTACGCCTGTCCTAGATTACACAACTATATTGTTGTAGTAAACTCCCCTCCCAGGATCTTCGTCAACTGCGTCACGTGAGTTACAACGGGGAATGTACTGCATATACCAGAGATGAAATTCCAGGCTAAGCGTATCCCAGCAATCCAAAGCAAAAAAAAAAAAAAGACAAAAATAAAACCAAAACAATTTCATCATCCACTTCTTCTTTTCTGCAATTAAGTTGTTAGTTTTACCTCGTTTGAGTTGCAATTTTCACTAGTTTCTCAATTAGACAGATCAATTGTATTTATAATTAACAATGTCTGATGCAAATGGTGCCGCTGTGGCAGTAAACGTATGTTCATACACCCCTTCAATTTGAAATTTTGCAATACCTTGCGCTTCCCTTAAGTGAGAGAGTGATGCAAACTTCACACCCTTTTATCTTTTCGGAGATGCACAATAAATAGCAAACATAGCCAATTGCCCATACTAACAAACATATTTGTTCTTAATTATTAGCCATCAGATACATTTGAACCACCAAAGCAAGTTGAAATCCTGAATCAAGGCGCAGGTCCTGAAGGTGGTCCTCAACCTGGCCAAGCCACCCCAGATGAAAGCAGTCGTTCTAAAACACCAACATCTAAAGCTCCAACCACCTTGTCTTCATTACATTCTAGAAACAGTAGTACTGCATCACTTATCACTCCAAGTGAAGATCTTGATATCTCCAATGTCAAGACCAAACCTCCACCAAGACAACCGGTTGATCCTACCTATATGGGTTGGAAAGAAATTGGTGGATTCTGTGAAGAGGATATTTTAACTGCAGCCGATGAAACTGTTGATTTATTGTCCAAAGGTTCCCTTTTTGATCAATACTTACCAGCAGCCATTTATGGTGACTGGTATCATAATGCCGGTTATTTGGTTGTTGCTGGGTTGCTTTCTTGGATCATTGGATGGTTTAGATTCTCTGTCGCTCCTTTGTTCTTTATCATGGTTATTTTCTCTCTTTTGTATCGTGCCTCAGTTAAGAAATACAGAGGTGTTTTAAGAGAAACAGCTCAACGTGAGTTTTCTGTTAAATCAATTGAAACTGATTATGAAACAATGGACTGGTGCAATTATTTCTTGGAACAATTCTGGTATTTCTTGGAACCTTCTATTTCACAAATTGCTTGTGAACAAGTCAATCCAATTTTGGCCAGCTCTCCAGCTCCTGCTTTTGTCAAAGCATTGTGGCTCGATAGTTTTACTTTGGGTACTAAACCACCACGTATTGATGCTGTCAAGACTTTAACTGGTACTGCTGCTGATGTTGTTGTTATGGATTGGGGATTTTCATTCACTCCAAATGCATTGGTTGATGCTAATGCTAAACAATTGAAAAATCGTGTTAATGAAAGAATTGTTGTTAAAGCTAATGTTTTTGGTGTAACTATTCCAGTTGCTGTTGATGATGTTTCATTCAAGGGCACTGCAAGAGTCAGATTGAGATTAATGACCTCATTCCCACATGTTGAAACTGTTAATGTTTCATTGTTGGAACCACCTGTTTTTGATTTCAACACCAAGATTTTATCCGAATCATCTTGGTGGAGTGAAGTATTGGCTTTTCCTGGTTTGTACCCATTCATTAACGAGATGGTTAAGAAATATGTTGGTCCACTTCTTTTCTCTCCTATTTCTTTCCAATTGAATGTCCAACAATTGTTAGCTGGTAACGCCTTGGATTCTGCCATTGGTGTCTTGACTATTACTGCTGATTCTGCTAGAGGTTTGAAGGGTTTTAAAACTATTGGTAACACTTTGGATCCATATCTTACTTTTGGTTTCCAAAACAAAGTTTTGGGTAAAACTAAAGTTATTTCCGATACCAGTTCTCCACTGTGGAAACAAACTATTAGTATCCCAATTTCTTCATTGTCTGAACCGTTCACTATTGCTTGTATTGATTTTAACGATTTCAGAAAGGATAGACAAGTTGGTGCTATTCAATTTGATTTGGAATCTTTGATTGATGAACCAAAGCAATCCAACCTTACTGCTGCTTTCTTGAGAAACAACAAACCTGTTGGTGAATTGTCATTTGGTCTTCAATTTATGCCAACTATTGAACCAATTACTCAAGCTGATGGTGCCGTTACTCCACCCCCTGATTTGAACACTGGTATTGCTAGAGTCCAAGTTGTTGAAGCTAGAAACTTGAAAGGTGGTGAAAAAGGTGCTTCCACTTATGCTGAAATCTTTTTTGATGGCGAACCAGTATTGAAGACTTCAGTTCAAAAGAACACCAATAATCCAGGTTGGGGTGCCACCACTGAACAAATTGTTTACAATCGTGCTAAAACCAAGGTTAAGATTCAAATTAAGGACAAATCTGGTAAACGTCAAGAACAACTTGTTCATAGTTTGAATGAATTGATTGATGCTACCCAAGTTGAACAAACTTGGTTCCCATTATCTCGTGGTGGTGAAGTTAGAATCACTACTACTTGGAAACCAGTTGAATTGGAAGGTGCCAGTGGTGCCGGTGGTTACACTCCACCAATTGGTGCTGTCAGAGTTGGTGTCTTGCATGGTGAAGATTTGCGTAACTTGGAAACTATTGGTAAAGTTGATCCATACGTTAGATTGTTGGTGAATGGTTTTGAAAGAGCCAGAACTAATTACTATGATTCCACTTTGAATCCTACCTGGAATGAAACCCATTATGTTAGTGTCAGTTCTCCAAATCAAAAATTGACTATTGAAGTTATGGATGTTGAAAGAAACTCTCCAGATCGTACATTGGGTTCATTTGATGTTAAATTATCCGACTTGATTCAAAAGGATGAAAGCGGAAACTATATTGAACATGTTGATCTGAAATTGAGAACTGGTAAATTGATTCATAAAAAGGGACCAAAAGGTACTGTCACCTATACTTTGTCATTCTATCCTGCTTTGCCAGTCATGTCTCTTCAAGATTATAAAGATGAAGAAGAAGAAAAGAAGAAAATCGCTGAAGAAAAACAAAAATTGGCTGAAGAAGAAAAAGAATCAGGAAAAACTGATGATAAAAAGGAAGAAAAGATTGAAGACCAAGTTGATGAAGATGAAGATGTTGAAGATGATGCTTTTGGTCACAAATTAAGATTATCATTAGATCAATTACTTGAATATCAATCTGGTGTTTTAGTTTATTCTGTTGAAAAAGCCAGCATGAAAAAAGACGGTTATTACTTACAAGTCTTTACCGGTAATAATGGTTTCGCTGATTTCTCTACAAATAAAGTTGGTGTTACTGGTGATTCTGTTATTACTGAATTGGAATATGCAAAAACTCAATTCAGATTGGTTAAAAAGGCTTCTGACAATAGACTTGCTAAAGCTATTGCTGAGACTACTATTCCTACTTTGCAATTGGTTAAGAATGGTTACAATAAACCAATGAATCTTGAACTTTCTGGTGCTGGATCTGCTACTGTTAGTATTCAATTCAGTTGGATTCCATTGGTTTACAATTCAGGAGTTCCAAAGCTGGACTCTATTAACAACAGTGGTAATTTGACTGTTGGTATTATCAGAGCTGAAGGTTTGCCATCTGCTGATAGTAATGGTAAATCCGATCCATTTATTGAAGTCTTCTTGAATACCGACAAAGAACCATTCACCAAGACCAAAACAATCAAGAGAACTCTTGATCCAGTGTGGAACCACGAAGATACTACTGAAGTTACTAATCTTGTTGATTCTACCTTGAAATTAGTTTGTTATGATTGGGATATGGCCAACAAGAATGATCTTCTAGGCATTGGTTATATTAAAATTGGTGATTACGATTTTGAAGAACAACCAGAAATTCCTGTTAGTTTAGAAACCGAAGAAGGAGACCCAGCAGGTATTGCTTATATCAATATGAGTTTCAAACCTGAATTTGTTTTGAACCTTACTGTTGGATCCTCTGCCACTGGTGTTGGTAAAGTTGGTGCTAAAGGTGTTGGTGCCGTTGGTGCCGTTGGTAAAGGTGTTGGTACTGTTGGTAAAGGACTTGGTAAAGGATTAGAAAAAGGTATTGGTGGAGGTCTTAAAGGGATCAAGAAAGGTTTACATTTTGGTAAATCAGATTAAATTAATTATGTAACTACTTTGTTTTTTATATATATGTTGAATGAATTGAATTAAATCAGTTTTTTACAACTTGGGAGCGCACGTGACCTTTATTGTTTTTTGTTTATTATTTTTTTTTTTTTTTTTTTTTTTGCTTTTCCGCACAGATGAGATGAGATTATCAACTTTTCTTGAAACAATCTATGGGAAGACGAAAAAAAATTTTTCAATCCCTTTTAGTTCATTCCCCCTTTTTCTTAAACTTTTCCTTTCTTTTTCATTCTGTCGATAATCAACATTGAATAATCATCACACACTATGGATATTTCGAAACCAGTTGGTTCAGAAATCACATCTGTTGATTTTGGTGTGTTGTCTGATGATGAAATTAGAAAATTATCAGCAAAACAAATCACAAATCCTATTGTATTTGATAATTTAGGTCATCCTATAAATGGAGGTTTATATGATTTATCACTTGGGGCATTCTTAAGAAATGTTTGTACTACTTGTGGATTAGATGAAAAATTCTGTCCTGGTCATATGGGTCATATTGAATTACCTGTTCCTGTTTATAATCCAATGTTTTTCAATCAATTGTATATTTTTTTAAGAAGTGCTTGTTTATATTGTCATAATTTTAAACTTAATCAAGTTGAAGTTCATAAATATCAATGTAAATTACATTTGATTCAATATGGTTTATTATTGGAATGTGTTGAATTGGATAACATTTTGGCAAGTTCTTCTAAGAAATCTCCAGATGATGAAATTGACGAAGATGATGAAGATGAAGAAGATGAATATACTAGTGGTAAATCAGTTAGTAGTAAATCTAAAAAAGAACTTATGGAACGTCGTGAATTATTTGTCAAGAATGCCATTGAAAAAGCTTTAAATGAAGGTAGAACTAGTCATAGGGGTATTGTCACTGCTTCTGTTTCTGAAGAAAGAAAAGCTGTTATTCATGAATTTTACAAAGCTTTGTTGAGTAGACCAAAATGTCACAATTGTGGAATGTATTCTCCAGGTTTTAGAAAAGATGGTTTCACCAAGATTTTCGAAAACTCCTTGACTGAAAAACAAATTACCAACAATCGTGTTAAAGGTTTACAACGTCCTTCTATGATTAAAAAGTCCAACAACAAGTCATCTTCTTCTGAAGTCAGTGATCTACCAAACATCAAACATAAAGGAGGATCCAAATATGTTTTATCTACTGAAATTAGAAACATTTTGAGATCTTTATTCAACAAAGAACAACATGTCTTGCAAAAAGTTTTCCACTCCAGACCATACCAACATGATCATGTTAGTGGTGACATTTTCTTTAAACAATCTGTCTTGGTTCCCCCAACCAGATTCAGATTGCCATCTAAATTAGGTGATGAAATCCATGAAAATGCTCAAAATGAATTATTATCCAACATCATCAAGACTTCTGTCCTTATAAGAACATTGAATGATCAAATTTCCAACATGTATAAAGACAAATTGGGTGGTGAAGATAAAAAGATTCTTTTCAACAGATTAATGAATGCTTTTGTTACTTTACAAAATGATGTCAATGCATTTATTGATTCTACTAAAAACCAAAATGCACCAGCTGGTAAAGTTCCAAACCCAGGTATTAAACAAGCATTGGAAAAGAAAGAAGGTTTGTTCAGAAAACACATGATGGGTAAGAGAGTTAATTATGCTGCTCGTTCTGTTATTTCACCAGATCCAAACTTGGAAACAAATGAAATTGGTGTTCCCCCTGTATTTGCCACCAAATTAACTTATCCGGAACCAGTTACTTCTTATAATGCTGCCGAATTAAGACAAGCTGTTATTAATGGTCCTGATACATGGCCAGGTGCTATCCAAATTCAAAATGAAGATGGTTCCTTGGTTTCCTTGGTTGGTATGACTTTGGAACAACGTAAGGCTCTTGCTAATCAATTGTTGACTCCAAGTAATGGTAACTCTGTTGTTGGCAAGAAAGTTTACAGACATATTAAAAACAATGATGTTGTTATTATGAATCGTCAACCAACTTTGCATAAAGCTTCTATGATGGGTCATAAAGTCAGAGTTTTACCAGGTGAAAAGACTTTAAGATTACATTATGCTAATACTGGTGCTTATAATGCCGATTTTGATGGTGATGAAATGAATATGCATTTCCCACAAAATGAAAATGCTAGAGCTGAAGCTTTGAACTTGGCAAATACTGATAGTCAATACTTGACTCCAACTTCTGGTTCCCCATTGAGAGGTTTGATTCAAGATCATATTTCTGCCGGTGTTTGGTTAACCAGTAAGGATACTTTCTTCACAAGAGAAACTTATCAACAATTGATTTACGGTTGTATTAGGCCAGAAGATGGACATACTACTAGAAACAGAATCATCACTGTTCCACCAGCTGTTTACAAACCAGAGATGTTGTGGACTGGTAAACAAGTCATCACTACTATTTTGTTGAACATCAAACCAGAAAACGTTCCGGGTGTCAATTTGATTTCCAAGAACAAGATCAAGAGTGATTATTGGGGTGAAGGTAGCACAGAAAATGATGTTATTTTCAAAAATGGTGAATTATTATGTGGTATCTTGGATAAATCTCAATATGGTGCTTCTCAATTTGGTATTATCCATTCTTTACATGAAGTTTATGGACCAACTGTTGCTGGTAAGGCTTTGAGTATCTTGGGTAGATTATTCACCAACTACATTATGATGACTGCATTTACTTGTGGTATGGATGATTTGAGATTGACTGATGAAGGTAACAAATGGAGAAAAGGATATCTTGAAACAATCTGTTGATATTGGTAGAGTTGCTGCTGCTGAAGTCACCAACTTGGATGAAGATACCAAGAATAATAACAAGGAATTGTTGAGAAGATTAGAAGAAATTTTAAGAGATGACAATAAATTGGGTATTTTGGATGCCATTACTCAATCTAAAGTCAATGCTATTACTTCTCAAGTTGTTTCCAAATGTGTTCCAGATGGTACTATGAAGAGATTCCCATACAATTCTATGCAAGCTATGGCTTTATCTGGTGCTAAAGGTTCCAATGTTAATGTTTCTCAAATTATGTGTTTATTAGGGCAACAAGCTTTAGAAGGTAGAAGAGTACCAGTTATGGTTTCAGGTAAGACATTACCATCATTCAAACCATTTGAAACAGATGCTCGAGCTGGTGGTTATATTAAACAACGTTTCTACTCTGGTATTAGACCACAAGAATATTACTTCCATTGTATGGCTGGTAGAGAAGGTTTGATTGATACCGCTGTTAAAACATCTAGATCTGGTTATTTACAACGTTGTTTGACTAAACAATTGGAAGGTGTCCATGTCAGTTATGATAATTCTGTCAGAGATGCTGATGGTACATTGATTCAATTCCTTTATGGTGGAGATGCTATTGACACTACCAAACAATCACACATGAACCAATTCAAATTCTGTGCTGATAACTACGATGCCTTGTTGGCTAAATACAACCCAGGTGATATGATTGAAAATATTGATACTGATGCTGCATTGTCATACTCCAAGAAGGTCCGTAAGTCATTGAAAAAACAAAAGGATGTCCCACATTACGAACAAGTTGTTAAATATGATCCAGTATTGAATGTTTACAACCCTGCTAAATACTTGGGTTCTGTTTCTGAAAAATTCCAAGAAAAACTTGATGATTTTGCTGCTAAGAATCCAAGTGTATTTGCACAATCCAAGGAAGAAGCTAAAGCTACTGGTAAATTAACTGAAAAGAAATTCAGAGCATTGATGCAATTGAAATATATGAGATCTTTGATTAATCCTGGTGAAGCTGTTGGTATTATTGCTTCTCAATCTATCGGTGAACCATCTACTCAAATGACATTGAACACTTTCCATTTTGCTGGTCATGGTGCTGCTAACGTTACTTTGGGTATCCCACGTATGAGAGAAATTATTATGACAGCTTCAGCAAGTATCAAGACTCCACAAATGACATTGCCAATCTTGGATGATGTTAACGATACTGAAGCCGATACTTTCTGTAAATCTGTTGCCAGAGTTGTTTTATCTGAATTTGTTGATAAAGTGATTGTTACTGAAACAACTTCTCAAGATGAAGATGGTTCTAATAGTAGGTCTTATGTTATCAATTTGCAATTCTATACCAAAGAAGAATATGAAAGTGAATATGATATTTCTCAAGCTCAATTGGAAGATGTCATCACTAGTAATTTCTTGCGTCAATTGGAATCCCAAATTGTTAAAGAAGTTAAGAAACAAAAAAGACCAGATCATTTGCCAACTGTTGGTAAATCTGCTGGTAAAACAGATATGGAAACTGTTTCTGGTAAGATTCAAGAAGTTCGTGATGAACATGATGATGAAGAAGAAATTGATGAAGATCATGATGAAGAACAAGCTAAACAAAATGTCAAACAACAAGTTTCATATGAAGGTCCAGATGATGATGAAATTGAAACTATGAAAAGAGCTGAAGAAACTAGTGATGAAGAAATGGCTGATGCTGATAGTTCAAGTGATTCTGAATCGGATTCAGAATCTGAAGATGAAGAAGGTGATGTTGATATGGATAAATCTTCTAAACCTGTTGAAATGTCACGTTCTGCTAAAGATCGTCAATCTGAAGTTATTGCAAGTCATAATATGGTTACTAAATTTAATTTTGATGATGATAATGGTGAATGGTGTGAATTTAAATTAGAATTAAATGGTGATGAAACTCAAAAATTATTGATGGTTAATATTGTTGAAGATATTTTACGTACAGTTGTTGTTCGTGAAATCCCACGTATTGGCAGATGTGTTCATCCAGAACCAGATGCAAAAACCGGTCAAAGAATTTTAACTACTGAAGGTGTTAACTTCAAAGCCATGTGGGATCAAGAAGATTTCATTAATGTTAATGGTATTACATCGAATGATATTTATGCCGTTTTGAAAACTTATGGTGTTGAAGCTGCTAGAAACACTATTGTTAATGAAATCTATAGAGTTTTCAATACTTATGGTATTAGTGTTTCATCACGTCATTTAGATTTGATTGCTGATATGATGACTAGAGAAGGTACTTATTTGGCATTCAATAGACAAGGTATTGATAGTAGTACATCAGCATTTATGAAAATGTCTTATGAAACTACTTGTCAATTCTTAACCAAAGCTGTTTTAGATGGTGATCGTGAAGAATTAGAATCACCTTCTTCTAAAATTGTCATGGGTAAATTAGCTAGTGTAGGTACTGGTTCATTCGATGTTTTTGCTCAAATGCCTAAATTTCAATAAATTTTTTTGGGGGCAAAGATAAACCTATTGAAGTTTAATGGTTAATATAAAATAAAAAGAGCATACATGTGTAATATAGTTTGAAATAGATATCTTTATTGTTTCGTTGCAATAATAATAAAAGAATAAATAAATTAAAAAAAAATTGAATATAAATTTTATAGCGTATATCTATAACATGTGTAGTATTTCATAATTTGGTATAAAATTCGTACAAATTCTGAATGAAATAACGAACTCTGTCTATGATGTTTTCAATATTCATCATCAATGATTAATTCCCAAAAAAAAGACTATTAATACATACATTTAAAAATTAAAAAAAAAAAAAAATAGAATAACTAATAAAAAAAGATGATGGACTAAAAAACTAAATTTACAGATAATATATATATATGTGTGAGATGGTAATGGTAATGGTAATGGTTATGGTAATGTGATGTGATGATATGGTGTATTAATTTTTACGAAATTCATTCAACACCGGATAAATCAGTTCAAATGCATCATAAATTTCTTCTCTTTTCTTTGCACCCGTTAAAACAATCTTCCCTGAAACAAATATAAGTAAAACAATCTTTGGTTTAACCATTCTATAAATTAACCCTGGAAATAATTCTGGTTCATATGACGAGAAAGTACCATGCGCAAATGCCAAACCTTCTAATCTAATAGCAAATTTAACATCTGTTGAACCAACAATATTTTGTATTTTAAAATCACAGAATTTAGCATTAAATCCCAATTTTTGAATAATTCTGGCATATTTTCTTGATGCCAATTTAGAATCATCTTCAGATTTAGCCCCTGTAACAACCATTTTACCAGAAGCAAAAATCAATGCAGTAGTTTTTGGATCTCTAATTCTCATGATAACTGCTGCAAATCTTTTTGGGTTATATTCAGCATTTCTAGCATGCAATGCAATTGTTTTTAAATCTAAACGACAATCTAAATTGACAGTGGCAACAATATTTTGTAAAGTAGGAACAATACCAGATGTGGCGCCATCATCATCCTCTTGTTTTGGTTCAATTACATCAGAAGGTTCCTTCTTGATTTTGACATCACCTTCAGTTTGCAGCAGCAGCAGACCACCAGCAGTCTGTTGCAGTTTTGACTCTTCTCCATCATCTCTTTCACCATCAATACCCTTTGGGAATAACAATGAATCTGGACCAGTAAATACCTTAGCTTGAGCAGCAGTTGTTGGTAATTTTAATGAATCCATGGTGTATATATATGTGTGTAAAATGAAATGAATGAATGAAGTAGTATCAATTACCAGAAAGGAAATATAAAATGCAAGATTCTTCGTTCAAAAATAAAAGGTTTCCTTTCTACAGTGAAATTTCTTTTTATTTGATCTGTTTTGGTTCTTTTTATTTGCGGACTATTGGAGTGGATGGGGGCGGAAAAAGGCAACCAAAGAGTGTACAAATCAAAAAAAAAAATTATCTGAAAAAAAAAAAAAAAAAATTAAAAATAAAAATGCGTGTGAAAAGTGCAAAAAGTGTGTGATAACCAAAAAACCGAAAATCTTTTTTCGCACACTTCAAATTTTTTTCTCCATCAGGGAATTTCGCGAAGTATTTATACTCCTCGAGTTTGTCCGGGTAATTCTTACAACCGTGTTTCTTTTTTTTTTTTTTATTTTTATGTGACGCGATGGTCATGATTTTAGAGATAGAAGTATTTCTCCATGAGCAATACAGATAAACGATAGATTAGACCTGCAGTGAGGACCTATGAATCATCTCTATATGTATGTATTCACACGCGTTGGAGCATCTTATCAATAATGGTTATTGAACAAAAGTCTGCCAACTGTCATGGCCACCAAGTCATCTCTACTTGTCTAATGGTTGTCATTGTTTTTTTTTTTTTTTATTTGCTGTCAGCGAGAAAGTTTTTTTTTTTTTTCTTTTTTTGTTTTTTCTTTACTTTGGTCACTTGCACACGACTTTCTCGTGCCCAAGTATCGATAAATTAAAACGCGCCATAGCAAATCTTAATCTTAATCATGATGATGATGGTGATCATCTTACTTTTATTTACTTTAAATCTGGTTAGTTAATTTATGTGCCGGGTGTCGGTTTTGACAAATAATGGATAAGGATATACTACTACAAGAACCATTCACGAAAATCACAAGTAAATCAAAAGGTGATTCAACTATTCGTTATGTCACATTTAATGTAAATGGAATTAAAACAATCTTTAATTATCATCCATGGAATAAGTTTAAACAAGATTATAACGCGTTATTTAACCTGTTACATGCTGATATTATCACTTTGCAAGAATTGAAATTATCTGAATCAACTATTCAACAAGCTAAGAATATAGCTCATTTGGCAGATTATAAATCATTTATTAGTTTACCTGCGACTAAGAAAGGATATAGTGGTGTGGGATTATTTATTCGTAACCCATCAGATGGAAAGAATGCTAAACATTTAACTGTTGTTAAAGCAGAAGAAGGAATTACTGGTTGGTTATGCTCACGAAATGGAAGTAACGTTCCATATCGTGAGTTGAATGATAATATTGGTGGATACACAGATTTTGATAAACAACTGGGTCAATTTTTAGATAGTGAAGGTAGATGTGTTGTTGTTGAACTTGCAGATAATACAGTTGTATTTGGTGTATATTGTCCTGCAAATTCTCAAAGAACATATGAAGGTGAATTATTCAGATTAACATTTATGAAACTTTTACTTGAAAGATGTCGAAATTTGAAAAATATGGGGAAGAAAGTAGTTGTTATGGGAGATATTAACATTAATCTTGATCTTATCGACAACGCAGAAGGTATTGAATTGGGAGTTAAAGATAATTCAATAAGAAGAGCACTGCTGGGACATACATTTGAATGTATGAATTACGCAGAATGTGTCAAGTTTAAAAGTTCTCTGGATGCAAGGATTTTGTTAAATAAATATGTTTATCGATCCATGTGGCAGGATTTGAGTATTGATGGGAAAGAAGAAAATAAAGATGATGAACAAAAACAATTCTTGTATGACACCACAAGGTTTATTCAAGGTAGAAGAATGAAAATGTATACAGTTTGGAATACTTTGACAAATTCACGTGAAATTAACTATGGATCAAGAATTGATTTGATATTGTTTAGTGATGAATCAATGGTGAAAAATATTTCCCAAGCAGATATATGGCCATGTATCTTGGGATCCGATCACTGCCCTGTATTTACTGATTATGATATTGATGAATGTCAAGAGGATGACGATATCACAGAAGTTCCTACGAAGTTACACCTTGAAGCTAGATATCATTTCAAATTAGAAAAAACAAGAGATATCACCAGTTTATTTGGGTCTAAAAACCCGAAAAAGAGTGCAAGTCCTGATTCAAGTAGCACCTCATCAGTGACAAGCTCTCAATCTTCAACTCCAAAGCCCGCCAACTCTCAGGAAAGTTCTCTGAAACCAAAATATGTATATAAAAGTCGGAAAGTGGAGAAACCAGAGGCAAAGAAGAACAAGAAGACACAGATCAAGTCTATTAGCAATTATTTTAAATAGATTATATGTTTACATAGATGATTAATAAAGGGGTTATTCTATAAATAGTAGTATGGATCAACTCAGGGAGCTTTGTCTTTTCATTTCTACTGGATCCGACGAATTACTGAGTTCAGAAGACTCTTGAGATTGTTTCTTTCTATTTCTTAACTGTGAGTAAGCAAATCGAGTTGAAATGAGTAATCCAAGTCCAGCAAGACCAATACCCATGTAAAAAGCATGTCTTATTCCTTTAATATCAGAATCAAATTGATTATCAGCAGAACCAGTATAATATTCAACAGCAGCAGCGAATCCCAATCCAAGAGCAATGGAATAATTAACAACTGTGGAGACTAATGATCCAGCAATACCTTGTTGACGTCTAGGTAAGAAAGAACTTAATAAAATACAACCAGCAGGAAATGACATATCCATACCAATTGGTTGGATAATTAAACTGACAAATTTTTGACCCCAATAAATTTGTCCCACTGGTCGAAGTCCCATTAAAAGTATTCCTACTAAAAATGCAAGATTAGCTAACCACATAACAATACCTGATGGAACTTTGGTTAATAGTATTGCCCCAGTAATTGCAGCAATAAGTCCCATAGGACAACAAGGTATTGTCTTTACTGCTGACATAACTGCATTATCTCCATCGATAATTAATGACCATCTAAACATATAGTATAACCAAACACCAAAACAAGACCACCCAGCAGCAATACATCCAAGAATAAATCCTGTATCACCTTTCAATACTGAGCTAGGAACTAATGGATCATCAACTTTTTTTTCAACAAAAAAGAATACAACCATAGAAAGGACACCGACAATAAGTAAAGCATAAACATATGGAACATTCCACCCAACGTTTGGACCTTGATTAAGGGCAAAATTAATTAAAACTAAACCAGAAACACCAAATATACTACCCCAATAATCAAATTTCCCATCTGATTTAATTCCTATTTTTTTAGGAATAACAAGTATGGCAGAAACACCAAAAAATATACTAATTATACCACATGTCCAAAAAGTCCATTTCCAAGAACTTACTACAGCAAACATCCCACTGAACAATGAACCAGCAATGAAACCAGTTGGAGCAATTGCTCCAAATAAAGCTAAACAAATATTTTTCTTTAAAGATTCAGGATAATAAGACCCAATTAATGCTTGAGTATTTGGCATCATTATAGCTGGTCCCATTCCTTGTAAACCTCTCATTGTAGTGAAAAAGACATTTGATTTAGTTAATCCTGAAAACCCACACATTAATGAAAATACACCAAACCATAAATATCCAATAACATATAAAAGTTTATATCCATACATATCACCTAATCTTCCAGAAATTAAAATAAATGTACCTACAATCATCGAATAACTTGAGGCAAACCAAGACATTTCTCCAGGATTATCTTGAACTCCAAATGTTTCAGCAATATGAAATTGAGTATTCATTGTTTGTGCAACACCTGCTTGAGTTAATAATTGTGAAAGACACATGAATGACATGAATAAAATTTCTCTAAATTTTGAAATTTCTGTATGATTGGGTTCAGGAAGTAAAGAAATAGTTATTATTGAAGCAGTAGTTTCATGTCTTTGAAGATCAAATATTTCTTGATTAATACCTTGTTCGATTTCAAAGTCATTAACTTCATTTGAATTCACAGATTCTGCCATTTCTTCTTTCATATTTGATATAAAATTAAGTCAAAGATATCGTCGTGAATGGTTTTTAGAAATTTGATGTATTTTTATTTTTTATTTTTGGGTTGATAGGGATCTTTGCATGATTATATATATTTATATACGGATATCTCACCGGAAAAGGTGTGCGTGTAGCAACAGTGAAAATCCGCGTCTCATTGTTTTGTGTAACTCATCTCTTCTTCCTCTTCTCCTTAACAAAAAAAAAAAAACTCGGAACGCCGAATCAGATTTTAAAGATTCCACTTCGACCCGAATATCACAAACTCAGGAAATGTCAATTACTAAACTTACTAATACCAAAATAGCAAACTTGTTCAGTGGTAGGTTAATAACAATAATGATAACAATAAGATATAATCTCGACTCTGTCTCTCACAAGATAGTCTCTGGACCATGTGGTGATCCAAATATAGTTGTGAGTCTTTCCCTTTCATACCTCACGTTATGGTTAAGAGAAAGAAAAGGGTGTCAAACTTTTAACACAAAGGTTTGAGATCGTATAATTATCATGTAACAGATCTTCAAACGGCCCAACCGCTAAAAACTGTTAAACGAAAGCTACAAACCTGGTTACAAACTCGTCTTTAATATTATTAATAAGTTCGTGAAAAACTAAAAAAAAAAAATCATGTCATACTATATTCTATGAAACTACAGTTGGTATCTTAGCGGTCTCTTTCAACCATTTCAAGTGTGGAATGAAAACGTCTTTACATCTCTTGATATTGTTTTCTTCTTCATCTTTAACATACATTAAATGATTACCCATATAATCATCATTAAAGTTGATCTTTGGAACATTTTCAATCGGTTTACCGGATTCTTCATCGTAATAGTTTGGACACAAACCCTCGGTGAAAAATTGTAATACTCGTAAATCAAAATCATAACCAACATTATCATTAATAGACGAATACATTCTAATATGTTCTCCTGAATCAGGATAAACAAGATCATGATTATCCACTAACCAATTTGGATAAAATTTAGGATATGAAAGATGCATGAAAATAACATCAACTTTATTCCTTGTCAAATCTTGTGCTTGAACAGGATCAAAATGTGCTAATGCTTTAGAGACAAATTTCTTTTCTCTCTTTGATTCATATCCTGTCCATTTGAATTGTTTAGCACATTGATACCAAGGTTCCTTCATAACATGAGCAGCAGCAATAAATGTTTCCTTATCACCTTCACCTGCAGAACCTTGTGTCATCAATGGATAGTAGTAATCAGGACCAAAAACATTATAGTATAAACAAAGCAACAAAGTTTTCAAGTGACTGGACTTATTGATCATAAACATACCAGTTTCAGATGTTGGATCTGGAAGAGCACCTTCAAAATCATGATACCAAGAATCTTTGAAAGTATATTCAGACAATGGTTTTAATTTATCTTTACCTCCAGCTTGTTTTTCGTCATATTTCGAATATCTTAATTTGTTTTCTTTAACTTCAACATTGGCAATATCGTAGAATTTAGGATTAGTAGTTCTTGCCCAAGCATCTGGCCATAAAAGTAATTGATTTTCCTTGTATAAATCACTAGTAAACAAATAATCTACATCTCTGGTTGGGAAATTGTCTGAGTCCAAGTACAATACATTTTCAAATTTAGAACTTAAAAGAGCCAACATCTTGTATTGATATCCACCAATTTTGAAACGTTTACTCAATTCTTCAGCAAATTCATAATCAAAAACATTACATCTAGCATTATATTTAGGCAACACTTCATCACAGAAATGTTTTTCATAATCAGATTCTGTGGCGATGAATAATTCAATTGGTAATTTAGATCCATTGGCTCTGATTTGTTTAATAACTAAAAATGATAACCAAGTGAACCGTCCACCACCAACAAGAACATACCCAGATGATCCTTTGTAAGATTCCCATTCTTTATCACTAGGTAACAAATTACCAAAAGTTTTAACTTCTTTAAGCATTTCTGGAATATGGTCCTTAACATATCTTTGATGACTATCTTTTAATTCTTCATAAGTTTCATGAGGAATATCCAAGACATTTTCCAAATACTCTTTACTGAACAAAAATGAATCGTGTGTGGAGAATAATTCTTTAGCATGTTCTGTTTTATATTTCTTTTTAATAGAAGGTTGTTTCATAGCAAATTTTTCCAAGTTGTCAAAGAAAATTCTATAATTTGTAACTTTTTCATTCTTTGGTTTTGAAGCTTCCACTTTGATATCATCACCTTTAACAGATTGATCTTTCAGACCTTCGAAAGAATCTCCAGTGTCATCTTCAGTTTGTTGTTCAAGAACAGGTATAGCTTGTTCTACTTCAGGTGCTGCTTTAACAGCATCGGCAGGTTTTGGCTCATCACCTTCATCTGCCGGATTTACATCCACTGCAATAGGTTTCTTTCCACTAGAATCTTCATTTTCTGCCTTTCCAGCAACGTTTTGTGGTTTAGCTTGAATGATTTCTTCATTTGGAGGATTGTCAAGTCTATTTGGTCCAGGTTTAGGTATGGATTCTTGAATATTTGAACCAGCATTGGATGCTTTAAATTCAAATACATTTTGTAAATCTTGTTTTTGGACATTAGATGAAACAATGAGATGATAGGTAATTATGATTGCCAATACTCCTAAAAGCAACTTGATTTTTTGTTTGGTAATCATTTTATTGAAAGAATGCAGTAATTGGAGATAAATGCAGAATGTGGATATTAATTGTAAACTACTGTTGAGTTACCCCGTTGACTTCTTTGAATGTCTCTTGTCTATTGATGTGATAGTGATTTCCTTCTTTAACAACACCTAACGATCTTAGAGATCAAACCAATAAAGTAATGATTATTAAGATGTAATTAGGAATGGGTATTTTCCAATATAAAAGTGAAGCAATTTAGATCGGAAACAAGTGATGAAAAATCATATCAATTTTTTTTTTTTTTCTTTCTTCCCTCCTTCGTGCGTTGACAATTCCGGTTGAACGTGCCGTGGTCACGATTTTAGTTCGACGCGAAAAAATTTGTTCGTTCGTACGTTGGTGCCAAGATGACCAACTAAATCGAACTAAACATCTTGTACGCTGATTCTTACAATATATGAAAGAAAGAAAAATTTTTTGCACATTAAATCTCTGATGCATCTAAATTAGTTTCATGCATAAACACTTACGATTGTTTGTACGAGAATATGAATAAGATGATGAAGATCATGCAAGTATGAATGAATGTTTACTAAAAATAAATAAAATCAAAAAAACAAAACAGACGCGTCATTACTCTGGTATGTCGTCGGAGAAACACGTCGTAGAAGAATTTGCAGTTTAATTACTCCGTCGATCTCAGGTTTCAGTAATTACGAACCATCGGTATTTAAACAATAAATTAATTGCATCATGATCTATGACTTCCATCAGTAAGAGACAAAGATAGCAATTGTTCATGCTTCTTGTTCTGGTTTATATCACTAGATTGGACAACTGAAAATGAATGCCAGTATAGCATGACGTGTACAATGCTTTATTGATGTGTTCCTGTAGATAGATTAAAATGTGACCATCCAACGACTTGTCATACCAGCTTGTCTACACTTCACCAGTTACTAATTACCACTGAAATAGCAAATAGTTCTATGAACAACATCCAAGGTAATAATAATTATATGGATCTAAGATTATTGTGTTTTTGCACGACCAGCAACGTTTCTTCCCCATGCTTATTAATGAATATTATTTTTTTTTTTTTGCTAAATCCATACCATCAACACCAATTGATTCTTCTACCAGAACATCTTCCACACCATAGTAAAATGTTTAAACGACTTCCAAAGACACAGTCATTCACATCAGCAATATCGCAGAAGGGATTCTCATGGGTGTTCCCAACAGAAAGAGAAGAGTATCAATTTCTTATCGCCAACCCCAAGGCAATGCAAGATTTAGGATTAAATGAAGAAGAATCAGAAGATCCTGAATTTCAACTGATTGTAAGTGGTGAATATTATAATGATAAAACCACATATATTAAAGAAAATTTCCCCAAGCCTTATTCACAAGCATATGCTGGATGGCAATTTGGACAATTTGCTGGACAATTAGGTGATGGTAGAGTAATTAATTTATTTGAAATTCCTAAATCTACACCAGATGGACAAAATCGTAACTTTTATGAACTTCAGATAAAAGGAGCTGGATTGACTCCATATTCAAGATTTGCTGATGGTAAAGCAGTATTAAGATCGTCTATTCGAGAATATATCATATCTGAACATTTAAATGCAATTGGAATTCCATCTACTAGAGCACTCGCTTTAACTTATTTACCAAGTACGTTGGCTCAACGACATGGTGCTGAGAGATGTGCCATTGTGGCTAGATTCGCGGAAAGTTGGGTTCGTTTGGGAACATTTGATTTATACAGGTGGAGAGGTGATCGTCAGGGAGTTAAGCTATTGGCAGATTACGTCATCAATGAATTATTTACAATAAACGGAGTTAAGTTTCAAAACTTTGAAAGAATAGTAAACACCAAACCGGAGTTGTTGAAAGATAACGGCGTCAAGTTGGAGGATCTTACAGAATACGACAAGATGTATTATGAGAGTATTGTAAGGAATGCTGAGACCACTGCTATTTGTCAGAGTTATGGGTTCTTGAATGGGGTATTGAATACGGATAATACGTCTATCTTGGGACTTGCGATTGATTTTGGGCCGTTTTCAATCATGGATAAGTTTGACCCCAACTACACGCCAAACTCCGAGGACCACCAGACGAGATACGGATATAGGAATGTTCCATCTGCTATTTGGTGGAACTTGACTAGACTAGGTGAGGACTTGGCCGAATTGATTGGTGCAGGCAAGGAGTTGCTTTCCAATCCCGAATTCGAAGAAGCAGTTAAAGAGGAATGGGAAGATGGGATTATTAAACGAGCAACTAAGATAATCGAAACAGGTGGGGATATTTATCAATATGCGTATACTAAGAAATACGTGGAGATGTTCTTCAACAGACTTGGATTGCCACACGAGTTGATTGATGCCAAGAATCCAGATTTACAGATGACGGATGTTATTCAGCCAATGTTGGATGTATTGTTTAAGATTCAAACTGATTTCAATCTTTTCTTTTTGCAATTGCAGAACATTGATTTTGAGTCTGGAACGGTAAATTATGTTGAAATTGCAGAACGAGAATTCTTAGCCAACTTTGAATTTAATACATTTCGACACCATAAGGAGGATTTGTTGAAAGTCATAAGTGAGTGGCTTATTGTTTATCATGAAATGCTTGAAAAAACCAAACAATACAAGACAACAACGCCAAACCCAGCCATGTACAATCCTAAATTCTTACCTCGGAACTGGATCTTGGATCAGGTGATTGATCAGACTCTGAGTTCAAGAGGAGCTGAAACAAGTTATCTTGAGAAGTTGCAGAAAATGAGTTCCAATCCATTTGATGAATCTAAATGGGGCGATGAATTGAAGGAATTGGAAAAATCGTGGTTACTACAAGGTAATAAAGGTGACGAGTTTGCCATGTTACAATGTGGATGTTCAAGTTAGACTAAATATTCATTACAATGTATACATATAAAAAGATATACAATGACTCTAATGTTTGAATGCTTTTTTGGCATCTTCATAACCTTTTTGGAATGAAGCGTGAGCTTCTTTTTGTAAATGTTCTGGTAATTTAGCAATTTTTGCATCTAAATGATGAACACCAGTTTCAAATTTAGCAAGTAGACCAGGGTGATTGGTAGATTCTCTATGTTTATGTTTATGAGCAGTAGAATTGTTATCACTAGATGAGGATGAAGATGAAGATGATGAAGAAGAGGATGTAGTTGCTTTTGATGATGTAGCTCCATAACCACTAGCAACACCTCCGGTGGTAGTTGAAGAAGGTTGACCTTGAGATCTGTAATTGCCACTAGAAGCTTGATTACTGTAACCAGTAGAAGTTTGATTAGTGTAACCAGTGGAGCTTTGATTACCATAAGCACCAGTTGGAGTTGGTCCATGATTTGAAGGGCTTGAAGTGTTTGGAGTAGAACCATATCCAGTTGATTGGTTGGAATCATAACCAGCAGTGGTACGATTTGCAGAAGCACCATATTCAGATGAAGTGGTTCTGTCGTTGGTAGCTGTGGTACTGGCAGCAGTAGCACCAGTAGTTCCTGTTCCAGCTTTATTAGCTTGATATTGTTTGTATTTTTCTTGAGCTATATCAGTACCTGTTTGGCCATCTTTACCACCTAAATAAGTACCAGCTTGAGTATTGGCTTTATCGAAATCGTCTTTTTTAAAGCTTTTTAATTTATCTGCTAAACCCATTTTTTGTGATGTTGAAAATTATTATTATTATTATTACAAAAGTTGAATAAATATTTTAAGGGGTAAGAAGAAAGAGAACAATTCAACTGTAAAAATAGCAAAACTAATTGAGAGAGAAAATTCATTGTCTATTTATAGAGAAGAGATAATGAATTTCAGGAAAGGGAATTTAGTCTCCATGCAAGGGAACTCAGATGAAACAAGTACAAATTAAATTAAGAGGAAATTTCATTAGATTCAAAATTCATTTCGTAGTTTCACAGTTGTGGGTGGCCGTAGTGGGAACTAGTGGTTAAGAGCGCGAGCATGGTACCACCTGCAGCCGCGAATATTTTCGTTGTCGCCGTCGTCCTCGTCGTTTATTTCTTTTTTTCTTTATTCTTCATCAGCGCTGTCCTTTTTATTCAAATTTGTGGCTGTTCCATTGAGTGCATGGAATTGGCTTGAGATGAAATTAGAACTTGAAACGAGATTTAACAAGGCTTGATCCCTTTTCTAATTTCATTTCTCTAGTTATGCAATCTTATAAACGGGAAAGTTTGCAAAATTAGTGTGAATCTTTCATGGAAGGCATCTCAATTGAGGAATATCAATTGCATTCAAAGGTGACAATCATCATATGCATGGTATAATTGGTTCCTTAAAGGGTTATGAAGAACAATCTTATGAGTTTGGCAAATGGGCAATGCAATATGTACTATACAACTAAAGGTCTGTGGTACTTCTCAAACTGGTTTGCAATTAGTTGCATCGTCAAATTTCATCAACTTAGTCTTGTGAAAACTTGTACTCTGCATGTTAAAATATATCACACCTGTAGTATTACTTTACAACTATTGGCTGGTAGTCTCCCTTGTGACACACATACAACATGATGTGTTGCATTCAAAATGGCTTAGCTATTTTTCATTAACTATATTTAATCACCCAATTCCCACTCTTTTAACTCTTTCATCACTGTGAGTACAATTCTACTACTTTGATCTTTCCACCTATAACTAACCAACTTTCGTTTTATGCGAAATCCACGGAATTATTTCACAATTTAAACATCCACATCACATCGGAATATCCACCAACAATGACAAATGACACATATGATGTCTACTTCCCTTCAACAATAGTGTTAATTGAATTGCCTTTTGGATTTCAATTAAGTTATATTTCTCCGAAGGCTTGTTTTTAGTATTCGTTCCGATATATGGTCTTATTATCCCCCCGCATAGATTCCGATAGTTTTTAAGATCCCCCACGATTTTGAGCCACAATCTGGAACATTCTTAGGAAAACTATATAAATGAGGGAAATATCACGTTAGCCCCCTTGCTTTATCCCTTCAACTCAACATTAACCGAACTCATAATTCCTTAAAAACAAAATGACAATTCCTGATTTCAAATTAAATGATGGTAATTCAATTCCTGCTTTAGGACTTGGTACTTGGCAATCAACACCTGATGAAGTTTATAATGCAGTTCTTGAAGCTTTAAAAATTGGATATCGTCATATTGATACTGCTGCAGCTTATGAAAATGAAGAAAGTATTGGTAAAGCAATTAAAGATAGTGGTATACCAAGAGAAGAAATTTTTATAACTACTAAATTATGGAGTACATTTCATAAGAATCCAGAATTAGGATTAAAAGAAAGTTTACAAAAATTAGGAGTTGAATATATTGATTTATATTTAATTCATTGGCCAGTTATGTTGAATCCAAATGGAAATAATTGGAAATTTCCAACTCTTGAAAATGGTAAAAGAGATATTGTACATGATTGGAATTTTATTAAAACTTGGGAAAAGATGCAAAATTTAGTTGGTAAAGGTACTAAATCTATTGGAGTTTCAAATTTTGATATTGTTAATTTAGATAAATTATTAAATGCTGATACTACAACTATAATTCCTGCTGTTAATCAAGTTGAATTACATCCTAATTTACCTCAACATAAATTATTGGAATATAGTAAATCCAAAGGTATTCAATTAGAAGCTTATAGTCCATTAGGTTCAACTAATTCTCCATTATTGAAAAATGAACAATTGGTTAAAATTGGTGAAAAATATGGTGTTTCTAGTGCCACTATATTAATCTCTTGGTCAATTTGGAGAGGTGTTGTGGTTTTACCTAAATCTGTTACTCCAAGTCGTATTGAATCTAATTTTAAGATTGTTAAATTGGATGATGAAGATGGTAAAATCATTGATGATTTATATAAAACTATTGGTGTTAAAAGAATCATCAACCCAGATTGGGATCCAGTAACTGTTTTCCATAGTGATGATTAAAAACATACAATTACTTTAGGTACATCTGTTATTGATTCAAATATATATATATATACAAACAATTTCCAAAAACCGGCGACAAGTAAACTAAATGAAACAGTTGAAGAATAATACATTTGACCACAAAATATATAAATTTATCAATCAGTTTACCTGGAAATCTAATAAAAAAAAAATAAAAAACACATTTATATATATACAAATATATATGAACAAAAGAAAGAAAATTTAAAAACCCTGATTTTTTCAATAAAAAAAATAAAACTTAAATATAAAATAAACAAAATAAAAGAATAGAAATAGAAATGTTTGTTTTTAGTTTAGCTTTCAAGAAATCCCTTGTGATTTCTCTCATGTATCTAACAATTTAACGTAATTCGAAGGACAGATACCAACTTGACCATTGGCTCTTCTAGCTTGCCACCATTTTCCATCTATATCATCAACTTCCAAGATTTCATCCTTTACAAAGGAAATTTCATTAATATCGTCTGGATTGGCATCATAACTGTATAATGCTTTAGCCTTGTATCTAAATGTTATTCCTGTTCCAGTTTCTGAATCAGTATATATTGTGTTGCGTTTATTGCTTGTACTATTGTTTGTCAAGTCTCTTCCTGTAGCTCCACTTCCCGGCACATCTTGAGAACTGAAATTTTCCAAGCCTGCCAAATGGGAAGATGACATGTAAGTGTTATTATTGTTGGTGGTGTTTCCTTGTGGAGTGTGGACGGCTGAACCTGGCATGTTTGGTGGTTGCATAGTTGTGTTGCCATTGCCTGAAGAAATATCTTGATGACTTCCGAGTCTCAAAGGACCTTGTGGTGCATCAGGAATTTGTGCTGGGGACACATATCTACGGTAGTCTTGATTGTTGGCACCCATCTCGTCATAAGCTTGGACTTCTGATTTACTAACAGGATTTGTGTTGCCCAAATGTTCGTGACCATGGTTTTTAATACTGAATGAGTCAATAAATTGATTAGTTGGGGATTCTGGATGACCACCAAAATACAAGATCCAAATTAAGTTCAAGATACTCAACAAAATACATCCTGCTGCACAACAAAGATTACCTGAAGAATCTGAATTGTAAATTAAATTATTGGTTGTATTTGTCGTGTAGATAAATGCTATCGATACTAAACCAACCAAGGTGAATTTGTATAGTTCGATATTGTTATTGGCATACAATACAAATATTATAAGGATGATGACAATTTGGTAGGCTACACCCCACCAACTGAAATGGGGGAAAGTAGATTGTTCAGAAGCAGCTGCCCCTGCAAGAGCAACCACCCATGATATTATTCCAAAGGAGATGGTAGTTATGGCAAAAGGATCACCTGTGAAATTTGAAAGTGAAAACCCCATTGTTTGTTAATTATTATATGTGGTGGTGAGGATATTTTAACTATCAAAAAAGGAGTGGGATGGGTACTATAATTCAAAGTTATTGGTGACGAAGTACAACAAGAAGGAAAACACAGCAACCTAAACAGAGGGAGAACCAAAAAAAAAAAAAAATAAGGGTAGTGATCTAATTCAAGTACACGATAGATTGATTACTTGAGACGTAGTAGAACAAAAAAAAAGAATGACTGACTATTCCAAGAGAGAACAAACTGAGGTTGGAGATAGATGTTGTTGTTGTTGTTGTTGTTGTCTCTGGTTGATGATGATACCTAAAGAAGAGGAGTTGTTGTGGTTGAATATGAAATGAAATTAGAAAGAAAATTTTTTGAAAGGGCAGCCAAAGCCAAATAAAAATACAACAGACAACAACAAAGACAAAGACAACCACTACGCCATTTCTTCCTATGCGTGCACACAAAACAAAAAACAAAAAAAAAAAATTCTCCCTTTTTTTTCATTGTACGTGTACTTGTGCGTGTGCGTGCACCAGTGCACATTAGTGATGTTGGGTGCATACGTTTTGTGTGATTTCGCTTCTGATTTGGCGTGTGTTTCATACTGTTAATTAATACTGGGTCTACATTGATCTGTCTGTGGGTGGGATAATTAGCGTGCTAGACTAAATACTAAGAATATGTTTATGCAGACAGTAGCTGTTGTACAAACTATATATTGATGGTGATGATGATGGTGGTGGTGGAGAAAGAACAAATCTGAATTACGATAGTCTTTACTTTGTTAAACCTGGAGTCATTCATGTTGTAATTGTTGTTGCTTATTATAATTATCTTAATTATATTCTTATTGTTGGTTGTTTATTTGATCTAAATGTAACACGATATTGATCTCTTATCTCCAATAATAATTCAAACTTAACTCATCAACAAATAATAGAAAACCAAAAAGAAACTTCTCCACTGATGTCTGTGAGTCGTGTGTGAGCAAACAAAATAAGACACGTAAAAAAAAGTAAAAGAATTTACAGCAGAATGTTAGTGTACTTACCGATCAGTATTTTTCAGTAATTAAAAAAGCAACAAAATTGTACAAATTATTTAATTAACTGTTCGTATTGGTTTAAACAGTCAATCAAAAATGGTTGATCTGTCCACAGAGACGCGGTTGGGATTGATTGTCAAATCTAGAATGTGTATTATAATTGTCAGCAGTAATTATCAATTCAATTTCAAATTATTTCCAAATCATTAAAGTTGCTTCAATTATCACTCAAAATCAAATTGGACCTCATTTTGTTCACTCTGTGATACTTTTCAGGCGTGTCAATAAATTTATCTGTTTCAAGATATTGTTTGTGTCATATCAACAAACATCAACGCAAGAATCTGAAACATCAATTACTGTAACACAATAGAATGTTAAAGATTAAGCATATTTCCTAATTTTGTTTTACTGCGACGATTTAACGACCAAAAATCAACAAAAAAAAGGGGTCTAGACTCACTCATTTAATTAATATTCTTCTTTCATTGAGATTAATCCACCATCACCATGTCAATTCATTGTGGGTTGTAATAAAAAACCAGGCTTTTCTTTTGAAAAAAAGGATCAGCCATATTGCGAATCCTGTTTCTATTTCATGAGTATAATGTACGTGTTTATTCATCGATTCGCGTACTTTTGAATTATTAATCTTTTACTTTCCAAAAGGGTAAAACCTTAGTATAGTATAATACTGGTCATCAAAGGAGAGGGAATAGATCTCTTGAATAATTCTATTTTAATTCCTATTTATTCCTATAACTGTTATATCGTTATTCCTCTTTCTAAAAAAAAAAAAATCATAGTTCAGTTCCCGCACTTTAATGTCCGATAATGTGTGACTGTCTTCTCTGTCTCTTACAAAAAAAAAGAAACAGAAACTGTTGCAACCAGCGAGAATATTCCGGATCTGCATTCCGAGTTTTTCCCTTATTCCCGTTTCTCTTCTAACAAAGCCCATATTACACACATACATACACACACATCGCTTGCTAATTCCTTCGCTTTTTCTAATCCCATTAATTGAAATATTCTTTTGAGTAAATTAAATAGAATCCACGGTGTTTGGGAAGAAAATAATCTTTATGTTCGTTATCAGGAATATCATAGCCTCTCCCTGCCCCCTCCCCTCCTTCACCTCGGTATTTGGATAATTACATACGATGACTCGTTCGGACTAATGGGGTACGACTCATGAAGTAAGACAGGAGGGGAAGAAGAAGAATAAGAATAAGAAAATGAACCACATGGCAAAAAAGTCAAAGGGCTTATCTTGAGTCATCCTGGAAGAATGGGAATAACTTGACTACTATTTTTCTTGTTTCTAGTGGTCGTACGGAATAATATCAATAATAGAAAGAAATTCCAGCCCTCCGTTTCTTTGCGGGTATTGAATGAATTTCTGTTATTGTTGCAAATTCTTATGACTATGCAAAGTCCTTAAGTCCATGACCGTTTTTATTTTTATTATTATTCTCTTAAGGTTACTCCTTACTCGCATGCATATGTAGAATAACCTTAATGATTACTCTTTTTTTTTGCAGATGATTCATTTATTCATGGTTTATTACGGAATATGAATTATTACTTGTGGTAACTACTATTCATCTTCAGTTCATCCGGTCATCTACGTCTTTAGTCATTGACTTCAAAGAATATAAATACCACTTGTAAGTTTCATTAAAATGCATCTTAAGATTATTTTCCTTGTATATCACATTACAATAAAAAACAAACCCCCTACAATATGCTTTCAACTACCGTTTATAGAAAACTACCAGTTGTATCAACAACAACATGTCACAATTTAATCAGATTGTCATCGACATTAACTGCTCCACCATCCACTCCATTAAATCAAGTTCCAAAACATTCTTCTAATCATGAAGATTCATCAATATTTGTTGAACCTAAAAAATCTGCTTTTGATGTGTCGACTAAAATTTATTCTCAAGAAGGTGTTAATAGAAATGATGATTCAAGATATTTAACTAAACCAACTTATCCTCATCCAGTTTTCCCAACTGAAGAATGTGAAAATGTTACAGTAACTCATAGAGAACCACGTACATTTGGTGATAAATTATCTTATAAAGGTATTCATTATGTCCGTAAAATTTTTGATTTTTTCACTGGTTATGCTGACCCAAGTCCAAGTAATCCAAATCAATATGTTGGTACAAGATACGAAATGACTGAAGGAAAATGGATGACTCGTTGTATTTTCTTGGAATCTGTTGCTGGTGTTCCTGGTTCAGTTGCCGGTTTCATTCGTCATTTACATTCCTTAAGAATGTTGAAAAGAGACAAAGCTTGGATTGAAACATTACATGATGAAGCATACAATGAAAGAATGCATTTATTAACATTCATCAAAATTGGTAAACCAAGTTGGTTCACTAGATCAATCATCTACGTTGGTCAAGGTGTGTTTACTAATGTTTTCTTTTTCTTATACTTGTTAAATCCAAGATATTGTCATAGATTCGTTGGTTATTTGGAAGAAGAAGCTGTTAGAACATATACCCATTTATTAGAAGAATTGAAAGAACCAGGCAAATTACCAAACTTTCAAAAAATGAAAATCCCAACTGTTGCTGCACAATATTGGCCAGAATTAACTAATGAATCTAGTTTTAGAGATTTAATTTTAAGAATCAGAGCTGATGAAGCCAAACACAGAGAAGTTAATCATACTTTTGCTAATTTGGAACAAAAATCAGATAGAAATCCTTTTGCTTTGAAAATTGAAGGATTAAATGAACCACAACCAAACCATGGGTTGAAAGTTATGACCCCAACTGGTTGGGAAAGAAAAGACATGCATTTGTGATGTCTCTATTGTTTATAGTACGAATTTTTATATATAGAGTATATACACTCCCTTTTTTTATTTAGCCTTTAATGATTTATATGTTTTTCAAGATAATTAAATTCACTCGGAGTATTTCACTCAACAATGATACAAAAAATTGGGGAAATTTAATGTATGGTGATTACATAATCGAGTGATGAGAAAAAAAAATACCGCCAAATCTGGCGCGGAGATCGGAATCTGAATTTTTATTAGAAATACACCAACAAATGGATGCAAAATTCCATAAAGATTTCTTCTACAGAAACAAATAGAATCTTTTAGGAAAAGACAATAAACCATTATAATCAAAATATGGGATGATTTTTCATTACAAGTGTTTAAAATTTTTGTATTTGTTCATCTTATTATTCATCGCTCATAAACAATTTGCTCTTTTAGAATTCTCTAGAATTGTTATAATTAATACAATACAGCAATATAAAAACAATACAATTTATCCCCGTTTTTATATATCAAACTCCCTTTTATTCCTTTTTTTTGTTTCTCTGTTACAATATACAAATTCAGTTTCCATCATCTGTGGCGAGTTTATATAACAGTTGCTATTCCCGCCCCTTTATTAATAGCAATCATTTCTTGAACTAATTCAACATTTAAAAAATATATATCTAATTTCTTTGTTATCCTTCACTCATAACATTCCCAGTTTAATTATGATTGCTGCATCGACTTATAGAACAATTCCAAAGTTAATTGCTACCACTACTGCTGCCAATTCATTAAAATTTGTTCGTTTTGCAGCTAGTGCCTCATCATCACCACCACCAACAACAACAACAACAACCAAATCATCAACGTCTTCTAATTCCGTTGGTGATGAAAATCTTCCAACTAATAAAGATGAATGGGAAACTCCTGGTTTTATTAAACATAAGAAAGCTCCATTTGATATTGAAACCAAAGTTTATAATAATGCTGGTATTGAACAACAAGATGATGATAAATTCTTAACTACTCCAATGTATCCACATATTAAATATTCAGAAGCTGGTATTCATAGAGTTAATGTTACTCACCGTCCACCAGTTACTCTTGGTGATAAAATTTCATATTATGGTACTATGACCGCCAGAAAATGTTTTGATTTTGTTACTGGTTATGCTTGTCCACTACCTGATAAACCACACATGTATGATGGTACCAGATGGGAAATGACTGAAGGAAAATGGATGACAAGAGTTATTTTCTTGGAATCTGTTGCTGGTGTTCCTGGTTCAGTCGCTGGTTTTATTCGTCATTTACATTCGTTAAGAATGTTAACTAGAGATAAAGCTTGGATTGAAAGTTTACAAGATGAGGCTTATAATGAAAGAATGCATTTATTGACTTTTATTAAAATAGGTAAACCAAGCTGGTTTACAAGAACTATTATTTATATTGGTCAAGGTGTTTTCACTAATATTTTTTTCTTTTTATATTTAATGAATCCAAGATATTGTCATAGATTTGTTGGATATTTGGAAGAAGAAGCTGTGAGAACCTATACTCATTTATTGGATGAATTAGATAAACCAGGAAAATTACCAAATTTTCAAAATATGCAAATTCCAACAATTGCAGTTGATTATTGGCCAAGTTTAAGTGAAGAATCAAGTTTTAAAGATTTAGTTGCAATTATTAGAGCTGATGAATCTAAACATAGAGAAGTTAATCATACTCTTGCTAATTTAGACACTTGGAAAGATAGAAATCCTTTTGCTTTACAAATTAAAGATGATCCTAATCCTCAACCAAATTATGGATTAGATGTTGTTAGACCTAAAGGTTGGCCTAGAAAGGATTTGTTCCTTTAAATGTCATTCCCCTCACTAATGGGGTTCAATATTGAATATTATACTTATTCTATTTTATTTTCCGAGTTATTTAGTTATTAGCCTTTTTATACTTTTATGGTTATAAATATATATGGTAATATGAACCTATCACTTGATTTATTATGGTTATACGCCTCAGTTTAAAATACACAAATCCGTTGTGGTGAATTCACAGTAGAATCGGTTAAATATTCTCTTCTTGTTAATATTAATATTAGCCTTCCCCACATTTATCAACCACTGATCTCCAATGATTGTATGTATTACATCAAATAGCAAACATATCCAGAGATCGAGACCCGAGTTAATTTTTGTTCTATTCTGTACATCAATTGTTTCTTTTTAATTGTCTCATCTTTATTCTAACACTTTTACTTTCTGTAGATAGAAGCATAGAAATAAAGTTGTGCTTATTACATATTGAACTTAGCTTTAATGGGACCTGCAGTAACAATAAGCCTATCATCAGCCTATGGAAGCCACGGTATATTGGAATCACACTATCGAACCTTTCCCCCCAATTCGTTGGTCTTAACTTTGTGATTTTGATTATGTAACCACTCTTATATATTATCAATCCCTATTTGATTTTAATTCAAGAATCATCATCATGGGTGCAAATCTGTATCGTATGATCAAATCCAATGGAAATATGACCATGAAATAAGGTTAATGATAATTCGCTTATTCCGCGATGTTTTCCAGAATTTTCTTATCATTGATCATTAAAGTAGATGTATAAAGCCGTTTATACCTGTGACTTCAGTGAATTATAAGAGAGTTACTAGTTGCATTATACGTTATTGTCAGATTATTACCTGAGACAAGTTAGTTCACTAAAAATAGTCAGTGATTTCCGAAATTAGGCAAGTCAAGGATATGGGTGGAAATTATTATTGAATACTAAAAAAGAAAAATGCCTCGCATATTTTGCATTATACATATTGTACTGTTTTGCACTACTTGGCCGAAAGTTCCATATAACGATAGCAATCCAATTTTAATTATGCAAAAGTAAAGAAAAAAAAATGGCTATTTGATTGAAATTTAGACCACATCACAGCAGTTACTAAATTATAGGATTTCCTTTGGTAGAAGAAAGAAAGAGAATTCTTTATAGCGCGGGAAACTAAGGGATAATTTGAATAACTCTAGAATTTGTGACAAGTCTTGCTAAACTCCATTCTTGCCCCCTTTTTTTTGTATTCTTACATATCACCGTAGCTCTAGTTAACCATAATGCATGAGACATTCAATACTCTAGACAGGGAGATTTTGAAGGGTGGTTATTGATTGTTTAATATCTAACCCACCTTGTTTTGTGAAATGATTTTGAATGAAAAAAAAAAAAAAATGGAGCGGAAAAGAATTCAATTATCACCATGAAAGACTTATCATAATAGTAATAACCATCTTATGCTATTCTAGAACTTTCGTAAAATATAAATATCTCCTTTGATTTCCTTTCCCAATTGCCGTTTAAAATTTTTTCTATTCTTTATTATATCACATCAAATTAACTCAACAATTGACAATTCTAATTATACTTCTTAACAACTGATCGTATTTTAATTATAATTTCAAACTCAATTCATCAATCGCCGTGTTTATTATTTCCCTTCCTAACAATTGCAGCTTATTTTCCACTTTGGCCCTGGGATAGCTATACATATATTTCTACGCCGCTTGCTGATCACTAAACAGGAAATATTTTCCATACGTACACGACTAACGAGAAGATTTTTTTTTTTTTTTTACAGAAGAATTATAGACCAGACGTTTTACAGAGGTTATATTTTTAGGTCTTTATCTTCTTTTTTTTTTTTTCAATTTATCCAGTTCATTTTAACAAAATCCCCCTTCCTATATCGGTATATCTATTGTTATCATTTTCAGTTTCAGATTATGAATATGACTAGTGATTATAGAGATCCTTTAATTGATTTGTTGAATTCGGATCCTAATTCTCCTGGAAATTTACCAATCCATGAAGACATTCAAACTATTCAAAGAAATGTCAATAATGATCACACTTCATTTAATGAACCTCCTTTAACTCCTTTGTTAACTCAACAACAACATCAACAACCTTTGTATACTACAAATGGATCAACACCATCTAATCATGGATTTGATTTCGACCATCAACTTGATATTAATCCCGTTTCTCCTGAACAACAACAACAACAGCAACCACAGGTATTATCACCTCCAAGAAAGAAAAGAAATACCAGAAGTCAAACAAAAGCTCAGGAACAACAAAAACTAGACATAAAGCAAGAAGAGGAAGAACAAGCGCCATCTCAATCAAATCCTGTTGAACCCGAAATTGTAGATCCAGCAACTTCACTTTTTGGAGATGGGTCGGATTCTGGGGCTTCTGAATATTTCCAACCAACTCCCATTTCACCAAATTCTCAACAACAACAATTAATTGCTCAAGATTTTCAACTTATGAATAATAAATTTTCGGGTCTTCATAATCCAACTACCCATTTTGAACAACATCTTCCTCCTTTACAACCATTATCTGAAAGTGTCATACCACATGGAATCAGTTTTCAACCTTTGATATTACCAAATGATCCTCGACAAAGTTTAACTATTGGTAAAGTCAATGACAGTGTTAACAAGCGTATTCAAGAACAGCAATCAGCAAGTATTCAGGCGTCTTCAAGTTCTGGAGGGCAAGGTCAACGTAAGAAAAAAGAGCCGACTGGTCCTAAAACACGTCCAGCTTTTGTTATGAAAATTTGGTCAATGGTGAATGATCCAGCAAATCATGATTATATTAGATGGAATGATGATGGGAAAACATTTCAAGTTTTCCAAAGAGAAGATTTCATGAAGATTATTTTACCTAAATATTTCAAACATAATAATTTTGCCAGTTTTGTTAGACAGTTGAATATGTATGGATGGCACAAAGTTCAAGATATAAATAATGGTACTTTAAATCAAAGTTGTGATAAAAATGGTCTTGATGAAATTTGGCAATTTGAAAATCCCAACTTTATTAGAGATCGTGAAGATTTATTAGATAAAATTGTTAGAAACAAGAGTAATTCAAATCAAGATGACATGAATGGTAATGGAGGAGTTTCATTTAATAATCTCAACAATGCTGCTAATTTATCTTTGATTTTACAAGAATTGGAAACCATTAAAATGAATCAATATGCTATTAGTGAAGATTTAAGAAGGGTTAGACTGGATAATAAAATGTTATGGCAAGAGAATTATCTAAATAGAGAAAGAAATCAAGTTCAAGGACGTACGTTGGATAAAATTTTGAAATTTTTGTCTGTTATTTATGGGAATAATGCTAATCAATTATTGAATGGACAAGTTAACAGTGTGAACATTCCTAATGCTAATCTTAATGGTAATGCCAATAATTCTGTTACTCCATATAAATCAGCACCTTCACCATTTATTCCTAGATCTAAAAGTCAACCACCACCAGAAGATTACTTTCAACAGCAATTCCATGAATCAGGGCAGGCCACTAGTTCATCCAGCAATCAACATCATCTTGATGGTAATAATAATAATAATAATAGTCATAATAACAACAATTCCACTTTGGTAAACAATATTGATTTTGAAAACCGCGCTGTTCATCGTCCACGTTTGATGTTGACTAATAAAGCACATTCAAGAAGATCAACCATATCAAGAGCAAAATCAAGTCCAGAAGGGTCAATTGAAGAAATCATTCGTTCTTATTCCAATGGGAAAACATCCGATTCAAATGCTCATAAGATTTATCAACAAATGATTAACAATCAAGATAGTAATCTGATTTCATCACCAAGATTTGATAATAATTTCCCACAAGATTTAAGTTTACCTGGAACACCTAAAAACTATGATGAATTGGAAAAGCATATCAATAGTCAAGGACAATCAATTGAACAAGTTCAAGATTGGATTGAAAGATTAGCTCACGAACAACATGATCAAGAGCAACAACAACAGGGTGGTAATAATCATGATGATGATGAATTTGATGTTAATGAATTTTTAAGAGAGGCTGCTACACCTGGTAGTGTGGTTAATTCTCCAGTTGTAATCACTCCTGGTTCAAATAATAATAACAATAACAATTCAAATGGAACTTCAGCTACAATTAATGGAACATCGTCAAATTCTAACAACACTAATAGTAGAAAGAGAAGCATTCAAGAAGTTAATGGAAGTAATGATATTTAAAATAGAATGGAAATTTGTTAATCTTTGGGATTTTGTACATATATGTATAATTTTATTATGTTTATTTTGGTTCACTTATATATAAGTTTGTATTTATAAATGTTTTACTATTAAAATACAGCAGTGTAGTAATAGAAGACTTGGTGTATATTTCAAACGTATCTTTGATATGAAGATAGTAGTGATGTAATCATCAAAATATACGTTATCGAATCATTCATGCTAATTACACAGTCATGCAATTTTAAGTATGAGAAACAAATAAAATGGTGCGGAATATCCCCCCGCCCCCTTTCTCTTCTCCTTCAAGAGTATATAAATAGACCAAATTTCCATCACATTTGAAAATAAAATATCTCACCTATATTTGTTGTATGAAATAGTTGTTAATCTTAATGTAGCTAAATCGTGTTTGAGGTGTCCCTTTTTTGGGGGGATATAATTTCTATTACTAACATGATTTCAATCTAGCAATGAATCTTATAGTATAATATTTGTTTTAATATATGAGTTTGTTATAATTAATGCATACGTAATGTAGTTTGATCTCTTCTTAGGATATGTGGCGTTGCTATCTTTATGAAATCCACATGTACTGATAGGTTATCTCTTATTGTACTTGTTGTGTAGGTTTATTCTAAGTTGCATTGCATTGAATCAAAGATGAAATTTATGTATACACAATTTCATCATGTATTGGCAATGTACTAACTAGTTACCAATATCAGTGCATGCAAGATCCACAAACCAACGAGAGATACACTCGATAACCCCTAGAATAATAATGGGCCATCTCTTGAGTAGAATTTCATTCAATCAACTTATCCTGACGGTAATAATCGCGCGGGGATTTTACAATGTCACTGTCGTTTCAATTCATTCATTCATTCATACACATGAAAGGGGTTCTTTTTACAGTTTTATTCTTGGTGAAATACATTGTGATTTTGTTACGATGAGAGGTGGAAAGCGATTTCATCAACTTGAATACATTAAAACAAGAAATATTGCAGTTACGTTAGGTAAGAACGTTAGAAATACCAAATAGAAGAAACAATACCCGATGATAAAAATTGAATTGAAAATAATTTTTCACTCCTATAAATGATGATATTCTTTACTCCATACTCCTTGTGCTAATCATCTTTTGGTTATATAGATACGGAAATTTGTGTCCCGACTATAACTGGTATTTCTCATTGACATTTTGTACCAGGAGCCCAAAAAGAAAAATTCTCTTCTTTTGCAAGCGACTGTAGTATTTCATTGTTGATGGGATGATGGGATGATGTCAGCATATTATATTTATCATTATTATAAGGTGGGTTCAAAAACGTTAAATTCTTATTCATATTGTTTATTCTTGCTACTCTAAATCGTGTGAACTGTAACCTATACATAATGCCAATTATTGGTATTATGGGATAAGCCTGGCGAATCGAAGGGGGCGTGGAGTGGTGGAATTGCCGCGGGAAAAATAACAGAGGGTCAACAATAAAAAATGTTACATTAAAATTTTACTATTCATTTTAGGTTCCCGGTATTCCAATCACCAAGTAAAATATACGTTTGAAGCAAATGCAGGTTGCCAAATAAACAAGCTTAAAAAGTAGATGTTACGTTTCTTAGGTTTAGTTTTTCCTTGGAAATCGACAGTAGTAGTAGTAGTAGTGATGGTAGTGGTAGTGGTTATAATCGTTGATGTGCTATAGATCGCGGATAGAAGTCTCCTAACCATTTGCTTTCGTTTAAGAATGTGATTATGAACTTGAACTGTTTTTTTAAAATAAAATAGAATAGAAAAAAGCAATTAATTTATTTAGAGATAAGCTTAATTTACGAGACATGATTGGATAGTTTAATGAAATCAACGAGTCCAGGTAACAAAACTTGTTTTGCTCTGCCGGAACACAAATGAATCGTATCAAGTTCCCCAATGAAAAACGCCGACGTCAGTAGTGGTTTAGTAACTCCTATCAACGTATAATGCCACAAAACTAGTATACTAAAAGGACAACAACAACAACAACCACGGGATTTTACTATGGACGAGGGATATGCTCCAAATGATTAAAGGAATGAAAATCCTGGAGGGAAAAATACCAGAACAATGGAAATACATTATTCACCTCTTTGTGCTGTGTGTTGTTTTGTTTGGCTTTGTTGTGTATGTCCCGTGAGTTAAATATTCGAATGAGTTTGGTTTTGTAATTATTTTCACAATTAGCATGTGGATGGGTGGAGAAGGAGGAGGAGGAGGAGGAGGGCAAACAAATCAGAAAATAACCAACCGCCCATGATAGCATAATTACATTGATACAGTGAAAATCACCATCCAAGAAGCAGAGTTTATATCCCTTTTTTTTTTTAAGAAAACCGTGTGATTATTTACATAACAATAGAAAAGCAACTAAAATAGAGTACAGTACAGTGCAGTAGAAACGGCAAAACCGAAGGTAATACCGAATTTAGATTTCACGCAACCTGCAGCCTATGCAGATTATGTAATAATGTATGACCTTCTATGGGATTAGAATAGTTCAGTACTGTTCGTAAACCATGGCTTAAATTGGGGCGAAATTTCGTTGGACATGAAACAGTCGAAATAAATGTTAATATTACAAATGATAAAATAAAAATAAAAATAAAAATAAAATAACATAAAATAATAAAATACTCCTATTTCAAATATCGATGGGATTCTTTTGAATTTTTTTTTTTTTTTTTTCAATTATTTATTCATTTATTTAATTTCATTATTAACTACAAAGTACAAAACTACTGTTTGAAGTTATTTTATAAAAACTATTCACCATCGTCATCGTCATCACCTTCATCATTATTTAAAGAAGAGGAAAAAAGAAAGATAACATTTCTCATCATTCAACCTAAAGAAATCTTTTAATTCAACTTCAAATCAACTGCCATATCCATCAATACAAGCCCACGGCAGTAACTCATTCTCAACGCAAAGACCTCTTGCCCCAAAGAAAGAAAGAAAAAAAATTAGTTGATTAATTACTAAGCATTTACAGCAGAACACATCCTTCCCATTACTCCGGCCATCTTATTAACTAGTTCATGTTTTCACAATAACCATGCTGGAATATAATCCCCAAAACCCAAACTCAAAGAGAGTTTATTCAAAATATGGGTGCAAAGAATGTAAACGAAGAAAGATCAAATGTGATGAAGGAAAACCATTTTGTTGGCAATGTGTACGATTGAGAAAACAATGTGCCTATCCTGAACCAGGTGAAAAGGTTTTAAGAATACTGAAGAAGAAACAAACGTTGATGAAATTAATGGAATCTCAACAACTGCAACAACTAATACAAGGACAACATCAAAATCATCAACAACATCAACAACCTGCAGCACCACCACCACATGGATCACTACCGCCTTTATCCTCGACTACACAGCAGCCGGTATCGGCATCTCCTTCTACACACACAAGTCCGCATGGGCATGGAAATGGAACTGGAAATATTTCCCAACCTTTGCATACTTTTAATGGTCAACCTGTTTATGGTATACCTCATGATCAATACAAACAACCACATCAACCATTATTTCGAGATCAAATACAACATTACCATCCTGACCAAAACCAACCAATACATATTCATGCTCCACGTACTCACCATCCTGCTCCTCCACCTCCGCCACCACAACTAGTCCCTCCAACAACACTGGGACATTCAAACTTACCTCCTTATCAAGATCAATATCGTGGATTTCCTCCAACATTGCCAGTTCCAGGAAGAGCACCTCTAGCGGTACAACCACATGTCCCAACTCAGCAACAACAACAACAACAACTCGTTCCAGCATTAGCATACCCTATTCAACAACAACAACAACAACCTCATTTACCACCGGCATCATCTGTTCCTCCACCTCTTCCCCAGCAACAACCACAACCCCCTACAATTACATATTCAACTCCTCAGCAGAAACTCTCCCCACTGGCCCAACTGCAACAACATGTTTCTCCTCCAGTAGTTCTGGCATCAGCTGCACCACCACCACCAGCATCGTCATCTTCATCATCATTTTCTAGTGGAAAACCTAGTTCCATAGTCTTACCTCCACCCCATACATCACGACTTTCTATCAATCCACCACCTGATCAACTAAATAAAAAAGCACAATATCCATTAAACATTCCAATTTCAAAACCTCGAAGCTCAGGTTCCATTTCAAGTTTGTTAAATGATTCCACAAAATTGAATGCACCAGAAAGGTCGCCTGATTCAAATAGTATACCAGCAAATAGTCCTCAAACCCCTCATACTGCTAATACTAATAACTCACATTTTAATACTAGCCCTATTTCATACGATAGTGACTTAAATGGCTTGTATAATCAAACAGATTTGGATTTGTTGACCACAGATTTGAACAATATGGTTACGGAAATTATGTTTGACAAGAACTATGATTCAAATAAACATATAATGGATACTGATGAAGGATCAATTAAAAGCTTTGATTCAGGTAGTATTGATTATGTTATGACAAAAAATGGAGATGGTGGATTTGTACGGAATGGTGGTGCAAATACCAATCGTCGAAATCTACCTATTAGTTTCATTAAAGTAACCAATCCAACAAATAAAACGTACCTTGATGTTTTCTACAATGAATTTGCCAACATTATCCTCCCACTTCCAAGTGTTGATACCACTACCAACTCATATTTCAATCCAGCAAGAGATATCATCTTGGAAAGTGCTGCAAAACATAAATATGTTCTTGCTGCAGTGTTAGCAAACGGTGCAAGGCAGAAATTCACCAAGACTGAAAATGAAGAGGATGAACAGGCTTATTGTTTATATTTGTCAAAATGTTTGAAATTGTTGGGTCCAGCAATAGCAGCTGATGATAAGAAGTTAGCATCTAATATAGAAAGTGTCTTGTTGACTGTATTGTTATTAACTATTGGAAATGCATCTAACTTGAAACAAGATTGGAGACCGCATTTGAAAGGTGCAAAAGATTTACTTTTAAAGAGTTCGGTTCCAAAAAGAAAAAACTCGAAGATATTCATTTTCTGCAAAATCTGGTTTGTCACTATTGAGATCCTTGCAGGTATTAGTTCTGTGAAAGGAGGTACACTTCAAACGGATCAAGAAATTGATGAATTGATTAGTTGTAATGATGAATATGAAGTTAAAGTGTTACGAGAATTGGGTATTGTCTTAGACAATGGATTCAACATTTTAGGTGGATATCATCATGATTGTTATGAACTATTTGGAAGATTAATGAAAATTTTAAATAGAGGCAGAGATAAGAATTTGAATGCTCAGGATTCGTTTGAGTATATTAAATTATTTGCTGATTTTCAAAGACAATCTGAAATTCAATTCATTGATAGCAGAGGTATTATCCCGGATAGTTCTATTGATGGTCAATTATTGGAACATTTCGATGGTAAAACTATCTCCTGGATGGATATATGTCATCAAGGTTATACATTAGGAGCCATGATTTTCATTTTAAAGAAATGTTTTGGTGAAAACCATGCTAGTCCACAGGTTCAATTGATGAGTAAGACTATATTTGGTTTTATTAGTTATTTGAGAGATTACCCCCATGATCTGGTTCCAAATTATACTATCAAAAATGCATTGATGATGTTACAGTGGCCAATTTATGTGTCAGCGGAAAATCTAACAAATGAAGAATGTCATGAACCGATAACTAGATTTTTCCAAATTCTGTCTCAAGTTGGATCTGGTGGTGCTACTATTGCATTGAAAAGAATTCGTAAAATATGGCAAAAGAGACAAAATAATGAACCTACTGATGATGAAAATGATTCAGAAGATCTTGTTGCATATTAACCTAAATCTGTAATATTTTTTTTTTTAATAATTCTGTATTTATATTTATTTATTAATTAATTAATTTTTCATATTTATATGTATTGACTATTTTTTGTCTTATGATGATTCAAGTAATGTAAACCAATTCAATTGACCACTTGCTAATTTCAATCTCGTTTCATAAGTATTAGATTCTCGTTCTCTTTCATCATCTTTAGTAATTGATTTAACTGGACTCCAATCAAATTCACCCCGTTGTTTTAAATCTTGTAAATACCAACCAATTCTTTCAGCACCTAACCTTGCACCATCTAGATTTGCAGAAGTTGGACCCATTCTTAAAGCAGCATTTTTACCCAACATAAATAACGGAACTTCATTATTCCATTGTAAATTATCTGTTAAACATGGATATCCGCCAACTATATCAATTGGATTTTCATTAATCATAGGTTTTAAAAATTCTAAAGACTCAATATTTTCTGAAATTCCAGTAGCAAAATAAATATAATCTATATTTTTCAATAATTCAATTTCATTATTTTCATTATTCATTATTTTTAAATCCCATGATTTATTTTCAATATTCCAATTTTGATCAATTATTTTAGTATGAATTTTCCATGAAATTCTATTTGTTTTAGTTAATTTAATTAATTTTTTATAATATTCTGGATTAATTGAACCTCCTTCTCTTGCATTATTAATCATTTCAATTTTTTCTTCATCTGTATCAAGTATATAAAATGATGATTTTTTAACATTTCTATATTTAGTAACCCAATCTAAATGAAAATCAAAATGTTTAATTTTAATACCTGAACGGAACAATAATGTTATTGAACTAACTGTTGGATCTTGTGCTGCTACATAAGCTAATTGAGCAGATGTCAAACCTCCACCAATAATAACAATTCTTTTCAGTTTAGGATTATTAAAATAACAATCTTGTAAAAAAGAAACTTGTTTATTAAATAAATGTGTAGTATGACAACTTGATTCTGGAAAATGTGCTTCTTCGATAAATGGAGAAATTGGATAATTTATATCTCCACGATGTCCAGTTGCAAGTATTGCTGATTTACATCCATATGTGTGACCATTTTTAGTAGTTATAATTAATCCTTTACCTATTTCATCACTTTCACCATCCACTTGAATTAATTTATAATCAATTGAAATAACTTCATCTTGTTTAATTCTTGATTCAAGGTTATATCTTTGAATAATTTCTTGACAATAATCATGAAATAATTTAGTTGATGGACGATAATAATCTCTATAATCTCTCATATTAATCTCAACTATTCCATCAGAATCATGGTTATTCTCTTTCTTTCCATTCATCTTCTTCTTGGTTTTCTTCTTCTTCTTTTCCATGATTCTTTTTTGTTGATGTTTTGAATATTCTTTACCTACAACATTTGTAATTTCCATTAATTCATTATTTCTGTTATTTAAATGAGCAAAACTAACCATGCCATCAATATTAACTGGATCAACATGAAAAAACATAGGTGATCTTAAATATGGTATTTTACAGGCATCAAATTGTGAATTCCATCCAGTCATAAATTTATCACCTAATGAATCAAGTATTAAAATATCTTTACTCAGGAAATTTTGTTTATATTGATAATTTGAATGTTTTGAATTAATTAAATTTACTTTATTACCTCTTTGTTTTAACCAATGAAATCTTTGATGTTCATCTTCTGTAAATAATGAACCTGGATGAGTTTCTAATAATCTTGCAGAAATTGATAATCCACATGTACCTCCTCCTATAACTAAAACTTCAAAAAAATTATCTTGTGGGATTTGTATTGGATCTAAATTCATATTGACTATATGATGGGTAAAGTAAATTATTCATTTTTAGTTGATTTGATGAAAAGTATAAACTTTATATAGGTTGCACAAGTCGTCGACTGCAAAAAAAAATGTGAGTGCGGAACTGAATAATAAAAATAACAGTGATAACCACTATAATCGTCTGCCAAAAATAACCACTATAATCTTCTGATAAAGATAACCACTATAATTCTTTTGGTATACAATTATTGAAAGACTGAAAAAATGGTTTTGATACGTAAAGTAGCAGATCTTTTTGAAAATTTATTTGATCTACAAATCAAAGGGTTTAGAAAGCGATAAACATAAAAATTTATTATCAATAAGTAAATATAATATAAAAAAGATAATAATAGAAATAAGAAGCAAGTAACGATTTGTTTCAATAATAGAATTCAAGACAATACAAAAACAATTATCTTCATTTATAAGATATCAAAGTAGTAGCATTTACATAATAGTACAATTGGAAGCCATGTATCCTCTGCCATTCAAGACACGAATAACAGCGTTATCCTTAGAAGCAGCGGAAGTGGATTGAGTTTTACCGTTAGCGTTGCTGTTAGTTTGTTGAGCGGCCATTGTTGATTGTTTGTTTTTGTTTGTTTGATGATGATAAAATATAAATACCACAGCTTGATACTAGACCATTACACCTTTATATACTTTTCAGATCTGCATTTGCAACTGATTCCAAAGTGCTTGTCAGAAGAAATCTATGAGCTGCAAATTTTTTCTCACCAGGGTTGCATTTTTTTATATACAATAGTTTTAATGAAAAGTCAAAATTTCCTTATTTGTAGATGACAATGAAAATGTGTTTCGTTAATGTAAAACAAATTATTATTATAGTCATGGACAAATACCATATTGCATGTCAGGTAGTTATATTATGAAACACTTCTAGAAGAAAATAGAATCCTAGTTGGGTAACTTGATAACTGTACTGCAAGGGAAAGTACAAAAATGAACAAACATTAATAGAAATAACGATAATTAAGTTTCAGAAAATCATTGCGGAAGTGTAAACTGTTTGAGAGCAATAGATTATTACTGTTAAGTTTTATGGCAAGCTATAAAGAGTTAACTACTTGAAGCATATGATAGAATGTCGAATTTATGTCTATTGTTATTGTATACATTCTAGAAGAACAGGTGGAATCCAATTCACTGCATTATTCAATACCAGATATATTCTATTGATTTATATATATATATATATATCTGTATCAGAATATTGATAGTATTCAATGATAGTTCTCACTTTTATGTAAATAAAAGTATTAATTTTGCATCTCATAAGACGTCTCACAAAATTTGTATAAATTTATCAATAATTGTGCTATACAAGCTCCTAGAAATTATATCATAATAATAATCATATGTTTACCATCACATTAAGAGTTTTGGATATTGAAAATTCACAGTATTGGTGTATGTAGTGTTCCTAATGGATTCACTATGATCTTAATTGATTTATTTCCGTAATTTTCATTTTGATTCAGGCACGAAAATTGACTTGAACCTCATTTTACCATACAAAAAGTAACAACTGTTATAACTTTGATAAGTTAGATTAAATAGAAGTGAATAATTATAAGATTCACTATAGATATGAATCTAATATAATAATTAATTAAGTAACGAAGATTTTCTTTTTAAAATTATGATCAGATTAAACTCTTCTATTGAGTGAATCTGGCTAGTAAATTTGTTATGTTGCGAGAATAGTTCATATTTTTGTAATGATACAGAAAAAAAGAATCACTTTAGACACTCTTGAACAATTTCTTTTTGACATATATTCTATAATCCATTTGAATATAATGGGAATCAATCAAGAAAATCTATTTGACAGAATTATGAATAAGGAAAGACACATAACAGTAGATCATTTTCATGAATTTGATGGCGGTAACTTATAAATCTACATTCCGAAAATAAATATATATATGTATATTCAAATATTCCATCCTTGAAACCATATTTTTGAATGCCACTTTTTGTTACACATTTATATGTTCCAGTGATTGCGCCCTATATCTGTGTGTGTCACAATTATCCATACATTAAACCATTGATTTGTATATTCCTGATTTGGTGCGCATTTGTATGTACAAATTTTCCCTCCATATATCCGTATATTCGAATGTTCCGTCCAAATATCCATTGATTTGTATGTTGCAAATTTATGGAACATTTGGATATTCCAGAAAAAAGTAGCATTCATATTTCTGTTTTCTATGATCGTTACAGCGTGATATGCAAATGTTCCACGATTTCCAACATTTGTCATTTCTAGTGGGATTTTAGCAATTTAGAAAATGGTATATGATTTCCAGTGATAAATTATGCTATCTCAGTTTATTCGGAGTCATTTGACTAAGTATTGGAGGAGTTAGATGTCAATCTTACTCTTGGAATTTGAAAGTATCTTTTTTTTATCGGGAATTATGGTTTTCCTAAATAACTCAATAATTACGATATCCAGACCGCTGAAAATGTATTCATTAGAATATTCATATACATATTGACACATATATACTATCTTTATATTCTATTTCAGGTTTTTAGACCATATAGTCTTTCCAAAGGGGTTGATCAGGATCTCAAGTGGTTTATTCCCGTGGAATTCAAATCGGTTCACGCACGAAAAAATACCAAAAATTGACGTGAATCTCTACTCCCCATACAAAATTCAACTGATGACATATTTTCAGTTGTGCTAGTATGATATCATCAATTTATTGTAGCTTAAATCCATTGTGGAAGTCATAAAAGGTGAATATATTCTTCTTGTAAAGTTTAAATATCCTTAAAACTATTAATAGTGCTAAACTTGCACATTTGTATTATTATACTATTTTTATAATTTATTTCAATTTTTTTTTGAATTTTGCAATTTTTTCGCGGTAATTGTCGACTAAAATTATAAAATTATCGACCAGTTTACGTCGAGATATAAATTTTCAAGGAACATCCCTTGAGATTTTCACCATTGAGACCCCATTTCTGCAAATCACTAGATAAGAAGAGGAAAACTGTTTCAATTCGTGTTATAACTACATAAAACTATTACTAATTCTGTACATGATTAATCACGTATAGAATCCAATAGAGCTTGTTATGATTATGTCCATTACTATTAATTCTATCTAAACCATACATTTTTAGTATGAACAAATAGAGGTCACGTAATATGAACATTTTTTGCGCACTAGTATCAAAAATATTGACCGCCTTAATATGTACTTTTCTTTGCAGACTGTGCAAATAATTTTGACACATTGATCTGAAAATTATGCTCACACTATAGTGAGAAATAAAACTGCAACGACTGTAACCCATATTATTCATTAATTTTGTTTTATTATTATACACACTTTACTTCCATTATAATTTCTCGGTAAAACCTTTAATTAAAGCCAAAACTCCAACAGCACCTGGATCAGGAATTCCTCCTTCAACTTTAAATTCATCTTCATTAACATAACTTGCTCTACCAAATGATGCATGTAAATCTTTAGTTTTTTCACAACCTTTAGTTGCTTCTTCAATTGCTTTTGATAAATCACCTTTAGTTTCATATAATGTATCAACAAATGGTTGTAATGTATCAATTAATGTTCTTCCTCCAACTCTTGCTCTGGTATATTTGAACAATCCATCATGTAATGCATGATAAAATGCTTCTCCTACTGTTTGTGTAGATATTTCTTTCAATTCTTTCAATTGTTTAACTAATGCAGTCAAGAAAATTGAATAAAGTCCACCAGAAGTACCTCCCATACTATCTTCAACTAATTCTGTAATATAAGCAAGTGAAGCAACAGGATCAGATAAATTGGATTGGAAATCTTTATTTTCTTTCAATGCTTTCAAAATTGAATTGGCACCATTTGCTAATGTGGTTCCACAATCACCATCACCAACAATAGTATCATAATGAGTGATTTTTGGTTCCTCCAGTAATAAAACCTTCAAGGCATTAACTAAATTAGATTCAAATTTGGAACCATCGATTTTAAGATCGGATTTGGTAATTGTTGCATGTTTCATTGGAGATTCAATTTCTCTATCATTAACTTGTTTAGACCAGTATTTTTCTTCAAACACTTTTGGTTTCCAACCAGGAGCATTAGTTGGAGTATCCAAAAATTCTAAAATGTCTTTAGAACCAAAAGGAATATCTTCTTTTTCAAGATTAGACAAATTCAATAAAGTAATGGAGAATCCTGGTGCATTAAATGAAGTAACAAAATCACTAACATATACTCTCTTTGGTCTTTTCTTTAATGGTAAATTTTCTAAAACGTGTTGCGTAATAGCATACATTTCAAATGAAGAAGTACCACCGATATTGTTAATCAACAATACGTAATCATCATTATTCAAATCAAAATCAACATAATGACGGTCTTTATCTTCTGGTGATAACATTTGATAAAACATTTTCTTAACCAATTCATCAATATTTGGAATTGGACTCATTTTAACACCTGGTTCATTATGAATACCTAAACCCAATTCAGCCTCATTATGACCAGTGAATTCAACTTCGTCGCCATCATCTTCAGAAGATCCAGGAACGGAAGTACGATCTAAACTAGCACCCAAAGTTACCAAATTCTTATTTACTGCATGACCCAATTGACTCAATGTTTTCAAACTTTCATCTCTTCTATTATTAGTAGCAGCACCTAAAATTTTATGAATTATAGCAGTACCAGCCAATCCTCTTCTACCAACCATTTTATTTTGTTCTCTACCAACAGCAACATCATCACTAACAACAACCATTTCAACATCATAACCTTCACTTTTTGCTCTTTCCGCAACTAAACCAAAATGTAAAATATCACCAGTATAATTTTTAATAATTATAATGGTACCTTTCTCTTTATTTGATTTAGTTTTAATAGCAGCCATGATTTGTTTTGTTGATGGACTAGCAAATATAGCTCCACTAACAGCTGCATCAAGTAAATTCTCTCCAACAAATCCTCCATGTAATGGTTCATGACCAGCTCCACCACCACTAATAACAGTGATTTTCTTTGAAGTATCTGAATGAGGATTATAAATGACTTTTTCACTAGGAATCAAGTTAACATATGGATTAGATGAGACTAATCCTCTCAATTGAGTAACAACAATATCTTCGTCTTTGTTATAGTTCCAATGTTTAGCTAATGTCATGGTTATACTTGTTCTTGTGCTTTTGGTTCGATAAAAGAAAAAGGATTGGGTAGTAAGGAGGTGGGTAAGTGGGGAGGTGTACTTTGCTATTTATATTGTGCTTAGTGAAAAAAAAAAAAAAAAAAAAAATTGAGTTGGTTGATTACGTAATCGGTATCTAACGTCATAGTGCACCTAAGGTGATTGCTAATTCTTCAAATAGCAAATGAACACAGAATCATCAAAGCAGAAGGAAAGGGAAAGGGAAAGGGGAAAACAAAATCAAACCGTTTGAAATAGGCAGCATTCACGTGACGGAATCAATTTTAGTTGATAAAGTGATGTTACTGTAATGCATCGTATCAACGGTTGGGTGAATTTCGTTCCTGGAATCTATAGCTAAATAAACCCTTGTGAAGCTAAACACTCACGGGGAATTGCTTCTATTTATATGTGGCCCATGTGTTTTGCGCAAGATAAGCATTCTATGTGCACTGTATTCAACTCCGTCAGTAGAACAGTATTAGTTAATCTTTAAAAGGGGAAATCGAGTTCCGCAACCGGCTCTAATTTCCTAATTCGGTCAGTTTATGGTTTTCATGATTTTTTTGATTTTTTGATTTTGATTTTTTGATGTTTTCGTCCGCACTTTTCACGCCGTTTACCGAAGGGTTTTTCTATTACCTTACCGCCAACTCAACCATAACAACAACAACAGGAACCATGAGTGTGAAAGACCAAAATCGACAACCAAAGTCTCAGAGACTCAAAAGAACGTATAGTAGAGGGGGTTGTAAAGAATGTAAACGGAGAAAAATAAGATGTCCTGAAAATAAACCTTCCTGTTCAACCTGTGTCAGACTCGGGAAAGAATGTTCATATCCATTACCCGGGGAGAAGGTACTACGTGTTTCAAAGAAAGTTTTATCAGATATTCAATTATCACCGGAACCAAATAGAATTGTACCTGTTAGTAATAGTGTCAAAGAAAAGAAAACAACACCAAAGCCATTGACTATTCAAATGTACCTGGCAGAAGATTTCGGTGGAAAACAATCCAAAAGAAGGTTGAAACTTGATCACGATTACTTGACAAATGACTTCAATTCAAAAGATAAAGATATCAATTCGTCCAACCAAGTGGTACCACAGGATAGTAAACCAAAAAAAGAGAATGGTGGAATAAGTGTAACACCATCAACATCAAACTCGGTCCTAGATATCATCCATCCTCATCCCATTGAAGATTTGAACTCCCAATTGATGCAACACACACAATCTTCAAGCATAATAAATAGTACCCATACAAGTCCTAATTTACTTCTTGGTGATTTCTATAATGAAGAAGATGTGAATTTATTAGCAACTGATTTGAATAATATTGTCAATGATATTATGTATACTGCAAAAGTTCCCAATAATAACAATAACAATACATTCACCAATGATGTACTACTCGATGATCATTTCTTTAGTCCATTCAGTCAATACACTTCAACCAGTGATCTCAATGATATCCCTCAACATATTTCACTAGAATATATAAAACTAAAAACTGAAGATGAAAGAAGATACCTTGCAGAATTCTATCATGAATTTGCTTCCCAAATTCTCCCATTTAAAGCACTTGATAAGAAAACTGGTGCATATTACAATCCGGTACGAGATGTAATTTTGGTACATGCATCCAAAGAACCGTTTTTATTATCTGCTATATTATCCCAAGGTGCCAAAATGTCATTTCAAAAGACAGAGAAAGCTTCTGATTATGATAATTATGTTACTTATTTATCAACATGTTTGAAGTTACTTGGTCCTGCATTAAGCAAAAATCGTGATAAACTGGTCAAGGATGATTTAACATCAAATATTGAATGTATTCTAATTACAGTTTTATTATTAACTTCATCCAATGCCATGACAGAGAAATTAAGCTGGAGACCACATTTGAAAGGTGCTAAAGATATAATCATCAAAGCTACTAATAGTAAAATCCGACTGTCAAAGACATTGATATTGTGTAAAATTTGGTTTGCTGATTTTGAAATATTGGCAGGTACAAGTAGTCGACTAGGAGGTACGATTAAAACCGACAGTGATTTGGATTCAGTAATTAATTTTGAAGATGAGTTTGTTAATTCCGTATTGGAACAATTTGGATTAATTCAAGCAGGTAATTTCAACATTATGAGTGGATACAACATTCAAATGATCTATCTATTCCGAGACTTGGCGAAATTGTTGAATAAAAAAAGAGAAGCAGGAGAGAGTTTTATACCTGGCGATTCATTAGAATATATTCGATTAATTTCCGGATTCTTCCAACAATATGAGAAAGTGTACATTGATAGAAAATGTATATTGAATGGGCCAATCTCAACTCCTGTCACAGAATTATATAATCTTGTTGATACAGTAGCTACCATTAAGGGAACCACCATATATATTAGTTGGATGGATATTTCACAACAAGTTTATGCATTAGCAGGATTGATTACAGTTTTCACATCAATATTATTAGATCCACCAGATTTACCACATATACAAGACTTGAATGCAAAATTGGTTTCAGTGATCGGGTTTGTGCAAGACACGCAAAACTGTCTAACTATGAAGTTTCCATATGGATTTCTGATGATCCATTGGCCAGTTACAGTTGCTGGGATTAATTGTACTGATGTTAGTCAACGACCTATTATTACTAAATTTTTTAACATTTGTATTGAGTTGGGTTCAGTTAGTGCTGAAATCACATTAAAGAGGATCATGCAGATATGGGATCTTCGTGATAAAGGGAATGATATGGAAAGTATTAAACAAGATCTAGATGAAAGTCATTTAGATAGTGTAGCATATTAATTTGAATATACATCATCATATGGTAGCACTGACGATACAATAAGAAAAGCAAAGTGGGAAAAAAAAAAGAAAAAATTCCATTTCCTTAAACAGAACTCATCAGCGAACTCACCCGCCAGAAAAAGAAGAAAAAAATTATAACCACGAAAGAGAACCGTCGGTCTTGATTGAACATTAGAGACAAGCCATCCATGTCAACTACTTCACCAGCACCAGCACCAGCACCAGCAGCATCAACTGTGACAACAACAACACCGCCAAAAAAGTCTGCACCACTACCCCCGTCATCAACATCCACCTCGTCTAGTAAAATAAAGAGGTCAAAGACATTTACAGGATGTTTTACATGTAGGTCAAGAAAGATAAAATGTGATTTAACCAGACCTCATTGTGAAAAATGTATTAAAGCAGGATTAATATGTGCTGGATATGATATCAAACTAAGGTGGTCATTACCAATTAATTATAAACCTACTAAGACAGGTAATGTTAAAAGTGAACCAATTAAGTTTAATGATAAAGATGATACTGAAAATTCAGGTTCTAGTAATACACAAGAATTTTTCCAAAGACGACTAGTTGGATTTGTCACTTGGGAAGAACCTTATGAAACATATGAAGAAATGGATCAAGATCTTGCGATATTACATGGACTGGGAGATGATCCGAAAGTTAAACAACAAGGTTTAACTAAATTGAGAGGACCATTTGGAGTTTTTAGAGGTGATGGTCAGATTAAAGAGATATGCAATGATACTATAACTGAACCAAAAAAGAAAAAACAACGATTAAATAATCATAATGATTCACTTAGAAGAGTAGATAGTTATAGTAATAATAATTCAACAACGCCATCAATTGTTGCCAATTCACCTGCTAATAATGGTACACCAGTTAGTACAGCAACACATCAACAAACCAATGTTGCACCTCATGATCATTTTTGGCTTTCTAATGAATTGAAAGATGCTGCATTGGTTACAGCTGCAGCATTAGATACTCAATTTTTGGATATGATGTATAATTTCAACAGTAATGTTCCAACTTCAAATAATACTAATCATACTTCAATTGATGATTTTAATAATCCTGATTTTTTAAATTTATTATTCCACAGACATCAACATCCTGAACTGACAGTTGGTGCAGAAACACCTAGATCTACTCATTCAAATAATAATAATAATAACAATAATATGTCAATGACAAATTTACTTAATCAAAGTGGGTCAGCAAATACAAATGCTATAATGGATCAAACTTATTATTCTAATTTTTCTAATTTTTTCTACAACAATCCTTATCAATCAAATGATAATTTAGAAATTCAATTACATGCAAAAGGAACAGATAATGATTATGTTGATGGAGATCAAACAAATGATAAGAAATTATTAGAATTTATCATGTCAATAATTAAAAATCCAATTAAAGTATCATTTGATTTATCATTACCTAATAGAGATTCACAAATTAGAATTCCTGTTAATGCTTTACAGGTTCAACCATTGACAAGATATTTATTGAATTATTATATTACTGAAGTTGCTGATTTGATGACAGTTATCCCATTGACAGAAAATCCATGGAAGGCTATTTATTTTCCTAGAGCATTAATGGCAATTGGTGAATTACTGGCATTGGGTAAGACATCAACTGCAAAGAATGCTTTATTGAATGCATTATTAGCTGTGCTGGCATTTAATTTACAAAGTAAATATCCTAAGAATTCAGAACCAATGAAGTTTTACTTGAATTTAGGGATTGCGTTAAGAAATCAAGCTAGTTTGTTTATTAAACAACTACTTCATAACAAAAATAGTAATAACGGGATAGAATATTGTATCACACATGAAAAATACAAGGATGTTTTATGTGCTGTAATGAGTATGATTAGTGTGGACTTGGTTTGGGGAACAATGCAAGATACTGGAGTTTATATTTCTTGGTGTGGTAAAGTTATTGTTGCCAAGATGAAGAATAAGAAGAAATTGTCATCTAAAGCAAGAATTTTGCATAGAATTTTCCTGAGTTTGAAATTAATTCAAGATTCAACTTGTTTAGACTTGGAAAGTATTAAAGTAGATTTTGAAACAAATGTAGCTCAAGGTGGATATGATGTCAATGGTGATAAGTTTGGAAATAGTAGAAAATCACTGCAACAACTGGAAGATGATAAAGAAAGAGATGAAAAGGGGAGAATTGATTTCATTGTAAACAACACTTTTTCAAGTGTAAGAAGACTTTCTTCTCCAACTGCTAAACAAGCCACCACTTCCCCATCTTTTGTCAATAAGAAATTGATTAACACAATGAAGAATGATGAGAATTTTGCCACAGATGCTTTATATGGATTACCGAATTCCTTAATTTTATTATTTAGTGAAACTGTTGAATTATTAAGATCAAAAATTTACTATAAAGGAATGAAAAAACCATACCCAGAAAACTTCAATACTCGAGTTGATGCATTAGAGAAAGATTTATTGAATTGGAAGTTAGATTGGGAATTGTTTGAAAAGGAATCAACTGCAACTGGTGATATAGATGATTATTCTACAAAGAAATTCTATTCACCAATGCATCAAGCAACATATCATCATATTTTATCATTCTATCATGCTTTGGTGATTTATTACAATCGATTGATTCGAGAAGTTCATCCAAAGAAATTACAAGACAAAGTAGTTAAAACATTAGATCATTTAAATTCAATTCAAAAATTAATTAGTAAGAATGAAGCAAATATAATTCCCTTATTTTGGCAAGGTTTCATTGCTGGTTGTGAAGCACTTTCACCTGAATTACAATTGGAATTTAAAAAATGGGGTGCCGATATTGCTCAATATTTAGGTAGTTATTGGGGAGCTAGACAAATCATGTTGGAAGTTTGGAGAAGAAAAAGAATGAATGAAAGTAATGATGATTGGATAAGTGTTATTCATGATTGGGAAATGAATTTAATGTTGGATTGATATGCATCTGGTTATATAGAATTTTTGTTACAATATTATAGAAGTCTTAATATACTAGTCCACATACAGATACAATAAGTTGCAGGTGCTAACCTGGAGTGTTAGGTGTGGGTGAATAATCTCTATCTACCAGAACCCTCGGTTGTTACCCTTGGATAATAATAGTATACAATAGAATGGCCCAAAATATCCACTGGATTATTCTTAATTCCACCAAACACTTGTTTTGAACACTTCATCAGTTACTAATTACCACTGAAATAGCAAATAGTTCTATGAACAACATCCAAGGTAATAATAATTATATGAATCTAAGATTATTGTGTTTTTGCACGACCAGCAACGTTTCTTCCCCATGCTTATTAATGAATATTATTTTTTTTTTTTGCTAAATCCATACCATCAACACCAATTGATTCTTCTACCAGAACATCTTCTACACCATATGAAAATGTTTAAACGACTTCCAAAGACACAGTCATTCACATCAGCAATATCGCAGAAGGGATTCTCATGGGTGTTCCCAACAGAAAGAGAAGAGTATCAATTTCTTATCGCCAACCCCAAGGCAATGCAAGATTTAGGATTAAATGAAGAAGAATCAGAAGATCCTGAATTTCAACTGATTGTAAGTGGTGAATATTATAATGATAAAACCACATATATCAAAGAAAATTTCCCTAAACCTTATTCACAAGCTTATGCTGGATGGCAATTTGGACAATTTGCTGGACAATTAGGTGATGGTAGAGTAATTAATTTATTTGAAATTCCTAAATCTACACCAGATGGACAAAATCGTAACTTTTATGAACTTCAAATAAAAGGGGCTGGATTGACTCCATATTCAAGATTTGCTGATGGTAAAGCAGTATTAAGATCATCTATTCGAGAATATATCATATCTGAACATTTAAATGCAATTGGAATTCCATCTACTAGAGCACTCGCTTTAACTTATTTACCAAGTACGTTGGCTCAACGACATGGTGCTGAGAGATGTGCCATTGTGGCTAGATTCGCGGAAAGTTGGGTTCGTTTGGGAACATTTGATTTATACAGGTGGAGAGGTGATCGTCAGGGAGTTAAGCTATTGGCAGATTACGTCATCAATGAATTATTTACAATAAACGGAGTTAAGTTTCAAAACTTTGAAAGAATAGTAAACACCAAACCGGAGTTGTTGAAAGATAACGGTGTCAAGTTGGAGGATCTTACAGAATACGACAAGATGTATTATGAGAGTATTGTAAGGAATGCTGAGACCACTGCTATTTGTCAGAGTTATGGGTTCTTAAATGGGGTATTGAATACGGATAATACGTCTATCTTGGGACTTGCTATTGATTTTGGACCGTTTTCAATCATGGATAAGTTTGACCCCAACTACACGCCAAACTCCGAGGACCACCAGACGAGGTACGGATATAGGAATGTTCCATCTGCTATTTGGTGGAACTTGACTAGACTAGGTGAGGACTTGGCCGAATTGATTGGTGCAGGCAAGGAGTTGCTTTCCAATCCCGAATTCGAAGAAGCAGTTAAAGAGGAATGGGAAGATGGGATTATTAAAAGAGCAACTAAGATAATCGAAACTGGTGGAGATATTTATCAATATGCGTATACTAAGAAATACGTGGAGATATTCTTCAACAGACTTGGGTTGTCACACGACTTGATTGATGCCAAGAATCCAGATTTACAGATGACGGATGTTATTCAGCCAATGTTGGATGTATTGTTTAAGATTCAAACTGATTTCAATCTTTTCTTTTTGCAATTGCAGAACATTGATTTTGAGTTTGGAACGGTAAATTATGTTGAAATTGCAGAACGAGAATTCTTAGCCAACTTTGAATTTAATACATTTCGACACCATAAGGAGGATTTGTTGAAAGTCATAAGTGAGTGGCTTATTGTTTATCATGAAATGCTTGAGAAAACCAAACAATACAAGACAACAACGCCAAACCCAGCCATGTACAATCCTAAATTCTTACCTCGGAACTGGATCTTGGATCAGGTGATTGATCAGACTCTGAGTTCAAGAGGAGCTGAAACAAGTTATCTTGAGAAGTTACAGAAAATGAGTTCTAATCCATTTGATGAATCTAAATGGGGAGATGAATTGAAGGAATTGGAAAAATCGTGGTTACTTCAAGGTAATAAAGGTGACGAGTTTGCCATGTTACAATGTGGATGTTCAAGTTAGACTAAATATTCATTACAATGTATACATATAAAAAGATATACAATGACTCTAATGTTTGAATGCTTTTTTGGCATCTTGATGACTCCTTTAGAATGGTTTATTAACTGAGCCACGAATAACGCGTTTACATTTTCTGTCAGTAAAATACAACTTGCTTGAGCCTTGCAATACTTTGGTTTCTTAGATAATATTGTAGACAAGGCGAATTCGTTACATTCTTATTATTATTATTATATATTACAAGTTAATTGATAGGGTTGTACTAAATACACCCTGAAATCATATATGCAACATTAGTATAGTAGCATTCATAATCTGGATAGATATCACTTTGTTTGTTGACAACTCTCGTGGCGTTCATTACAACATGTTGTGATTAAATCTACTCCCCAAATGAGGATTAAGCGTTCTACTTACTGTATGTAACTGTCATTGATGTAGACTAATTTCTTCAGTATTGAATTCGCAATTTCTAAAGGCATGAAGTTAATTTAGTTGAGATTTGCAACCAATTTTAGAACAAATTCAATTTCTTACACACCGTCAGAGTTTAACTTATAAATAAAACCTATGGAACGTCTGCTTAAATAGTGAAGATATCTAATGTTTTATTGAGATTATATCTTAAGAAGTGTTAAGAGTTTTACGTAGTTGTCGTACTTTGAATACTTGTCTTTCCATAGGATCATCTCTGCATGATTGCCCCTCATAAGTTTCAATCTACAGATCTATGAATCCCATTCATCTGTGTACCTTGTTCGTTCTAGTTCTACCTACTAAAATATCTACTCTGAAGAGACGTATCCCGTCATTGCTAATCTACGTGACCCACTCAGTTATTCTAGACTCACAAGAGTATAAACTGTCTGAGTTTACTGAGAACTGACGCCTTGCTAATAATCATATCATCAAACGCCTTGTGTAATTGATGGATTGATTAAACAAACAAATCAACAAAACAAAACAAAACAGAACAAAAAAACGCGTTTGGTGGCAAATGTTACGTGTTTTCAATTTAATTAGATCTTTGAATTCAATGTTTGTTTTGATGTTGAAACTCTTGCTCCTTCTGCTTCCCCCTTTCCCAGTTGTCGATCTTAAAACGCGCGACAGAATATTTTATATTTTTAATTTTTGTTAGCCTCCCCCCACCACCAAAAAAGGACGTGGCTTTGGCGTGTACGCGCGTCAGAAAAAAAAAAACAAAAAATTCTCCTCTGCAATGCTCATCATTTCCACCAGGATGGCATGGGATGGCATGAAGTCCAGGCATCGTCAGTCGACTCATAATCGTCTGTCTAGTCGTCTGTCAAAGTGTTTATTTTTTTTTTTAGTATACACACACACACTAGCCCGTCTCATTGTAAATTCTGAACTGACGACCAAATCTAAAGAACTGTTTGTTCATCGTCGTGTAATTCTGTTTACTATATGTCCATGCAGTACTGTCCATTATATTCGTTTAAGTTTAAGTTAATGTTATTGAGTTGAATTAAATTGAAAGAAAAAGTCTAGATTCAATTTTGTGGTAAATTGAACCATGGGACACGAACAGGAGTTTATTCTCTTTTGTCGGTGGTGGTGGTCGCGGCAGCCCTGGGAATTGGACCCAGACAGAAACAGAAACGCGACCGCGCGTGTGTGTATGTGCCCACGCGAGAAATGAAAATTTGAAAATCAAAACATTGCAAAAAAAAAAAAAAATTTCAAAACAATAACAATACACTAAAACCAAAGTATTGAACATCAATTTAAATGTAGCCATTATGAAACATTATAATTTTATACACTCATAATTTTTAATTCCCAGGAACAAATTAACTGCCGATTAACTAAATTAGCTTATTGTGTCAAGAACGTGAAGTTTTCATTTTTCTTTCGTGCCCTTTAATTATAGCGCAAGGCTTGGGAATAAACTATTATTATTATTATTGTTGTTGTTGGTTCCCAATTTCTAGGCTTTGGGTATAACATTTCTTTTATTTTTTTTGTTTATATCGTCAAAAAGTTTACTTTGTTTTTAGTATTTGCATGTCACAGATATGCCTGCAATATGCCCTCCCCCCTTTCGAATCATTTCTAAAACTCATGATTTCCCACAACGGGTATAAATATCCATTGATTCCTTGTTTTTCATTTTCTTGTTCAATTTCATTTCTTTCTTTCTCTTAACCAGTCAATCTTTTATTCAATTTTAAAGTCACTCCAACTAAATACCCAACTTTTACATTCGTTTATTTAACTACTACAAATAATATCAAATAAAATGCAATTCCAATCTTTATTAGTCATCGCCGGTGTTTTAGCTTCCTCCGTTTACGCTTACGCTAACGAAACTGTTACTCAATACGAAACCACTTTACTTACTATCACTTCTTGTTCTGAAAACAAATGTGATACTACTGTTACCCCAGTTATCCCATCTGTTGCCACTGTCACTGTTCAAGGTTTCGTTACTGAATACACCACTTACTGTCCAATCACCGCTGAAGAAGAAGCTTCTCCAGCCTCTTCCCTTGCTGGTGAATCAGTTGTTTCTTCTTTAACCGAAACTGTTGTTACTGAAACTGTTTCTGGTGTTGAAACTATTTACACTACTGTTTGTCCATTGACTGAATCTACCACCAAGAAAGCCGAAGTTGAAACTGCTTCTAGTGAAGAAATCTCTTATGTTGATCTTACCACTACTCCAGTTGTTTCATCTACTGTTGAAGCTGAAGAAACTGTCTATGCTCAATCTACTTTGTTCACTTCTTATGCTTCTAACGCTTCTTCTATCGCTAACGTTTCCACTTATGAAGGTGCTGCTAACGCTAACAACATGGCTGTTGGTTTTGCTGCTATTGCTGGTTTGGCCGCTGTCTTATTGTAAATTTAATACAAACAAATTATTACAATAGACTTATCATTATTATTATTATTATAGACAAAAAAAATTTTTTACTAAGGGATTGATTATTGTTCATGATATAAATTCAGGAATATTTTAGTAAACATTTATCCTTTGAAAGTGTTCAAATGTTCTAATATTCTAAGAGTTTTTGTTATCATTATGGAGATTGTACATAGTTATCTCCAAAACATTCATCATCACCTCAACTTCGCTTCTATTATTTGTTCTGGTTTGAAATTTTATTTTATTTTTTATTTGAGTTTTTATTTATATATATCTTATTTTTGTATTTCGTTTCTTTTATTATAGTTAATAGTTAATCTGTCTTTTATCAAAATGCTACTTTGATAAACAGTTTATAAATACCATTTTATCTTTAATTATATTTTAATACATTTATAGAGGTTTGTTGAAAAAAAAAAAAAAGAATTGTTTATTAACTTCTACTGCTACTACTAATATAATCCTATTCGGGGACTTTGAAACGTAAACGCTTACCTTCGGAATAAATTCTATTCAATGCATCTTCAAACCCAGATGGAGTCTTGATAAATTTTTCATATTCCTTGTATAATAATAATGCAGTAAGCGCATCTTCAATTGAATCGTGATTTCCTTTTTGTACTTTTTCCTTCAACATGACATATGCAAGGAATTTCAAACTCAATTGTCTTCTAAAATCAGATTTATAATAAATCACAGCTGTATCTCTAATTTGTTCTTGTGGAACCTGTAAATTGATTGTTCTGAAATCATTGTACAACCCATGTCCGACAAAAATAACTCCCAAGTTCAACAATAACCATAATTTTCTATATGCTGTTTGTAAAGTAACAAGATTCTTGGTACTTAATTTCAAATCTAAATCATTTTCTTCAATACCACTGAAATTTGTCAAGTAATCATAAATTTCGGAAGTATGCACAATATAATCATCAATAAATGGAACTCCATCATCTCTCAATACCGAGATTCTTGCCAATGACAACTGTTTAGGTTTAATCAACTTTTTATACCCATCATAATGAATTTCCAATTGTTCAGGTTTCAACATGACAAATTCAGCATCAATGGCAACCATTGTACCTGGTTTAGGGGCTTCCTCTTGAGTCAATAGTTTATAATCAACTTGATGTGCTTTTCTGATACCTCCTGCAAAATGGTCACGGTATAATATAGCATCATTACCTTGGAATGATTTCCAATAATTGAATTCAGGTTGGCTTGATTTTTGATATAGTATAACAACAGGTTTCTTCCAGGAATAATGCAAATCAAATACTTCTTCTTCAGGAATAGGCATAACAAGGAAATCATTAAACAAATACCATTCGTCTTTCACTTTAACAAAAGTAACTAAATTATGGGCTCCATTAACTGTATCTGATTGGTGATTGATCTCACATACATAACCCAACAACTCGTACTTTTCACCATGTCCTTCAATATCCATATTTCTGAAATTGAACCCACTATTGTTTGGTGATCTGAATGCATAGAATTCAGGAACTAACCATTGCTTGAAAGTATTGATAATTTTAAATTCTTCATTGGTCAAATTCACATTAATGGATAACACCGACGGCAACTTAACTATGCTTGTACGTATTTCCAAACTATGTGGATATGCATGATGGTGTTGTTGGCATGGTACAGTCTTGAATTGATTCATAGAGTAGTCCAAATATGTGAGAATATTTAAATTCTTTCTAATATTATTAAGACTATTGGTGGTTGATTGATAATGAGGATTGATGAGAATACTCATTTTGTTCAACATATTAGCCGGGGGTGTGATCAATTCAAGGGACAACATATTTCCATGATGTTTGTCGTGAATTGGACACGAAGTTCCATTCCCTTTGATTTCAATTTCATATTTCAATTCGGTGGTTTCAAACGTGCTATGATCTTGTACATTAAGATCGTCGTTCAAGCTTGTCAACAAAAAGTTATTAAATGAAATAATCAAATCACGGACTTCTTGAGAATTCAAAGTGAGTAATTCATTATTGTTTAACAATTTAGCCGCTCTGGGGTTGTGATTCAATACTTGGCTCAAATTATAGATATTGACATTTGTTGATTTGGCTTTATACATCATGTCAAACAAGTATCCCAACTCGTTCAATATTGAGGAACCTTCAGGGGTTAGTGTCAAGTATTGATTCGTCAACTGGCAACCACTCATTTGATAACGCACCAACTGCTTGATTGTAAATGATGGACTGGAAGCGGTACAACTGCAAAAGGGAGTTTATGTATGAATTATCTGTATGATTCTCCAACCCACAGTAGTCATTGGTTCTATTGTAATAACTGAAATCAAAATCTTTAACACCAAATCTTGAATACTGAATTTGTAAACGTGAATAGCAGTTCGGCACTTTACAATTACTGGAATTTCCATTAGTGTTGCACTTATATTGAAAAATACTCTCATCAGCAACGAGTTCAGTAACATCAGCCGAAGTGGATGTATCTTCATCACCATCTTTTCTTTCACTGATAAATTTAGGAACAGTTATTTCTTTATACTCCTTAAGAGACTGGTATGGTTTGTAGACATTTCCTGGTCCGTATTTCAATTTATCATACGGTATAAATGAGCCTGGATGTTTTTGACTCTCTAGTATTAGCTCCATATCGATGGATTCAGGTAGTTTTGCTGACTCTTTAACAAATCGTAAATCATTTGGATAATTTGACAATAACAAATCCTTATAGTACGGCATACCCACAATAGACAAGGGAACATTATCATCAACGCCAATGTATTCAACATTTTGTTCAATGATATCGGGTTGTTCCACTGGAGGTGGGAAATTGACAAAATCGTTACTCGATGAATTAATCGACCATAAATGGATGCTATCACTATCATCATTAAACATCAAAAAATCACCACTACTACTGATTTCCAAGTTGGACATTTTCGGTATTTTGGACCCGTTGTTCAATGAGCTACCGATAACTGGGGGTGGAGTTAAATTAGTTTGATACACATTGACATTTGTTTGATCAAATATATCAACAAATTGCAATTGTCCAACAACAGAGGCAATGATGATGATATTTGGTAATTTAGGATGAAATCTGACAGATGTGGCACCGGTAGGGAAAGGAATAGGTGCAATTGCTCTCATTATTCTTGTATCATAAATATTCACCAATGGATCCACCATATATTCTGGGGTTTGATTATGATGATACCTTTTTGGACGAACTGAATAACCACATGTAGCAATATAATTTCCTCTTACATCCATATCAGATATAAATCCATTATGAGCTGAAAAGGATTTAACCGTTGAATTTGAAATAGGGTCGAAAATATCTAATGATCCATTACTATTTGCAATTGTCAAAAATTTACCAGAATTATTCAATTTGGAAATATCACCTTGATGATCAAATGTCGATAATACATTTGGCTTGTACAAATCAAATTTTGATAATGACGTATCCGTACCTACCACCACATCATTGTATGAGTTGCAATTAAATGTCATACTAGTTAAATTATTAAACGATTCATCATTAAACGTCTTGGCACTAACATGTAATTTATTAATTCCTCTTCTTGTTGTAAAATTTAATTCATTTGTCAGTAGGGAAAGTATACCATCTTTATGAGATAATAATTGTGATATTGGTTGATTAGTATAATTAGATTGAAATTTCGTATAGGGATATAATTGCAAGTTGGAGTACATCGAATTGCTTGATGATGTAAATGATCTAGTATACCCGTTTGAATCACCACACCAAATGAAATTCAGGGAACTATCAAATTGTAATGATGAGATCAATGATCTTTTAGGTAATGGATTATTGAAATTATCTGTAGCAAAAAGATTCAGTGGTAATCTTAAAATTTCATTCCACCCATCCATTGTATGATATATTTATTAATGATTGTTGGTTTTATTCCTGTTTATTTGTATCCTCCTGTATTGCTCTTTGTATTGGCCTCTTATTCAACAACTTCCTTATTCGCATGAATGGGTTTCTCCAAAACTGTCGATACAACTTTTCTTACTGTTGTTGTCGTTGGGTCGATTGCTTTTGGTGATGCGACAAACAACGAGTCAACAACCAGACAGAAAAAAAAAAAAAAAAATTTGGCTGTTGGCGTCTACCAGTCGTGTGTTGCGGCCATGGTGATTTCAAAGTTAATTATTCAAACTATCATTTCATAGAAGAAGTCAACTATAGGAGAGGTCAATTTTACTACAATTCAAAGATGTTTATCAATTGACAACATTTATTTCACTTATATTTTTTTTGGTGAATTTTTTGCTTTTACTTAATACTAAAGAACGTTTCTAAATAACAATCATGTTTTTATATCATCATCATCATCAATTGCCTAAGCTTTAAAAGACTTTTTGGCATCTTCATAACCTCTCTGGAATTCCTTATGAGCTTCCTTTTGCAATTCTTCAGGTAACTTGGCAATCTTTGCATCCAAATGGTCAACACCAGTTTCAAATTTAGATGAAAGTCCAGGATGGTTTGATGATTCTCCAGAACGTTGACCACCAGTAAGACCAGCACCAGTGGAACCAAGACCAGCACCAGTACCGGCACCAGTTCCTGTGGAATAGTTTGAATCACCATATCCAGAAGTAGATGAACCACCATGGTGACCACCACTAGAATGATGATGGTGAGAACTATCATGATGGGAACGAGAAGATGGTGGTGCACCACCACCGGCTCCAGAATGTTGACCATCATCGGATTGACCGTAACCAGTAGTACCAGAAGTAGTTGAACCATAAGCACCAGATCCAGTCTTGTCAGAATATCCTTGTTGACCAGTTGTACCACTACCGTAGCCAGCACCTGTACCAGCAGTAGTAGCACCAGTAAGTCCACCAGTATGATGACCACTAGTGCGGCCACCAGAAGTTGTGGAGCTACCATAGGCACCAGATCCTGCTCTGTCATCGTATCCAGTAGTACCAGTACCACTGTGTTGTCCTTGATTACTTTGACCATAACCAGAAGTAGTTGAACCATAGGCACCAGAATCATGAGATCCAGTTTGTCCAGTACCATAACCACCAGCTTGTTTTGAACTGGTTTGATTAGATCCATAACCAGATTGAGTAGAACCAGTTTGACCACTACCATATCCAGATTGAGTTGAGCCAGTTTGATTTGATCCATATCCAGATTGAGTATTGTCATATCCAGAACCGCCTTGACCAGATCCATAACCAGTACCACCAGTACGTGAATCAGTAGTTCCAACAGCACCAGCAGCACCGGTTGTACCAGTAGTTCCAGATCCAGCTTTATTAGCTTGATATTGTTTGTATTTGTCTTGGGCTAAATCAGTACCTGTTTGGCCATCTTTACCACCTAAGTAAGTACCAGCTTGAGTATTGGCTTTATCGTAGTCGTCTTTTTTAACACCTTTTAATTTATCTGTTAAACCCATTATGAAAATATTTGAATAATTGATTATGTAATTGATAATAACAAAAACAAAAAAAAAAGTTAAATTTCTAAAATGTAAATCAAAAAGAAAACCCCTTGATATTTATACTTGGAATTATAAAGTCAACAAGAGGAGAAATAGGAACGGGAACTGGGGGGGGAGGTAATCACGATTGTGACAGGAGAATTATGAAAGTTGCTATTCCGGTATGGTTATGCAACAATTTCATTCGTCTTTCGTTTCTTTTTTCTATAAGCTATCGACAATATTGTTGTGTTTCAGTCGTTTACCACAGTTGCTGCAAATTTCATTCACCTCAATTCGAGGGGCAGCAATGCTAAATTTTAATTTCGTCATTGCGCGGACAATCGAAAACGGCCAATTGCTACAAGCAATATTATTAATCACTAGCAACAATGGATCAATGGTTAAGCAATTGGATTCAATTGAGCAATTGAGTTTATGAAAACAAGGCTGTGAAGAATCAATGATGAAATTTGATGGAAGAATTAAACAAAAAAAGAGGGGAGAAAGCAATTGTGGAATATATACCTCACTGCAAGGTTTAAAAGATCAACAAATTAAATAGGGGAACAGATTTACGTTTGTATTTTTTGTACTTCAATATTCCGTGGGAAAATAAATCGTGATCTAAAAAACTAGCTGTCAATTAATTTGCATATTGTTTGAAATAAAGTAACAAGAGAGGCACGTGTTTGACTATTGATAGAGAAGTACTTCTACAATTTAATCTTAGGACACAAATCTCTATTATATAATTATTTATAAAACTTTCTGTATTCTAACAGGAACTTTGATGTTGGAATAAGTACCATTGGATAAATGAACCGTCAATCTGATATGATACAACCTAGTCATATAACAGGACTGGAAATCTGGAACTAAAGTAAACCTATCATATGATTTGCTCAATTTCGTAGGATTAATTTCACCTTTCAACAGCAACTTTTCTAAATTAAGACCAATTTTAATCGAAGCTTTAGCAGAGTCTTGTTCTATATTCCAATTTATCGAATCTTTACAAAATGGTTTACCATTTATTTCAAGTCCACTAACTACCAAATTAAATTGTTGATGTTGCAATTGACAAATAGCTTTCAAATCATCAACCAATTGACGTTCCAATTTGAAATTCTCTGCCCCTAATCTTTTATAAATTTGGTATATCTCGGAAGAATATTTTCTGAATGGAATAATTATATTGTTGAATACATTATCACTGTCATGGAATTGGCCAGTATTGACTTTATTGAATATCAAATCATGATTCAACTCAATTGGAATAGCATATTTCTCAGATCGAAGTGTCAATACCACAAACTCGGCACTGATTCCTTTGATTGTTGGTAATTGTGGAGTTGATTTGGATTTTAAAGAAGGATACTTTACAGATAAATCAATTGGAATTTCCAATTTCCACGATTTTGCAAGTTGATCAATTGACTGGTTTCTAAATCTAACTGGTGGAATATAGCATACACAGTATTCCTTCTTTGGTGTAGATAAACATAATGTACCAATATCTTTGATTCCAGTTATTGATTTCTTGACCACGGGCAAAAATGTCTCGTATTTTTCTACCTTGCTTGGATTAGTCTTTGCATCACGAAGATTCTCTGGTCTGTATAATTGACGACATTTGGCCAACTCCATTTCAGTTTCTGTTAATTGTCTACCGATTTCGACACTGTTGGAGAAATCACCATTTTCAATGGATTTAATCAATTGGTTTCCATGATCAATTTTTTCTTTAATTCTCAGTATCAAATTATTATACATCAATTTATTCTCCAATAATTTCATCAATCTTTCATTATCTGTAGGAGTGGCAGTTTTTTGAACAACACGGAAATGATTGGTCAATTCTTTCAAAATGACATACTCTTCACCTTTGGAATTAATCAATCTTGTTTTATCAGCTGTAGTTTCAATAACACCAAAATCAGCTTCCCAGGTAGATTTTCTACCAATGAATCTTGCCATTACACCATAACTAACAGAAGTATCAAGCATTGAAAAATCCTTAATTTTATTTTTGGCTCTCTCTGGGAAATGTGCAACTTCCCATCTCGATAATCCTACTGTTGGTGGTAACTCAACATGTTTCGATAATCCATGTTCATTACATTCTGAATCAAGTAAATTATTCGGAATTCTAAATGTGAAAAACCGTTTATATGTTATACCAGGATAAACAATTTTCTTTTCTCCAAAGCATAATGCAGAACCATCAATTGGATCTCTAATATCTTCACATATATATGGATTTCTTACATCTGTAACTAATCGATTTATATTACCTTCATTCCAACTAGCTGAAAAATCAAACATTTCCAAAAATTTTCTAATCTTAATAGGAACTCTATCTTGTAGATCTGCTTTATTGGCAATCATGAAATTACCTTCAAACAATAGATAAAACATATCATAATGGATAAGTTTATCCGAAGTGTTCTTAATCAAAACATAACCATTTAATAAATCACCTTGTTTATATTCGAAAAGGGAAGGATCAATCAATTCTGGTTTCTTACCAATTTCACAAATATCTTTTGTAAAATGAACTTCAATATTAATTGCTTCAGAAACTTTATGTTTCTTAAAAGTTAAATTAGGTAAACGATGAACATTATCTAAAATAGTCTCCTTCCAATAACATGTACTTTCATCCGCAACAATGAATGATCCATTTTCATCACTTCCTTGTAATGTTGTATCTTCTGTTGATGTGGTAGTTGATGAATTTAATGATAGATTATTAAAACCAGAAGAAATTTGTGATGATGTAGTTGCAGAACTAGTATCTGACTGGAAGGAATTACTACGTGTGGTATTGTTATAACAAGGTGGTTGTATACTATCGTCATCATTGACCTCTGTATCAATTGTCATTCCCACTGTGGAAGTAAACATACCATATGATGGTAGGATTGTATTAATAGTATCATCTATTGAGTTTGAGTTATTCTCCACAGACATGATGGTTATAGTAGTTGTGTTTATAATGGTATTTGTTGAATTAATGATGATATATCATTCCACCAAGAAAACTTTTTCTTTTTCTTCTTGTTTCTCCACAAGTATTTATATTTGTATAAGGGATATGATATGATTCATCATTGTTAGAACTAAATATAAAAAAAAAACCTTTCGTGCATGAATCCTGCTGAGTAATTCAATCCCACAAATTCATGTTCACCTATCTCCATAATTCCAACCGAGACAAGTTTCAGACCATGCAGATGATGAACAACAACAACAAGAAGAGGAAGAAGAGTCATAAACCAACGGCGCGTGTGGCTCAGATGCCAATAAACCTTCTGAGTGATTCAATCTACTGGCATTGTGTACCCATGTGATCTAATTTATCGGCATTGTGTACCCATGTGATCTAAATTAATTTATCCATTACTATGCCACTTGACATGGATCATCCGTTGAACACAAGGGAATAGCTAAATAGCTAAATAGAGTATGGGACATCATTGTTTGTTCCACATAGATGACTCAATCGATACTCAATCCTGATTGGTCAGTGTGCCACAACTATACGCAACAATAGTTATTATTATTATTATTATTATTGTGAGGGGGTTAAAGCCGTTTTAATATTTTCTTGGCAGATTCCGCATTGGTAGCAGTAACGTTCTCTCCACTAATACCACTTTACTTTACCAATGCGAATGTCCTCCTGTCCAGTTTACTAATTCACTAATGTGACTAATGGGAGTAAAAGAGAATTGTTGCGATATTACATTCCTGTTGTATAGAAAGATGGGATGGAGTACCCGGCTGATAACGTATATCATTTGACAAAAAAGATCTTCTTCTTTCTGAATTTGAATTTCACAACCACTTCGAATTACATTTAATTTGTAGATAACCATTTATATGAAATTAAATACCCACATGGGAGATACTAGGATTCTTAGGATGGAGGAGGATAATTCATGGGTGGTTCGGTAACTTGGATTCAGATGAAAAATTACGCAAAATCAAACCCATCTCGAGCCGCTTGTTGTTGCATCAATTCAGAAATGGTAGATATCCACTGTGTCAAAAAATTCTAATTGTCAAGTGGTATCACTGATTGATATGTATACTTACCTTGAAGGGTTTTTCTTTTTTAATTGACGTTACGCCTTGGCAGTTATGCGGCAGAATTGTATTTGGAAAATATGAAACTTTCTAGAATTGTGACAAAGAGCAAACAAAATGGAATTTCACTCCCCCCCCCCAAAAAAAAAATAATAATAATACCCAACCTAAACAATGACGAAAATAAAATGAAATAAAATTAAAAAATATTTATATATTCCTATTGGTTCTTTTCTTATCTTTCTTCTTGTAGTATTCACTTTAGATTCAAGTATGACTTCACAAATAGTTAACGAAAACGATACTGTTAAGCCACTGGGTTCATCCGTTTCTACAACTAATACACCTGATATAAATGATGGGTTTGTTCGACTTACAACTGAAGAACAAAGAGAATTAGAACTGGAATTACCCGAAATTGAACAAGAATTAACTGATAGTGAAGAAGAAGATGAATTTATTCGTCGATTTGGTGATATTGAATTTCAATATATAAAACCTCCAAAACAAAATTTTTGGTTTAAAAGACCTCATGCTTTAAATTTTTTTAAAGATGGTATTCTTTATAGAACTAAAGGAGAACGTACATCTACTAAAACTGAATTATTTTTAGATTTACTTTATGTTGGAATCATTGCTAATTTAGCTGGTGAAGCAAGTGAAAATGCAAGTGGTATTGCTTTATTAAAATATGTTTTATTCTTTTTACCAACTTGGGTGGTTTGGGCTGATATAAAAGATTTTACAAATTATTATTATAATGAAGATTTATCACAGAAATTGTATATTTTTTGGATTTTAGCATTATTGACTTTATATATCAATAGTCATTATGCTTTATTGGATAGTTTAGCTGATGCTGCTGTGACTATAGTACCTTATATCTTGTGTCGTTTATCTTTAGCAGCAAGTTTGTTTTTATATTCATTTTTCATTCCAGAACATAGAGCACAATCTAGATTATATTCAGCTATGATTCTAGTTACTTCATTATGTTGGATTGCAGTTATATTTGTTCCAGTTAGAGTGAAAATTGGACTTGCATTTGGATTTTTATTCTTGGAACAAGTTTGTTTTATGATTGCTTATCATCCATGGACTAAAAAAATGATGAATTTAACTACATCTACAGCTTTAAATATTGAACATGAAGTTGAAAGATTTGCTGTTTTTGTTACCATTGCAATTGGTGAATTTTTATACAAAGTAGTAGCTCCTGGTAATTTAGGTATTGGATTTAGTGATAAATTTGGTCGTGGGATTTTCTTATTAGCTGATGCTTATATATTATTTTGGATTTATAATTATGGTTCAACATCTCAAAAAGCAATACATCCTTTACGTCATAGTGCTTGGTCAGCAATGGCATGGATTTATGCCCATGTTCCATTAATTGCCGCTTTGGTGTTGGCAGCTGATGCAGGAGGTGATTTAGCTTCACTGGATATCACAAGCACTAAGAAACTTCATCATGGTCCATTATCTGAACGTAATGAATCAGTTATTGAAATTAATGGAGGAGGAGGAGAAGGAGAAGAAGAAGAGAAAAATATGTATGCTTTGTCTTTCTTTTATACTGGTGGAATTGCTGTATCATTGATTAGTATGTTTGTTTTAGGTTTAGTTGAAAAAAGTAGAGATCCAAAGGGTTTACATATCCTTCCAAAAAACTTACGAGTTGCTTTAAGATTACCAATTGGTGTTGGAATAGTCATGTTGAGTTTTGCTGAAATGAACACCACTTTGTTAATGGGTATCGTAACTATTATGTTGTTGGTATTGTTGGTTTATGAGAGTGTTGTATCAACACCAATGGAATGTTGGTATAAAAGAAACCAATCAATTGGAACAGCTACCACTACAGACTAGATCTTACTTTTTTTTTTTTTGAAATAAATATTTATTATTACATATATACAAGTTACAATCGAGATACTATTGAAAATGTTTCAAATAATATTGCTTTATTAACATAATCCAACCGATCAGCATAATACACTGACCCTGCTTTTTGATGTTGATTTTCAAGCATCACTTCTCTTTTATCTCGTAAATTTTTCAAACTTTCTAATGCATCATCATGTGTGGTATTCCCTTCACTTTGGAGCAACAGTTCTAATCCACTTATCATAGTTTCCATTAACAAATTACTCAATCGTAAGATATTGGTGTTTTCATAAATACCCAATGATGAATGTTGACCTATCATCATCGAAGATGATGTTGGTTCGCCATGATCAGACACTTCGACACTTCCATCGTTAATCAATTTATTCAAATACCCAGGGGTGGATTCTTTACCATCTATATCTCTAACCAAACGAGTAAGAATTTCAATAAATTCATCTAACTCCCATCCTGATTGTCCTGCTCTTTTCATGAATCCAGTAAAAATTCGTGTATACATTCTTGTAGTTAATGGTTGTTTAGCAAAATTTTCCATTATATAAATCATCTGTTTGACTTGAGAAAATTCTCCATATTTACAATAACCATCTATAAATACCACAAATGAAGTATCTCTTGGAATTAGTTTATAAATAATATCTTTATCCTGAGTGATTTCTTTCAAGTTTATAAAAATCGATAACCATTCTTTGAAAATTTGACCATCTTCTGAAGTAAATTTCTTATACAATATAGTTTCAGAATTATCAATATCTTGTTGAGAAGATCCCACATCTTGGAAAAATGCTGCTTCAAATAACATTTGTGCTTGTTTGATATGAGCAAGTTGAATTAATGAACTAAGAACAGCATTAATCATCTCTGTTTCAATTATGGATACATTATTAGTTATATAATCTATTGTATTTGTCAAATACATCTCATACTCTGGTCTATCAATAATATAATATGTGAAATAAAACAAAAGATGATTTAATGAAATATCCTTGAGTTTAATCATCAGTGAATTGATATTATTGCTATTTATTAACTCACCTAAACCAACTCTAGGTAATATATCTTTAATTATATCAAATTCATCATGTCTAGTTGCCAAAAATAATAAAATTCCTAAAATATCATCACGTTCACCAAACAGTTCAAGCATGGCTGAATAATCATTCCAATTATATTCAGGATAATTCAATTTTTCATTATTTTTATCAATATATTTAATAATATCTTGACGATCTTTAAAATATGATAAATAAATTAATCTAATTTGTTCATTTCTAGTAACTGGTAAATTTGACATATGAATATCATTAATCACTTTAATACACATTTCTTTATAAATTTTTCGATCTTCATTTTGTCGATTAATAGTTTTAATAGCACCTTGAAAATTCTCTTTAATAATACATCCTTCAATTTGATTCAGATTTGCATAATGTTTACGTCTAAGAATAAAATTATTAATGAAATTCTCTAAATCTTCATGATTCATATATCTTGGTGCCGGGGATGGTAAATCTAAATATCGTTTATATAATTCATCATGATTTATATTAAGATGTTTCTTTGAATTATTAACAAAATCAAAATATTTAACTTCAGAATCAAAGATTTTCTTCTTGGATTTAATATTAATTGGATATAATTCACGAATAAATTCTCGATATTCTTTCGTATATAAAACTTGATTATTTTTCATTGATTTTTCACGTAATCTTTTATTATTGTCTTTATATATTGATCTCATTCGTTTTAAATGATCCCATATTTCTTGTTGTATCTTGTATTGATCTGATATATTTGGATTTATATTGAATTTTTGAATTAATAATGGTTGATATTTCTCTATTAATAGATCAATACATTTTAATAATGCACCAGAATGTCGAGCTTGTTCATTTTTCACACGTAATGATAATTTGTCTATTGATTTTAAAAACAACGACCCGTTGGAAAAAGTACTATTAAATCTTCGTAGTAGTAGATTCATATCATCGTTGAACTGAATATATCTGTGTAGAGAAATATCCAAATAGATTGAATTTTCTTTAAAATTCACTCATTCCCTCATTCCAAGGTACTCCTCACACCGCACATCCATCAAGAATCAAAATTTGGAGTTCCACCAGAACAACGAAAAAAAAATAAATTAGAACGAAAAAATTTTTTCATTCCAATTCCAATACCAGTAATAGTAGTAGTAGTAGTACCAATACCAGTACCAACCAGGGAACACACACATATATTCATATTAAGATGAAGATTCAAACAGAGGCTAGTAATGTATTACAACGAGCATCTGCTAATTTAAGAGCAGGTTTATTAAGAGAAAAACCAGTTTGGTTTGATGTTGTTTCTAAATATCCACCAAATCATAATTTTATTAAAGTTGCCCATATGAATGAATCAAATACTAAAGATTTAAGAAAAAAAGCAGTGAGTATTCAAAAGAATTCTTCATCATCATCATCACAACAAGTTTATAAAACTCGTCAATCTACTCTAGAATCAACATCTAGAAATAATCAAGTTCATCGTGTTCCAAAATTAAGATTTGTTGAAGATTCATTACGTAAAATTTTTTATAAACAACATCCATGGGAATTAGCTCGTCCTAAAAATTTAATTGAAAATTCAGGTGAAGAAAATAATAAATGTGATTGGAGTCATATGTTACAATTATATAAACCATTGGATGGTGAATCAGTAGTTCAACGTACATTATGGTTAATGAAAAATGAATCAAATTTAACCCCATTTGAAGCTTATGATAAAGCAAGATTTGAATTTTATAAATTAAGAATGAGTGAAGAAATGGAAAGTCATGTTGCTAAAGAAGAAAGTTCAATGTATGGTGGAGTAATTGGTAGTACTAATGTTAATTGGAATTTATCTAAAGAACAAGAATATATTGATATTTGGACTCAAATTGCTGAAGAAAGAACTCAAGTTATGGAAGCTAATATGAATAGATCTTCTGCTCCTGTTGGTTCAATGGTTGAAGAAGAAAAATCAAAAACTTCCTTATTTGAAGATTTATTACTTTCCAATAACGCTTCACAATCAAAACCAAAACCAGAAGCCAAAGATTAAATTAGATTTTAAAACTACTGCACATGTATAGTCTTTCATCAATATTCTGTAAATAGAAAATAGTAATACTTTATTGCCCTTTTTTTTGGAGAGGAGATCCAACTAATGTAAGATAAATATTCGAATATATATATATATAAAAAGTAAGATCTTTCACTATAACGTATTATACAAGTTTCAAAATAATTATTATTTCATAATCTTTTAATGATGTTCATCATGATGTTCATCTTTCTTCATAATAAATTTTTCATATCCACAATATAAAGTAAATGCAACAGTAGCTATACCTAAACCTGGGAAAGCATTTTTAAATCTATTAAATCTAGAAAATTGTCCTTCATATCTCCAAGCATCTCTTTTTGCCCATGGATTAGCTGCCATTCTTATTATTGAGTTCTTCATACTTATAGTTATAGTTGTCTTTGAATAATATGTGTAAGTTCAATATCTATTGAATTCTCTTTTGATTTTACTTCCTTTGGTTTTTTTTTTTGGTTTTTTTCTTTTTTGGTTGTAAGAATAAATTTTGTTTTTCTGATTGGGTGAATGAACGACTCACCTCTCTCTCTCACTCTCTCATACATCAACAACCAATTCATGAATTGTTGCAAATACTTTCAAATTGAAGATAAAACTAATCAAATTCAATTTCAAACTATAGACAAATGCCCTATATAACTAAATAACAATGGTATAAATCAAATAAAACTCGAGGGCATTAATAAAAGATATTAAATGTAAGCTACTTGTAGTTTAAGAAGAATAAAAATAGAATATCAAAAGCTAACCCAAAAACAAAAACAATAACTAAAAACCATAATGTTAAAATGACGAACGAATGTATAGGTATGAATAAATCAATTTTAATATCAAACAAACAAATAAAGAAGAAAAAAAAAAAGAAAACTATTTATCAAAGAATTGGAAGAAAACCAATCAATCAAACAAACAAATAAAAAAAACATTTACAAAAATACAAGCAAAAACCCCAGTTCATCATCAAGATGAATCAAATAACTAAAATAATAATAAACGTGCTATCCCAGTATAAGAAAATAGAAATAAAATAACAAAAAACTTCCAAAAATCAAACCAACATCATTCTTCTCTCATGTCACACTCGTATTCCGTCATTAAGATGACTTCTTCTTATCTCTTTTGCTATGGTTACTAGGGTTACCATAAACAATTGTAGGATTACCATTAGCATCGAGTTTGGTATGAGTCTTCAAATGCTGTGCCAAATTATCCGATCTACTAAACTTCTTCTCACAATATTTACAAGGGAATGGACGATCGTTTGAATGGACAGAACGTTGATGTCTTTTCAAATGTTCAGAACGTTTGAATTGTTTATCACATTCATTACATGGGAATGCGCCTTGTGCATTTGGTGTGAGTGCCACTGAATGAGTAGACTTTTTTCTTTCCAGTTTAGTAGCTGCTGGCTTCTTTGGTACTTGTTCTTTAGTAACATTCGATGATGTTGGTGAAATAGATGGTGAATCTGGTAATGGGACCACACCGTCCATAGAAGCAATGTTAGCCGAGCTTTTTCTTCTCTTTTTCTTCTGTTCTGAACCATTGTTGGTATTGATGCTAGTATCTTCAATAGTTGACATTGGTGTTGAATTAGAAATGATATTGTCATTCTCTTCATTGATATTCTCAAAGTGAGCGGAAGATAAAGCAACAGGTGAATTTTGTAATGAATGAGGTAACCCATTGGTGACAATAGCATTACCATTACTCAACAATTGGACTGAATTTCTTCTACTTGGTCCTCGACTGGAATGCATAACCCCACTAGAATATGAATGAGTTCTACTCTTACTATTTTTGAGTATGCCACTAGGATTGACAAACAACTTCAGTGCTTCTTCTTCTAATCTCTCTGGAGCATTGTTGGTAAACCAAGTGGTAATTGCATTGGAGAAATCGTCATTCATTCTGAAATCAAATTGAGGAGAAGAACTACTTCGCATGTGCTTGACACGCTGAGCGGTTTGAGGAGCAATAGTTCCTTGGTTTTGTAAGAGACCTTGATCAACTTGTTGTGCCATTGGTGGAGCTTGTTGGATTTCATGTTGAATAGGAACTTGTTGCCCAGCACTTGCACCAGTACCGACACCAGCAGCAGCAGCACTAGGGTTAATTGGTACACCGACAGGGGCTTTTCCATTAGAAAACAAGGTTGACAAGCTTGGAGAACTTGCCGACGTAACCAACTTGTTATTGAATAATTGGCGGGGATTGATTGTTCCTTCTTCGATTATGGTCTCCGCGTCGGCATTATTTTCTGTTGCCGCGGCAGCAGCAACAGCAGCAGCGACAGTACTAGCATCAACATTGACATTATTTGCCAAACCAGGTTGGAAACTTTGATTCAATTGTTGTTGAGGTACTTGCGGTGGTTGTGACAGTTGTGGTAATTGAACTTGCTGTTGCTGTTGTTGTTGTTGTAATGGATTGGTAGAAGTAGGTGAAAAATTATCAAAATTTGGTTGTTGTAATCCATTCAACTGATTCTGTTGCAACTGGTTGTTTACTGGTTTGGTAGATGTTGGGGTTCTCAAAGTCAACAATGTCAATTGATCAATGGGAACAGAAGTAGAACCATGTCTACCGTGGTTTGTAAACTGTGGTTGTGGAGTTGCTGCTATTTTGGAGGCAGTGGAATTGACAACAGCATTTTGATTATTCGTCGACCCCGATGAAAAGGACAGGGATGATGAAGATGAAGCTGTATGTTGACCAGTGAAGTAAGTATTCAATGAGTTGGAAGACATATTGCTTACTAATTCACTTTCAAATGAGCGTATTGTGCTGGCACTATCGATATATCCGTGCGACTGTTGATTTTGTTGTTGTTGTTGTTGTTGTTGGTAGTACTGGTTCTGATTATGGTTATCTGGACGAACCAGTTGTTGCAGGATTGAGTTGATTTCACCAGGAATATGTGTATCAAACTGGGAAGTATTGAAGAATATTTCATCATTCAAATGAAAGGATTCAGGAATAGAAAGTACATCCATTGGATCGTTACTATTGACTGTGGCATTATAGCCCATACCATTTGAACCAACATTTGGCGGGTTTCCATTCAACATTTGATTGTTGAAAAATGAATTATTATTCTCAAACAACGGAGGGAAATCCAGTGACATTCTTTTTCTTTCAAGTGGATACTTGATGGTAAAAATAAAATATAAAGAAAATTAGTAAAGAGATTACTTTAAACCAAAGATACAAAAAAAAAATGAACTTCTGGACTGAACGTGCGTAAGGCGACTTTTGCGTATAAATGATACAGTAGTAGTCGAGTTTCTGGATGGGGTAGTAGTTAAGAAACGAAACGAAACGAGTTGATCGAGTTTTTTTGGAATACTTGAATGAATTGATTGATAAAACAAAAGTGATTGATAATAATAAAAAAAGAAGTAGGTTATAATCTTATGAAAAAAAAAAAGAATTAAATTAAAAAAAAGATATTCTTGAAATAATTGGAAATTTAAATCTGTAATTTTTTTTTCTTTTATTTTCTTTTATTTTACTTGTCTTTCTCTTTCTCTTTCTCTCTGTCTGTTTTTACGCATATACTTAGTATACGTTGTAAGTACTATACATAGTGATATGCACCCATACGGAAAATTACTTTATTCTTTGATTTTCTCCAAATCTCTGTGTTCATGTAAATTTCCCGTTTGGTTTATCTTCTACAGTGTGATTTTTTTTTTTGTCCCGCTTCTTCTACACTTCATGTTTTGTTTGATAGTGTCTGGAGAATATGAAAAAAAAATAGAGCAAATCTGATGAACATTTACTTTGTATAATAAAACCCAATGATTGTTCTCCACCAATTTAGCCTCTATTTATTTAGGTAGTGAATAATTTAAAAGAACAATCAGATACTTTGGTAAAGTAATAATAATAGTTTTGGCATTTTTTACTTCAAGTATAATGTTTATTGAGTGCAAAGTGAGTGTGTGTGGTGTGGTTATCTAGGTGGGCGGGTCGTGCATTTTGGTTGCGCAAAAAGAGGTGCATTTCTCAAATTATGCAAAGCGGATTAAATTAAATATACACTTTAAATTTTTTATTATCTCCAAGAAAAAAAAAAGAAAAGAAAAAAAACAAGCACAGTACTGCACAGAAGAACAAACTTTTTTTTTTTGCTTAATACAATAATTATTCATTTTATTATTTTATACTACTACTACTGTTAATACCATTCATAAAGTTATGAGTATAGTTACAGTATTGTTCTTGAACTTTCTTCCATACAAAAATGACCTTATTGTTTGTATCAAAACTTTAAAATCAAGGCGCTTTCTCACAATCACCAACGCCATTAGCGTAGCCTACCTTAGCCTACCTTAGCTTAGTTTAGTTTAGTTTTACTGCAAATATAAGCCAGGCTCTTTTTAATTAGTTATAACAGATCAACGAGTAGTAATTATATATTTTGGATATGCATTGATAAATGGTTTAAAGGATGTCTTTTGTTGGCTTACAGTGGATGGGGATATGTCGGCTTTCATATCGATAACTGACGCAGATTAATTTTTGTTTTCAGTATTGTTTTTATGTCCGTCCGATTATGTAATTAATCTTTTCTTAAAACAAGAATAGGACAAATTTTCTTTTCTTCTCTATATGGTTTCAAATTAAAATAATAGAAGATAAACGACCAACCATCGAGTCTTTTGTTGGCATCACCATACTCTTTGAATATCTCGGATTCTGATGGTGTATAATCTATTCTGGATGTGATAAATCAGAGAATATTTGTACAAATCTTGGAGGGAAGTTATATTTAGCTGTTTACCGATCGTACATTCAAATTAATGGTTTTTTATTCATCCATATCACATCAAGTTCGTGCACTTAGAGTATTAATAAGAAGAATGTTTGAGCACAAAATTTGAAACTCCATACTTTGTTTCCTCTCTTGTAGTTATTTCGAAGCAATAAACTGAAAATGAAAATGAAAATGAAAATGAAAAAACAAAAAAATCGAACATCTTGTTGCAGTTCTAGGTCCTAGGTCTTTCCAAAAGAAAATGCAAATTAGATAAAATAAAAAAAAAAATTATATAATATAATATGTACCTGTTGTAGTTCTCGACCCATTTTTTTTTTTTGCACACATATACACGCATGGTTTTTCTTTTTCTTAATAACAACTCGGGTTTGCTTCATAAAAAAAACCCTGAAGCATCAAAAAACCCCATCTTCTGATTTCATACTTCAGCCTACATATCTTTCTTTTGTTTTTGTTGGTGGTGATAGTGGATTATTGTACTCCGAATGATAAAAATAACTCATTAGATTATACAAAACACAAGTCAATTTAAACTATATGTACCCTTCAACAACAATAGGTTGTTTTTTTTTACTCCAGATAATTGTATAACTTTTTCGTTTGTTTTTTTTTTATTTTCTCTCTTTTTCCCTCTTTCATGAAATAAGCCATTCGGCAGCAATGGCACATTTCGCAGAACAAAATCACCCAATTACTGGAAAGTTTCAAACGATTTACGGCCGAACCATGTTGAGAAAGAGAATATGAAAAGACCAATGGTATAAAGACATAACCTATGATCGGATTGTACTACACTTGGTTTGATCATTTAAATCCGAATGTAATTTGAAGCAGGTCACAACCAGAAATTCTCGTAGGATCCAATACTAGAGGGGTCTTTTATGCTTCTGTTTTGTAATACTCTTGATCTTTCTTTATTACGGTAAATGAGTATTGGAATTCTTTCTATTATCTTGTCGTCGTAGCTCTTGTTCTGTACAGATTATCTGTTGATGAACTAATTATAATAGTTGTCTGTAAAATTCTATGAATGACTTGAGTCGGAAAATGATTTGCACCAAATTCAAGCTTGCAGTAGAACGATTTTTTATTATTGCGTTTTCTTAAGTTTCTTTTTTTTTATTAAACACTTTGTTCGCATATTATTCTATTCGCCAGAAGTTGCAATTATTGATTATAATTTCAGTTGAATTGTTCTTTGTTGTGAGTTGTACCGATTAACATGTCTGGTTTGTGTGGTCAACCACAAAGATCCTTTTCTTTGTGGTATTGGAAGAATCATTAGGTTCTGAAAAATATGAAAAATGATGTGCGTACCAAAGAAAATATCCAAAAATCATTTTGTTGGGAATAAAGAAAAGCTTAAGTTAAAATAAAAGTCTAAACGAATTGAAAGATCGCATTTAAAATGATGGTTACAATTTTGAATCTTTAAGGTATAGTAAAAAAAATCATTCAAATCGTAACATATGAAAAGTCGTATGGAAGAGTATGCCCGTTTCAGGATTCCATTCCGGATGATCCCCCCCCCCAGTGTGTTGCAAAAGGTCGTCTACTAATTGTGGTATGTACATATTTCAATTGCAACTTATACATTCTTGATGTGATTGAATTCATTTCATGGAATTTGATTCTGTATCAACATGTAGCATGTTCTAAGTCATTATGTATCAATCGGATTGATTTGTGTCTATTAAAACGCAAAATGTTCACTTATTGTGGAATAAGTGTCTGAACAACAAATCACCATTCACAGAGTATACAAACCGTCATTATCTATTCATCGTTCTTCTAAAGTACATCACATATGACCTAGTCTACTCTCTTTTTTTGCAACTTTGATTCACTTGCAGAGTAATTGTTTTTTTTTTGTTTGTGAATTATTGCAAATTCCAGGGGAAATTTTCAGCAAACAATGAACGCTATAATTAGCAATAATCAGAGATGATTGACATTATACTCGAAAAGATCATTAAATACAATAACTGTGTATGTTTTACTCTATAGAGTGGCAATGAAGAATATGTTTTACAGAGAAACCAGTTAAACTCACTTTCAAAATCAACCGCTTTAGTCATGTTAATGGTTTCCCACATTTTGGCTACACGTGAGTACCTCCAAATATCCACGGGGATACAAAATACTAATTACTTAGACTCTTAACCAAGCCACCAAGGTGAATTAAGTCAGAAAGAGGGGGAGCGATTAGACACGCATAATGACCCTCTGTCAAACCATCAAACCGAAGAAAAAAAAAACATCCAGCTTTTTCTCATTTCAGTAGTTTAGGGGGGGGTGGAATTATAGTTATCGAAGACCAAATGTCATCAATTCAATAATCTAAAACAAAAGAAAAACGTGGTTGTTGTCAATGAAACATCTTCTTCTCTGCACCAAGTCTGATGAAACAAATACTGCAACGATCATCGACCTCCTGCTCCTCCTTCTCCTCCTCCCTTCCCCAGGAGTAGTGTACCTGAACATTTATATCGTATACATAAAACCTCTCTCTCTCTGCTTGTGTGCTCGGGTATAAAAAGTCCGAGATTATTCGGTGGACTATGTGCAGTATCACCATGCATTACCATAACTAATTATGCGATTCGCTAGATAAGACAAAGAAGAAATTCACTTCTTATATATATATTGTCCTACACATACATTCACGATTGTCATTATCTTATCGTCTCATTGATCCAAAGGGGTTTCAAATATACGTTTATTAGATCCCTCTTCCTTTGATCCACAATTCAAAAAAATAATAAACCCGAATATTTGTATATATGAAAAGGAGGGCAACGTTTTCCCTTTTTTTTTTTTCTTTTCTGCTTATTCGGAATTCTAACTTGCTTTTTTTTTTCTCTCTCTCTCTTTCTCTTTCTGTTTATTAAAGTTTATAGAAAGAACTGTGATCATCTACAATCTGAAATTATTTCATATTCTCTTTCATTCTCTTTTTCTTTTTTAGTAATTCAAATATCAACACACACACACATTACTCAACTAGTTATCCGTTATTCCCTTTTACGTGTATCAGAATCCCGATCAAATCCAGTTATTAACACTAGTATTCATTGGTTCAATCAAATCATCATTCCAAAAGTATATTAGATTTTCTTTAGTCTTCTTTTTTTCTTTCTTTCTTTCTGTTTTAAGATTATTATTATTCTTCTTGTTTCAAAACTGTGAATAATTTTCTTTTTTTATTGTGCCAGTGATTAATTGATTACTTGATTGATAGATTAATAAAAGTGATTCATATATTCGTCATCGTAAATGACAAATTCATCAAACAACAATACCCAATCACTGCAAAGTCCTGTTATACACCAGGGCCAACCGAGTCATGAATCAATACGAAATTTGATTGCAGCAAACTTTAAACCTCCAGTCCGTCCTACCCCTCCTTCACTCCCACCATCACTGAATCGTCACGATCTTGCTCATGAACATGAAAACCAACAGCCACACCCACCTAACGTGAATTCAAATTCGTCATCATCATCTTCCACCTCCTCGTCGCCCTATTCTCCACCTTACAACCGTGCCAAATCAAATTCAATCAGTGTTGGCGTCTTAAGTAGAGCTCGAATTGCCAATAAAAGAGTTTCATTTTCCAATCTAGCTTCTGGTAATAATTCACAGGTTTTCTTATCTTCTAGTGCATCTGATGATTCAGAGAATGAAATTTACAGCGACGATGAATACGAAGAGGAAGACGACGTAGATACATCACAGCAAGGTGCATCCGTGTTGATGAAACAAGATTCAAGCGAGGTGTTTTTACGAGAACCTAATTTCACGGGCTTTAAGAGGCTGCAACATTCAGCCCTGCCACCATCAATCCCACCATCTTCACAAAGATCAACGCAACAACAAGTTGATCGTTCTCATACACCAATATTACGTAAGAGCAATGTGAAGTTCACTGCTGGAAGTATGACTCCATCTCCTAATGCGTTGTCACCTACTACTTCTTCAGTTTCATTAAGAAAGAGCAACAACAAGAAGAAGAAAAAGCCATCTTCTATGCGTTTCAACTATGGTGGTGAGAAGTTGACATTATCTAAATCTTTAGATTCACAATTGTTGGAACCATGTGATTCAAACAGTTCCACCAATTCCTATTTACCAGCATTCAATAAACGTCCTCCAACTGATACTCCTATTGTATCTACAATGGGTTCACCAATGACAAGAGAACAGTCTGAAGATGAAGATGACGATGATGATGATGAGGACGACACCAGCAATACCATCGATGAAAATGGAAATCAAAGAGGTATCAATCGTATTGAAGAAGAAGAATGCGAGTCAAGTAACAAAGAAGACCAAACAACTCCAGTGTTTCACAAAACAAAGAATATTTCACATTTGAACTTATCCGAAATGGGTAAAGCTGAGCAAAATGTGGAGAAACCTACTGATAAGAATGTTTCCTCGCCAGTACCAGATGTATCTCCGAAGTCCAGAAAAGAAGCGGCACTGTATGCTGCTAAAAAAATCATGGGAAATAGTGAGGGGTCCGTGGCTCCGGGGTCGACCGGGCTAAAGGCACCTCTGCATTCCGTTCCATCAAGATCACCACCAAAAGTTCTTGTCAATGACAAATCCGATCTGATTAGTCCCATGAGTTCAGTTCTCACTATTTCCTCTGAAGATGGTGATAAATCCAAAGGGTTAGTGATGGCCAAAGATATCAAAGACCACTTGTTGAAAGATGTTCCAGATTATATGAAAGAAGAGTTTGAAAAAACACCATCCGTGGAAAAATTAAAGAATCTTTTGATGACAAAACCACCGCCATCGGCAAGAAAGGCATATACGTTAAATATTCCAGGTCAAACTTCTTCCAAGACATCTCCCGATGGGAAGATTGCTTCGATGGATGTTGGTTCCAAATTGGTTATTGTCATGGTTGGATTACCCGCAAGAGGTAAATCATACATTACAAACAAGTTGACAAGATATCTCAATTGGTTGCAACACGATTGCCGTGTTTTCAATGTTGGTAATACTAGAAGAAAGGATAAGTTAAATGCTGGTCCAGAAACTCAACCTTTACCTGATAGTTCTACTCCAACAGAAACAAGATCTCCACAACAACACGATGCATCATTCTTCAACCCAGATAACAAGGATAGCACTGCCTTGCGTGAAAAATGGGCCATGGATACTTTAGATCAATTGTTGGATTATGTCATCAAAGGCACTGGATCCGTGGGTATTTTCGATGCTACCAATTCGACCAAGACTAGAAGAAGAAGAATTTTGAAAAAGATTCAAGAGCGTTCCAATGGTGAATTGAAGGTTTTGTTTTTGGAGAGTATATGTAGTGATCCAAGTATCATTGAGTCAAATATTAGATTGAAATTAAGTGGTCCTGATTATAAAGATATGGATCCTAATATTGCATTGGCTGATTTTGTTGGCCGTTTACATAATTATGAAAAAGCGTATGAAACAATTGATGAAGAAGAAGAAAAAGTACCTGGATTCCAATATGTTAAAATGATTGATGTTGGAAAGAAAGTTGTTAGTTATAATATCAAGGGATTCCTTGCTTCTCAAACCATTTATTTCTTGCTTAATTTCAATTTGTGTGAACGTCAAATCTGGATCACTCGTCATGGTGAGAGTACCGACAATTTGACAGGTAGAATTGGTGGAGATGCTCATTTAACAAAGAGAGGTATCAAATTCTCGAAAGCATTAACTCAATTTATGGAATTCCAACGTCAAGAATTTAGAAAACAACAATTGGAAAGATTCTCTACCAGATTGGAGTTGAAATATAATTCTATTTTCAATGAAGATGATGTTGCCACATTAGACTCGATTCCAAGTGAGCCAAACTTTTGTGTTTGGACATCCATGCTTTCGCGTGCTATAGAAACTGGTCAATATTTCAATGATCAATTGTATTCTGTCAAACAATTGAGAATGTTGAACGAGTTGGGAGGTGGTAAGTATGAAGGAATGACATACGAAGAAATCCAAGACAAAAATCCAAGAGAATTTGAGGCAAGATTGAAGAATAAATTAAGTTATAGATACCCTGGTGTTGGAGGGGAATCGTATTTGGATGTATTGACAAGATTGCGTCCATTAATTGCCGAAGTTGAAAGAACAACAGATCATTTGTTGATTATTTCACATCGTGTTGTTTCACGTATTTTGTTGGCATATTTCTTGAATCTTGACAAATCAGCCATTGGAGAATTGGATGTTCCATTACATACATTGTACTGTTTAGAGCTGAAGCCATATGGAACTGATTATACCATGTATGAATATGATGAAAATTTAGACTGGTTTATTAAAGCTGAGCCAGAACATCAAAAGAATGTTAAAGAGGTTGGTGTTGTTTTTAGAGAACGTAAATATTCTGTTGTACCAACTGCGCCACCATCGTCTTTGAGGTCAAGATTGGCTAGTTATTCTGTGGCTGCTAATAATGGGTTTGGTAACAGTCCTAGAGAGATGAAAGATGAAATTCGAAGAAGATTATCGATGGGAATCACCAATAAGCCAACATTACTGACGCGTGATGGTGATGATAAATCAATAACTGCTAAGAATTTACAAGATTTGAAGAATTTGAGAAAACCTGCAGGTATTAAACCATCAAGAACCCCAGATTATGTCTAGATGATTATAATGGAGTGGCTATATTCTTACACATAACATATATATATATATATAGATTGATTTTTAGTTTTTTTGTATTGATACTTTTCATTCGTTCATTCGTTGATTTTCCTTTTGGTTATCGTATTTATATATACATCTGTTTTTATAATAGTTTTTTTATTTGAGATTCTATTCGGGTTAGAAGACAAGTTTTTGATGACAAATGGTTGCCCAGAAATACCGTTGTGTTTTGTCTGGTTGTCAATTTGTTTTTTTTAAGAATAATGGCAACCAAACATTGAATGCTAACAAGTATAAAATAGAAGAGCACCAGGGATGGATAAATAAAAAAAGGTAAAGCAATCCACAAGTGTTGGTCAACATGGGATTATAATCGTTAATTAATAATAGATGAAAAAGGAAACACGTTGAAACAAGCGGTGATAGATTCGTTAATTCTTTGAATTTTTTTTGGCAACCATTTTTACCCCAAGGCATATACTTATATAATGAAAACATAATATTTTTTTTTACAACCAAAGACTTATAAATATAAACACAAACATAAACATCCCTTTTTTTCATAAATTAATCCTGTTTGCAAAATTTTTAAAAAACTATAAATATAGATGTAATTTCCCTTTCTTTAAAGTGTTGCCAAATTTCATAAATTCTTTTCTTTCTTGTTTTAAATAGAATCATAAATCAATCAATCATGATATTTACTATTTTAATTTTAATTGCTTCACGTATCATCCAAGCTAGTTATGTTCCTCGTGATGGTTATGGTGGTGGTGATGATTATGACAATAAACATGAAGGTAAATGTGATAAATGTGACAAGAAAGGTGATGATGGTAAAGATGATGGTTATAATTATGTTGATTCATATGATGGGAAATTTTATTTAGGTGTTAAAGAATATTCAAATGATAAATATTATGATATTATTTATCAACTTAATGATGGTCAAATTGAATATGGTAATTATGATAAATATCCAATTAAAAGAGAAACTAATTCTGATTGTGATACAACTACAATTACAACTACTTATTATAATACAACTACTTATACTACGGTTATTGTTTCTCAAACTGATGAGTCTACCATTACTGATTCTTCTGATTTTGTCATTACTGAAGAACCTACTGATGAACCATTTTTTGAAGAACCTTCTGATGAACCATTTGATGGAACTCCTTCTGATGATTTTCCAAGTGAAGTTATAGCTGAAGAACCATCAACAAGTATTTTTGAAGAACTTCCAGAATCATCATCGTCATCATTATTATCTTCATCATCAGAAGGAGTTTATAAACGTAATGAATCAACAGATCATCACAAACCATCAACATATTATTGGTTTACTTTACACAAAAATGTTCTTAAAGATTCTAAAAAAAGAATTGGTGAAATTGTTGCTAATCATCAATTTCAATTTGATTATCCTGTTCAACCTGATGCTTTATATACCAAAGGTTTCTCAATTGTTACTTACAAAGGAGTTAAATATTTGGCATTAAATGGTAATACCAAGTTCTGGAATTCTGCAGTTAATGATAAAGGTGTTTATAAAATTTATGATAAACCAATTACTGATCAAAGTAAACCTATTAATTTGGTTATTTTAGAACCATCTAAGAAATAATTCCATTCATTATGAGTCTTACAATTTGCTAGAATTAAAACAACTACCTGCTGTGCAGTATTTATCTTTTCTCTTTGTTGGTTATTCTTATTATTCGGTGTGTATGTGATGTATATCCATATTTAGTTTATATTGTGTATATCTTGTTAAAATAATAATAAACAAAAAATCCACAGTTCAAAATTAGGGCTGCAAAAAAAAACTCATCTCATCTCTTTGTCTAGGGTTCGTATAATCCGATCCGGGTAAGACCAACACGTGATTTCGCAATAATTAAAAATTGAAAAATTGAAAAAAAATTCGCACTATAAAAGGAGACGGTTTCAACTCATCTTGAAAGAAAAATTTTTTTTTGTTTTTTAATTGTTCTTTCTTTCTTCTATTACTTCAAACAACTACCACAACCACAACCACAACCACAACCACGAAACAAATCAATATTAGAGTTAGTTGGGGTTAATTTTATTCTTTAGATGAGTTCTTTTCATCTATTAAGAATATTAATCAATCAACTATCCTTTATTATTTCCACAATAACATCCAATGATTTTTCATGTATTAACAAACTAACTTGGTTTTTATAAAGAAAAATTCTTCTTTTCATTAATATTATTATTATTGATGTATTAATAAAAACAATTTTTTTCTTATTAATTTAATTTATAAATTTTTGAATATGATGAAAGTTAGTGAAACTTCTTTCCAGGTCTGATTTCGACTATGATATATTTCACAGACAATAATATCAAGACAGTGTTTGTTCAAAATTATAATCCTTCGGGGTTTTTGTTCAAGCTTATACTTGCCAGTATTAATTTACGTTTCTGATTCAAAATATTAAATTAAATTAAAAATTGTTTTGTTTTACATCATTTTTATTTAATTTTAATTTAATTAAAGAAGAATTTTCTAGAATTATTAACCAGTTCTAAGTTTAATTGGGAATGAAATGTGGATGTTATTAAAACTTTGAAGGATTTATTTTTTCACAAAAATTGTGGTTTATTTTTCTAAGTTTTTTTATTGAGTATATAGCATCTTATTAATTTCATTGATGATTCATGGAAAATTGTTCTTGATGTTGGTTTTTTTTCATTTTGGTTTTTATTGATGATAACTTTTTAGTTTAAAGTGATGAAATTTTTTCCCAAACATTCGCAGTTTCCTCGGTAGCATACGACACGAACCTAATCTACTGTATGCCGGTGACCGCTTATAGACCTTCCATTGGATGTCTGATTAAACTAGAAAGTTTTTCATTATTACCCATTTGATGATTACCATTCAAGAACAATGATGATTCTTTGACATTAATTAATATCACACCAACTATATATAGTTAATACATAAACATGTATTGTCTAGAAATTTTCATCGACTTTTTGTAGTTCTAATGACTCCTCTCAAAACATATGTTATTAATCTTGTGATATGGCCCATTCAATACTTCTTGTCTTGGTTCTACACAATCCATTGCAAATTTGTAATTTCTTCAACGATGTTTATCCCCCACCCCCACCATGCAAATTAATATTATAAAATCAAACTAAAATGTATATGAAAAGAAAAGAAAGGAACTACTTAGAATATAACTAAACTAAAAAAGTGGAAGTTCAAATAAAAGAAGAAAATTATAATAATAATAATAATAATAATAATAATAATAATAGAAAACAGTCATCACCCATTAATAACAAAATCAAATGTATACCTATCTTTTCATTAATATATGCGTGTATATGTATATATTCTTTTTTACTCTAATGTTAATTAGATCTTACCTTTAACATCGGTATTGGTCAATGGCCATTGATAAGTACCTGGATCATTGAAAACATAACCATGATCAATCAAATACTTTCTCAATTCTTTAGGACCTTTAGAACCATATGGATAAGATTCCAATTTAACATTTTCTTCTTTTTCAACAGCTTCCAACAATGGAGTGAAAAGTTTCCAAGAAACTTCCAATTCATCATCTCTAACGAAATTGGAATGATTACCCAAATAACAATCTCTAATTAAAGCTTCATAAGCCTCTGGAATCCAGAAATCTTTGGAGTAACGTGTGGAATAAGTCAAATCTAAATCAGTCAATGAAGTTTCAGTAGAAATACCTGGAATCTTTGAGTTGATTTTCAAGTAAATAGCTTCATTTGGTTGAATTCTGATAACCAATTCATTTCTTTGGATTTCTTTAAACATACCTTTAGCAACTGGCTTGAATTGAATTCTAATTTCAACTTTACCTTCATCTAAAGCTTTACCGGCTCTCAAAACAATTGGAACACCATCCCATCTTTCATTGTGAATATTAACTCTGAAAGCAGCATAAGTGACAGCTTTGGAGTTTGGTTTAACAGTAGAATCATCCAAGTAACCTGGTTTAGTACCATCTTCGGATTTACCATATTGACCCAAAAGAACATCATTGACATCAATTTTGTCAAAAGCTTTCAAAACTTTGACTTTTTCATCTCTGACAGCTTCTGGATCAAAAGAAACTGGTCTTTCCATGGTCAACAAGGTCAAGACCTGTAATAAATGGTTTTGCATAACATCTCTAATGATACCAATGTTATCGAAATAACCACCTCTACCTTCAGTACCAAAAGCTTCTTTAAAAGAGATTTGCACAGAAGTAATATGTTTGTTGTTCCAGATCCCACTGAACAATTCATTACCAAATCTTAAAACCAACAAGTTCTTAACCATTTCTTTACCCAAGTAGTGGTCAATTCTGTAAACTTCATCTTCAGTGAACAATGGGGAGATTTGTTTTTGCAATTCACGGTAAGTTTCCAAATCACGGCCAAATGGTTTTTCAATAATGATTCTGAGTTTACCATCTTTTGGATAGACATTCTTTTTAACTTGTTCACAAACAGTGTGGAAAACAGATGGAGGCAAGGCCAAGTAGAATAATCTTTCTGGAACTTTAACATTGTGTTTGCTTTCATATTCTTGACAACGAGCTTCCAATTTCTTGTAACCTTCATCGGTATCATATGGATCACTGATATAAGAACACAAGTTCAAGAAATCTTCTTTAGTTTTGTCATCACCACCTTTGAAATGGGAGGAAATTCTGTCTTTAAAGTCCTTATCAGACAAATGAGATCTAGCATAACCAATGATTTGAACAGTTGAAGGCAATTGTTTTTCTCTGAACAAACCAAACAAGGCAGGGAAGGTCTTCTTTCTAGCTAAATCACCAGAAGCACCAAAAACGATAATTGTGACACGGTCACCAAAGGAATCATAAGACATGGCTGTAGTAGATAGTTATTAGTACAGATATAAGGTCAATTGAAAAGATATCAATCAATTGGAAGGGTAAAAGGAAGAAATAAAAAAAAAGGGAAAAAGAAAGAGGGAGGGGGGAAATTGAAATTGAAGTTGAAAAAAAAGGAGGGATAATGATTGTAGTTTTTATACTGACGCAGAGAATGTGTGTGTAAAGCAAAGCAACGAAATAAAAAAAAAATTTGCCTTTCTCCGATACAGAAATTGCAGGTGCGAAATTTTTTTTTTTTTTTAGTTTTTTGGTTTTTGGTTTCGTTGAATATTTCGGGAACCAAGGAGGAAGGCAAGTTTTTTTTAAAAAAATTGTTAATTGACATCTTTGAATAGATACACAAAACAGTTCGATAAAGTATGAATTACTAAAAAAATAATAAAGACATTTTGATCCCAAGAATGTATACAAAAAGAATGGGTCGTTTCTACAACGTTTTGCACGGCCCATTTCTGGCGCATATCTCTTGCCTTACACTTGCACCCACACCAGCACCCCTCACGTCGAACTTCCGAGGGAAGTAAAGCCAACGAAAAGAAAAACTGACTATCGATTAGATTCCCTTTGGGCAAGATCCATATGTCCTTGATGCAAATTTAGTTTCTTAACTTAATTTATTGATTTCTAAATCCTCTCAATATCTCTATCTCTCGTCCCCCACCTCGTTTATCTCCACTCATCCATCACCTTTAGCTCCTTTCTACCTGTTTATCTTTATCATTACCGTTTGGCAATTCTCAATTCTCGAACAGATTGACAAAATTATTTGGGTCGCAATTTCTTTGTCGTACATGAATTCTACAGCAATTACAAAATTATTACTAAACAGATTCTTCTCCTACTTTAATTCTTACAAACCAATTATTAAAAAATTACAGAAATAACAACTAAACATAAAATCAGGGGACTTTTATATACTCATTCTAATTCAACCGGATCTCATCATTTCGTCCTCCCTTTCAATCTTACTAAGACAAAACCGACTTGTAAATCTTTTAAATATTATTCAATTCCTCGAAAAAAACATTTCACTTGGTAAGGTTTATATTGTCCATTCTCCGATATGGGATTCGAAGTTTATAAAAACAAAAAGTATAGTTTAAAATACCGGTCGGATTTCGTCCGATTCCAAAACCGCTAATTACTAATGTACTAAGTGCACGTGATTTGTACAAACAAATGACGTTAGCCGGAATTACTCATCAAACAAACTTCCGAACGTTGTGCATATAAAAATTCCGATACCGTTGTTCTTGGGGGAGAGAGGAAAATTAAAGAATTTCCGAAAAGAACATTATTGTGTCTATATCTATAAATAATCATATTCCTTCTTTTGGGGGGTTGTATGTATTATTTTGTATGACTTTAACAGAGTCTATTTAATTATTTATTTGAATCAATATCACTGTCGTGTTTTTGATCTACTTTGGTTTGAGATTTATCTACTGGACCCTTTCCACTACTTTGTTCTCCACTACTTGGGTTTAACTCTTCTTCTTCATCATCACCAATCTTAAACATATCACTTTCATGATCAGGTAAACTTTCAGCATTAAACTCATCAAACAATCTATCTCTTGCTTCATCATCTCTTCTGTCATATTCTCTTTGTCCTTGACCTTGTAATCTTTGATCGTTTCTATTTCCTAAATCAAACGAATCATGATCTTGATCATCTTCTTCATCAGAATCACTATAGTCTTCACCTGGAATAATATCAAATTCATATTCTTCTCTTCTTCTTCTACGACGACCACTTCCTGGTGTCTTGTGGAATTTCATTAATAACAATACAGCCACAAATCCAACAACAGCAATACTCATGAAATAAATTCCTGTATGGTCAGATGATTTAACTTTTGTCTTATCATCACTTTCCTCACCGTCATCAGTTTCGTCTTCCTCTTCTCCTTCTTCTTCTTGTTGTTTATTATCTCCTTCTTTGTTTTGTTCCTCGCTATCTGAATCTGTTTCAGATGGTTTAACATTACTTGATGTGGCAGGTGTGCCTGTTTCATTGGATTTATCTGTGCTAGTTGTTGAATTATCTTGAGATGTTGTGGTTTCTCCATTAGCAATGGATGTTTCTTCACCAACTTGGCCCTCAGTTGTTTCTACCTTGGTTGTTTCTGAGGATGAAGTTGTCTGTTTATCTTCTGGTTTGTCATCACCTTTCTCTAATAATTCTCTTCGAACAGCAGCATAATCTTTTTCCAAGTCATATAACTCAGCTTTATCAGCATCTATGGATTCCCCAAATATTCTAAATTGCCAATCTTTGAAATTGATAACGACATTATCTCCATGAGAATCATCAGCAAATACTTCAACTTTCCATTCACCTAATCCAGATTCACCCCAATGGGCAACAGACATAAATGTCCAATTCTGGAATCCTTTACCCGATGCATCACTTCTTCTAAATGCTGCTAAATCACTGATCACCCCTGTTGGAGATATAATTCTCATACCAACTCTTCCTCTATAATTAGCTTCAATGTTAACCTTAACAGTGATGTGTTCAACTCTTTCAACATTCATAACCTTCAAATCTTTTTCCGTAACTGTAATTGAAGACTTGATAACTTTACTACTATCCTCTTGAGTTTTGATAGAATCATTAACTTCTGTGACATCACTGTAATACCAGGCTTGAGGTTTAACATTCTTCCAGTTTTTGGCAAAGTGAACCATTTGGTATGCATCAGTCTTACCATAACCATATTTGTGAGAATATTTTCTGTTTAATGCGGTGACCTGATAATTACCGTCATCTTCATTTACTGGAGTAGCACTCAACACGGAAATATATTGAACATCTCTCCAAGTCAAATCTGGATTAGCAGACAATACCAAGGAGTAAATACCACTGGCTAATGGAGCAGCAGCTGAAGTACCACCATGGGTAGCAGAACATTTCTTTTTGATATCAGTAGTATGAATATGTTCATTTGATCCTGAGGAATATGTAACAACCATAACGGCAGAACAGGCTTCGGAATATTCTGGATGTAATCCCTTGTGATCAATGGCACCCACAGTAATTGAATAAATAGAATTGGTATATCCATCAAAGTTACAGGAGTCACCAAATCTACCCCCATTACCAGAAGCAAACACATAAAGGGCACCTTTTTTATCACGACCTTCCTGAATACCTTTAATCATGGCTTTCTTAACAATGACCTCTGGTTCTGACAATACTCTACCATTATCGGTAGGACCCCATGAACAAGAATATATATCATTATGATCTAATCCGTAAATCATGGCACTTGCTTCATCTGCAGATGTAATTGGACCAGATAAGATTCTAATACCACTTACTTGAGATTTCCAGGCAACACCAATACCACAAACATCATTTTTCACAGCAGCAATCTCACCTGCACATCTAGTACCATGATAATCATCAAATAATCTAGGTAATGGACTCTTACCATTGTTATTGAAATCCCAAGACCCATCTGCATTAAAATTATCCTTAATATCTTCACTTTCGGCATCAACACCATCATCAACCAAAGCAGTAACTATACCTTGACCTAATATATCTTCTAACCAAAGTCCAGTGGCATTAACATCGTGTCCAGGGTATTTTAAATTGATTAAATGCCATTGTGCAGCGAATTCAGGATCATGAATGTCTAATTCAGAAGAAATCTGAGCTAATTTCTGATGGGCTTTATCCGTTGCTTCGTTATTTTCATCACGAGCAATGAGATCATCATTTTGGTTAATTGATGTGAAATCTTCAAGATCTTCTTCATAGATAGGAACAGGTATTCTTTTTGAAAGTTTCTTAGGTGGTAACATATGTATAGCTTGTACACTTGAAATCAAATCATCATAATGTTCTTCATATCCAACTTCTCTCTTCATTAAATTATATCCATTTGAATTATGGTTCCCCAAGAATGAATTATGTGGATGATTCTTGTCAATACTGAATACATAATAATTATCTAAACTTGGCAACTGATGTTCAAAAGTATAATGATTCTGATATTTGTTAATAAAATCAATCAATGGTTTCTGACTATTTGTAGTGTTTAATTCAACCAAGAAATAATTCTTGCTTTCATAATCTCTCGTTGGAATGATTTCATTTTGAATGGTTGGCGATAATAGATATCCCAAAATTAAAATTAGTAGCTTTATTGGCAACATCGTGATTCTTTTATAATGTCGATTCCACTTGTTGACTATAGCTAAACCTTGGAATATTTCAGATCGATATTAATGAAATAAAGGATGGTTTTTCCTCTGTGGTGAAAAAAAAATGAAAGAAAGAAAGAAAAAAAAAAAAAGAAGACAAACAGGTGTCTCTGTGTGTGTGTGTGTGTGTTTGGGTTGTGGTGGAGATTGTTTGATTTAAAGCGAGTTTTCTCACCTCGACCGTGTCATTTTATTCCTTTTTTTTTTGTTTCGCGCCAGGTCGAACTACACAGTTTTGTAGCACCATCACAATGAAACCTCAACAGAAGCGAAAAAAAATTTTTACCGTCGACGTGGAACTTTAAAAAATAATAAATTTCATTCTCCTTCCAAATTAGGAAATCAATGACAAGTAGTCTTTTTTAAACTATGAAACTCTATATAATAACAAGACAGGAAAAAGGAAAGGGTTCCTTGGTGGGGGTAGTGACAGTTAATTATTGAGTTTTTTTTTAGAATGGAGTCAGTCAATGTAACAGTTTATCAATATAATCACGTGACTTCAACGTATTTTGTCGTGGATGAGACACAAAACGTCATCATTATTTATTGCGAAAAATGGCTTCTTTTTATTTTGATGATTCGAGCACGTGAAGTATGCTCTACATGGGTTTACCTATTTAATCAGTAAATCTATTTACATCAGATGGTGTTTCTTGCGTCTCTTCATCGCTGATGTCACCTAATTCAAACTCTTCAGCTTCAATACTTTGATACATTTGATTCGTATTCAACTCACCATCTTCATTATATCCAACCAATCGTAAATAAAACAAAAGCAATAATTGTATCCAAAGATATATCAAAAATGCTGCTGAAGAAAGAACCAAAAGATATGCAGAATGGTCCGATCCTAAGTCATAAGCCATTTGTAATTGTTCTTCGGTTGCACCCAGAAACGTTACCCCAGCAAGAGTTAAGCAAAATGGTGGGAAATGTTGGAATGACAATATCTTACCGGATGGATCACAAGATTTATCTTTCAACAAAAACAGAATCTCGATAATTCTGGATACCCCAGCAGCAGTCAAGGCAATCCCAAAGAAGGCATGAACTTTAGTAGAAATAGCGAGATGTTGAACATGTCCAGACATAGCGTAACCAGTAAATATCAATAATAATGCAGGAACAAAGGTTCTACGGTTGTTTCGAGACAAATACATCCCCAACAACCCACCTCCCCACCACACTATACCCATAGAAGTGTGCTGAAAGTCCAGCATTCCCCAAGACTCACGGCCCCATCTATGCTCCGTGAATGTATTGACTACACCCCAGATCATCATCACCGTGGAGTCATACATTTCTGGTGAAACAAAACTTGAAGAATTTGTTGATTGCAATTGATGCTTTCTGATCCAAGGAATAATTAACATAACTGACAAAATGAATGAATATACGACAAATGCTGAACCCATGATGAAATGAGCAATACATTGTCCACAATGAACACCATAACAGAAGCCAAATAATGCCACTGGTGCTAACAATACCCTTGCCCAACCTGTCAAAACCACCATGAGAGACAATGCTTTATAAATCTTGTATGATACTCCATATTCGTTGTAATTCTTGGCCAATTTTGGGTAAAACTTGTTAATTACCAAGTTACTACCAGTAATGAACGTGCCAACAAAGACAGTAACACCTAACAAAATGCTAAGGAACCATGATGTACCTTTGGAAGTTCGATTTTCATGGTTATCAACATTATCAGGGAAAGGCAAAAACAATGATTCGACAATACTGTAGGCAGTACAAATATACTGTAAAAGGACAGACCAATGAACTCTATTAGCAAATGCTAAACAAGCACTTATAGATGTTAAAATCAATAACATGAATAAAGTCAAAATCCAATGAAAAGCTTTTGATCCGGCATTAATTGGATGGAATTCTGGACGATCACCAGAATCCATATCCATATCTCCATCCCCAAGGACAAAAGTAAATATGAAAAAAAGCAGTAATAATGTGAATTGAGTAGTCTTTCTCATATTTAGGGGGGTGTCTGGTAGAAGAATAAATAAATAAAAAAAAGGAAAGTATCAATTGAAAATAAAATCACGGATATTAATGATAATTTAGTGTCGCGTCAGGAACAAAAATGGCAATCTATTATTTTTCTTCCATCAAATTAAGAGCCGTGGTGAGTTATTGGCCGGAACATCTGGAATAATCTCGGAATAGGTTTATGTGCAAGTTTAAGCAACTAAAGTACAAAAAAGAAAATTAGCTACTTCATTACCATCAAACTTTACTAATTATGTCTTTCACTGTGTAGTACTATATGATCTTACGACTATTCAAGGTTGCAAATAAATAAGATATTGATAATGATCCATTTCAAGCAGATCATTTCTTTCATTCTTTGTTGAGGCATTGCCGTGTACAAAAACAAAATTATTATTCTCCACAAACTGAGATGTGTCACGTGGATTTCGCGTGACACATCTTATCTAAATGCATCAACCACTAAGACAAAAAAAAAAATAGCTCTACTGGATATTTTATTCATACTGTAATATAACCACTACAAATGTTTACAAAAGTGGATATCAATTCTTCTACTAATAACATTAAAAATAAAGTCTGTGGCAAATTTGATAAGATCTTATCTCGGCTCTCAGGAAGTTTTCTCGCTATCGCGCGGTCACAGATACTCACTGATAATTAGAAAAAGAAACTCTGCTCTCAATTTCTTTCTCTTTTTTCTCTCTTTTTCTTCTTCTTTTACTCTTCCTATCATCCACTTCGTATCTCCATCAGACATGGGCTTTACTAACGAAACTCAAGCCTTACTTGGAGGCGATTCCTTGTCATGCTTGAATAAGAAAAAGTCCAACACCAAGAGAAACTTATCCTACTTTCTCAACATCATAACTGTATCTATCATTGCATATTTATGTTTTTTCTCAACTAATAACAACAACAAGAAGAATGCTCCACCAACAGTAGATCCTCATAAGAAAAAGAATATCATCATGATGGTCACCGATGGTATGGGACCTGCCAGTTTATCCGCAGCCAGATCATTCAGACAGTTCCGTGATAAACTTGCCATCAACGATATTTTAACTCTTGATCAGTATCTTATTGGATCTTCAAGAACCAGATCATCCAGCAGTTTGGTGACAGATTCTGCTGCCGGAGCCACTGCATTCTCATGTGCCATGAAATCATACAATGGTGCCATTGGTGTTGCCTCAGATAAATCCCCATGTGGTACCATTTTAGAAGCATTGAAGTTGCAAGGTTACTATACTGGTTTAGTTGTGACTACTAGAATCACCGATGCCACTCCAGCTGCATTCAGTTCTTACGTTGATTACAGATTCCAGGAAGATTTGATTGCCCAACACCAATTGGGAGAGTACCCATTTGGCCGTGCCGTCGATCTCATTTTGGGTGGTGGTAGATGTCATTTCTTGCCTGCCTCTAAAGGCGGATGCCGTGGTGATGATAGAGATTTGATTGAAGAGTACAGCAAAACATGGCAATATGTTGGCGACAGAGAACAGTTCGACCAGCTTCAAGGCGGTAAAAATGTCTCCTTGCCATTATTGGGTTTGATTGCCAATACCGACATTCCATATGCTATTGATCGTAACGAAACAGAATACCCATCGTTGGCAGAACAAGTAAAAGTTGCCTTGACTGCGTTGTCAGATGCTACCAAGGATTCGGACCAAGGGTTTTTCTTGCTCATTGAAGGGTCCAGAATCGACCATGCAGGACACCACAACGACCCTGCTGCCCAAGTTAGAGAAGTGTTGGCCTATGACGAAGCGTTTGAAGAAGTCATCAAGTTCATTGACTCCAGTGATGTGGAAACTGTTGCTATTTCTACCAGTGACCACGAAACCGGTGGTTTGGTTGTTGCCAGACAAGTTTCTGAAAACTATCCAGATTACTTGTGGTATCCAGAAGTGTTATTGAACAGCACCCATTCTGGTGATTACTTGGCTCACAAGATTGCAGACTACAAGAACAAAGACGATTCTACTAAGCTCACAAAATTCATCAAACACGAAATTTTGGAAAATGTTTTGGGAGTCAGTGACTACACTGATAAAGAGGTACAAGCTATTCTTGACAAGGCCAATGATCCAGCTAACTTGTTGTATGTGTTGAACAATATTGTGTCCCTCAGGGCGCAAATCGGATGGACCACCCATGGCCACTCTGCAGTTGATGTCAATATCTATGCTCACACCAATTCTCCTGCCATCAAAGCCAAATTGGAATCAGCCCGTGCATACCATGGATTAACAGGAAACCATGAAAATATTGAAATTGGTGCTTTCATGGAAGAAATCACCGGATCAAGTTTGAGTCGTGTGACTGAATTGATCAGAAAAACCGAACACTCACCAAGTAACAACAACAACAAAGAGGTGTTTAATGCTGATGCCTTCCATGGTAATGTTTAAATAGGTGATTGATGATGATATAGATTAGTGAATATATGCCTTAGTTATGATTGTCTAATAGTAGTTTTTATTCTAGAAATTGTACAAAATTTGTTCAATAAATTACTGATTATGAGATAGCACTTTATCTTGATAGTAATTACATCACAAAGCCACTACCTTTATATCAATTGTCCATATCTACTGGAATATTTTCTGATTAGAAATTATAAAAATTCAACAAATGAAATGATGTCCAACTTTGATTATGCAATTCCGCACCGATTGCGCACTATCAGAAATTCAAAAAGAAAAGTTTATTAATAAGCAGTGTATGCAATGAGATACGCGAAGTGAAAAAAAAAAAATAGTCATTCCCTATACCATTCTTTATCTAGCTTCAACACAATCAACTATGAGTGCAATACTATCAGCAGATGATCTTAATGATTTTATATCACCAGGTGTAGCATGTATTAAACCACTTACAGAGGATAACTCCAAAGATGAAAACACTACTTTTAATGAAAATGGAGAAGTTGAAATTCAGATCGATGATCAAGGGAATCCATTGGAAATATCACAAATTGATGGCAAACAAACAAATCTTTCACCTGCACAAATATCCTTATCTGATTGTCTAGCATGTTCAGGATGTATTACTTCAGCAGAAGAAGTTCTTGTTGCTCAACATTCCCACCAAGAATTGGTAAATGCTTTGGAGAATCGTGGTGACAGAGTTTTTGTGGCAAGTGTTTCTCAACAATCTAGAGCATCTTTAGCATTAGCATATAATTTATCCATGGATGATATTGATAAATTGTTGATTAATTTGTTTATTCACCAAATGGGGTTCACATATGTTGTGGGGACATCATTGGGAAGAAAATTATCTTTGATCAACGAGGCACAGAGTTTGATTACCAAGAAGGAAAATAAAGAATTAAATAACGGTCCAGTATTATCATCTATATGTCCAGGTTGGGTTTTATATGCAGAAAAGACACATCCTTATGTGTTGCCACGAATCTCAACGGTTAAATCACCTCAACAAATCACCGGGTGTTTATTGAAATCATTAACTGCATCGTCGTTACAAATCCCCAAATCAAAGGTATACCATGTGTCTATCATGCCATGTTTCGATAAGAAATTAGAGAGTGCCAGACCAGAAATCTATGATACTTCAGAGGAATCTGTTCCAGATGTCGATTGTGTATTGACAGCAAAAGAATTAGTCACTTTGATTGAAGAACAATCTCCAAAGTATCTGTTACTACCTGAAGATAAGATATCATCAATTTTGCAAATCAATACACCAATGAGTGAAATTTATCAACGTTGTGCTCCTCCAAATTGGCCCTTTATAGAATATTCATGGTCAAATGACCCAGGGTCTGCATCTGGTGGGTATGCATATAATTATTTGAAAATATTTCAAGAAAACTTACTCGTGAAAGGTGGTTATGACGCGGAAAAGTTTATGTTACAGACAATTAATGGAAGAAATCCGGATATTTATGAGTTACGATTGATGTATAATGGCGAGAAGTTGGCTAGTTCGGCTGTCGTTAATGGATTTAGGAATATTCAAAATTTGGTTAGAAAGTTAAAACCAACCGCTGGAGGTAAATCAACTGTTAAGTCAAATCCACTTGCAGCAAGAAGAAGAGCTAGGATTTCTACAAGAGATAAATCTGATACTTCAGAAGAAACAGCCGACGCATCTAAAGTTGATTATGTTGAAATCATGGCATGTCCAAATGGATGTATCAATGGTGGTGGTCAGATCAGTGCTCCTTCAACCATCGCAGAGAAAGAATGGATCAGTGAGGCATTGTCAAAGTATAATCAAGTCCCAATGTTTGATTTAAGCTTGCATCCAAATGACATTGAACAGTTTATATTGTGGAGTAACTTGTTTGAACAGGAAAACAATATCAGTAATGATAGACTCTTCAAGACCCATTTCAATGCAGTTGAAAAGCCTACTGATCCTGCTGCTATCCTTGTAGGATCAAAATGGTAGTTCATAAATTTAATAGGTTAATTAATAATATATACAGTGTCAGGTTTATTTATTACAGGTACAAATGTCGTCATCGTACTCGATGTCGTACGTGTGTATGTCGCACTCAGAAAAATTACAGCCAATGAGATAATTTTGTTTTTCTCTTACAACCCAAGAAAATATGGAGGGGTCAATCAGAAAGAGAGAAAAGAAAAAGTTTTCAAGCCCAAAAAAAAAAAGAAAACAGACCAATAGAGTTGTATCATTCACCCAAGGTCAACAGTTCTTTATATTATTATATATTCAATCTCCCCGCTATTTATTTATTCATTCTAACCAACCTTCAATTCAACTACCATCACCACCATCACTACAACTGTACTATTATTCTTTTGATTACATTTTATAGAACTAAAGAATTACAAATAACCAAGAACTAAGATAATCCAGAAGAGGAAGCAAACAAGAAAAATGTTCAGATCAATCATAGCATCATCTAGTTCCACTAGACCTATACTTTCCAAGTCAACCACTCGTTTCTTATCCACCACCAGTCCACTTTTAAAACCAGCATTGGCTCCAGAAGCTAGTGAATATTTGGCTACAGGGGGTTCTACTCATGCTTCCCCAACAAAAGGATTCAGACTTCCAAAACCAAAGACTTGGGAAGAATCTCATGAAAGTGCTTTATCTAAAGCCACCAAGTTTTTCTTTTTAAGTGAAATTGCTCGTGGTATGTACATTTGTATGGAAATGTATTTCAGATCACCATATACCATTTACTACCCATTTGAAAAAGGTCCAATTTCTCCAAGATTCAGAGGTGAACATGCATTGAGAAGATACCCAAGTGGTGAAGAAAGATGTATTGCTTGTAAATTATGTGAAGCTATATGTCCTGCTCAAGCTATTACTATTGAAGCTGAAGAAAGAATTGATGGTAGTAGAAGAACTTATAAGTATGATATTGATATGACAAAATGTATTTACTGTGGTTATTGTCAAGAATCTTGTCCTGTTGATGCTATTGTTGAAACTCCAAATGTCGAATATTCTACTGCTACCAGAGAAGAATTATTGTATAATAAAGAAAAATTATTGGAAAATGGTGATAAATGGGAACAAGAATTACAATATTGTATTGACGCTGATGCTCCATACCGTTAAGAGTATTTCAACTACCAACAAGAAAAATAAAAGTTTTCAGGTTTTTCTAATTTAATAACTTTCATTTAGTTTTATATAGCATTAATGTAACGATTCGTTCTTTTTTTTTATTTAATATTATTATTAATAATTATAAAATCTACATCTGAAGATTCTCTAGGTTCCTTATTTTTTTTTTCGTTTTGGAATATATATTTGAATAACATACACAAATAATTAGTTTCTGTTAATTAAAAAAAGGAAACATAAGTTTAGTGAATAAGTAAGAGTAAGGAATAGTTACCCCTAATTGGTGCAAGCAAAAAAGAAAGAATTATCCTCCTTTCACAAACACGTAATGACAATTGAATAGTAAATAATAATAGTAAAAAAAAAAAAAAATGATAAATGATGAAATAATACTTGGGAATGGGGGAGGATTTTTTGTAGACGGGAGATTATCATGAAAATTCAACAAAAAGAAGTAGAATCAAACAAAAGAATTATAAAAAAAAATTGACAATATTTAAATCAAACAACAATAATAATAAAAAAACCACAAATAATAACCTCATTTTTCTCTAATACCTTAGTCTTCTCTGTATATGAATCTCTGACTCCCTTACAAATATTAACCCATTTATTGAACTTGAGAGTAACCAGTGAATGGATTAGCATTCTTAGATTTCAAGTATTCATCGGATTGTTCTTGCCATTCTCTAGTCATGGTGTGTGGTTTTGGACCAGCTAATTGTCTAATACCAACGAATAAAACAATAGAAGCAATAACGGTACCAAAAGTTAACCAGAAAACTTTAGCTCTTTCACCTGGAAGATACAATGGAGTTCTTGGACCCCATTCACCAAAAGAAATATAATAAGCAGCTTTCTTTTCAGCTGGAGTCAATTCTTGCCATGGTAATTCCATTCTAGTTTTCAATTCTTCTATTAAGTTTTGTTGATCTTTTTCTGGTAATTTGCTCCATCTGGCTTCCAAGTTACCAATGTAGGCATTGGATAAAGATCTTGGGGCAGTTTTGGCAACAGTACTGTTGAATCTGATGGCAGTGTTAGATCTAACTGCAGCTCTTTGCAAAGATTTCATAAACATGATTGGTCCTGTTGTGTATTATGTTAGTAAAAGAAAAAACGTATTCCCTATTAGAATTATTTAAACACTTCAGAAAATTTTCAAATGGTTTTATATATCGCATGTTTTTTTTTTTCTTTTTTCTTTTCTTCTTCTGGTGAGTGAGTGAGTGAGTGAGATGTTATTAGTAGAAACTTTGATTGGCTAAAGGACCACCAGAACAAAGGGAAAAAATGGTTCTGGGACGACCTCAACATGCCATGGGGTTTGAACTTGTTTAGCAAGACCAGGCATGAATACTCCTGTAACCAAAAGACAACTCAACGAGTGACGATAAGTCTACCATGTAGATACAACGAGTTATTGAGTTTAATGAATGTGCATCGACTTATGATCTAGTCCACTAATTGGAGATTACTTACTCTATTTAATCTTGGAATATCTTCATGGTGGGAATAATCAAATCTGGTATTTAGTAATATCCTCTTGTCTCTATTCTTCATTAAAATACTAAGATACAAATCATCACTGTAATCAACCCACTTTTTTCTAGTCCAGTTCATCTTAAAAAAAAAAAAATGATGAAAACAACCCAGTCAAGTTTATCCTAGAGAAAGAAAGAAAAAAAAAGTTGGATCTTGTATTCTCCAAATTCTATTTCAAGAAGTGTGTGCTGTATTATTCACATACCTATAGTTGTTTAATGTTCAAACTTGATTAAGTAAATAGAAATTGACTCAAATGTCACTTGTCTGACAGTATATATATATTTTTTTTTTGTCTTAGAAAGTTGAGAAATTTTTTCATCTCCCAATTTAGATGATTTGCGATTGGTAAAAGAAGGTTTTGGGAACAAGAGGTCGTGCACTGCCAGTACTACAATATTTAATCAGGTCATAATTTTTCTCCATTTTGATACATATATAAACAACTAAAAACAACACCGGTATTATTCTATAAACTATTTATTATATTTAATAAAAACTAGGGATCTTTTCAATTGAGCATCATTGATTTCTTCAACAGTGACTTCAAACTCATTAGTCTTGATTTTGTTAAAGTAGTTTAAAAATTCAATCAATGATCCACCAACACCAAAATAAATATTCTTTGCTGCAACTAATGCTCCAGATGATTGGGCTGTAGATTTAGAAAGGATATCTTTAATTGATTCAGCTACTATTGGTAAAGTCTCTGGTGAGTAAATAGTCTCGGAACTGATCATGAAATCAACATCATCATTTGCAACCAATTGGTTAAACTCTTTACCCCAAGCACCAGAAATGAATTTCAAATCAATATTATATTCCAAGAGATCATTCTTGAATTGTTCAAGTAATCTTGAAGTGAAAAACAACTCGTCATTGTTGAAACGAGGAACGTCTTCACTGGTCACCAAACTGTGCAATTGTTCAACAGGTAAAGTGGACGCCCAATGTGTAATGATATTTGGTAATGTTACTAATCGAAGAACATCAAAATTGAAATCAGACAAGATTAATTTTAATGATTGTTTATTCTGTAGTTGTAATTTTTTCAAAAGGATAAAACAAGATGGTAATGCCGTTCCACAACCAAGCTCTAAAATACTTTTATTTTTCAATTGATCATTTTCAATCAAATATGATAATTTATCAACAGTATCATATGAACATTCCCAACTTTTGAACCCCCCTTCATATACATTTTTCTGTAAATCATTATTGTTTTCATCAATAAGAAGTTCACTCAATTTAGAATTGTCTCCTTCATCTTCAGTCATGATCTGATGCTTGACATCAAATAATTCTCTTCTGTATACAATATTCCCACCGTTAGTGGTATAATTATCTAATGTGATTCTGACATTCTGTAAAGTAGATAATAATGAATCTAATGAATGTTCTTTCGGAAGATTTTCAGGACTAATCTGTAAGGAATCTAAGGCAGATTTTTCAGTGGTACTTCCTTTATTTTGTGCAGAAGTGATTGGTTGTATATGAGATGATTCATCTAATTCATCATCACTAAAGTCGTCTTTTGAAAATCCAAATGAAAATGACATTTTAATTGATATAGTATTTTACAGGATAATATGATAAAAAAGAGGAAGACAAAATCTTAACAGTCTCATCTCATAATCAGTATAGACACGAAAAAAAAAATTACAATGAAGAAGACGGGTGTGCGTGTACCAATAGTTGAATGAATTTTGATAGAACTCTGGTTTTAAATGAAGGTATTTAGTCATTAGTTTTGAAATTAAGTTCATAATTAGAAATAAGAATTGAGCAATTGATTGATGGCTTTGATGCAGATTATTGAAATTAATCTAAAATATGTGTGTTATTTATACTCATACATTGTACAAAAGCATGTTATTCATTAGCGGATTGGAATAAGAAACATTTTCCATCATATTTCCTCAAACCCTAAGTCTGATGACTCTTAGTACTGCTCATTTAGTAATTTATACATCCCATCATCGTATCATGAGAGTTGACAGTTGTCCCCCATTTCAAGTATTTAAACCATGAATGTGCCACGAGTGCGGGAAACGGAGCGAATTAAACTAACGACAAAAAAAAAAAAGATTCGAAAACAAAACAAAACAAAACAAAACAATTCCAATATCCTCTACTCACAATTACACACACACACACGCTTCCCATTGGGTATCAATTTTATTTACTTTACACGACGGTAAATTGTCACCCAACTACCAACATTAAAATTGTTGCAAATTATAATCTAACACTAGGATTATTTTTTTAACATATTCTTTACAATTATTGATTAGTATTATTGCTAGCTTACGTCTTCAACTTGACAACCTCAAATGTCTCATAACAACGATATTGTCCTTATAGATTCAAGTTCGGACGAAGATGAAGTACAACAGAATGCTAAAAGGTTTAAGCCAGATCCAGAACTGAATACTTACTCAAATAATAAGTCAAATAATGGGAAGTTTTCCATTGCTCCATTCCAGGAAGTATCCTCTTCTTCTTCTTCTTCTGAAAATGAGGATGAGGACGAAGACACCTACGGCGATAGCATACAACATCCAATTATGCTAGTTGATAGTAACAACACACCACGAGCATCTCAAAATGGTGGTGACGATGATGATGGAGATGATGATGGAGATGATTCAGAGGGGTTGACACGAACATCTAACCGTGCGCCACTTGCTTCAGAGATAACACAAGAACACGAACCAATTTACATATCTAGCGGAGATAGTGATAACGATGAATATGACAGTAGTTCATCTGATGACTTAGAACCTAATTTTGATTTTGAAGATGTTCCACCTGAAGTAGTGGCTGAAACCAGAAAGTATCTTAAAGCCCATGGTAATATCAAGTTTCTTGAAAAATATTTACCCACAGCAGCATCTGTCGAGCATATAGTTAGATTAATTTTGAGATTAGGATTTGTGCCGAAGAATTTACCGACACCTGATAGTTCCAATATAATGGAATATATCAGGATACTAAACCATGCAATGTTGAAGGTGAAGTCCATACGAAATCGAAGAGAAGATGTGACTACATTAGATGATGCTTTAGAGTTGATTGCTAAATCCAATAAGATTCTTGTAATTACAGGTGCTGGGATATCAACAAGTTTAGGTATACCCGATTTCAGATCTTCTAAAGGTTTCTATTCAATGGTTCAACATCTAGGGTTGAGTGACCCACAAGAAGTTTTTGATTTGGAATTATTCCATATTGATCCAAGTTTGTTTTATTCAATTGCTCATATGATATTACCCCCAGAAAAAATGTTCAGCCCCATGCATTCATTTATCAGAGTGTTACAAGATCATGGTAAGTTATTGCGAAATTATACCCAGAATATTGACAATTTGGAAAGTTATGCAGGAATTAGTAAAGAGAAATTAGTTCAGTGTCATGGATCTTTTGCCACAGCAAGTTGTGTAACATGTGGATACAGAATCAATGGAGAGGATATTTTTGATAAGATTCGAGCTAAGGAAATTCCTCTTTGTCAACAATGTACTAAACACAAGACTGATATATTAAAACGAGACGAAGATTATTACTTTGCTGATAGTTATGGTGTTTTCAAACCTGATATAACTTTTTTTGGAGAAGCTTTACCAAGTAACTTTCATGATCATATTAGAGAGGACATTTTAGAATGTGATTTATTGATTTGTGCTGGTACTTCTTTAAAAGTTGCACCTGTAAGTGATATCGTTGATAAAGTTCCCGAAAAGATTCCCCAGATATTGATAAATAAAGATCTGATAACCCATTGTAATTTTGATGTGAGTTTATTAGGGTATTGTGATGAGGTTGTGAGTTATGTGGCGGATAAATTGGGGGTTGAATGGGATTTACCCCATAAAGATTACAATTCAATTAGAGGAGAGAATGGACAAAACTTGGAAGTAGAACTATTGGATACAACTTTAAGAGAGTATCATATTTTTGACAAGTCCAAAGTAGCGGAAGAACCAGACAAAGAAGAGGTGAAAGAGGTTGCACCAGAAAAGGAAACGGATGGTTCCGATGTTCAACTTGTAAGTGGTGAAATAACCATTGAGAATACTCCAATTGCTGATGAGAATGTCCCATCAAATGGTCTTCGAGAAAACACTCCATTTCTGTAACAATACTCTTTATTAATACGTGTTTATTATAATTAATGACAGTGACGTATAACTATGTGTAAACTACTAGTACTCTAAACATTATAAGCAGCGATAATAAATGATAAAACAAAAGAAATCTTAAAACTTGGTTTTTCAAAGAATAATTGTTTTAAATTGATTCTTTCTTTTCCAATGGTGATGAAATAATTCCATGGAATGGTAATGATATTCCTATTTTCCAAAAATTCAAGCAAGAAATAAGATGACAATGAGACAAAAACTATAACTTGAGATAATTTCCCAATTATAATACCCAAGAATAAACCAACAACAGAACCAATAGTTAATTCTTCATAGTTTAAATATCCATTAAATCTTGATTTTTTGAATGGTTGCTGGATTTCAGATTTGACTTGTTCTACGTTGACTGATGGCAATCTTGATTGGATTTGTGTTGCAGTATCATTATGAATCTTCTTGCTGAATGCAGATAAGATCAAGAATGAAGATCCCGCACTAGCAAATAATAGCTTGAATGTATTAGAACTTGAAGAATTATATGAAGCTCTTTGAACTCTGGCAATTGGTTGAAAAGTATTGTTGAATTTCAAGAATTGATATTTTGGGGTTGCACGTGAACTGATTGATCTTACAGATCCAAAAGATCTTTTTAAAATACCTGGAAGAAACAGTGAATTGACAAACATTAGTGTGATACGAATTGAATAAATAGATTTAGAAATTAACAACAACAATAAATGAAAATAATAAAGAAGCAATTGATGTTGGTTTTAGTTTTTTTTTTTTTTTTGGTGATCGTTTCGGTTAATTGTGAAATTTTGTTTATGATAGCAACCCGAAATTGTTGGGGAGCTTTTCCATTTAGTGGCATATTTTTATTGTTGTTGTTGTTGACTGTATTAATTTTGGCCAGGACACGAACAACCATAAACGATAGACAAAATTGACCTGAGAAATTAATCTCATCTCTTGATTATATCTCCACCATCGATCCATCAACAACCAATAGATACACATACAAAAGAAAATGCCATCATCAAAACGAGCTTCCGATATATCACCATCCGAACACCAACTAGACTCGAAGAAGATCAAACTAGACTATAAAAATCTAAAGCCGATGCAAACATTATATGTGAAGAACTTAAACACCAAGATCAATAAACAAATAATGATTCATAATTTATACCTTCTACTTTCTGCATTTGGTGATGTCATTTCTATAAATTTAAAACGTGGGTTTGCGTTTGTCATATTTGCAAGTACCAACCTGGCGAGTCTTGCATTGAGAACATTACAAAATGAAGAATTTTTTGACAAACCCCTTGTTTTGAACTATGCTGTTAAAGAATCTAAATTGATAAGTCGTGCAAAGAATGAGATCCTACGAAACGAACTCGGTAATGTCGAGTCTAAAGGAGAAGACGAAGATGATATACTTCCGCTGTATGAATAGGTTCAATATCAAATGTATTTAATACTAATATATACAACCTATTTCAATTGCAAGGCATCCTTAAATGACCCAATTACACAATCAGGTACACCAAGTCCTTCACCAAAGACAGTTCCTCCAAATGAAAGTTTGTAGTCTTGTTTAATTATGTTATCAACATTAGATTTGGTTTCTTGATAACCCAAATTGTATTGCGGTATACAATTGACATGTAAATTATAGGAGATAATTAAATCATCGTCCTTCATGTTATCAAGTTCCAATGGTTCTCCCTCTTTTATAACTCTGATATTAAACTTTGACAAGTCGACTTTTAATTTCGATTCCAAAACCTTCTTTACAATACTCAAATTCACACCGTTTGAGGGAATTGACCAATGGGTATAATAATGACCACCCATCATAATGGTGATTTTATTGTTAGCCAGAACAACTGGTTTTACTCCAGTAAACAACCCTTCGACATTATTTTCCACATCAGAATCATAAATTGTTCCCAATAATGCATCTTCATTTTGAGAAATTTTTCTATACCTAGGACACAAGAAACCAAATCCTTGTTTTCCTTTTGGAATTAATCCTGGAGTTTTTGTATAAACGTTGGTTAAAAAAATACTGGCATATTGTATGGACTTTAATTCTGGAACGAGTGGATTTGTTGGAGGTAATGTCTTAGCCAATCCATGGGTGTTTATAGTTGATCTTATGTGATCAAATTGTTCACCGTTAACTTTCCCCGAAATTGGGTCCACGCTATCGATAGAACAGTTGTAAACAATATTAGTATTAGTATTATTGACTAAATAAGATGCCAAGTTCTTTGGGAACACTTCCATACCATCATGAAATTTAATCATAGGGTAGTTCTTTAATTTCTTTTGCATATCAAGCAATCCTGCGTTCGGAGAGATCAGTTTCTCATACTCTTGTAACTCCATAGACAATTCCTCTCCAGACTTTGGCTTTGATTTTGATTTTGATATAGATTTGAAAATATGTTTAATAATAGAACCAGATTGGTTTTCTGCATCTTTCAAGAAAGGTAATATACTTTTAATACTCAATTTTCCAACATCTCCAGCATAAATCCCATGAACCACTGCACTCAATACATTATCGGTCAACACAGTACTACCGAGTCTTCTTTTGAAAAACTGTTCTATTGTTTCATCTTCCTTCAATGGCTTTATAAATGGTTCTTTCAATACCCCAAATACCATATTACCATCCACAAATTTAACATTCTTGGCAAAATTCAAAGCAGTACTAACGGAATCAGGTACTTGCACAATTTCACCCGATGAGTCAAGTATATATTTTTTATTTGCAGTACATTTATTACTAAGTACTTCAACTTGAGCTTCTTGACCCAATTGTCGAAGTATATCAATCATAAGCAATGTCCCATCTTTTACCCCACGTAATGTACGAGGACCTTTTTCAAGAACAATTGATTTATGTGTATCCTTGATTGATAATGAGGGAGAAAACATCCATCCACCTGGTCTTCCTTGTTTCTCGAAAATGGTGAATTTAATATCTGGACGATACTTGGATAAGAAATAAGTGAATGTTAATCCCAGGACACCTGCTCCTAAAACAGCCACCTTAGCATTCTGGGGTAGTTTGGCTAATGTCATATGTAGTTAAGTTAAAGGATAACAAATATAAATGAAAACGAATGTGTATGTGTATGAAAAGAAACTAGATATTAAATATTAATTAGAAATAAACAACTTCCGATTGGAGAGAAAGAGAGAGAGAGAGAAATGCTCCGATGTTGGGGGTTTTCTTTATACGCCAAATTTTTTTTTTGGGCGAGTTTCGTTTCCTGTCATACCATGTCGTTTAGCTTTGAGATTTAGTTCCCAAGGCTTACATTCCATAAACATGTAAAAGGGGAACATTTGCTGATCCTATGTGAATGAGTATAATCTTTTGAAACAATAAGCTCAGTATCTCGTGGTTCTTCATAAACTCAGATCAGGTTTGCTGTTCTTTTTGATATTAAAAATTCTGAATATAGTTTGTAACTAGAATCAAAGAAATGATTTATTAAAGTTATTAAACTGCCAACAGTAGTATTCTAAATGTGTAGTACCATTACTTAAGGGTCAATATTGCGTGTTAGATTTTGCACCTCATCGCAGGAGCAGAATAGTAAAGACGGCGAGAGAAAAAAAAAATCACTATAGAATGAAAATATCTTTATCAGGGCATCTTAACAATTACTATTAACTCATCTGAGCAAACACTTCAAAAGAGACAATGGCTAAAAAGAAGTCGAATTCATCAAACGCAGCACAAGTTTTGGAATCTTCTGTGTCTCCTATTTTGGAAATCAATTATGCAGACCCATTATTCACTGTTGCTGCACATCCAACCAAACCCATTCTAATATCAGGTCAAGTCACAGGTCATGTATTCTGTAATACCTATGACGGTGAAAAATTGGAAGAATCAACACAAGCAAAGAGAGAAGAGTATAATCAACGTGAAAGAGATTCTTATTCAAAGGGAAAGATCCCTCATGTCAATAAATCAGTTTCGCAACTGAAATCGAAATGGTGGACTGTTATTCAAGATAATACAGAAATCGCCAAAGATGATGATTTGATCAAGACAAATTGGAAAACCAAACGTCACAAGGGTTCATGTAGACATGCTATTTTTGAACCGTTAGAAAATTCAGTTGGTGAATTCATCTATACTTGTGGAACTGATAATATCATCAAGAAGGCTGCCACTGAAACCGGGAAAGTTGTGGGAAAAGTAGATGCCCTGTCTGATTACTCAAATAGGAAGGATGCTTTGACCAAGCTTTGTCATTCCACCACTCACCCTTTCTTGTTATCGGGTACCGAAGATGGGCATGTTTTAGTGTATGATAGTTCCAACTTGAGTTCCAATAAATTGAAATTTAAAGTCAACAATGCTCATGATGATTCTATAAATCACATACTTGCCATGCCTGCTGTTTCTGCATATCACTATCTAACATTAGGATCTACCACATTATCTCATATTGACATCAGAAAAGGGATCATCACTCAATCAGATGACCAGGAAGACGAGCTTTTATCAATGTGTTTCCCAAGTACTGAAATAGCTGAAAAAAATGATACTGTTTTGGTTACCCATGGAGAAGGGATAATTAGTGTTTGGAAAAATTCCAAGAATAAGCTTATGGATCAATTGACTCGTGTTAAGGTTAACAAATCTGCATCTATCGACGCTATAATTCCTACCATGAATTCAGATGATGATAGCTTGGCCCATTCAGTTTGGTGTGGTGATAGTGAAGGTTTGTTACACAGAGTAAACTATAAAACAGGCAAGGTTGTTGAAACCAGATTGCATTCCGTATCAAAAGGTAAATATGGTGCTGTTGATGAAGTTGGTATTTTGGACATCGACTATGACTATAGGTTAATTAGTGCTGGTATGGATACTTTGAAAATATGGTCTAATGTTGAAGTCGATGATGAAGAGATGAGTAGTGATAACAGTGATGATGATGATGATGATGAACAAGATGATAATGCTGAAGATTCCTGGACAGATACTAGTTTGAGTGATAACTCTGATGGTGAACCTTCATCAAATGATGAAGTTGAAAAAGATGACGAAGACGAACACGAGGAAGTAGAGGAGAAACACGATACTTTACATAAAAGAAGAACTGATCTTTCAGAGATTATTTCCAAACCAAAGAGAAAGCTTATCAATATCAACAAATTGACTAAATCCAGCCAAACTTCACCATCTGAAGAAAGTGATAATGAAGATCAACCAGCAGAGAAAAAACAGAAAATCAAAGAAAAGAAATTAACTACAAAGCAATTACGCAACATGCAAAAACATGAACATGGTATCCGAAAATTTGAAGGATTGTAAGTAGATATGTGTATGTTGTAACGATTATATCGATTGTAGTAAACCATATTTAGAATTACCCATCAAAAGTGTATCGTTTCTGTACCTGCTATGATATCTCGTAATTACTCCTGGTCATTATTACGTAGGTTTTGAATTTTTTGTTGCTCGCTTTTTTCTTTTCCTTCTGTCTGTCGATTGCATTACGGTTCTTAGTCAACATCATTTTCTATCACCCATCGTTATCACATTGATACACACAATTAGCAACACAACTATACAACATACTGTACTAATAACAATCAATACGAAGAGACATATATACATACATTTACATTCATATAGCATTATCCATCCTCCTGTACATTACCTTCAATTTTTTTTTTTGTTAATAACTTTTATTTGAAGGAACCACAGGCAGTAATTTAATCATGGATAACATCTTTACTGTCAATGACGTTGTCCTAAACAGACGAGGTTATCATATTCCTGGTACACTTTACTTGTCATCATTTCATTTGGTATTTGGTTTTAACCCCAGCCCCACGTCAACATCAGGAGCAAGACCTAAAGAAATATGGATATGTTATCCTATGATAGAAAGAATTTCAAAGGCAAGAGGCTCCTCGTGGATTAATAATATCAATGGCACAAATAATAAGAATAACACCAATGGTTCTGTTATTGAAGAACCTCCAAAAATTACATTGGATGGATTTGATCATTATAGTGCCTCACACATTAGATTACAATGTAAGGATTTCACATATTATTCTTTTGATTTCATGAATGATTTGATATGTACCGAATTATTTACAAAATTGAGTTCACTTATCACTTTATCAAAGACAGAGAATGACATAAAACAATTGTATGCATATGAATATAGACCAAATATGTTGGAACAGAAGTTGGAACCCAAGGGCTGGGACATCTATGATCCAATTGAGGAGTACACTCGATTAGGTTTAATACAGAGTGATGATACTTATTGGAGAGTTACAGATATAAACAATGAGTATAAGTTTTGTCCTTCGTATCCAAAGGTCTTGTTGGTTCCGAGCACCATATCTGATAATGTTTTAAAACATGCTAGTAAGTTCAGGTCTAAACAAAGAATACCAGCAATTGTATATAAACACAAGGGAAATCTCAATGGGAATGTTATTGCCAGATGTGCTCAGCCATTAGTTGGTTTGAATATCCAAAATAGATCGATCCAGGATGAAAAATTGATTGGTGAAATATTTCTGTGTCAAGAACGTGAGAGAAGCGATAGGATAAATGCAGTTGATGAAGAACTGGGTTTCCAGCTGCAACAGCCACAAAGAAATTTATTGGTTGATTTGAGACCTATTACAAATGCTATGGCACAACATGCATTGGGTGCGGGTACAGAGAATGTGGATAACTACCGAGGTAGACCAAGTGGTGGCAGTACTTCCTCAATCACAAGAGATGAACTATCACAGGACCAAAATCGACTTGAGAATGAGTCTCCACAACGTGTACGAAATGTCGAGAAGATATTTTGCAATATTGACAATATCCACGTCATGCGAGATTCATTGAACAAACTAACTACCATATTAAACGACTTGGATAAGTACCCTGGCAGTTATGATAAGCTGTCGGCATCTGCAGCTTTGTTACAACAGGCATTGACTAAAACACAGTGGTTGAACCGATTGTCAATTATTCTTCAATCGGTAGATCGAATTACGAAATCAATACATTTGAACAACACCAATGTTGTCATACATTGTTCCGACGGTTGGGATAGAACGTCACAAGTTTCCGCATTAGCTCAATTATGCCTTGATCCATTCTATCGAACTATGAAGGGCTTTATGGTCTTGGTGGAGAAGGAATGGGTAAGTTTTGGATTTAAGTTTTCCACTCGTGCAGATCATGGAGGTTGTATTGGAGCCATTTTCAAGAAAAAGGTCAAGAACTCGTTGTCTATTGACTCAACAAAGAATAGAAGAGATGAACAATCCTCAGAAGTATCCATGGAAGGTTCAGTGTATTCTGAATCACAATCATCTGAAGTTGCAAATGGGGGAATGGGTACTGGTGCCGCTGCTAGTGTCACTTCATTTTTCCAGAGGGCAGCACGAGCAGCTAGAGAGATTAAAAACACTGCCCAAAATGGACTTTCTTCATCTCCTGGGCCAGAAGATGGAATTGAAAATGGCAATTATATTCCAGCATCATCCATATACAGTGGCAGCAGCGATAGATCACCTATATTTCATCAATTCTTGGATTGTGTATATCAGATATACCGTCAAAACCCATCTCATTTTGAGTTCAATAGCCGTTTCCTCAAAAGATTATTTTATCATCATTATTCGTGTCAATATGGAACCTTTATTTGTGATTCCGAACGTGAATTATTCGAAACTTACAAAGTGCAAGAGAGCACGGTTTCAGTATGGGACTATTTCAATTCTCGACCAGCGGAGTTTTTAAATAAATCATATAATCAATCTCCAGACAAGTCCAATACCACTAATGACGGGGTGATATTTTTAAACTATGCTGATCTCAAATGGTGGCATGAATTGTATGGTAGAACTGATGAAGAAATGAATGGTCTTTCAAATTCGTTAGATCGTAAGTTTGCACAAATGGGACTTAATAGGAGAGAATAAGTAGTAGTGGTAGATGTCCTCTTAATACATATACATAGCATTAGAGATGCACTGTAGTCCGAGATGTACAATTGTAATTTTGTGTGCTTCACGAAGGTTGCATCTCTATATTTATTTCTTTTTTTTGTGGCCAAATAGGAATTCTCAATTGTTCGATTGCCGAGATCGATAAAGTATTGCAGTTGACAATCTAATCAATCAATCAATCAATCAAGCCAAAAAAAAAAATCTCTTTAAAAAAAATTTTATCACTACCCTGATGATGATCTGTTCTTTTCTTAGGCATCGGAGTTAAATGAGACTAGTCATTCCAAAAAGATTACAACTACACAAGTCTGTTTCGAAGAACGCATATTCAACTATCACAAGTGGAATCCAGGGTGTTGATGGAAGACAGCCTTGGAGTTTTTACCACCAAGATGATAGTAGTACACCAGCTTCAACATCTTTATCTGTCACTGATCCATATGTCATCTACCAAAGTTATATTCAACAAGGGTTATTAGAGAAAGATGAATCACAGTTACGTGCCATGAAGGAGTTTCAGAAACTTTACCATCGTGTTATGGAATATACTCCTCCAGAAGACTTACTGATAAAGTTCAAATTATTAGTACGTCAAATTGAAGCAGATTATGAAAAAGCAGAAAAATCAAAGAATCAGTTCTCTCCTTTGAGGTTATTTCAAAGAGATCCCGAAGCTAGCAGGATGCAGATTGTTAGATACATGACTGACGAGGAAGAGTTGCGTAATTTTGCATCACCGCAGGGCTTACTTGTTAATGGTGAAGTCGGTTGTGGGAAATCAATGTTGATGGATATTTTTGCAGCTTGTTTACCATATGAATCCAAGATGCGTTGGCATTATAATAACTTCATTTTATGGGTATTCAGTGAAATGCACCACATTCAACAAAAGAGAATGAGACAACCAATTTCAAGGGAACATAGGTATACCATGGAAAATGAGTTTCTCCTCTATGAAGTAGCACAGAAAATGATTCAAAAGAATACCGTGTTGATGTTGGATGAGTTTGTACTCCCTGATATAGCATCGGCAAATATTATTAAGATTTTGTTTACGTTCTATTTCAAGCTTGGTGGAGTTCTTGTGGCAACATCTAATAAATTACCTGAAGAATTGTATTCTACAAAGTTTAACAAACAGAAGTTCAAGGATTTTGTCGGGATATTGAACTCAAGGTGCCATTCTATTGATATGAACTCCGAGAAGGATTATCGAACCTATTTTGCCAGTGAGTCGAAATGCACTCCTTATATGATAAGTAAAAAGGACAACCCAGACAACAATCAGAAATGGTTACTGTTGATCAAGAGTCAAGCATTGAAGATACCGGCAGATTCCAAACTAATGGATGAAAAATATTCCTTGTTCGATTTAGGCGGTCAACCTACCTCCGTTTCTGTATATGGTAGAACTACAAAAATTCCATTATCTTTCAACGAGCACCGAGTTTGCTATTTGGATTTTGAAGATATCTGTCAAGGGTTGTATTATTCTTCTGACTACATTACTATTGCATCCAAATTCAAAACAATAATTCTAGATAATGTTCCAATCATGACAACTAAGAAGAAGAATGAAGCTAGACGATTCATCACATTGTTGGATGCGATTTATGAATCTAAATGTCAATTTTTTATGAGAAGTGAAGTTGATGTCGATTACTTGTTTTTCCCTGAAGTTCAGCATAAAGACAATAAAGAACTTATGGCCTATTTGAAAGACCACGAAGACAGGCATATTAGTGGAGAGGTATTCGAAGTTCAGGATGAAGAAGCATTTGCACGTGCATCGATAGATTTACTGAGTCCGTATCGTCCTAATGTTTCTACATACGATCAGTCATACACCAAGTCATTCGATGATTATAAGGAGAATAACAATTCCGAAAGAAACTATACAAATACCAAGGCATTCACGGGAGATGATGAAAAATTTGCTTTCAAGAGAGCTGTTTCGAGAATTAAAGAGATGGTTGCTTCGGAATTCTGGAGATCTGAAGACCGTTGGGTACCTTTAGATGCTACTATGAGACCATGGGAAACTCCACTGGAAACGCTAATTAAAACAACTAAGGAGAAACAGACAATCAATGACAGTAATAGCACCTTTGATGCAAACAGCATTGTATTGGATAATAATCGAAAGGCATTAACTGTTGAATTAGCTGATTCACTCCCAAAAGATTATGCTGTATCGAAGGGTATACCATTCAGACTTTTCAACTCGCTTGTTGCTCCTAGGTTTGACAGTTTACAGCATTTTTGGGCAATGGGAAAATGGACAATGGCAAATGGACAGAGATTAAAGGATTCTATTGGTAGAAGCTGGTTAATTTCAAGTATTAGAGGAGACAGTGAGAGATCTCGTTAGGTTTATATTTTAACATGCGTATAGAAGAAATACACATATAGACTACTAGGAGTTAATAATATTTGTAATACTACAACGACTCACACTTAATCGATTTTAACATAAGTTGCTGGAAAATAACCAGTTTTACCATGGATCTCACCCTTCCACCATTCTCCGTCGGTATTAATTAAAGCAATTGTTTCTCCTTTCTTGATTGTCAAATCACTTGTTGCACTACCTTCAAAATCATACATGGCAATACAATGGGTGACTTTGGATTTTCCTGAAGAAACATCTCGATTCTCGTTCAATTGATTATTGATCAATGTCAAAGATTCTATCTGAACTGCGATAGGTTCATTCTTCTTTGTAAAATCATTGATGATTGCATTGATATCTTTTTCCACGTGGAAACGTACTTGAAGCTGGAGAGATATTTGATAACAAAAAGTCAAATGAACAAAATATACATATATCTGAATCATATCAATGAGGCTTTTGCCATAGTCTATGAATATTGGCAATTCTTTCTTTAATCCCGAGTTGATCTTATCATACTTTGCATTATAATCTTCCAACTTGCGTTTCAAAGCATAAAGATTGTTATTCTGTGACATGGTAAGCTCTGATTGTGATTGCTTCAAAACCAATGCTTCGTGATCGTTATATACCTTATCATAATCGAGCAATGAACTTTGTCTAATATTTATCTTTTTGAAAACCACTTTCAAGATACTCGAAAAGTCCTCTAGTTTCTTGGTAACCGTTTCTGTCAAGTCGTTAACTTCGATATCAATATGTACGTCTTTAATCTTGTGTTTGTAATTAGTAATTCTTGTCCAAGTGTCAAATGCACCCTGTAATACATGAGTATCATATTTCAAATTTGAGTATGGATCCATCAAGTTTTGAAATGCTTCGGCAATTCTAATAGAACTAGTTAAAATCTGAGGCATACCTTCAGCGAATACCTTGATATATTTCAACATTTTCTTAACTTGAACATCCATATCAATCACTACTTGTTCCATTTCATTAAATTCTTGATCAACGGTATAAGAACCTCCAGCAAATTTAATTTTTTGTTTCAATATTTGTGATGTGTGTTTTAATTTATTCCAATCATGTTGATCTGTTTTCAAAACCCTTCTTTCAGCTTGTTTCAATTGACTGGCAACCAAACTGGTAACTTTATTAAACTCTGCACTCATTCTTGGTCAGTTCAAAAAAAGTGGTAAACAGATATAGTGTGTTTCAAATATCAAAAAAAAAATTGTAGATTGGTTGCCAAAATAATTAGCGACCAAAGAAAAATAAAAATAATACTCAATGGTGTATTGTGCAACACCTGGTTGTCATTTTCACTTTTCTTCATAAAGTCTTATCACATTTAAATTCTTCCATGTCGGACCAATTCACCCAATCTCGTGAGAATGAGGAATCAATGAATTCAATTGTTGAGTTTTTAAAAGACCAACAAATCGAGTACGATGAGACGGCATTTGGCTCTGAAGTTATTGAAAACTATCAGAAATTTGTTAAACAAAATCAAAATCAAAACTTTAACTGGAAGAAGTTGAGTGATTGCTTTGAACATATCTTCTTACTGTATACCGAAGAAGTGGGTATAATTAGAAACAAAATTGACAAAAATTCAGAAGTATGTACTGTGACGGAATTCACACCCTGGTTGATCTATTCTAACTCATATTAATAGCAACGCAATCTGTTGTTGGAATTATACGACGCGTTAGATCAAGAAAGAGCTAGCAAAAGGTATGTAATCGTCACTTCTAGAAGGTATTTATAAACTCCATACTAACGGTCATTATGTTTCAGAATGGAGGAATCTATGAAATGGATCAAAATGAAAGAAGATGCCTTGGATAAAATTAAGTCAGAAATTTCCAGTTCAGTCCATGATATTGAATCAAAATTTGGTAAATTTGTGAATAGATCTAACCAGTGAGGATGCCCTGTTTTAATGCTCAACATAGTGGTTCGATTTGATTTTCTAATTAGATATCATCTTCTATACACGTGGTTTCAACTGATAGTTGTGTCAATTATGTATTTTGCTATCTTTGTTTGATGTAGGTTTTGTGGAGAATACCTTCGTAGTTAATTATAAGTGGAGAAAAAAAAAAAGAGAAAAAGAAATCAATAAATACTTCTTTGGTAAATATCTCGAATACATTTGAGATCCCATGTTCCGTGCCATCTTGAACGAAATTCTACCGAGTAGAGTAGAACCTGTTATCCAATCATCAAAGAGGACGTTATTCATAGCCTCCATAGGTAATCCAGAACCTGAGTATCAAGGCACAAGGCATAATGCAGGACATCGTTTAATGAATCTGCTCATAGAAGTTCATTGGAAAGATCATGTTTACAAGAAAGGAGATTACTACCTATCACTGAAGTATCCTAATTTAATATTGTACAAATCCAATGATTCCTTAATGAATAGACAGGGTCGATTTCTCCGTAGACATATTGCTCATTATAAAGATACTAAATTGGTAGTTCTTCATGATGAATTACAAAGAGATGTTGGGAAGTTTCAAATTAGAGGTCCTGGAACTAGTTCAAGAGGTCATAATGGATTGAAATCCATTGATAAACATGTCGGTGGTAAGTATACAAAACTTGGTATTGGTATCGGTAGGCCGCAGACTAAACTGGTGGTTGATTATGTCATGGAAGAATTTCAACCACAGGAAGCAGAAATCCTAGATTGGGAAGTATTCCCGAAATGTGCTAGAGAGTTACAGAAATTGGTAGACGAAGAGTTAAAGCAAATGCAAAAGGCAGAGCAAGAGGAAGTTTCTGAAGAAAAGTTAGATCAATAAATTGTATATAGTCCTATTGTTTTCACCTTCATGTGTATATAATGCAGTATCTTAGACATCAAACTATTCCTGAACAACTCTTCTATTCGAGTAAGCATTCTTGGAGTGTCTGAAAGGGATTAGGTTTTCCAAGTTAACCTCACTGTGAGTCTAATACCAAAAGACGCGGGGTCATGATGGGAGAAAGTCGACACTAACAATACCAAGACTCTACGTACACCTTTTTAGTATAATTCTAATTTGATCCGATATTATTTTTAACTAACCTATTCAATAATTATCTTGACTTGTAGACTTCCTAAATAGGTTGCATTATACACTAATATATTAAATTACCTTTTAGTTGGTTTCACACGACGAAAATTTTTCACCTGCGACAAACCGAGATGGAACGAGTACAAAGAAAAAGATAAAACGAGTCTACATGTTACTTCCGATCAGGTTTTATTTCTTCTTGATTTATTGCTAAACTACATCAACAACTATTCATGTTTAATAAGTTCAGCAGATCTGCAGTTTCAAGATCAGTTTCTTCATTAAGAAAAACGATATGTGCTAGTCATCCCCAACGTTATGTTCGTTGTTTTCACTATGCCATAGTTAACCAAAATGAAACAACCCCATTTAATGCCACCGCTCCAACTATTAAAACCAAAGTTCCAATAACTAATGTTGAAGATGTCAAGGAAAGTTCAACAATAGAATCAACATCTAATTCAAAATCACTGACAGGTTCTGAACTGGAATCCCTGAAATCTGCCGAATTTGTACCAGTTGAGTTTTCCGAGTTTAGAGGCAAAGGAATTATAGATGATGTTATTCTTGATGCTTTAGAAGATGCCGGCTTTCATAAATTAACTCCTATTCAACAAAAATCCTTACTTCCAATTTTGAACACTGAAAAAGGTTTGGTTTGTAGAGCAAAGACTGGTACTGGTAAGACATTAGCTTTCATTATCCCAACTTTAGTCAGAGCTATGAGAAGTAAAGAAAAAGGTGTTAGCAGTCTTGTTATTGCACCAACTCGTGACTTGGCTTTACAAATCAAGAATGAATATTTGAAAATTATTCGTCAAATGCCAGAAAGACACAGACCTCGTTTGGGAATGGTCATTGGTAAGCAAACAAATGTTTTTAACGTGAGATATCCTGAAAAAATTGTTATTGCCACCCCAGGTAGATTGGAAGCTGATTTAAGAGCTAATCGTCGTTTCAGTAGTTGTTTTTCCAACCTTGACTTCCGTGTTTATGATGAAGCTGATAAATTGTTAGACACGGGGTTTGAAAGAAATTTGGACAACATTAATGACATGCTTAAAGATTGTAGAACCACTCCACAACCACTCAAATCTTTATTGTTAAGTGCTACATTGAATGAACAAATTGAAGATTTTGCTAAAGTCCATATTCACAGAAAGTATGAGTTCTTGAATACCGTTGAATCAGGCGACGCCGATGTTCATGAAAATGTCCACCAAATTGTTGTTAGATGTGAAGATAGTATTGATAAAATTGAAACATTCGTGCTGTACATGGCCAATCTTATGAAAACTGAAGATAGTTTCAGAGTCCTTGTCTTTTTACCAACCAAGACTTCTGTTGATTGGATTGCTCAATACTTTGATGATGTTATGGGAAGTGATGTTGTTGATGGCAGTTTCCAATATAGTGCTGCAGTTATTCATGGTGACAAAACCCTGTCTCAACGTCAAAGAGCTTTGAACAGATTTAAGAAACATGACAGAACTATTTTATTTGCCACCGATGTTGTTGCTAGAGGTATTGATGTCAAAGGTGTTACTCATGTTTGTCAATTGGCTCCTTCATATGATACAGCAGATTATGTCCATAAAGCGGGAAGAACTGGTAGAAATGGAGCCAATGGTACTGCTCTTTTATTTGCCACCAGTATTGATAAACCTTTCCTTCGCCAATTGGAAAAAGATATTAAAGGTGGATTTAATAAGCAAGTTATATCCAAGGATGTCGAATTTGAAAGATTGAAATTTGTTGGTAAAATTGAAAGTGATTATGATGCCGTCTGTGAATTGTTTATTGCTTCCATGGCTTATTTCGGAAGTTTGGCAAGTAAATACAGAATGGATGTTGAAAAGTTGGTTAAAAACAGTGTTATGTTGTACCGTGGACTTATCAAAGATGATGAAGCCAAGATAAATGAACAGTACGTTAAAGTGTTTAGAAGAAAACTTTCTAAGCAAACATTGAGAAAGTATTTTGAAGGTGTTCGTTCCTCAAATCATGGTCCAAGAGGTCATGATAGAGATGACTATGATAGATACTTGTCATATGGCCGTAGAGGTAATTCCAGAAACTATGATAGAGGATATGGAAGTGGTCGTAATGACAGAAGAAGCAAAAGATCATTCGATCATAAAGAAAGATCCAGAGATTCTTACTAAAATCCTGGAAACTGGCAGCATGAAAAAAAAAAAAAAATATATAGATGCATAAAAATTAATAATCAGAAGTGCTGATGCTACTTCTTTTATTATTACCTGTAAATAGACAATTGTGTAACTATAGTATATAGATGTGATGAAACTAATTTTAATGAGTTTATATTTACTTTTTGATTAACTTTTCTGACGTTGCTTTTTCAGCTTTTTCTTTTGTGGATTAAAAGGGGATGATAATGATACGGTTTCCTGTTTCAGAGGTGTTTCTTCTGGGTAGTCCATCTCTTTTTCATCAGTAACCAACACTTCTTCATCCTCTTCTATATCATGATCCTCTTGAATTTCGATATCAACGTCACGAGTGAGTATCACGTAAACTAGCAAACATATAATGATAATGGTATTAAATATCGACACTCGTTTTTGGAATGTCAAATCATTAACTAACTGGTTTATTTTCTTGTTTGTTCCAAGCATGATTTGTCGATGACTATTTTGCTGAATTTTGAATAAGTTATTATATTGATCATGGAGATTGTTGTATGATTCTTTAAAAGAATTCAACTGGTTAATCAAAGTTACGTTAACTGAACTAATCAATGAATTGAAGTTGGATGATTGACGTTTTTCTAAATTGGCAAATGCTGTGGATAATAGTTTCAGCTGCTCTTCTATGTAAAGCAATGATAATGTAGCATTTGACTCCAACAAGGCTAATCGTTTCATTATATTCTTATAGATGGATTCTTGAGTGGCAACTGTTGCTGATGAAACTTGTGTGGTACTAGCTTGTGGGTCACAGGAATCACTAGTAACAACCACACACAGCTCTGTTTCAGTTGTATTCAAATCTTTCAAAAACTCATTCAATTGCAAATGAGGCATGATAACACGACATTCATTTAATGTTGATTGATTAATCAATAAAATGTCTTCATTTTCTATGGTTTGTGGTGTTGCCACTTCTTCTTCTCCTTCTACTTCTTTTCTCTCTAAATTTTCTTTCAGTTTTTCTTCATCTTCTTTGAATTCGTCCATCATAGTCTTACCATGAACTCTAACGATTGATATTGGACAGTAATACTCATTTCCATAGTGACTCAATATTTCTAATTTCAAATATCGTGCCCAGATCAATGGGTTCTGTATTTTAAAACTCTGAACATCACGAATATTCTCTGCTGTAAACTGACCCAATTCTTTCCAAGCCTGTGATGGGAATCTATCACTTACACTGACTCTGATATCTTTAAACATGGATGAGAAAAATTCAAAATTCCCAATAACCACCAGATCCACCAAAATATCCTGACATAATTCTATAATCACATATTTATTCGGCACAGAACACTCGTTTAATAGATATGAATCCTTATTTTCTTTGAGTATTGCCGATGCACCCTTGGCTTTAGCATTGGTTTTAACAATAGTCGCAGCACAATCAACGGATGCAAAATTGAATTTATCTTTATAGACTTTCCCATCAGCCTCAACCAAAGTTATATTTGTGCTTGATGCCGTAGAGTTCTTATGAATAGTTGTATTGACCAATTTTATATCTGTATTATTAATAGACTGGTTGGAATGGGATGATGGTGGTGTGTTGTTTGATTCTATAATTTTCTGTTTTTTCCACTCTTCAAACGACATGAAATGACAATCATCCAAGACAGAATCATTTCTAGGTTGTTCTTGGGATGTTCCTGATGGATACAGTGTAGCAGGCGATTGCAGTAGCAATAGTTGGAGTTCATTAGATGCTGGAATAGTGTCATTTGAAAGAACAAAGACCGGTATGACAGGTGAGAAATCAACAGGCTGTACTAATTCCACTACCACTTCCAGAAATGATGCATTTTCTGAAGCTTTGACAAGTATTGGTAGATACACTAGAGTAACTAAGCCTAGAATATCCACTATTCTATACCATGAGCATCTCATTTGTAAAATCAAACAAGGCGTATATGGTTTGTGTGTTGTAGGTGATTATGCTATCTATAAAATTAAAATCTCGCTTTGCTGTGTGTGAATTTTTTTCTTCTTTTTTTTTTTTGTTAGAGAAAGTTTCTTTTTCTCTCGCTCTCTCTCTCTCGCAGAACTGAATCTCACAGTATCGTGATCTACTAGCAGTACACAAAGTTCTTATCGAATTATTTTGTTTATATTAATAAATGAAATGAAATATTAAAAATAAAATGCCTATTTAGTAATTATTATGTATATGATGCAGAAAAAGGATATAAATATGTAATTGTGAAATAAAACGGAAAGTAAAAAACGACGTCTATAATTGAGCGGAATAATCTTCTTTACAAAGTTTGGCTCTAACAGTCTTACCAAATTTGTAGAAAGAGAATGGAATCAACACCATCGCTAAAGCAACAAAGGCCAATAACCAACTAGCCCATTGTAATCCCAAACCTTCATACATTTGGGTGATAAATAATGGGAAAGCAGCACCACCAGCAGATCTCAAGAACACTTTGGTGGCTAAGGCAGAAGCAGCGTATTTGGCATAGGTATCAATGATATAATTGTTCAATGAATAGTAAATCAAAACCATACCATAACCGAAAGCAATACCTGAAGAGGCTGGACCAACCCAAATAATATGTTTATATGAAGTGGCACCCAAGATAAATAAGGCAATACATGGGAATGGAGAACCAACCATGGCACCCCATAATCTGTCTTCTGGTTCTGGTCTTCTTTTCTTCACCATTTTACCATATTGAATTTCCAACAAGTAGGTTGTGGTAACAGCCAAACAAGCACCGATAAGAATAGGAATAAACATCAAACCAATTTTATCATCTTTAAAACCGTATAAGGTACTGAAAATGTATGGGTAGGCAAAGAAGAAAGCATACAAGTAAGCGTAAATCAAAGCAACAAAGGCACAAACCAAATCCAATAATGGTTCAGTGACAACAAACTTCAATGGAAGAACCAAGTTTTGATTAACCATTTCCTTGAATGACATAGGAGTAGCTTCTTGTTCAGTCATAATCTTAGGGTTACCGGTTTCTTTTCTCAATCTTTGAGCTCTCTTTTTCAAAATGACTGGGGCGTAGGTTTCTGGCATCAAACTAATGATAATCCACATAACACCACCAAATGCCATATTAACCCAAACTAACAAATCCATTCTCTTTGTATCGACAGCAATGAAACCACCGGTAATCAAAGAAATAACTGGACCGGAATAAGGACAGAAACTGAAGAAAGCCAAGGCAAGACCTCTGGTTTCATTATGGATATCGACCAAACTGGCACCGGCAATGGTCAAAGCAGAAGAGGCGAAAACACCACACAAGAAACGACAGACAATCACACCCCCAAGATTATTAGACAAAGCACATGGGATGTTGAAAATAACATACAAACCAAACGAGATGAAATAAGTTGGTCTTCTACCGACTTGTTCAGACATAGGAGCCCAAATCAAAGGACCGAAACTGAAACCAAGAACCATCAATGAAACAGTCAAAGTAGAAACTTCAGTCAGCACATGGAATTTATCGTTAATGGTAAAAAGACCAGCAGAAAGACAACTAGAACCGTAAGCAGCAGAAATAACAAACATGGAGATAAGGAAGGTGTAAAACCATTTGATGGTCATGGACCAGTTGTGTGGGTTTTCCGGGTCCCCCACCGTGAAAGTAACAAACTCAATTTCTGGATCCAAGCCTTCAAGTTTAGATAATTTTTCTTCGGCTTCTTCCCCTTCACCTTCGGCGATGGTTTTTACTCTACCCAATGATTGTAAAGTAACAACAGGGACCAAACCAGTGGTGGTTTCCAAAGTATATTCTTCTGGGAAAATTGGGTTTTCAACTGGTGGAGCATTTAAATCTGGATGGGGGATAGAGGAGGTCATACCCAAGTCAGCTAAAGACTTTTTGGTTTCTGTTCTAGTGATTTTTAAAGGTAGATCGGCTGTTTTAAGGGATGGTTGAGAATCAGATGAGTTGATGGATTGTGCTTCAAGATCCGGTTGAAAGGCAGTTGGATTGAAATCCTGTCTGACACTTTCTGAATCAGAACTATCTTCGTGTATAGACATTATTTTGCAATTGAGTGGATTAAGGAAATAATTAAAGGTTGCGAATCAATAAAAGTAGAATTTGAATTTGAATTTGAATTTGAATTTGCAATGAACAGGTGATTGTATGAATTGAACTGAGATTCGAAAACAATAAAAAAAAGACTAAAGGACCTATAATTAATAGTACAAACAATAAATATATACAAACGGAATAATTAGTAAAAAGGGGGAATAAAGGATGCTATTTATAATAGTTGAGGTATTTTTTTTTTTTCAGTTTATTCCTTTTGCGTTTTTCAGTCATCAGATACGTATCTGCCAAGTGAATGGAATTTCTCTTTCGGATGCAGTATACACTCTGATGATAAAGCAACCTATACTGCGAAATGTGCAAAAAAGAGGAAAAGCAAAACAATGGGCTAAAAGTGAGCCACATGTGACTTCCGAAATGGGTTCTCCTGGTTCAGGCGTTTAGTGTAGGAATTTAGCGTCTATGCGGGTATTGGTTCGTCTTTTCTTTTTCAGCAGGCAGCAAAACACGAATAAGAACAGAACAGCGGAAAACTTTTTCCATGGAAACTATTGAGAATGAATAAAAAACAACTATGGGATGGGATCTTCATGCTTTTGTTGCTCTTTTATTGTTTAAGAGTAAATGTTCACTTTTTTCTTTTCACTCAACAAAATGTACACTACCCATTCATCATGATTAGCTCAAGTTTATGATCTCTTCAGTCAATTAAAAAAAAAAATAGTAGAATAAGAAAAATAGTGAATCTTTGCCCATGATGTTCTCCGCTTTTTTCTCTTTGTTGTTCCGTCTAACCGTTCTAGAGATACTTCGGATATTGGCCAACTACAATGAATCTAAGAGGTGTCCATGATGATTCATAATTCATTATTTGAATTAAATTTTATCTGACGGTTTGCTATGCCGTTTGAAGATTCAATTGCAGCGGTCAGCTGTCAAGTGAAAGAAATAAGCATGAAACTTTTGTTTTATCCCTTCTCAGGCCCAACTGCATCTGTAAAAGCGTTGACTGATGATTCCTCGTACAGGAATCTGACGACAAGGAAGTTCAATACAATTATACAGAGAGAAAACAAATTCTTTTAGTTTGAATATCCGTGGAATAACTGCAAGATCCAAAAACTGTTATTACACAAAAACTGTCCTTCCTGTTCGTTTTATTATTTTTTCCATTGAGATAGCCACGCATAAAATAATATAGCGCAAGGCTGTTACCCATTGTCTATTAATATTCCGAAAACCGCAAATCAGGATGAGAGCTTTAAATAGATACCCATATCTTCCGAAATGAAAATAAAAAAAAAGTGAAACACGACAAATAAACTACGATAACCCTATATTAACTAATCTATATCATCATCAAGCACCTATTTAAATATTACCATGGAAGGCATCAGCATTAAACACCTCTTTGTTGTTGTTGTTGTTGCTACCTGGTGAGTGTTCGGTTTTTCTGATCAATTCAGTAACACGACTCAAACTTGATCCGGTGATTTCTTCCATGAAAGCACCAATTTCAATATTTTCATGGTTTCCTGTTAATCCATGGTATGCACGGGCTGATTCCAATTTGGCTTTGATGGCAGGGGAATTGGTGTGAGCATAGATATTGACATCAACTGCAGAGTGGCCATGGGTGGTCCATCCGATTTGCGCCCTGAGGGACACAATATTGTTCAACACATACAACAAGTTAGCTGGATCATTGGCCTTGTCAAGAATAGCTTGTACCTCTTTATCAGTGTAGTCACTGACTCCCAAATCATTTTCCAAAATTTCGTGTTTGATGAATTTTGTGAGCTTAGTAGAATCGTCTTTGTTCTTGTAGTCTGCAATCTTGTGAGCCAAGTAATCACCAGAATGGGTGCTGTTCAATAACACTTCTGGATACCACAAGTAATCTGGATAGTTTTCAGAAACTTGTCTGGCAACAACCAAACCACCGGTTTCGTGGTCACTGGTAGAAATAGCAACAGTTTCCACATCACTGGAGTCAATGAACTTGATGACTTCTTCAAACGCTTCGTCATAGGCCAACACTTCTCTAACTTGGGCAGCAGGGTCGTTGTGGTGTCCTGCATGGTCGATTCTGGACCCTTCAATGAGCAAGAAAAACCCTTGGTCCGAATCCTTGGTAGCATCTGACAACGCAGTCAAGGCAACTTTTACTTGTTCTGCCAACGATGGGTATTCTGTTTCGTTACGATCAATAGCATATGGAATGTCGGTATTGGCAATCAAACCCAATAATGGCAAGGAGACATTTTTACCGCCTTGAAGCTGGTCGAACTGTTCTCTGTCGCCAACATATTGCCATGTTTTGCTGTACTCTTCAATCAAATCTCTATCATCACCACGACATCCGCCTTTAGAGGCAGGCAAGAAATGGCATCTACCACCACCCAAAATGAGATCGACGGCACGGCCAAATGGGTACTCTCCCAATTGGTGTTGGGCAATCAAATCTTCCTGGAATCTGTAATCAACGTGGGAACTGAATGCAGCTGGAGTGGCATCGGTGATTCTAGTAGTCACAACTAAACCAGTATAGTAACCTTGCAACTTCAATGCTTCTAAAATGGTACCACATGGGGATTTATCTGAGGCAACACCAATGGCACCATTGTATGATTTCATGGCACATGAGAATGCAGTGGCTCCGGCAGCAGAATCTGTCACCAAACTGCTGGATGATCTGGTTCTTGAAGATCCAATAAGATACTGATCAAGAGTTAAAATATCGTTGATGGCAAGTTTATCACGGAACTGTCTGAATGATCTGGCTGCGGATAAACTGGCAGGTCCCATACCATCCGTGACCATCATGATGATATTCTTTTTCTTATGAGGATCTACTGTTGGTGGAGCATTCTTCTTGTTGTTGTTATTAGTTGAGAAAAAACATAAATATGCAATGATAGATACAGTTATGATGTTGAGAAAGTAGGATAAGTTTCTCTTGGTGTTGGACTTTTTCTTATTCAAGCATGACAAGGAATCGCCTCCAAGTAAGGCTTGAGTTTCGTTAGTAAAGCCCATGTCTGATGGAGATACGAAGTGGATGATAGGAAGAGTAAAAGAAGAAGAAAAAGAGAGAAAAAAAGAAAGAGGTTGAGAGCAGAGTTTCTTTTTTTCTAATCATCAGTGAGTTCCTGCAAGCCGCGTGGGTGCGCGATCTAAGTCATTTATTATTATTTGCTTTACAGTGTTTATTATTATTATTTTATCACATTAATCCTGTCTACCTATTAAAAATCGTCAATGACTACTGCATCGGTTCCAATCTCATTGTAAACAAGCTTACCCATACTAAGATCCATGATAGATAATCCAACAATCTTTTGGACTGTGAGATTGGTAGAATCATCGGTTACCTTGGTAGCATTTTCAACATTTAACTCATGGATTTCAATCAATTGATCGCTAGTAAATTCAGCTTGGATCAACTCACCAGCCTCATGTAAGGTATGTTCTCTTGAATCCACAATAATGGCTACACCTTTTTGTTTCAAACTTTTACATAAATCCAAATCTAACTCAATCATGTGAGGTTTATATGATCCAATCAAAGAGATGAATTTAGGAATATGAGGATCTTGATTCAAATAATCCTTTTTAATTATAGGATTTGTAGCTGGAGTACATCCAAATATAATTGAACTATTTCTGACATGTGGTATAAATCCCAGAGCTTCATCTTGGTACAGGTATGCATTGAATTTTATATCATTTCCAAACTCCAGTGAAAGCTTTTCGGCCAAAGTTTCAGCATTCTTCAACGTACGATTCAATATATTGACTTGAGTGATTTTCCCTTGATATAAGATCAATGCAAGTTTGACATGCCAGTAAGCCTGTAATCCAACCCCAAAAACAGTAATCTTGGGAAGGATATCTTGTTCTAAAGGAATCTTTTTAATCAAACCCAAAGTACTGGCCAATGCAGTTCTAAAAGCTGTCAAGGTATTAGCATTCAATACAGCTTGTAATTGACCGGTGATTTCGTCCATGATCAATACGCAACCTTGAAAACCTAACCCTTTGGTGTTGTTTCCTGGTCCACCACTAATCACTTTGATTCCTACTTCATCTGGAGAAATACAAGGCATGTAGATATGGGTTGTGTCTGAATTAGGATTATTTGTCAGTTGAACGGTTCGTGGTGGTACAATTGCATCTGAATTTTGAGAATAAGTGGTTAAACTTTTAAGTAAAGTTGGTTGAAATTTTTCAATAATTGATTCCTTGGTAAGATGTCCATCCAAGAATTGTGAAACTTGTTTATCGGTAATTACTTTCATTCTTGATCTGTAATTAAGGAAAAATATCAAAAGTATATATTTGTTGGGTGGAAATTTCAGCAGAAAAGTGTTTCAATTTATAGATAGATTTATGCCCAGGTTTTTTTATTTTTTGTATTTTTTCAACAGATTTGTATTATTGGGGTAATTTATTTTTTTTTTTTTTCTCGGGGTTGTCAATTTATCGGTTTATGAAAAAGGCTATATCAAGCGAGCGGTACCGGCAAGGAAACTAATAATAAAAAATTCCTTAGCGCTAAATACCCTGATAGAGCAGTTGGAATGGTGTATCTCAGAGATAGCCACCCCCCCCAGATTATGCATTCTTAATATATTTAACATACGCTACTATACATACACTTTACGTACTGACTCTTCGTCGGCCTGCAACTGTTCTGTCGACTGCAAGGGATTAAACTCACTCTCCAAAACATCATTCAAACCTTCATAAAGTGCAGTATCAACTGGGTCTAAGCGAGAAATCTTATATTTGATTGACATTCTCTTGAGTCGTCTTAATTGAATATGTGACAAGTTATCAGCACTAGCAATTTTTAAAAAGTGTTTCTGTAATTCATTCAAATCCTTGTGGAATGCAAGAATGTCCCTAGCCACCAAGTTACTGTTCTTCGTGCTAGCTTCCCAGATGATAAAACTTGACTTTATGTTGTTCAATTGTTCAATGTAATGCAACTCTTTGTACTGTTTCAAATATTCAAACACAAATCTCCATATAATACGTTCATAGAATGGTGGCAACTCTTGTGATTTAATCAAAGGAACATATTTTGAATCCAAATTCTGTTTCAATAACCTTATAACGTTCAAAGGTTGTTTCAAATCATGATATTTCTTTAATAAAATTATCTCGAGCTTGGTAATATCCAAACTATTAAACTCGGTATATTCCCTTAGTTGCAAATGGCTAATTGGTGACTTCTCCAAATGTTTGAGGTTCTTATTCAATAACACGTTAGTCAATACACGAATATTTAGTTTCTTATGGTTATAGAATGTTTCCAAAATTTCAAACAAAGTCTGCTCTGAAGTTATTCCAGCAATATATGAACTCAAATCACGGGAATTCATTTCATATAGTTGTGAATAGTTGATTTTTTCTTGTAATGAATCAATATTTGATGATTTAATACCTTGTAAAATATTAGCAATGAGCTGATCAGACACGTGTGTTTGCGTTTCTGAAATTTTCACTTTGACACTATTCAACTGCTCTTCTACTGGACCTTGAGTTAATGAGTCGTATAAAGAGGGACGTTTCACTTCTTCTGTTGATTTTACCAATAAATTTAACGCATCTGCTAAAGCAATGTTTTCCGACTGTTGTTGACGAGGTGGTATATTCTTAGAGACACCATTCTTGGAGTTCCATAAAAATCTGACCACAAATTTAATTGTAGACTGTGATATTAATGGTTTGGATTTTTGTACTGATAACATTTATTTCTATTCTGTGTTGAAGTGGTAATGGCAAGCAATGCTATTGGTTCTAAAAGTAAATGAGGAATCATTTTTATCTGAGGAGGTGAGGAGAAGAAAAAAAAAAAGAAATAGAAAAAAAAAATCACGTGAGGGATGATTTTCACTAAGTGATAAATGATACAGTTGCAAACGTCATTAGATCAAGATATTACTTAGGCCATGGAAGTTTTATGCATATAATTTATAATCTCGTATAATCAGGTAATATAGTTTACAATAATATTCCTTTGACCGACAGATTATTCTTTTTATTAGAATTTTACTTGAATATCGCAACCAAAAATTGAAGAAAAGTGAAAAACATAAAACTGCAAAAATGAATAATTATAAATAGAAACTGTATTAACTCTACTTAACCCATTAAACGCAAAGCCAACTCGACACTAGCAAAAGTACCAGCACTACACGGTACTGCTCTCAACAAACATGGAACAATACCTCTCCAGAAACCTGTAAGTCCGTGATGCGAAAATATGTACTTGGTTGCTTTTAAGGCACTGCCATTAAACTTACTATCCTTGCCAAACCCATCACTTTGAACGTTGGTTTTGATAACATCCAAGGGATACGACAGAAGCCATAATGCATTACCTGCAAGGGCACCGCTGGCTAACAATTCTGGTGTACTGATCTGATCACGGCTCTTGTAATGTTGCAAGTCAATTATTTTTTGAATCAAGGTTTCATACGTCATAAACCAAACCCCATATGCTTGAATTTCTCGAAGTAATGTTATACCAAACCCTCTATATATTCCATGAACAACACCTTGTTCTTTGTAGATCTTGGCTACAGTTTCACGCAAGGACACAGGTTTGTCTGATGATTGACTCAAAATACGCAATTGTTCTACTGGGGATGTCACTGGAGTATTAACCACACCTGCCATTGCACCAGCTATATATGTTTGTGGCCATAAGTTCAAGCTTGGTTGTCCAGTATATTGTAGTATTTGTCTTTTTGTTTCATGGAATCCATAAAATTGAAGTGACACACAAACCCCCACACCAAATAATGGGGGTAATGTACCTTTATAAAATGCCAATATTCCCTCATTTTTGATAACATTTTTAATTACTTGTACTGATGAGCTTGCATCGGTGGTTTGTAATTTAATTTTTATCAAATCAAATGGCTGCCCAATTAACACCTGAGTTGCACCACCAACAAACCCTGCAGCAATATCCTTGAGTTTTCTATTGATGGAGTTATCAACTGGGAGCTTTGAATCCTGGACTTCTATTCTTTCCTCTGCTTCTGACATTTCAATAGGACGATTAGTTTCAGATGATCGTAGATATGAATTGAATTTATTAAAAGAAGAAAACAGCATAATTTTATAAAAAATTTTCAATAACTTTAAATCATTATCTGAAAAATACCTTGCATTAATTGCTCCACAAGATGACTAAAGTTCACGTGACGCAAGGCACTACCAAGTGTAATGCGTGTACAAAATGTAAAGAAAAATTGTTTTGACCACGTACCATGAAAAAAAAAAAGCCCAGAAGAGAAAAATTCCACTGAAAAAAAAAAAAAAAACCTAAAAGAAAAAAGAAAACAAGTGTACGACAAAATCTCAGAGCGAGACGATTTCCAAAGGCTTGAGAAAAAGATTATCAACGTAGTTGTCATTTTTTTTTTTTTGCATAAACTTTATCATCAATCACTACTACTCCCAATTTTTCTTTTCTCAGGATTAGTATAAAGTAATGTCTGGTAGAAGAAGAGCATATCCACAACCACAGTATGCTGCTGGAGCTGGAGCAGCAGCCCCACCACCTGTTCCAAATCAATTCCAGCAGCAACAAATGGCCCAACAACAACAACAACAACAACCACAACAACAACTGCCTTATGGGGTTGATCAAATGCAAAATCAATTTCAACAAATGAATGTTGGTGGTTCCCCTGCCGTTGGAGGTGCTCCTGTTTCACAGTTTGCTTACCAGCAACAACCGGCCCAAGCCCAACAATCACCACGTCTTAATTATGATCCATACCAACCTCAACCTGGACAAAATACTGGTGTATATGGACAAGGTATGGGCGGTATTCCACCAGCAGCCGGTGCAGCTGGAGGTGCAGCATATGGTGCCTATGGCCAACCAAACAATATTGCTTCTGGTGTTCCATTGAATGCGATATATACCACTGATTTATCCAGGGACCTTCCTCCACCAATTGCAGAATTGTCATTCCCACCACCACCAATCACTTTAGCTGATAGTGCCACTTTGATTCCAGGATCCAAGACTGCAAATGCCACTCCAGAATACTTTAGATCTACTTTGAATGTTATCCCAACTAATTCATCACTTTTGAAGAAATCAAAGTTACCATTGGCAATTGTTGTTAATCCTTACAATGCATTGAAAATTGAAGATGAAAATATCCCAGTCACTTCTGACACTGTCATTAGCAGATGTCGTCGTTGTCGTGGTTACATCAACCCGTTTGTTACCTTGGCTGAAAATGGTAGACGTTGGAGATGTAATTTCTGTAACTTGTTGAATGATATTCCTAGTGCATTTGATTACGATGAAATAAGCGGTCAAGTAAAGAACAAGTTTGATAGAGTTGAATTGAACCATTCCGTTGTTGAATTTGTTGCTCCAAAAGAATATATGGCTAGAGCTCCACAACCAATTGTTTACACCTTCATCATTGATGTTTCTGTTCACGCCATTCAAAGCGGTTTAACTGGCACCATTACCAGAACTATCTTGGAAAGTTTAGACAGAATTCCAAATGAAAACAAGACTGCCAGAGTTTCCTTTATTGGGGTCGATTCCAACTTGCACTACATCCGTTTCAACGAAGGTTTAGAAGGAACTGAAGTATTGGTTGTTGCTGATATTGACGAACCATTCTTGCCATCTCCAGATGGTTTGTTGGTCAACTTGGACGAAAACAGAGAAGCTATTGAGAAAATGTTGTTGGACTTCCCAACCTACTTTGAAAACAATGCCAACCAAGGTTTTGCTTTAGGTCCAGCTTTGAAAGCTGGTCACAAGATGATTAGCAATATTGGTGGTAAATTGGTCTGTTTTGCTGCTTCTTTACCAAATATTGGTGAAGGTAAGTTAAGTGTCAGAGATGAAGCCAGTGTTGCTGGTAAGGCTAAAGAAGCCAAGGCTTTGTTAACTCCAGCTGATAGTTTCTATAAGTCATTTGCTGTTACTTGTAACTCTTCCCAAGTTACTGTTGATTTGTTCTTGACTTCTTCTGCATACCAAGATGTTGCCACTTTGTCTAATCTTGCTAGATACACTGCTGGTCAAACACACTTTTACCCAGCCTGGACAAGCAACAAATACGAAGATGTTGCTAAATTATCAAAGGAAGTCAGTGACCACTTATCTCAAGATATTGCTCTTGAAGCCGTCTTGAGAGTCAGAGGATCTACTGGATTTAGAATGTCTTCCTTCTATGGTAATTTCTTCAACAGATCATCTGATTTGTGTTCATTCCCAACATTCCCAAGAGACCAATCATATCTTATTGAAATGTCGATAGAAGAAACCATCAGCAAGCCTATAGTTTACTTCCAAGCTGCTGTATTACACTCCACATGTTTCGGAGAAAGAAGAATCAGAGTCATGAACTTGGCCTTGCCAACATCCTCCAAATTGGTTGACATTTATGCTTCTGCTGACCAATTGGCCATCACAAACTACTTCACTCATAAGGCTATCGAAAAGGCTTTGGCTAGTTCTTTGCCAGAGGCTAGAGAATTCTTGATTGCAAAAGTTGTTGATATTTTAAACATTTACAGAAAGGAATTGGTTGCAGGAAATGTTTCAGGGGCATCACCATTGCAAATTTCTACCAACTTGAGAATGTTGCCATTACTTTTGTTCTGTTTAACCAAGCACTTGGCCTTTAGAGGTGAAAGGGTTCCATCAGATCACAGAGCTGCCGCATTGAACAACTTGGGTTCCTTGCCAATTCCTCAATTGATTAAATCTATTTATCCAACTGTTTATTCATTACACAATATGCCAGATGCCTGTGGCTTACCTGGTGTTAAAGATGAAGAAGATGAAGACAGTGCTGCTGCTGAAATTGATGTTGTTCTCCCAGAACCTATCAACGATTCCAAAGCATCCTGGGAGAACTATGGTTTGTACTTGATTGACAATGGTAGTGAATTGTTCTTGTGGGTTTCCGGTAATGTTGTTCCAGGTTTAGTTCAAGATTTATTCGGAACTGAAAACTTGTACGAAATCCCAACTGGTAAGACCGAATTACCTGAATATTCTCTTGAAGAATCCGAGTTCAACTATAGAGTCCGTCAAATTATTGGCAAGATCAGAGAACAAAATGACTCAATTGTGTGGAAGAATCTTTATGTCGTTGTTGGTGCTTCATCTAATGAACCAATTGAAATTTCTCAACAACGTGACTTGATGGCTTTGAGAATGTGGGCCTCAAGTTGTTTGGTAGAGGACAAAACCGGAAGCGAAGCTTCTTATAGAGATTTCTTGACTTCCTTGAAATCAAAAGTTACTCAATAGAGTGTTTACCCATGAAACGTTTAGTGCTTATAAATATATCGTTATTTGTTGTTTTATATCTATAGATATATTTTTCTATTTTTTTTTTTAAAAAAAAAAAAGAATAAACTCCACAGAATGACGTTATTTAGAACGAAACCTGAAGACCAAAGCCACTGACAAAATGAAAAAATAAAAACGAATACTAACTTATACTTGTTGGTGTATAATTTGTGTATACTGTATAAAACTTAAAATGAAATAAAAGAACAAAATTTGATATATATATATATGTAGTTATATATGCCTGACCTATTTATAGTCAATCATTGCTAATGAGTCTAGTAACAATTCCCCCTCTGCTCGTGATTTAAACATTTCTTGAACTGAAGCATTTATGCCCTTTGAGTATACTTTCAAGTTTTTGGCAATTGGTCCTCCTCTAGCCATTGAAGCAACGATATTCTTTTTGAATTTCTGATTTAATTGAATCCAATACAAATCTGATATGGCTTCAACCTTGTATTTTGCCAAAATAACAGATAGTAATGTAGAATTTTCATTATCATCATTATCATCATTACCAGTGGTCCAATTACTCAACAGATTTGTCAATTTACCAAAATATTCAGTTGATGCTTCTTTGACTTCAGACATTATAGCGGTGAAATTTCTTGGTGATTGTAGCGCTCGGGATAATTGAGCAGAACCTGTTTGAACCTGTCGAGTAATTGTTGAACGTTCAAAAACTTCAAAAAACTCATTCTTATCTAATATATACAATGCAGATAAATTTGAATGTAATTTTTGGTTTTTATATTCCAAAGTGGAAAGATGATTGAAATCACCATTTATCACATTAATACATTGTTTAATTAAACTTGTTCTTTTAGCAATTGCATTTGATTGATAATCACGAATGATTTTAATAGACAATACATTTACCTCACTACTCTTTTCTTTACTAGCATTTTCATATAAATTCTTAATTTGGATATGTAATTTTGCTAATCTTACCAAATCTTTATCATTTAAAGAATCTGTCAATTCTTCAATTTGTTGAATAATAAAAATGAAAAAACTCGTACTACGTAATAATTCCAAAGTCAAATGAATTTTTTTCAATGCATTATTTAATTTCACAGCTTCATCATATGGTTCAATAATTTCTTTTTTAATTCTTTGAAATGGTGCATTGACTCGTTCTAAACTTGGATTCAATTGATTAGTCAAAATTTGTTTACACTCTGTAATTTTTTGAAAATTAGAAATTAATGATTCATAATTAGAAGAAGAAATCTTGGATATTCTTTTATCACATTCATCTATATCAAATGTTAATTTTTTGATTGGTGTAGTTAGATCCAATTCTGGGTTATCGTGTCCATTAGTAGCTATTATTAACTCATTGGCAAATTGTTCTGCTTTGAAATCATGCTCTAAGAAAGCTTCAAAATCTTCAAGTTCATTGATTGGTACGTCTTCAACTTGGGATGTCATGATATGTATATATAGATAAACAAATTATACTATCAAGTTAAAGTAGAGTTGAAGTTGACACACTGGTTCTTTATTTCAACGCGATCTTTTTTTTTTTTCAATTTCTTTGGATTTTTTTTTTTTGGTTGTTGTTCGTTCGTTCGTTCTGATCTGATCTGATCTGATCTGCCACTGTTTCTAACGGTTGAGATGATGCCATATTATTCACTATAAATTCTACTCAGTTCTATATTTCGGTTTCGATTGTTGTGATTGTTGTGGTGGTTGTCGTTTCTTTGCTCCTCCTCCTTCTCCTCTGAGAGTGTTCGGTTTCCTCTTTGTATTGTTATATTTACCAAATGATTTCTTTTGATACTTTTGTTTTTTCAATTGTTTCTTCTTCTCATCTTCCTCCAATTTCTTCAATTTAGCTCTTTCCAATTTACGTTGACGGCAAGCTACTTTAACATCTCTTTTCTTTTTACCTGGTCTATTCTTTTTCTTCTTCTTTTCCTTTTGTTTATTAAGTTCAATTTCAACTTTAGCATTATATTTATTCAAATCAAGACATTTCCAAGGTTGTGAATCCACAATATATAACTGACTGAAAATATCATTATATGTTACACAACATTCTTCAAACTGTTTCTTTTCTTTATCTGAATATTTGGCAAAATAATAACTTTCTGGTCTTTCATTATCTATTCTTTCTTCTGATTGTTCACGAAGTGACACTTTCATTATTCCCACTTCTTTAGTTCTACCTCTTTCTTCCAGCTTGGTATCAGGTGTAGGATCCATTGTCATCGCACTGGCAAATAATGGAAACTCAAACTCTTCATTGTTAGGTTCATCCTCATCCTGAACTACTTGTTCATCGTCATCATTGTCATCAGCATTATTATTACTAGTATCAACACTAGGTGATTCAACTTCAATAAACTCTAGATCTATCTTTGGGGCAATATATTCTGATGAATCTGACTCGTATTCCGATTGCAGATCATATAGAGATGATCTTGATATCCTAGTGAACTTGTTAGTATGTTATCATAAATACAAACTGAATCAAAGTTCTACTACATACAACTTTTGGTCTTTCATTGAATTCTGTCGATGGGATGGAACCAGTAGGTAGTAAATTTTTTTTTTTTTTTTTTGTCTTTCTCGTAAAGTTTCAGATATATATTGGAAAACATGCGAACACAAGTTTTCATCTTCACATCCATTACATTACATTACACCTACATGCTCTGCTTACAAATGAATGACATATAATAAAATGCACATAAATAAATATACTATATCACCTATAATGCTATTTGGAAGTATTACCATAACGGTTGAGACAACGTAGTAACAGTTCTAAGAACATCTTTTCTATAGCCTAAGTGTGGAGGGATAAATTTCTTAACTTTCGTAGAATCAATAATTATTTCCTCATTTCCATTTACCACCAAACCATCAGCAGAAACATCCTCAAATCCACTTAATATATCCAATGATACTTCAATTTGGTTCTGTGTAATTCTTTCAGCAACTATTGGGAAACTCTCCAAGTACAGTTTGAGCGCATCTTCTTCAATAAAATGAATCAACAAGTTCTGGAATCGTTCCTGTCCATCCTTTTTCAATTTCCTCACATCATTATGCGGGTTTCGAATATCAAGTCCAATAAACTTGAAAAACAACTTCCAGAGCTTGGACTTTTCAACTGAAGTCGCAGCTCGCTTATTGTCCTCGGGAATTTTTTCCAGGATTTTTGAAACAACAGTCGAAGTAAGTAACGAAACTTGCAAGTCTGTCATATATCTCTTGTTATCAATAACAAATACGTATAAAGGTAAAAACCTTTCCACTGAGGCCACAGTAGGTGCACCATCAAATTTGACATGTCTTAAACCCACTGGGTAATGGTCTTGTGTTAAGCTTCTTCTTAAAGCAACCTTTCTTTCTAACAATGCCTTCGATTTCTCTTCAGCCTCTTTAGCCAACCTCAGTTTTTCTTCCTCTTTTTCTTTGGCAGCTCGCTTTTCTTCTTCAATACGCTTCTCTTCTTCCTCCTTACGTTTCTGTTCCTTTTCCTTTTCGGACTTCAAAAACATTTCCCTTCTAGCTTTCTTCTTAGCTTCAACTTTCTCCTGCCATAACCTTGTTTCTTCCACGCTTCTTATTCTCTGTTCTTCATGAACCTTTGTTGATACCAGATTATGGATTGCAGTCGTGGTAGACAGATGGGAAGCAGGAGATGATGGCGTTGATTGAATTAAATCATGGTTTTTCGTATTTGGATCCAGAGAATGCTCGTTTGGATGATCATCGCGTGGTGACGATTCCTTTTTCAACACTTTCGGCTTAGGCTCTGACTTGACTCTCTTCAAATGGTGGGATTCATCCGATGAACCATCCTCAATTTCAACATGCTTTCGCTTTCTTTCTTCATTGCTATGAATCTTTTCAGAGACTTCTTGCTCTTCTTCTTTTTCACCTTCATCATCATGATCATCATCTTTGTGAGTTTCTTTAGTTTCTTGTTCTTCAGCAGATGGCTCATGCTCATCGGAGATATTAGTTTGTGTCTGTATTTTATTTTCTTCTTCCTCATCAGTTTGAATCTTATCTCCTGCTGATTGATCTGTTACCGGCGCTTCAACTTTCTGATCTGCTTCCTCTTCCTCTCCCTTCACAGTCACATCATATGCTTCGTTTTCTTCTTCGTCTTCTGAAGTAATAGGTACAGAAGGAGCACGTGAAGTAGAACGAGAAGCTATTCTGGAAGCCACTCTTGATGTAACATTAGAAACTATCGTTGTACCACTCTTCTGTTCCATGTATTTGGTGATCTCGCTGATTTCGCGTGCATCAAAATGTGGAGAGTGTTGGGCTATTTCTAAGGCATTCAATCCATCTTGTTTTCTTTTCTTGAAAGGGTCTGCGCCTTTCGACAATAAAGACTCAACAACATCAAAATGGCCACGACCAGCACTAGCCAATAATGCCGTCACCCCACAACTAGATTCTGTATCAATATCAAATGGCGTAGGGTTCAAACCTAAAATAATATCAACCAATTCAGCATGGCCATTTCTTGCAGCCAATATCAATATATCTGGCTTGGATTTCAAATTGTTTCCCGAAACAAAATATAAAGCAGTAGCTTCCTTCGAATTCTCGGCAGCATGTTTGAAAATTCCCTTTCGTTTGATTAAATTAGCAAAATATGCATCGTTCGGGTCCTCAATGATTGGTCTACCAGTCTCAGGAGAATCTGATGCGGAATTACTTTCACGTGCAACACGATTACTGCATTTAGCATTTGCTTCTTCAAGAACCTCAATAATCTCATCATACCCTTCTTCTCCATCGTGCTCGTTGTAAATTTTAGTTAATGCTGTAAAGCCATCAATGTTGAAAATGGTAGGATCTGCGTCATATTTTAACAAAACTTTAACCGTATCAAGATGTTTGTTTTCAGCCGCATCTATCAAAGGAGTCTCTGAATCACCAGCTTCGTCAGCCTTGGCGTTCACATTGGCACCATGTTGAATCAAGTACTCAACAATTTCTGTATGTCCTTCTAAAGCAGCTTCATGAAGACAAGTAAAACCACAAAAGTCTTTCTCATTAGCACTAGCTCCTCGTTCAATATAACTCTTGACATCCTCGAAATTTCCCTTTTTGCAGGCTCGTTGCAATAATGATCTCCCACTGGAGTCACGTTTAAGTTTGTACGGTGTTATCTTTGATTTCGTTGGTTTACTGATCAGTGGTACCGTTGCTGTTATTTGCTCTTTGTTTTCTTTCCCACTTTCAGACTCTGTATTAGATCGTGTCTTTTCCATATTTGCTTCTTCTGTTACTCCTTGACTCTCAACCTTAGTTTCCAAAACTTCTGTAACAGATTCGTTTTCATTGTCATCGATCTTATCGGTATCTTTGCTAACATCTACTTCCGTGTCATCGATTTTTTCATCATCATCATTATCGACATTATCTTCTTTTTTCATTTCAGTAGCCTGTTCTTGTTTCAATTCGTGTCTTTCAGAATCATTCGAACCTTTACGCATTATTTTTTTGCCCTCTTCTAAAGTTGGAAGATCCTCATCAATTACAGTTTCAGTTTCTGAAATATTACCGTCGTGCTCCGAAGTATTATCATTACCAGATGCACTTACACCCTTGGTCTCTTCCTTGGAACTTTCTGGGATAGCAGCTAATTCTTCAAAGTTAAAATCGACATCAGACTCATTCACCGGAGAGAGAACTGAAGTATCGGCAAAGGAATCAGTATTGGACAGTTTTCTTCTCAACTCGGTTTCCCCGTCATTATCCACGTCTTCTTCAATGCTGTCATTAGCCAGTTTTACTTCATTTGAAGAAGCCTCTTTAACCGGCGTGGTTTCCATTTCCTTGGTTTTAGCGGATTCTGGAATCTCAGGTACGTTATTCTTGGTTTCTTCATTCTTAATATCGCCATCAGTATTTGTTTCTTTTTCTTCGTTAACGGGATTTATTTCCTTAGAATCAATGTTGCTTTCTTGAACGTTTTCAGCGTTTTGCTCTTCATTTTTGACTTCCGTCATTTGTTTGGCTTCAGGGTTCTCATCCATAGAAACGTCGCGTTCATCTTTAGTCTTTGCTTTTGCTGACTTCAAATAGTCGGTAAATGATGTCTTCTTTTTTAATACTCTAGACAGCTCTGGTGCATCAGAATTGGTGCTAGCTTTTGAAGCAATGGTAGAAGTAGACTTAGCTACCTCAGGTTTATTCCTTTCTGTCTGCAAATCGGTAGACAAATTGCTTGTGGTAGGAGTCTTTGCATTGATATTCTCCAGTTTAAGTGGATTAGGTGACTCCAGCCCATTTTTAGCCTCGTGTTGAATTATCGAGCTTCGTCTACTACTTTCTTTGGATGTATTTCTTGATCCATCTTTTGCAAATTTGGAACCTGGAATATCGCCATAAGAACTCTTTCTTGAATCACTTCTATGCATGGGACTAAGTTCACCTTTAATACTAGATTTTCTTGATATTTCATTGCCATTAGATCTATGATCATTATTATTCCCATCAAAATATCTTCTTTCCTTTCCCGGGTTTTCATCACCTATAGATCGAGAAACCCAACTATCATGGGGCGAAGTTGAACTATTGTATCTCGACAGACTTATCGCAGAACCTTTTCTTCGGTCGTCTTTTGAATCAGAATTGGTATTTTCTTTCTTTGCGTTATTATAACTTCCTGTTCGTGAAATAAACTTATCACTGCCCCCATCTTGATATTTGGAATATGAATCATACAGTCGGTCAAATCCTTGCCATCTTCGATTTCCTCCACTTGAGTCACTACCATTGTTACTGTTATTTCCGCCAGATCCCGTACCACTGTTATTGCCGTGGGAACTGTTTTGATGACTACCAGATCCATAATATGTGCTACCTCTTCCTCCGGAATTTCCTCTATAGTATGAACTTGAACTAGATGAATTATTCTTTGGTGTATATGATTCATATCTTGACCTGTATCCTGAATTACCATACATATCTCTCCTACTGTAATACGAACCAGAATTGTTTGATGACGATGGGTTACTATCGTAGTCCTTGCCCGCAGCGCCAATATAAGAACTTGAAGATTGATTATTCAGTAGATTAGAATTATCCCTTCCACCATTCGAATTGCCATCATATGACTTTTTTGATGAATTCTTCCCATATCTAGGTACATAATGTGTATTATTGTTGTAGGGCATTATGATATCGTTGCAATAATGAATGTAAACAATAGATATATAAATGAATGTAAGTTGTTGTTGTTCCTAAATGTTTCACTCTTGATATATACAATAAATAAGATTTAATGAATTCGTTTGAATGATATAATGACTATAAATAACACTATGGGTTCTTGTACAATGATCCTTGCTTCTATTGCCTATAATTCCATTCATTTTATTATGAGTGATTTTTTTTTTCTTCTTCTTCTTCTTGTTCTTGTTCTTCAGTGCACTTTTTTTTTCCGTTTTCCTTACTGTCTCTTACAAACTACACAGTGGTCGTGTATATATTCACAAAAATATGATCTTCAAATGAACAAGCAAATAAAGTCCTTCCAGTTCTATTTTGCGCACCATATTGTGAGCATAATTTTCAGATAAATGTGTCAAAATTATTCGCACAATCTGCAAATAAAAGTTTATATTAAAGCAGTCAATATTTTTGGTACTAGTGCACAAAAAAAGTTCATATTACGTGACCTCTATTTGTTCATACTAAAAATGTATGATATATGGCATGAACAAAAAAAAGGGCATCTAGTTTGAAAATATTATTTCCACTGGTGTGAACATTTTGAGTCCATTTACTATGAACAATTAATCTCCTTTACTATGAATTAAATTCGTCACACTAGTATTAATAATTTCTTTGAAAGTAGAAACGCTGTAAGCAGAAAAAAAAAGAGAATCATTTACGACACTCTTGATCAATTCTTTTTGGCATATATTTTATCTAATACATCTGAATATAATGGGAATCAATCAAGAGAATCAGTTTGACACAATTCTGAATAAGGAAAAACACATAACAGTGGATTATATTCATGAATTTGATGGCGGTAACTTAGAAATTTATATTCCAAAAATAAATATATGTATATTCAAATATTCCATCCTTGAAACCATATTTTTGAATGTCACTTTTTGTTGTACATTTATATGTTTCAGTGATTGAGCCCTATATCTGTGCGTCAGAATGTTCCATACATTAAACCATTGATTTGTATGTTCCTGATTTGGTGCGCATTTGTATGTACAAATTTTCCCTCTATATATCTGTATATAGAAATGTTCCGTCCATATATCCATAAATTTAAATGTCCGTTCCATAGATCCATAGATTTCAATGTTCCAAATTTGTAGAATATTTGTATGTTCCAGAAAAAAGTAACATTTATTATCTCTGTTTTCTCCTGTCGTCACAGTGCGACATCCAAATGTTCCACGATTTGCAACATTTGTCATTATTAGTACGATTTTTGCAATTTTGAAAATGCTATATGATTTGCAGTGATAAATTATGCTGTATAAGTTCATTATGAATTGATAGACTAAGTATTGGAGGAGTTATCTATCAATCTTACTCTTGGAATTTGAAAGTATCTTTTTTTTATCGGGAATTATCATTTTGTTGAATAAGTTAGTAATCACTGTATTAATACCGCTCAAACTAAATTCATTGGAATATTCATGCAAATAGCTTCATTTATATACTATTATCATATTCAATTTCCAGGTTTTAGACTATTTAGTATTCCCAAAGTGGTCCATCAGCAACTCAAGTGGTTTATTCCCGTGATATTTAAATCGGTTCACACACGAAAAAATACAAAAAATGACTTGAATCTTTATTTCCCATACAAAATTTAACTGATTATGTGTTTTCAGTTGTATTGGTTGGAAACATGATCCATTGTGGGTTTTATGCATTTAACTTGATTATATAATAAAAGAATAACATAATAGATAGTGATTATGAGTATTAATGGGGATAGCAATGGAACAGAAGCCGATTTATACATTATATATTTCCTTCCTTCTGATATTTGAATTCTTTTTCTTTTTCTTCAGATTCTTTTGTACGAACCATGTACCTAAATTCAAGAATTCGCGGAAACTGTACATCGATAAAAGGTTGAACATAACAAATAACCAACTTTAATCTGTAAGTATTTGTAATGCTGATTTATTCCATACCATCGACTACTAATAGTTTATTTAAATGGTGAATTTTTTCTTTCAAATCTACTTACAGTCCACCTCTTTGTAGAATGAAGTATAGACTGGATTTTTATACCGATACAGTATTGTTTCATTAATTGCCGCTGATGTATATTTGTCAATATTTTATATATAATGATGGCCTATAAGAACCTTCATAGTATTCCACTATGTTGTTTATCGATATTGTTGTGGTTTCCACTTTTTCGTGTTTTCAAATATCAAAAATATGATGAAAGCTAGTAGCAGTCAATTGATGTTGTTGCAAGATTTTGGAAAAAAAGGTGAATTAATAAAGTTGCGGAAGACTTTTGAAAATAACCAAAAGTGAGAAACACCAATGTTCTTTTTAGTTTGTTGAAAACCTCATTATGTTGTTGAAAAATGGCAACATTATAAGGTTGCCCAAAAGTTGCCAAAAGGTGGAAAAAAAGAAACTTCAGTAATTTTACAGAAATTTCCAAAAATGCGACGACAGGAAATTAATTTTCTTATTTTGCAAACCAAAGCAATTTCATGAAGTTGCATATGTTTCGCTAGATCTATCGGTTCTAGCTTGATTCTTATCACTTAAACAACATGATGTTATTTATATCACTGTTTAATACTACCACACTCACTCCTGGGTGAATTGGTCAACAATTGGTGGAGTTATCTATCAAACCTTACTCTTCAAAAATCAAAGTATCTTTTTTTTATCGGGAATTATAATTTTCCCAAATAAGTCAATAATTATGATATCCAGGCCGCTGAAACTGTTTTCATTAGAATATTCATATACATATTGACACATATATACTATCTTTATATTCTATTTCAGGTTTTTAGACCATATAGTCTTTCCAAAGGGGTTCATCAGCAACTCGATTGGATTATTCCCGTGATTTTAATTTTGGCCCAGACACGAAAAAATCTTAAAAATTGACGTGAATCTCCTTTCCCCATACAAAATTCAACTGGTAGTATATTTTCAGTTGTACTAGTATGATATCATCAATTTACTGTCACTTGAATCTATTGTGACGGTCATAAAAGGAGAATATATTCTTCTAGTAGAGTTTAAATATCCTTAAAACTATTAATAGTGCTAAATTCGTAGATTTGTATCATTATAGCATTTTTATAATTTATTTCAATTTTTTTTGAATTTTGCAATTTTTTCGCGGTAACTATCGACTAAAATTAAAAAATTATCGGCCCGTTTACGTCGAGAGATAAATTTCCAGGGAACATCCCTTGAGATTTTCACCATTGAGACCCCATTTCTGCAAATCAATAGAAATCAAAGGCAAAAACTGTTTTAATTGGTGATATAACTTCATAAAACTATTAATAATGCTGTATGGGGGAGAATCACATATAAAATCGAATAGTAATTGCTATTGTAGTATGTCTACTGCTATTAATTCTATTTAAAGCATACATTTTTAGTATGAACTGATAACCGTCACGTAATATTAGCATTTTTTTGCACACTAGTACCAAAAATATTGACCGCCTTACTATGAACTTTTCTTTGCAGGTAGTGTGAATAATTTTGACACATTTATCTGAAGATTATGCTCACACTCTAGTGAAAAATAAAATAGTAAGGAGTGTACATTCAACGAATGGCTATAATAAACAACTATTTATATAGATATATACAAGCAAGATTGAAATAAATAAATAAAGTCAATGTAATACAAATGACAAAACTAGTCTTTCTTTATGTTTAATTCAGGCATTCTCATGATAACTTTATCTTCATTTTCAGCAAGTTTTTGTATTTCCTTCAAGATTTTAGAATCTTTCCATTTATCAGGTAGTGGAGTCACAGTGTAGTTTTTAGTGGCCCAGTAATAAATATCCCAATCAGCTTCATCTAATAATTTATCATATTCATCCAATTCTTCCATTGTCATGGAATTTAAACGAGCATCAGCATATCTACTCATCAACAAATCACTTTCCAAAATACCTCTTTTTCTAGATTGGTATAATAATCTAGCTCTTTTAACTTCGAGTGTTTCTCCAGTTCTAACAATTGGTTGGATCTTTAATTTGATTTCAGTATCAATAGGAGGATTTTGAGGTTTCCCAAAATTGGCTGAAGCAACATATGAAGTAGTAAATGTTCTTCTACTGGCAAGTCTAGATACACTTCTCAACATGTTTAATAATAATAAATGATAAATCCTGAAAATTACTAATTACAAAAAGAAAAGATAACTCTAGTAGGAAGAAAGAATGGGGAAAATTTTTCCTCTTTTTTTTTTTTTTTTTTTTTTCTTTGGCTCCATTTTGGTGTTGATTTATTTTCGCACAAAAGCTGACACCACCACCCGGCCGAACCCACCTTGTACAGTACGGTGATTTTTTTATTTTCTTCCCTTTCTCTCACACATTACTTTACTTTACTTTACTTTACTTTACTTTACTTTGTTTCTGTTGATGTTACTTTTTTTTTTGTTTGACAACACAGACGAATTTTTTTTAGCAACATTCAAAACAAACCATTCCCATATCTCATAATCATCAAATCATCATCATCATCACCACTGATCAACAATGGGAAAAGCAGTATCCAAGTTATCAAAGGAAGATTTGAAACAACTTCGACAGGCTACATATTTCGATAAACGTGAACTACAACAGTGGTATAAAGGTTTTCTTAGAGATTGTCCACTGGGTCAATTATCTGAAGAAGAATTTGTTAAAGTATATAAACAATTTTTCCCATTTGGAGATCCAACTGATTATTGTCATTATTTATTTCGTGTTTTCGATTTGGATAATTCCAAATATATTGATTTTAAAGAATTTATCATTGCTTTAAGTATTACAAGTAGAGGTACTGAAGAACAAAAAATAAATTGGAGTTTTAAAATGTATGATTATAAAAAAGAAGGTAAAGTTGGTTATAAAGATATTCTACCAATAATTCAAGCAACATATAAAATGGTGGGACCAATGGTGGAGTTGCCTGCAGATGAACAAACACCTGAAGCAAGAGCAGAGAAATATTTCAAATTGGTTGGCAAAAATAAAGATACTGATACATTAACTTTAGAAGATTTCAAACGTATAGGTAAACAGGATAGTGCTATACAGTCTGCATTAAATTCATACCAAGGTTTGGTGTGAATTAATAGATAAAGGTTTTTTTTTGTTTTGTTTTGTCTATTTGTTAATCTAAATATATGTACTTGTGTGTGTGTGTTTCAAGTGTTATAATAATGCAATTAAATTTAAATATACAGATAGTCTATATAGATGTCTCGACTATTATTGCTGACCTTCAACAGCTTCCAATAACCCGTCTAAAAACTCGTCAACTTCATTGATCCCCACATTCGTACAGATACTCACCACTTTCTTAAACTTTGCTGTCAATTCGCTATAATCAACCAAAGTTTGTAGCTCTTTCTCTAACCGGGCATTTATTTCTCGATACGCATTTATTCTGGCTTTTAGTATAGGAGCAGGTTGCAATTGATTCAATACAGTTTCGTCATTCTTTAAATCTTCCACCAGTTCGCCTGCTTTCAATTTCTCAAATATTGGTTTAATAACAAATGGTTCATCAGCATCATATTCCTTGCTATCATCCAATTTCTCATCCAACTCTTGTTTAGATAATGTCAATTTATCTGTTACATTGGCAACTTGTAATTTCAAGTTATCTAGCTGCACTAATTTCTCGGTGATCTTTTTGGCATTGAATCTATTGTTGGCTGTCACAATAGTCGCATCATGAAGTGCTCGATCTAGTTGTTTAATCTGCTCTCTTTTGGAATTCAATATACCTTCATACTCGGCATTAGTATTGGCGAGCAACTGTTGTATACTTTGAAAGATTCTTCCTGAAGTTGAATTTTCATTTTGTTCAACCAACACTGGGGCTTTAATTTCCTTAGGTTCTTCAATTTCTGGTATTGTTCCACCACTTATTTCAATTCTCTTGTTCAAAAATTCCAATCCAGTGACAATTAACTCAAATATTTGGTCATTGCTTTCAAATGAGTTGACATCTCTCACAATTTCAAAATCGGATGCTTTTATACCATGTTTATTGTCTATATTCATATCTGCTCCCAATTTAACCAATACTTTGATAAACCATTTAGAATCCTTCTCTATAGCAATATGTAAGGCGGTATTGCCATCCTCGTCTTGTGCATTAAGTAATTTTGAACGCAAATCCAAGAATAATTGGTCATTATTAGATATGATATACTCTAGTATCTTGGTGGTGTAAAACTTGAAACTGTCATTCTTATCAATTTGCAAAGCCAAGTGATGTAAGACACTTCTCTTTTTGGTGTCCAAGAGCCATAAATCAGGATATAACCAGTTACTGAGAATCTTACTGAAGTTCCCCTTTTCCATAGAATTTGTTACTTGGATACATGAAATCAATGGTGATTCTCCATCGATATTACCTCTAATTGGAGAGTTCAATCCTAATTGAATAAAAGCAGAAACCAAATTCAAAGACGCAAGTGTCGATGCAAAATGTAAAGCTGTTTGTCCTCTTTGATCTAGTGGGATATCAACAATAGCCTCAGAGGAATATTTGGCCATAGGACCAGCAAATGCTGATTTTACTTCTTCATACGAAATACCATCAGATTGTTCGTCGTCTCGCTTGAAAACTTCACCCAACTTCATCTTGATGTCATTGGCAATGTCGATATTATCATCATTGATTATGATTGCTGGTAATGTGAAAGGATGATTTGTGTTTTTGCTAGACAATGCATCAATAAGTACATGATTGTTATCAACAACACCATTTGAAAATGTTCCTTTAACTGGAGGGCCCTTGTCCAATTTCTGTTTCTTTGAAGGTGAATCCAATATATCTCTTTCGGTGTCGTCATCGTCCTCTTCGTATACTCTCTTATTAGCTTTTGGTAACTTCTCAAAATCATGAACATCAACAAGAAACAATTTTTTGGTAATTTCATAGATATCGAATTTTAATGCCAACTCGACTGCCTTATCATATGGAATCCAGATACCTTTTATATAAGTATTTTCATGTGATCTTAAATCCAAATACTGTGGGTTTTTTGTAGAAGATCCAAAGTATTTCAAATTGGATAAAATTTCATTGTCAAAAAAATTGTTCAATTGACTCAAAGTAAGCAAATCTAATTTGACCAAAATTTCAAACAATTGTGTCACGTTGATAAATGAATCTTGAACTCTACGCAATATTATAAGTTCTTCATCCTCAGATGATGTATTTGATTTGTTGGTACTGAACTTTAATGTTAGTTGTATAACTTTCACGCCTGAATATATGGATGAGTAGACTGTTGTTATTGATGTACAGTCTGGGGAACTGGTGGTTCCATTAATATGTGTTTCTAGCAATCGTTGCTGAATAGACTGAGTAGTCAAGTCTCCGATATGTATAGGTGAATCCATAGTTTATACGTTGACAATAGGAAAATCTATCAACTTGAAAATTTTAAAAAAGCAACGAAATGAAAACAAATAGCGAGGTAGATTAAAAAAGTAAATTGTTTTGTCTCAGACTATTGAATGAACGTTGTCAAAATGTTGAAATTTCAATTCAAGTTTTCGAGATGGAGTAATGGGTATGTAGTTATTAGTATATGAATGACACACGTGAGTAGAAACTATAATCAATCAAACGTGTTTTGATATTGACTTCTATTTGAGTTGAATTGAAATCGTGGAATTCTTTTTCTTGTTCGTTTTTTTTTCTTTCTTTCTTCTTTTTTTTTTTTTTGTTCGTCGAAGACGCGTAATCAACTTTGCGACATTGGGACACGACCTGTGACATTTGTCTCAAATCTCATCATCGTGATTCTTGCCCAATTTTTTCATTCCCAACAAGAAACACTATCAACGACTAAAAAGAAGAAGAAGAAGACTAATATACACAGCATCGACAAATGGATTATTCAGAAAGAGTCAACTCTAAGAAAGGTGCTGGTGGAATAGCCAGTAAAGAAGATACTAATGTTTACACTAAACAAAGAATCAAGGATTTATTATCCACTCATGTGTTAGATTTAGACAACGATCCATATGTCTTCCGTAATCATTTAGGTTTACTAGAGTGTAAATTATGTCTTACGACCCATATCAATGAATCATCATATATTTCTCATTTAGGAGGTAAGAAACATATGCTTAATTTGGAAAGAAGGCGATTATTAGATGAAAAACAAAATAAGCAACGACAATTGCAATTACAAGGATCTCAAAATATTCTTAGTATTAATACCATTGAAAAACGACATTGGAATAAAATCGGAAAACCTGCTTATAAAGTAACCAAGATAAGAGATCCAAATAGTCTCCGTATTGGAATATTGATAACTGTAAAATACCCTAAAATTACAGTTGAAGAACCGATGTTTAGGATCATGTCATACTATGAATTGACTTCAAAAAATCAAAACAACTGCCACAATTTTATTGAAAAGTGTAAAACTATAGATGATGACGATGACGATGACGATGATGATGATGAAAAGGACGTAGATTCTGATAATAGTTTCCAATATTTGGTAATATCAGGGGAGCCATACGATAATATTACCATTGTAATTCCTAATGATAAAGAAATTGACAAGCCAGTTGAAGAAAACAAGATGTCTGATAGTTATTGGTGGTATTGGGATAATGATACAAAGGAGTTTTTCATACAGTTTTTGTATAAGAAGTAGTATATATATATATATATATATATATAATAAGAAAGATAAAGTGGTTCTGGTTATAATAGCGTGCTTAGTCATCCCCCACGAATCACATGATCAGACCCCACTGTAATTCTCTCCTGTTTTTTCCGTGTACATATAAAATTAGGTTGACGTTGAACGAGGAAGAGGAAGAAAATTAATTTTCCAATATCGGACATACAATTTAATCTGAGTTTAACTTGTATAATTCAGTGATTTCCTCCATTAAGTACAAGAGATAGTCACCCTCTCGATTATTTATACTTACAGTAGATGACAAATCAACATACAAGAGATACACAAGTCGGTTTTTTACAAAGATGTGCTGAATGTTACAACTTGGTGCAAAATTTCTTACACGATCGAGTTCCCACTACTATAAATGGCACT